TGTGGTGGGACGATGCGGTGGAGGAGTTTCCAGTATCCTTCTGCTGCTGCGATGAAGAGCGGCCTTTGGGTCCAGGGGACCGACTGCGTGGCTGATTAGAGGACGACTGAAAACGAACCTTCTGGTCCTGTACAGCGAGAATTGGGGGTTGGTCGCGACGATCTCGTCCATTTTTGGAGTCGTTGGCTTTGGAAATTTGACCCCTGATCTCGTTAGTAAGGTCAATATTTTTAGCCTGTCGCTCGAGCCATGTCGTGAGTACATGCAAAGTTGGGACGTCGTTTGTTGCCAAAGATTGGTTGAATTCTTTGATGGTACGAGCATCCAATCGAGCCAGAATGAAATAAGAGTACAGAACTTCCGCTTCCGTTACTCTTCCCAAATTGATAAGTTTGATCTGTGCATGAGTCGTCCGGATAGTGGCCAGAAGTTTATGTATCCCATTCCCAGTCTGGGACATGAGCGGTGGCAAGTCGAATAAAGGCTTCACCGCAGCGTGAGCTGATTCGCGAGCGGAGTCGTACCTGGCAGTGAGACGATCCCACTCCAGTCCAGTTTCCATCCGTGATTTGTAGATCTTTAAGGTTGTCTTCAGCTGGACCTTTTAAGGCATCTTTGAGAAGTCGGAGCTTCTCGTTTGGGCTGAAAACTGAAGAATTACGGACGAGTGTTGAAAATGCTGCCTTAAAGGCTGGCCATTCCCCATGGATTCCTTTGAACGTGGGAAGTGATAGATTTGGGGGTTTGAGGCCAGCTCCTGTGGTCAGTGCCAAAGTTCGAACCAGTGTTGTAAGCTGAGAGCGAGACTGAGCAAAAATTGCATGCACGGTGCAATACTTCTCTAATGCCTTATCCAGAGGGGACAGCACATCGGCGGGGTCTTTTTTCGTGGAGAAAGTTGTAAAACATGCCGTGTGTAGAGCCGTCAAATCCTTGCCCAGTTCCTTCATATCTTCAAGATGCAATTGCTCATCAGGTAAAGATAAAGGGGCGAGTCCACTTTCGTGTTGCTCAAAGGCGATGTAGTGGAGGTTGGCCCTGGACTGGAGGGCGGCCAGGGTCTGGACGAATGCAGTTTCACCCATGGCTTCGATATCAATCGAGTCGAAGGAGTCGTCGGTGTCGGATTCCTCCGCTGATGTTTCGTGCTTAGTGAATGAAGATGATGGTGTAGGTACTTTGGGAGTGGCACCAAAAAAGTTTAGGGCACTTGCGAAAAGTCCTGATGATGGTTGATGTTGAGAGGTTGATGATGATTGGTCAGTTTCAACGTCTTGGACAGATGATGAAGAACTGTTGTTACGCTTACGTCGTACTTTCCGCGTTGGAGCGATGAACGGAACGTCAAGAGCGGGTGGTCCTCGTTGGCGTGTGGAACGGCCTTCGGAGGTACCGCTGATGTTATGGTCGTCGGATGAAGGAGTCGGATCCTGCTCCGAATTACTGCTCATGGACTACGGGATTTGATTCTCGGGGAGCCAAATAGATATGTATGCTGTGATACTATGAAGTTGTGTAAAATATTCCATGAACAGTGGTATGTGTAGTTTGTTAGCTGAGAGAATATTGATACTTTATTATCCGTTAGCCTGGATTATATAGTTTTGTTACAAGGTAAAGCCGAATTTTACGTAGCTGAATCAAATCCTCCAATCTGGAGGACGGAAAAGTTTAACAGTTTATGTATTTCCTTCACCAAATCATTAAATAATAATTGCGTTTATCAGAAACGCAACCTATGCTTATGCTTACATTGCCCTTTTCTAACTACAAGCTAAAGCTCTACGTGCGATAATCAAGGATTGTCACGACTTGACATAATTACTACAATGTCATTCTTAAATTTATAGACACATACGTGTCCAATGAACGTACTGGGAGCCGGAGTTTTTTTTATTAATAAGGGGCTTATTTTAGGTTTTCCTATTTTTTCTTTACTTATATTTTTTCTCTGTGCATCGAACATTGCTGCCCCTCCGACTATTAATTTATTATCAGAGATTTTTTTGATGGCTAGAATTATAAGTTACGATTATATTATACTTGTACTTTTCCCCCTAGGCTCGTTTTTAGGAGCTGTTTTTACATTATTTATATTTTCGTTTTCACAACATGGGTCTTCTTATAATTCACTTTACGGGTTTGTTCATTCCAATATTCGTGAGATCCACACTATCAGACTTCATGTTATCCCAGTAAATTTTTTAGTTTTAGGGTCTAATTTTATTTTTACACGTTATTAAATAATTATTTAAATAGTTTAAGAAAAATTTTAGTTTGTGATTCTATAGATGGGCGAGCCCTTTAAGTAATATTTTATTTGGCCTTACCTTTTTATTTAGGAGTCTTATTATTAGTTTCTAGCTTAGTCAGTATGCGGTTCGGTGTTTTATATTTTCTTTCTGCTGAAACCATATTTATTCAATGGGAAATGTTTTCTTTTAGCTCAACTTCTATTATTATAACTCTTATTTTTGATTGAATAAGTTTAAGATTTATAGGTCTTGTAATATTTATTTCTTCGATAGTACTTTTTTACAGAATTATATATATAGAGGGGGACAAATTTTTAACCCGGTTTATTTTTTTAGTTTATTTCTTTGTTTTGAGTATGTTTTTTATAATTTTAAGTCCTAATATAATTAGAATTTTATTGGGTTGAGATGGACTTGGTCTTGTGTCGTATTGTCTAGTTATTTATTACCAAAATGTAAAAAGAGCTAACGCGGGTATAATCACAGTTCTTTCTAATCGTGTGGGTGATGTAGATATTCTTTTATGTATTTCATGATTATTGAATTTTGGTAGATGGAATTTTTTTTACTCGCAGTTTATGTACTCATACGAGGTAATTTTTTTTATAGTTGTTCTAGTAATCTTAGCAGCTATAACAAAAAGAGCTCAAATACCCTTTTCTGCCTGGCTACCTGCGGCTATAGCAGCTCCCACCCCAGTCTCGGCTCTTGTGCATTCATCTACTTTAGTTACAGCCGGGGTGTATTTGTTAATTCGGTTTAATTACACTCTAGGTGTTAACAATTTTTTATTATTTATTGGCATAATGACTATGTTTATATCTGGCTTAGGGGCTAATTTTGAGATGGATTTTTAAAAAAATTATTGCTTTATCAACGTTGAGCCAGCTTGGGTTAATAATAACGTCTTTGGGGTTGGGCTTTTACGAGTATGCCTTTTTTCATCTTTTAACTCATGCTATATTTAAGTCCTTACTATTTTTATGTGCTGGGGTGTTTATTCATTCTATAGGGGACACTCAGGATATTCGAGCGATGGGGGGGGGGGCTAATGATTTCTTGCCCAGTCACATCTCTGTACTTTATTATTTCTTCAATAGCTCTATGTGGGTTTCCGTTTTTATCAGGATTTTTTTCTAGGGATATAATTATTGAATTTTTTTTTCAAGGTAACATCAATTTAATTATGGGGTGTTTAATAATTTTATCTACGTTGTTCACACTAACGTATTCTGTTCGCCTTTTATACTTTTCTTTTTTAATAATATAGGTAACCGGCATCTTCTAAGTTTAGCTGAGAGAATCAATATATTAATCCCAATAACACTTTTAATCTTACTATCAGTTTTAGCTGGTGGGTGGCTTAGAGTTTACATATTTCCTTTAAATTTTATTTTTTTACCTTTATGGCTTAAAATATTGGTAGTTGTTATAATCTTTAGTTTTTTCTTTATTTATTTTTTCTTAATAGACTTTAAGGCTATAAAGAAAATTAGTTCTACCTCAGGTCTAGATTATTTTTTAGGTTCAATGTGGTTGCTTCCTTTTATTTCTACTTTTGCTGTAACTCCTGTTACTAAATATGGCGTAAAAATTTTAAAGCTCGTTGACCAAGGTTGAGTGGAGTTTTTAGGGGGCCAAGGATTTATTGATAAATCTAAGTTTGTTTCTTCTAAGGCAGATGTATTAAATTCTATAAGAATGAAATTCTTTATATTTAGTTTCTTTATGGGTAGTTTGATTCTATTTTTTAGTTTATTATAGATTTTTATAGCTTACACAATAGAGCACTACGTTGAAGTTGTAGGGGAAGACTGAGTCTTGAAAATATTTTCCATAAAAATATATTTATTTATTTAAACATTGAAAATGTTTTGTTTTTGATTAAACTAAAATAGAAAAAAGAAAATAACGGAGTTTGACCGTTAAAATTTTAAGTTAGCGGCTTAAATTTGATCCCCTTTTCTTATTAAAGAGGCTAAACACCTAATAGCCATTAACAGTGACTCGCCGTTTATTTGGCTTCCTTTAAAATAAGGGGAGAACCAAAATTTTCAGGTCGAAACTGACCGCGATTTTTCGCTTCTTACTAATATAAGATAGACTTTCACAGTACTTTCTGAATGCAACCCAGATGTTATTTTTAACTACAATCCTTTATTTCACACTGTGGGGATTTGTGTGAATGAACTCGTTGGATGGAAATGTTGCCTTAGGTGACCGTGGAAGCAGGGGATGACTGAATGGTTGATGAGTGTTGAGATGAGAATCAGTCGTGATGAGAGTAGCACAAGTGATCACAATAAATAGTCACCTTTACTTCAGTTAAAAATATATTGATGTACAAATTGGAGCGAAATTGAGACGTGTGGATTTGAGTGACAAAGTGACGTGGTCAAGGTACGTACAAAAAGAGAATGACGGCGAGGAGGGATAAATGACCTCCTTTTATAGAGAACTGCTCAAGGTAATGGAAAATTACAAAAGGGACAAAAGTAAAAATAAACTTGAGCAGAGTGAATGATTTGGACTGGACAAGAGAATTGAACTTAAACTGCTGAGCAAGATAGGCAAATTAAATTAAGCGCATTGGCTGGCAAAGTTGAGAAAATGGTCAACTACAGTCAAAATCTGAATTACATACATAATGAGTGATAAATAAGAATATGGTCATAATCATAAAATTACATAAATCAAATGAACTCAAACATTCCGGGCGCCTTGAAAAACTGTTTTCAACAAAAATTAAGTAGAAGTTGACGGGATGGTAGGCGTTGGAGTAGAGTTGTCGATGGGGAGCAGACACAGCTTCACAATTGGGCGTTTGAATGTGCCTGTTGAAGTGCGGACTGTTACCACACGGACGATGGCGTCGGGACCAGGATGAAGAGATTCGATCCGTCCTAGCTTCCATTTTAGTGGTGGTTGTGTTTCATCTTTGATAACCACCATGGCACCGATTGAAATGTTGGGGGACTTAGACATCCATTTTGGGCGTTGTTGTAGACGAGTGAGGTACTCGTTGGACCACCTCTTCCAAAACGATTGGACCATTTGCTGGAGAAGTTGCCAGCGTGATAAACGGGAAATTTTAACATCTTCTAGTGTGGGTTCGGGGATTGAGTTAAGTGGGGCTCCAATCAAGAAGTGTCCTGGGGTCAAGGCGTTGTAATCATCGGGATTATTGCTTTCTGGGGTCAATGGGCGCGAGTTCAAGATTGATTCGATTTGGGATGTGATTGTGGTCATTTCTTCGAACGTAAGTCGTTGAGTTCCCATGATGCGACGGAGATGGAACTTTACGGATTTGCCTCCGGCCTCCCAGAGTCCGCCAAAGTGGGGGAAAGCTGGGGGATTGAAATGCCAATCAATCCCATCCTTGGATAAATGGTCGGATATGGCTTGGTTGTGGGGGCGAGACATGACCAGTTTGAGAAAATCCTTCATCTCGTGATTTGCAACAACAAAGTTTGTGCCGCAGTCACTGTAGAGGTCTGTGGGTCGGCCTCTGCGGGAGATGAATCTTCGAAGTGCAGCAAGGAAAGCGTCGGTGGAGAGGCTGCTGACCACTTCAAGATGTAGGGCTCGAGTGGTACAACAAACGAAGACAGCCAAATATGCCTTGATTGTTGTCTTGCTGCGGGACTGAATGGGTCGAAGAAGGAATGGGCCGGCGTAGTCGATTCCGGTTTTGAGAAATGCTCTGGCAGGGATAACACGGAATGAGGGCAAATCTCCCATCAATTGTTGCATGGTTTTCGCTCTGAGTTTGGTGCAGGTCACACATTTTCCTATTTCGCGTCGGACGGCATCCTTCAGTCGCAGGATCCAGTATTGTCGCTGCAGAGTGGACATTAAAAGCTGGGGACCCGCATGGAAATTGATAATGTGTTCATGGTTGATGAGAAGATGAGTAATTGGATTGTGGGATGTGAGGAGAATTGGATGCTTCTGGCTTGCAGGAAGATCCGAATGGTTGAGTCGGCCTTCAACCTTCAGCACACCGCCAGAATCTAGGAAAGGACAGAACGAAACAATTTTGCTCTTAGAGTTTACAGGTTGCCCTGCTTGGAGGGCATGAATCTCCCTTGGAAATTCTTGTTGCTGAACGAGCCTTATCCAATATAGCTTGGCGCAATTGATCTCATCTGGGCTGAGAGGAGAGTAAGTAACTTCAGTGGTTGTGATGAGAGGACTAAGGTTCGTGGTGTCACTAATGGCAGGGAGTCCGCCGGTGAATAATGGAGACGGGGTGTATTTGTGACCTTTGAGATTCTTGATGAATCGAAATACGTAAGCAGTTACTCGAAGTAGTTTTGGAAATGATGAATACCGTTCAAGTAGCAATTGATCAGTTTTGACAATGGTGTGGAGTGAGCTTGCTTGCTTCTGCTCTGCAATTGCTTCTGATGAGTCTTGTGGATGATGGGTTGTGGGGATTGGAATTTGATTCCTTAGCCAGGGTGGCCCATGCCACCAAAGCTCGTGATTGATAAGCTCATCGCATGTGATTCCTCTGGATAGGCAATCAGCAGGATTTTCTTCTCCTCTAACGTGACTCCACATGGTGGGAGGGACCCTCTCCTGGATCTTGGTGACCCGATTGGCGACAAAGGTCTTCCATCTTGATGGTGGGGAATTGATCCATGCTAGTGCCACTGTCGAATCAGTCTAGGCAGATATGGAATGGATGGGAATTCTGAGGGCAGATTTGACTGACATCAGGAGTTCAGCCAAAAGTTCAGCTCCACAGAGCTCCAAACGCGGAAGTGACACGGTCTTGACAGGAGCCACACGGGATTTTGAAGTGATGAGGGATGATGAGCTGGACTGACCGTCGTACACACACAAGTACACAGCAGCGGCGTAAGCTTTTGTGACGCATCACAAAAACCAGCAAGGCAGAATTTTGTTGTAGAATGAAAAGGACGATTAAGACTGGGACAGATTAGGTCAGTTCCTTGCATAAAAAATCGATTGATTGTGAGTTTAGACAAACCTTCCATATTCGAGCGAAGAATTGTCCATTGATTTTGAATTTCTAGTGGAAGTGGTTCATCCCAACCATGCTTTAACTTCCACAAGGACTGCATAAGGATTTTTGCGTTGATGATGATGGGGGCCAACCAGCCTACGGGATCGAAGAGACGAGCGATTTGGGACAAGATGATTCTCTTGGTCATTGGTGTAGTGGTGGGCTCTTGAGGACTAATGCGGAAAAGAAACTGATCTGTCTTCGGGTTCCAACAAATTCCCAATGTCTTGATGCTGGAATCTTGGTCGAATGAGAGGAGGGAACTTGTTTCTCTCATTTCTGGGGAAAATGCATCCAAAACGTACTGAGAATTGGATGACCACTTACACAACTCAAAACCTGCATCCTTTGTGAGGCTGAGTAGTTCTTGTTGAGTTTGGAATGCTTCTGGGACGGTGGGTTCGCCTGAAATCAAATCGTCTACATAAAAATCCCTGCCTGCGACTTCCGCGGCTTGAGGGAATTGTTGCTCATTGACGACTGCTGTTTCCTCCAGCACACGAGTAGCCAAGTATGGGGCTGAAGCTGTGCCGTAGGTTACCGTTTGAAGGTTGTAATGCTTCACCGGTTTGGACGGGTCGTCTCGCCATAAGATCCGTTGCAAATTCGAGTCCTCAGGGGTCACTCTTATTTGTCGGTACATCTTCTTAATGTCAGCCGTGAATGCAATCTTATGGAGTCTGAAACGAGAGAGAATATCGACAAGTGAATCCTGAATATTTGGACCAACCATTAATCCGTCATTCAGAGAGACACCCGATGAGGGACTTCCTGCATATGACCGAGTGATTCATACTCCTTCATGAAATCCACATACTGCTTACGGGCATCTGGATTTGAATGAAGTCTTCGCTCAAGCAACAGAAGTCTCTTCATTGCAATGTTGAGTGATGAGCCGAGTTTGGGTCGTGGTGACTTGAATGGGAGCTGAACCGTAAATCTACCTGCATGGTCGCGGGTATATGTAGATTTGAAGTGGGATTCAATTGTCGTTTCTTCTTGGGTTGGGAGTCGATGAGATGGTTCACTGTCCATTTCCCAAAACTTGCGTAGCGTTGCGTCTAGGTTCTCGTCAGTGGGATCACAGCCAATTGTTGTTGTTGTCGACGACGAAGATTGAGCGAGTGTGGCATTAACTCTGGGCTGGATAAGTGGGATTTCGGATGAACCACCACCAATCAACCAACCGAAGCTGGTTTTGATAGCGACGGGGCTGTTGGGGGGTCCACTTATTTTTCCGCACTCCAATATAGCGAAGAAGAATTCAGCGCCTAAGAGCATGTCCACATCTAAAGGTTTGTAGTAGAGGGGGTAGGCTAGTTGCAACCCTTGCAGATGAAACCACTTGGTGTGATCGAAATACGAAGTTGGCAGTTTTTCTATGATTTTGCTCGTGACGAGACACCTGGAGATGAAATGAGTTACGGTTGAATCAAGATGTGAACTCACAGTGAACTGCGTGATTCCTGTGGCGTTCGCGACGTATGTTCCTCCCAACCCAGTGGCGGAGGTGTGGCAACGTCTCAATGGAGCTCCGATCCGTTTGATGCAGGAGTCCGTGATGTAATTTGTATTACTTCCGTTGTCGGCAAGTACTCGAAATGTGTGGTACTGACCATGGCGATCAGCTACTTGAACCAATGCGGTAGCCAGCAGAGTATCAAACTCGTTTGCAACTGGCTGGGGAATCGATGTGAAGTTGACACGGGCTGGGGCTGGGACCGATGCTGCCGTGGGGTTATGCTGCTGTGGTTGGGGGTTGACGGGTCGATTTGCTACTGGTTTATGGAGGAGGGTGTGATGCCTTGAGCTACATGTCTTGCATTAAAACTTGTTGTTGCACTCGGTGACGCTATGATTGTCTTTGAGGCAATTGTAGCAAAGACCGTTCCTCCGGACGAAGTCGATTCGCTGTTGGGGTGACCAGGACAGGAAGACTTCACACTTGTAAAGATAATGCGATTCATTATTACAAGCCTTGCATGGGGAAGAAGAATGAGATGGAGAATTGGTATGATGAACAAGGGGACGATGATTGCTTTGATTGTTACCATTCCCAGACTTTTTGTTGTAGGTCTTACTGGGCGTGGCTTCCGTACCACTTGCGGCGAGGGCTCGGGCACGCTGCTCGAGGAAGTCGAAGAGAGATTTGAGTTTGAGAATGGAGCTGTCCTTCAACGACTGCTCCCACAACTCCTTGGATGTCGAATCCATTTTTGATAAAATGATGAATAAGAGTAGGGCGTCCCATTGATCTGTGGGGAGTTTTAGGACGTCCAGGGATCTGATGCATTCCTGTGATACATCAACAAGTTGGCGAAGGGACGATGATGATTGTTGTTGAACTACTGGCTGGTTCATGAATCTGCGGAGAATTGCAAATAAAATCTCCCGGTCATTCTGGTACCTGTCATGAAGTGAATTCCACGCAATATCATAATTGCCATCAGTTATTATCATGCTTGAAATTTGTCGTGATGCTTCACCCCTAACTTGCGACTTTAAGTAAGTTAACTTTTGAGACTTACTAAGCGATTTATTGTCATGAACAGCAGTGACAAATAAATCGCGGAATGATACCCAATCGTTCAGTGTCCCGTCGAATGTTGGTAACTCAAGGCGTGGGAGTCGGATGTCCACGGTTGAGGGCAAAACGGGTGTCCCTGGAATTGGAATTTGGATTGAGGTTGAGCTGTTTGGAAAACTCATCCGTATTCCAGTGAATGCTGAGAGAAGTCGATCTGTTTTACGCAAGAGTCTCATATACTCTAGTTGATGGGGTTTCATGTCAGGGGGCGATATTGATATTATTTTCTTGTGTGTTTCCATAATGTCGATTTGAGCAGGATTTGAACTGAATTTAAACTGAATTAGATCATTAATGGTTTTAATGATTTTAGTCCCTATATTTTGAGCCACCGCCAATAAATTTTTTTATTAACCTCAAGAATTTGCAAAAAACTTCATGATGAGTTTAAAATATTATTAGGCCCCCACTCATCAGTAGGGAGAACCATCCCATTTATTTCTTTAGCTCAGCTTTCTTTATTAGCTCACCCTGCGTAGCATGAGAGCTATTGAATTCCTCTAGTCCGTCTGTCTGTCCGTCTGTCTGTCTGTCCGTCTGTTAACGAGTTTTTTGCATCAATTGATGCTATTTAAAAATCCCCTTGACCATTATAGAATAAGTTAGGCGTACCATTGGTATTGAACAAACCGAATCAAATTTTTTAATAAATTAATAGCACCGTTGACATCTAACAATCGGTAACACAAAATGATGCGAAATAATTGGGAAGGGGGATGCAAAACGCACCAATAATGCATACTACTCGGCGGATTTGATTAGACAATTTTGACATAAATTTTTCAAAATTATCGTTGATCGTTGGTAGGTAATTCTGCACTAGTGATGCACAATTTTTGGACGTTCACCGATGCATAATAATTATTGATCTATTTTGTTTAACTTTTCTGCACCATGTGTGCAATATTGCATACACATTATTCATCTACTTTGTTGGATTTTTCTGCACCATTGGTGCATAATTGCCAAAAAATTATGTATCTATTTTGTTGCATTTTTCTGCACCTTTGGGGCAAGTTATAACTAAATCATTATTACAGGGTGAGCTACTTCTAACGTTACTACGGTTTATTAATATTCATTTTAATAAATAACTTTATGGGTTTATTTCCGTATATTTTTACAGCTTCAAGACATATAGTTTTAACCCTAACTTTAAGATTACCTCTATGACTTTTATAGTGTACGGCTGACTAAATTACACCAAACATACGTTCGCCCATTTAGTACCCCAAAGCACCCCAAATTTATTAATACCATTTATAGTATTAATTGAATCAATTAGAAATGTAATCCGACCTTTAACTTTAGCAGTCCAACTTATAGCTAATATGGTAGCAGGGCACTTACTAATAACTCTTTTAGGAAACCAAACAGCAGCCGCCTCTAATTTAATTTTAGCTAGATTAATCTTAACCCAAATTCTTTTACTAACTTTGGAGTCTGCTGTCGCTATAATCCAATCTTACGTTTTTGCGGTGTTATCAACACTATACGCTAGCGAAATTACATCACATTAAATACATAATGACAGTAAAGAGAGACCACTCATTCCACTTAGTAGATCAAAGTCCGTGGCCCCTTATTGGGGCCACAGGCGCTTTCATTTTAACCACAGGCATTGTAAAATGATTTCAAGAAATAAATATAAATTTATTTTTATTCGGTATAATAATTATAGCATTAACTTGCATTCAATGGTGACGTGACATCAGACGAGAGGGGACCTTCCAAGGACTCCACACTTCAATTGTAGCCAAGGGGTTACGCTGAGGTATAATTTTATTTATTACATCTAAAGTATTATTCAGTTCATATTTCATATTTCATATCGCAATTCAAATTTCTCCATGTATTTTTGATGCCGCATAAATGAAGCCGAAGCACTCGCTGCGCACCATCCGTCTCTCGCTTTACCCTTTACCATCTCTTCTCATCACACTTTATATTTTACGTCCCAGAACAAAAAAACAGTTTTTCGTGCTTCGGTGTCTACCACACCCACCCACCATCATCAATTATTAAGTAAGTTTAACGACAAGATATGTCAGAGCAGTTTTACAACCATGCTCAGGATTTAATGTGACTTAATTTTTGTACAGATTTTCGTCATCTCGAATGGAGAATTTTTGCGACTTTCTAAGTTCGAATAATTAATTAAAAACTGAAAGTTGTTGTGATGCAGATTTACAACCAAATTTATTGCAACAAAAATTGATTTAGCATAAATACAATTTTACTTTAATTTTACAAACATCGAAATAATTTCCCGGTTGCAAAATATTTTATTATAAATAGTAGCAATAATTTTCGTGCCTTGAGTATATAAGGAAAATGGAAACAGTTGAATGTGGTTCTGGTTCTTCTACTTCAAACTGTAGTGAAACTTATTTCTAATCTTTATCTTCTTGTTCATATAAAGGATAAATTAACCCACCCCCCTTTCGGTGGAGACACAGACAATGGTGAAGACACGAATGGGGTGGAGAGGTCGGTAAAACTCTTTGAGAAATTTCTTGAAGGTGGCTAAAAGGCTGCAAACGACAGTTTTAGGTGATACGTTTTCCTTATCGATGTCGAGAATTTTACACCACTGCTGGAACCTTTAAAAAAACTAAAATTAGCTATCAGAGGAAAAAAGAATGGGAGAAATGAGTTATTTTGCATCGGAAGTTGTACCTGACGCTTTGGCAGAAAGGAGTAATTACGATTTTCTTGGTTTCAAGAATTATCACAATTAGTACCGCAACACTTTATATTTCGGACCGTGACAAACGACGGTTTATTAAATTCAAATAAATGTTTTGAGCAACTGGATTTCCTGCGAAAAATAACAAGCAATTAGTAATTTGAAACCTTGAAACAAATAACGTGTTTTCACCATATTTATGTGTCTCCACCGTTAATTGTTTATTTTAAGAAGATTTTGAAGAAGGTTTTGATAAAGTCACACTGAATTTGAGTACATGAAGGCGAATCAGTAATTAAAATAAACGTGTTTCCACCATATACATGTGTGTGTCCACTGTTCGTTGCTTTTTTAATTTTTGGAGATAAGAAACTATTATTTTAATATTATGGTTGAACCTGGTAAACTTTACTGAAGTTCCTGAGAATTTCACACTATTCCCGAGTCACGAACAAGGTCTCATAGTAATTGATGAGTCTGTAATTAAACACAATAACAAGGAAATATTGATGTAACAGTTGCTTGCAATAATGAACGTGTTTCCACCATATTAATGTGTCTCCACCGTTCATTATTCTTTTAATTCTAGAGGAAAGAAACTATTTTTAAGATCAAAATAAAATTTACCTTAAGCGAAGTTTTGAAAGTTTTTTAATAGTCTTGACAAAGTCACATTGCTTTAAGTACCCTTGTTTGGCCAAATAGGTGAACCTGTAATAAAATTGATACATTTTAGTTATCGACTGCTCATTGGTAGCGAAAGAGTGGATGTGAAGATATAATTTGAATTTGCTTTGTATAAACGCACACTGATAGATCAGATAAATTGACCGGTGGAGACACGGATCTGGTGGAGGAAGGGGCAATAGGTCACAATATTGAGTAACAATTGGCACAAATATTATATCTGCAATTCACAAAAATAAATTTAGTGGAACTTAATTTCCAACAATGAGCGTGTTTTCACCATACATGATTGTACATATATGTGTATTCACCGTTCATTATATGAGAAACTATTTTTGAATCTTGTAAAACTTTAAGTTTCCGACAATTTCACACTGTTACCAGGTCACGAACAACAACTAATGGTAATTGATGAGTCTATACTTCAATAAAATATAGTGCATTACGAAATACAAGTTCCTTGGTCCTTATTGTTGCAGAATCCAGTTAAAGTTGTTATTTACAAGGTTGGCCGGCGATGACACAGATTTCTGGTGGGGGCACGGCAGAGAGGTCGCAAAATTAATGGATGAAAAATTGTCCTTAGCAGTTACCTGTACCAATAAATCGCAATAAATCATCCAAATCACTCGTAAAAATGAACGTGTCACCACCATATTTGTGTCCCCACCGTTCATTGTTGAAGGAAAATAGTAATTCTTTTACTACTTACCGAGAGTTGAAGCTTAGAGCTTAACTTGTGGTGAGTTGAAGCGATTTATGTAATTGAGTGGATGTCAGAAAATTAATTTGTAGGATATTAAATAATCTTTTAATTACTCAGCTTTTCCGAGTTTGGCAGCAAGAATGATGGTAAAGGAGACACCTGATTTTGGTGCCAAGAAAGGAGTGAGATTTCCAAGTAATGGGGAAATTGAGATTGGGAAAAATTGAGTTGTGCCACGGCCCTGTTTTTATGGGCGGATGCCCATAAAAACCGTCAGCCAATCACAGCATTTGGAACCCCATTTCCCTATACTGAAACAATAACCATATCTTCATCCTTCTTTAAGTGATCTGTATTCGCTGGAGGAAATCAGATATGGAAGGGGGCTATGCCTGCTTTAATAGACAGGGTTAAAAATTTAAAAAAAGTTTATTTTTTCTAAATAATAATTTTTTATTTGAAGGGTAAAGGATGCAGCTGTAATTAGAATTACAGAAGCTACTGCTTGGGTTAAAAAATATTTGATTGCTGTCTCTGTAGATTTAAAATTAAGGTCTCTTAAAATTAAAGGAATAAATCTCATTAGGTTAATCTCTAGGCCGATCCAGCAAAGAATTCATTAATTAGACGATACCGCCATTAAAGTACCTAAAAATGTAGTAGTTATAAATGTTAATTGATAATTTTTAAAGAACATTAAAAAGGAAGAGATTTGACTCTTATAGAAGGGGTATGAACCCTTTAGCTTATTTAGCTTACCTTTATACTAAGTGTGCGGGGGCTGGGCTAGCCCGATAAAATTTATAAATTAGTTTAAATGAACATTAAATTTTGAATTTAACAGAAATAGTGTAATTCTATTATTTATAAATAAAGGTACAAATACATGATCTATTCTATCAAAATAGCCCTTTTTTCAGGCACATTATTAATTTTTTCTTACTACATTATAAGATGTTTTAGAGTTTTATTCATATTAATAATATTACGCGTAGCATATTTATTTATATATATATATATATATATATATATATATATATATATATATTATAATTATATACATATGTATGGTTAATCATATATTATATATATATATATACATAAATATAAGCTTATATTAATATATTAGTATATATATATATATGTCTTTATTGCATAAATAAGAGAGTTCCTCTTTGACTTCCAACCGTGCACAACGTGTCTCCCTCTCGCTCTGCATCTGGATTCTCTTCCATCTGGGTCGCGGGTGTGCCAGGGCTAGTAAAGTGTGTCCCAAGGCCTCTACACCATGTGAGCCTCGTCCACTCACACCCCCCCTCTGCGTGCCTGGTGACACCTCCTGCCACACCCGTCCCAGCAACGACAAGCTGAGCCATCAGGCGAAGATGGATCTCACCGGACTCTGTGCACGGGAGGATCTACGCCTTAGAGGAGCTCCCCCAGGTAAGACCTTTGTTTGATAAATTAGGGTGGTGAACATGTGGGGGTGGTCGGCGGAAGAGTGAGTGTGCGCAGTGCTGGTGGGGGCGGCTGGGCTAGGTCTACGGGGTTCCCATGACTTTGTCATGTGCTGCGATGGGAGGGGTTAGTTTGTGGGGTGTATCATGGCCCCTTTATGGGGTCACTTAGGCCGAACCCTGAAATGGGTCCTTGGTTAGTTTGTGGTCCATGGATGCTCCACTCCAGCCTAATACCCGTCGTGCCCCTGCCAGCACGGCGCCTACTCATTTGGATGTCACCATTTTCCGATATGCAAATCGCCTATAATCTCTGTCATTCACTGGTCGAACCTGGGTTTACAGGTAGTCAGGGCCGAATGGTGAACTGGGCAACCTTCCCAGTTCAGGTAGAGGTTTTCCAAACTGACCACCATAGTTTGGTTTTTCCTCTACTCCCCTGACTACTACTACTATCACAATTATGTTAATTAAAAATTTGACTATACAATTTATCTAAAATTTATCTGTAACTAACTCATGATTGTGACTTGCAAGAGCTAATGGTTATTTATGCAATAAAGACATATATATATATTAGTATATACATATGTATAAATATATACATTTATTTATAAATAAAAATATTTATATATATATATACATATTTTATATGTATATAAAAAAATAACGTAACTATTAATATACTTAAAATCAATAATAAAAATTAACGAATAAATAATCAAAGATTAATCTAAAATAACTAATCAATTAAGGCTATAATAGTATATTTAAATTTATTATATATCGTCGTACTAATTCAGAAAAGACCTAAGTGCAGTGGATGCTTTATTCAGAAAAGACCTAAGTGCAGTCGGTGTTTAATTCAGAAACGACCGAAGTGCAGTCGATGCTCAATTCAGAAAAGACCTAAGTACACAGAAAAAAAGCAACAAAAGACCTATGTGCAAGTATGTATTTACTTATGGCTAAATCGCGCGATATATATGAAAAATCATTTTGGCAAGTCAATCCTGACTGCTGATAGGTAAACGTAACCTAATTAGATAATTGCTTACATGTTAATATATAAATACATAATTAATGATGATTCGGGTGGCGTCTGGCTACTCACTAGCCAGTCAAGGTCTGTCTCAGTCCTTACAGTACGAAAGGATTAAATATTAAATTATTTATTTACTAAGTTGGCAGATTAGTGCAATTGATTTAGAATCTTTATATAAAATTTAATTTTACTTGGTAGTGTTTTTAAATTTATTTATAATAGTTTTTTCTTATTTATTTTTAGTGGTTGGGGTTTTAATTAGAGTCGCATTTATAGTGTTACTTGAGCGTAAAATTTTAGGTTATATTCAGATTCGTAAGGGTCCGAATAAGGTTGGTTTTACTGGTATTTTACAATCTTTTGGGGACGGAATTAAATTATTTATTAAAGAACAAACCATCCCCCTTCTTTCTAATTTAGTTCCTTTTTACTTCGCCCCAGTTTTTTCTTTATTTATAGTTATTTTGCTTTGAAGAGTCGTTCCACTTAGTTCTTCTTTTATTAATTTTTATTTAGGGGGCTTATTTTTTTTTGTTGCACTAGATTTGGTGTGTATACTTTAATAGCCAGAGGGTGGTCGTCTAATAGAAATTATGCTTTACTTGGTGCAACCCGCGGGGTAGCGCAAACAATTTCATATGAAGTTAGAATGGCTTTAATTTTTTTGTCTTTTATTTTTGTTATTGGCTCTTTTAATTTAAATGAATTCCATTTGTATCAAAGTTTAGTTTGATTTATTTTAGTGTCTTTTCCTATTTTTTTATGTTGGTTAGGTTCTATTCTTGCGGAAACTAATCGTACTCCGTTTGATTTCGCTGAGGGAGAGTCTGAGTTAGTTTCCGGTTTCAATATCGAGTACGGGAGTGGGGGGTTTGCTCTTTTATTTTTAGCTGAATATGGTAGAATTATTTTTACAAGAAAGCCTCCCAACATAACCGCTGCCAGGCCGCCAAGCTCCGATAACCACCATGAGGCATCAACGACGCGATAACCCCATCTTCTCAAAATTATTAGCCCGAACCAGGGCTTATCGAATTGTGTCATGTCTGTCTGTCTGTCTTTCGATAACTCTCGAACGAGTTGACCGATTGACTTGAAATTTTGACCATATGCATATTGGACAAAGTTAGGAAACGAGTTCGAAGATGGGTGACATTGGTCCAGTGGTTGACCAGTGGGGGTCAGCCGAGTGGGTGGAGTATTATGCACCAAAATTTCAAAATTGTCGTAGAAAGCTGAAATTTGGCATATAGGTTGCTAGTGGCTCCTAATGAAAGAATATGAAGTGAAATTGGATAAATAGTCAACCGGAGGTACCCGAGGGGGGTGACCCATACCGATTTTTCCAGATCATCCAATCGAGCTGAAATTTGGCATAGAGGATGCTAATGGCCCGTAATGGAAGAATATGAAGTGAAATCGGTAAAATTTCATATTCGCGGACCCGTTGGGGTGACCCATACCGATTTTCATAAATTGTCGCAAAAAGCTGAAATTCGGAACGGTGATGCTTAATGGCTTTTCATGAAATTATATGAAGTCAAAGATGAGCAAAAGGTAACCAGAGGGGCACTAAGGGGTACTCATACCGATTTCTAAGAATTTATATATTCAGGTAAAATTTAGTGTGGAGTCGAAAAAAACATACGATTAGAATTGAGGAGGGTGAATTTCGAAATTTTTATACGAACAGCCTCCACTGTTCGTGGTATTTGATGCCAAGTAATAATACCAACTGACGTTAGTTAATACAAGAACTAGTAAAAAATAGTATAACATTCTGACAAACATGGGTTTACTAATCAACCCTGGTTCGGGCTGAGCAAGGCTGTACTGATAGGTTTTTTATGTTGCTAAGGAAATTTTTTTATGTTGCTAAAGAAATTTTTTTATGTTGCTAAGGAAATTTTGTTATGTTGCCAAGGAAATTTTTTTATGTTGCTAAGGATTTTTTTAGGTTGCTAAGAATTTTTTTATGTTCCACAGAAACGTTACTGAGAAGTATAATCATAATGATACCGAAAATGATACTGAAAATCATGAGCATACTGAAAATTATACTGAAAATCATAGTCATACTGAAAATCATAATCATACTGAAAATGATACCGAGAATCACAATCATACTGAAAATGATACTGAAAATCATAATCATACTGAAAATGATACCGAAAATCATAATCATACTGAAAATGATACCGAAAATAATAATCATACTGAAAATGATACTGAAAATCATAATCATACTGAAAATGATACTGGAAATCAGATTCGTAGCTCATATCCCTTCTCTGATTGGTGGAGGTAGAAAACCGGCAGCCAATCAGAATGCAGGAATGTCACGGAAAATTTCACGGGACGGACTTTTCGAAATTATAATATAGATATTGTTATGTCTTATGTTTCAATTAACCCAGAATGTCCGTTAGTAGAAACTTGGAATTTGCCTGCCCGTTTCTCGATGTTTATCTAAAGGAAGTTCCATACACTCGTAATATATTATTTAATTACCATTTTGATGGGTCGCTTTCAATTCATTACATGGAAGGCATCCGAATTCAATTTTAATAGTTACAAAAAATATGTCTGGCAAGTTGGAAGTTTTTTATACCTCGTCATGCTTAGGGCCGCTGAACTCGTCGTCTCTCCTTTACGATCCCGACGTCCTCGTGGGTCTTCCAGAGTGTAGATCAAATGCCAATGGAAATGATGCGAGTTAACCCCAAGGTCCTCCCTGAAGTAATCCAACCGATTCTCCACATTTGTGTCTCGTCCAGTAAAATTTGAATCAACTTCTATAATTGTCTATTCATTTTTAATAAATCAAGTTAAACTTTTCCAAACATGAAAAGAAACCTGTTGCCCTGTCCTATTTAATATATACATATACGCAGTTTTGTTGAATATATAAGAGTGAGACTCTGTGACGGATAGTCATATAGTCTCATTGTCACGTTACGTTGTCAGTTGATAAAAACCTACAGTGTGCAGTGTTTATATAGCCCGAGTCAGGGACAGAGTCCCTGACTCGGGCAGAGTCCCGGACAGAGTCCGCTTCTAAATTTTTGTCAAATGACCAGTACCAACTACAATTCGCAATTGCGAACTGCAGTTTGATATTTTTGATGTTTAAACGTCAAAAATGTTCCCATGATCCAGCATGCAAAATTTCAGCTTACTTGGCCAATTTCAAAAATCAGTATGGGTCACCCTACTGGGTCCTCCTTGCAAAAAGAATCTTAAAATCTATTAAGCTGCTCTAACAGGATTATGCCAACTCTTAGTCTTCTACGATTGTTTTCCAAACCAGTGGGGGTGACCCTACTGGGTCCTTTTGTTCGTTATGACATTGGACTTTCACGTTAGTACTCAAATATATCCCGAATACCAGCTACTAACTTTTAAAATAGAAACTTTTAGAAAGCGGTGTGGGTCACCCTTTGGGGTTACTTTTGTTTCACTTTGCTCGGTTTTAACTTTATATGCTTTCATAAGAAGCTATTAAGTATCATCGTACCGAATTTCATCTTTTGAAGACAATTTCTAAAATCGGTATGGACCACTCGATAGGGTCCCTCCACTTAAAATTTTACCAATTTCACTTCATATTCTTCCATTGGGGGCTATTAGCACCTTTTCTACCAAATTTCAGCTGGATTAAATGGTTTTCAAAAATCGGTATGGGTCACCCCCTCGGGTCCCTCCAGACGCAAATTTTTCTAATTTCAGTTCATATTCTTCAATTAGACACCATTAGCAACCTCAGTGCCAAATTTCTGCTTTCTGAGACGATTTTGAAATTTTGGTGCATAATACTCCACCCACCTATATGACCCCCACCGGTCAACCGCTTGACCGCTTTGGCTCATCTTCGAACTTAACTCCTCATTTACCCCATACAACATGTGTACCAAATTTCAAGTCGGTAGGATGACTTTAACGAGAGTTATCGTAAGACGGACAGACGGACGGACGGACATGATGGTTCCATAAGCCCTGACTCGGGCTAAAAATTAGCGATAAAACTGAACGAAATGCAATAAATTTTAGAACGGGAAGTTAACTTTACAACTTTTTAGTCAGTTAATCCCATTTTAATCCCACTTTTCGACTAAAATTGATGGTGTTAGTTGGACTAGAGATTAGGGACGAAGAATTAAAATTATAAAATGTGGGATTAAAGATTGAGATTAAAGATTATTAATCCCCAATCCTAATCTCAATACCCAATCCTTAATCCGAGATTGCCCAGTCCCGGCGACAGTAAATAGAATTATTGAAAAAGTGTTATACCCGGTCTTGTGGTGGGATTGACCTGAAGAATGGACATTTTAATTTACATACAGATATTGCAGATATTGTACACGATGATTTATAACAAACCCTTGTCGGACAGACTCTTTTAAGCAAAACGGGCTGAAGAACAAGTCTGGCATCACCTCCCAGATTGCAGGCATTCGAAACCCTTTTGTATCGGGACGAGTAAGAAGACAGCTCGCAAAAGCTGTTATCCACACTTTTGGATTTATCATTTCACTGTCTCTGCAAACGCATGCCATGCTCATGAGACTCGTGTAAGGACTGAGACAGACCTTGACTGGCTAGCGAGTAGCCAGACGCCACCACAATCATCATTGATTATGTATTTATGTATTAACATATAAGCAATTATCCAATTAGATTATATTTACTTAATCAGCAGTCAGGATTGACTCGCTGCTGGGTATAAAAGCCCAATCAACTCTGTATCTCTTAACCATTCTCTCACTGGCTTCGATAGCTAGCTGAGCTCTGATAGAGATTAGCAGCAATAAACCAGATGTATGTTAAACCGATGCGTTCAACACAGGCATTTTCTTCCTCACGCTAACCAAGCCCTGCGATAGGCCTCTGCAGAGGAGTGCAGAGCACACTAACTGTGTACAGGCCTCACTCTCCACGACCGCATTCGAGTCCGTATCCTCTCAACCAGGCCTGATCCTCTCTCTCTCACTCCCTGTTCTACACACATGCACCAAACTGCACCCGTGAATTCGCCGCTCTCCTACTTTCCTCCGTGGTATCAAACCACCAGCATTGGCCTGACAACCCAATAGCATAGCAGTAAAGCGACCTCACACTCGGTAGGTCCCTTTGAGCTGCAACAACAATTAATCTGTTATGCCATAATTTACATACTTTAAACATGCGTGCAATACCCAAAAATATTTGCCGTAGTTCAGAGCTGGGATAATCCTGATTAAGGATTATGGATTTTAATCCCGGATTATGGATTATTAATCCATAATCCCTAATCCAGCAATGAGAGTTTTTTGTAAATTAATCTCAATCCATAATCCCGATTTTTCTGGAATTAAAATTAATCCGGAATAATCCCATTAGATGTCATTAATCCGTAATCGTGATTACGGATTACTAATCCTGATTAATCCCAATCATGATTACTAATCATGATTACTTATTCATGATTAATTCTCAATCTGGATTACTCAGTTCAATTTCCACAGTTCCATTTTATCCCACTGTGTAACTTGAAGTCTCAAGTTCTCACACCTTTGTCCTGTCAGCTACTATTTGAAGAGTCAACATGTCCTCGCTGCCTTGTGCTACATATATCAATTGAAACTGGCGTTTTAAATATTTTATGTGGAACCACATAGTTGAAATTTGTTGCGCTTGATATATCTGTAGGTAGTGTAAAATCATTAATCACCAAATTAATCCGGATTATTAATCCATATAATCCTGAAATTTCCAGAATTTGTGGATTAATCCGGATTAATCCTGACATGAATTAATCTGACGAAAATAATTTAATCACAATCCACATTATTTTGTAGTTAATCCATAATCCTTAATCCACCCTCAAAAACCAATAATCACCCAGCTCTGCCGTAGTTCTATCACTGCATGTCGATGGTTTGGATTGAAATATGAGTACAGTGACGTTTTTGGACATATTTGACCAATGTTGGTAAGATTTGGGGGGGTTTGCAGGGCTAGGGACTTGAATTTCCGTCATTTGAACATTAGAAAATCCTTGTTTTCGTATGGTAGACGCATGTTGGATTTCAGAACACTTTAAAACAAATTACACAAAGAGCCAATGAATACATACATATGTACACATATGTAGGTGAGAAATGATGGATCATAAAATATTTTCTTGTCGCATTTGAAGTGTTGAAATAAGTCAAATTGGTTCCGGATCCTCGAGGTCCAAATGAGAGATTTTCACCAATTCTCTCAAAAAGGTAAAGAAACTGGCGTTGATAATTCGTGTCCATGTTTTGTAGATGCTAGCTCCTCAATATTTAAACAAAGAGTACTAAAAATTGGACTAAAGCTTTAATTATTTGTGGGGACAATTAATTGTATGCAATATGGCAGAAGATGCAAACCACAAAGTGTCGGAACGAAATTAATAATTAGTCCACCACAAGTTTATAATTAATTAATCTATTTTGGCGAAATTGAACGGATTTCCGCTTTATTACCCACATTAAAGGAATGCAATTAATATTATATGCTTACTTCACCACAAATCATATATATTTAATGATATCACTGCCTACAACTTATAATTTCGTGTGGTGAGAAATATGTAAATGAAAATAAACAATTTTTAAGTTAATGCATGTAATTTATTTAAGGTTTGAAAGACTCAAATTATAAGAAATGGTTAATGATTTTTAAGCAAATCATTGCATGTGTACATACAATTATTTATGTATGGAACTTTATCCATCAAAAATGATCATCCTCTCCAGCCCCAGCCCCAGTTCGGAGATGAGGGACGCTCAGGACTGGGAATATGTGTCCATCCAATAGGAGAAGGGCTAGGGCTGTGTCCCCTCTGTTCACCTCGATGCTGATGTTGGTATTGACGAGACCATCCAGGACGTGGATTTTGAGTAGTTGGCGGTGGAACCCTGTTTGGGACAGGGGATGAACCCGATTGAATCGGCTCTCTTGGGGGTGAAGGTCGTGCAGGGGTCATTTCCATTGTTGACGGACGTGTTCCGCCACCAGTCGGCGTTGATCCAGGAGCTGGACGGGGTGGATTTCCTTGTGGTGAACAAGCTGTTCGACCTGCGCTGTTCATGTATGGATCGCCATTAACTTCTCGCATTCCAGTAGGAACGCCATCATTTCTCATCTCCACTCGCTCTTGGTTGTAAACCACCCGCACCTATGTACACACAAACATATGCAAATGTGTGAACGATAAAAGATTAAAAATTGATACTAAATTTTATCCTCAGATAAGACTAACTTGAAGAGCTCTCATATTTGGAACTCGTGAGACATAAGTTTCCAAATTTGGCACAGGAATTTGAGGTCCGTTGGGGTTGTTCGAATTCACCGTTGTATAGGGATTCCTATCAAAAGGATACCCCATTGGTTTCCTATCAGGATACCGCTGATCCAATACTCCACAATAACTAACGGCATCCCTGAATGAAATTTTACAGATTGTTGAGTTTTATATTTCTTCAAAATACCACCAAGAATAATTATTCTTATGCCTGCAATTATTGGATCTGGCAGGTTGAGAAGTCGCTGGTTGTTCGACGCGATCCTCGTTGCCATCCGTAATGAAGACCACAACGTCGTACAACTACATTAACGTTACAATATTTCTTTCATTTTTTAACTCGTTGCTTTTGTTTGTCGGACAAATAAAACTATTCCAGAATTTGTTTCAACGCATGAAATTTTTCACGGGCTAGGACTATAATAAATCTCACCTGTCCAGTTGCTGTCCCTCTTGGGATCACCATGTGTTCAGGCCATCCACAACCACAGAAGGTTTGCTCATTTGCAGCCGGAGTCTGCACGGACCTTTCCAAATCTCGGAAAGTTTGCTCCCAAGGGATTGTTACACTGGACTCGGAAGATCTCCGAGTAATTCCATTGACTCCGGGACTCACTGTATTAACATTCACAGTTTAACAGAAAGAGCAAAATCAATCAAGTTTGAATTATGAATAATTGCATATTTTGAAATACATTGCGTAGTAAACTTATCAAGTTGGAAGAAAAGTCTGCGTTGTTGAACCTGCATAAAAAACAGTGGGCATGCATAAATGTACGCAATCAGATTGTTTGCACCACAATCACTTGGCATGGCATGTTTACCATTGGAAATTGTTCGTTATGCTCGTTGAGACGTGGTGCCATGAAAATTCGAACGGTTCCAGTCCTTGGTGCATTCGTGTTGTTCCTCACCTACCGTTGTAAATTATATGTAACATTTCCCACATTGCCGTACTTCAATTCGGAGTAAAATATTAATACGCTGATTGTGAAAGTGTAGGGGTCATGGTTGAGATGGACGACTCGAACAAAAACAGGGCCCAAATTGTTCTGAATTCTGAGAAAATCCATTCCTCGACTCAAATCTACGTTGCTTCTCATTCGGAAAGTGCTAAAGACATTTGGCTGCACGCCCTTGGTCTGCAATTGAGCACTTTCGACCTGAATCCCTTCCCACGCGAGAGGAAACTCGCCCTAATAAAGTTAATTATTTTGATTACTAATATTGCAGGTACTGAATTTCTGTATTTACAAAAATTAATCATACTCCAGTAGGATTATACGGATTCAGATTTTGCTTGAAACGGTCAAATATGTCATCAATATATTTATGCCAACGATAAAATACTACGTCACGCATTGCTGTTGAAGTATCGGACATGACCCCAAGATTTTCCTGTGCAAACGCAGCTTATATTCCATCACCAGCCAATTAGAGTTCAACTGAATTTTATGTAACATCCCCACACCTACCGAGTGTTTGAATTCCGGGTCATGAGTCGCCGAGATTATGACGTGTCCCATGTTGTGAAGATCCTGGGAAGTTAGAGAGATTATTACGTGCATACATATAATTCCATGATTTCATGTACATATAATGATAAACTTACACCATAATACTGTGGATTTGGATTGAGTGAAGAAGATTCAATAATGTCTCCGAGCATGTCAATTGTCAAAGGTACTCGTCCAGTTGGCTGCAATCACGAATAATTGTAATTGTACTGCCAACTGCATAGAAATTCAAAAGTATAAATTCGAACCGTGATAACCATCCCTGAATCTATTGCCTCTAATATTCGACCTCTAAATCTTCTCATCATTTCTAAAGTAATAACTCGAAATCCTTGGGGAAGATTAGAATCATCCAGACGATTCACGTCCTGTTTCAATTACAACAATTCATATATGTGACAATATACAAATTAGATACTTTGAAATGCATAAAATGTACACTCAGTTTCGAATTCTGTTGACGGTTTCCCCACAATTGTCCCGAGTTGCTGTCGGTTAGCTTGGGGAAGTAACCTTCCTTGATGACGCCCTCATCCAATTTCAACGGCTTTGTAAGAGTAAGGTTGTTTGCAAGCCTCTCAGCTTCATAGCTGCAGTGATGGGCGAATTTAGTACATACGTGTCTGACTTAATTTAAGGTAATAAGAAGCACTTGATGAAATCTTACCGAGCAAGCCTTTAAAAAGATGTAATTATGAACAAGTTACGAAGTGTAAGAGATAGCAAAATTTGCCTAAAAATAAAAATAGTGAAAAATTGCAAACATTTCACGGTGCATCATGAAAAACAACTCCCCCTGTAAGTAATGAAATGCATAATTTTTTTATTTGTTTGTGTGTCGTTGAAATTGTGGGACTAATTTAATTCATGACAAACCACCTTTCGATCTCTTTGTCCCCGTGGAGCATCCAGAGTGTAAATCAAGTGCCAGTGCCAGTGATGTGCTACTCAAGTAATCAGTAATTAATAAAATGGCTTAAAATAAGTAGTACTATATGCGACATTGTTTTGTGCAACCATTAATTCCCAAGTCTTCCCTGAAGTAAGCCAACCGATTCTCCACATTATTATTCCTTCCTGTAAAGCTCCCTTCAATCACCACTACAGCCTAAAGTTCACGTATGAGCAGTAAGAGTTGAGATTCACTGACTATAAAATTTTTGAGAAAGTGTTGTACCCTGTCTTGCTGTGGTACTGACCTGATGTTTATTTATATAAATGTACACATGTTAATGACATCTATACACATCTACTATATTATGGAATATGAGCAGTTGGTACCCTTGTCGTATCGATTCTTTGAGACAGAAGGACGAAAAGAACATGTCTGGCATCACTTCCCAGATTGCAGGCATTCGAAATCCTCTGGTGTCCGGACGTGTAAGAAGACAGCTCGCAAAAGCTGTTATCCACACCTTTGGGTTTATCATTTCGCTGTCTCTGCAAACGCATGCCATGCTCAAAAGTCCACGAAGATCAGGTTGTTCTAATTACACAAAATTGTACCACGCGAATTATTAAATTATTTGATTGTAAATTCGACTATTTATTGGTTTAATGTTTAATACGAAGCATAATCTGTCTCAGCTCTTGCGTTGCTCGTCTATGATTTGGATTAAAGTAGTTGTAAATTGCAGATTTTGGACACGCCGTCCCGATTCCGGACAGGTTTGGAAGTGTTGTTGGTCTATCAACACGAATTTCACGCATTTGCAAATTTGCAAAACTTTGTTTCCTGATAGTGGATGCATGTTGCGTTTCAGGGCACTGGAGAGAATTATTTCCTTACAAACACAAGTGAACAGCAATAGATATCTAGCTTATTACCAATTCGGGGGGTAAATTGTAAGAAATGAGATTTCCAACAGCTCCTCGGGGTCCAAAGTATAGCGGATCGCCAACTCTTTCGAATAAGTACATGAATTGTTGCTGAATTTCGGGTGTGACGGCCATTTTAATTTGTAATGCGTTTGGATGCAGTTAGACAAAATATGTGTGAATTGGGTGTGAAATAACAAAGTGTGTATTATTACACAAGCAGTTTTTATTCGTCGTCTCATAAATTTTGGATACCTCAATTTGCATGACATTCTGACAGGAAACCGTTATCATAATTAATTTGAGGTTGGTGAAATTAGGCCGCTGTGGTCCGTTGAATATTCCGATGTGTCCGGTGGTCAAGTGGATATTTTATCTCGTGTAAATTCGCATACATCATTTGTTTTCTTTGAAAATTTAAAATGACTAATTCCTGACTCAATATCTTAATCATAAAGCCATTCATGCACATCCTCTGTTATTATTATTAATAGCACTTTATTATTCTTTCTTTGATTTGAGATTATTCCTCATCAATGTCAGAAATCTGTCCACTGCTAAATAATACTTATGTATAGTACATGTATGAAAATGCATATATCGGATGTCCCTTAAACTTTTCTGCTTAGACTATCGTCTCGGACAAAGCGAACTTTGACCTCGGTGGTGTCATGAATATTCTCTGTTTGTCTGGAGTTTGTTATACTTGCGAGGCTGATCGTCATACGAGGAACCCCTCCGAGATCATCATCTTCTAAAACTTGCCATGCAGTCGGATTACCTGATAAAGATGTTGAACGAGATTTTTCGAAACTGCCATCCACTCGAGCAAATCTTTTGTACTCTGGTTTCACTTTAATTCCTTTGCTGGGCCAATGAGCTCTAAAGATCTGATCAAGTTGGTTACAAATTAATAGAAGGAAACTACTCCCAACGACGGGATAACAATTAGAGTATGTAATTGATGTAGTAAGTACCTGCAACTGCACATTTCCCACTGGAGACAGAAGGAGTTCGGTTAAAATTGACGATATGTGGAAGTACCACGTGGTGAGGAGAAAGTGGATTATTGCAGAAACGCCAATAATGATTAGCCACTTTTTCTTTAGTTTGGCAGTCGTACTCTGAATTTCGGCAAGGCAGCCAGTTTCCCAAATGAGAGGTTGGAGTTTATCATATATTCCGTAACCTAACTTATTTAAGGAATTGTTGGTCATGAAGAAGGGTTTGGAAATTGAGACTTTGTTTCGTTTGCTGCAGGAGAGGGGCATGCAGTTGCAGTTGGACAGATACCAATCTTTGGTTGAAAACATTCCGCAACAACTAAACTGTAATTCACAAAATTGGAACGTAATTCTATTACAAAAACCCTCACATTGTTGCACTGTACAATTTGAGGTATCGTACTGTGTGCTGGAACTCAGTCGTCAAAGTTGTGTCCTTGGACATGGGAAACAAACTGTCACGATGATTATAATAATGCCTGTCCATTTCCATTACCCTTCGGTACATTTGCTCGTTGGTGACATACGTTGATGCAGCTTCACCCACGCCAATTGTCATCAAAGAAAAGGAGCAAATTAGCAAGCAAGACAACTAGGTCACAAGAAATTTTATGCATGAGCACTTTCCATTGCACGTGCATATTCAGTTATCTCATTAAATGAAATTGATTTACGGAACACAATATTCTTCCAGGATAACCAAGCATGTGTGTCAAAATGGCAACCAGTCCTACAATGATTGAGCACATACACGATCCCTTAATAAGATAACTGCAGTTATCATTCACGTCGTCAATGATATAAAGAAAGTACTCGGCTTTGGACTCTTTGAGTGCAAATGTGACAATCAATTCAATTGTTCCGTAAATCTGAAAGTCATCCCACAGAAACGTATTTTAGTGCATTGTATTGGCCCCAGTTATAAATAGTTGTGGTTGCAGTTCAAATTACCACGAGTACAATGTTGCAGATGAGAAACTGAAGGATCAAGAGTCGCACTTTCTCCAATGGAAATCGAATCTGAGGTAGTCTCCAGTCATTCTCCTTATTCATGACTAATCCCCAATTCCTTGAGCTGGAACATTTCAATACCGTCGCTCCAAAAAACTACGAGTATGAAGAATAAAGCGAAGAAAGTGATGAAACCATCAAAATATAAAATTCACCGTCTAAATACTTTTCCAAATGAGTGGTTAGACGTAAACTACTGTAAACTAGCAACTGCTCAATTGGCATTTTTCGTTTATTTGACATTATTTTTAGCAAAAGTTGCTGGACAACTCCAGTTAACCCGTTAGGGACCAACTACACATATTTGTGTAGTTTTTTGCTTTCCCTTGGGGACCAAGTACACAAATATGTGTACTTTTTTGCTTTCCGTTAAGGGCCTGGGGGAAGTTGCTTAGAAATCACGTCAACTTTGACGATAAAATTCAGCAATGCACAAGAGGGCAGATTTTTTAAATCATGTTTAATGCGTTAATCATATCTTTAGATTTTACTTGAGTTTTTTTTGACGATCTGCCCTCTTGTGCAGTGGAGATATTTGGTCGTAAAGTGAGGACAAATTGGCTTAGAATTGCCAAATTAATGGCAGGAATTGAATTTTGAGTATCCATGGAACAAAAGAAACAACTTTTTTCAAAAACTTGAGGGACTTGAGGGAAACTTTTTCAAAAGCAGTGACAAAACCAAAGCTTTTGAACGTGAGTGTCCCATAGAAACGGTGTCAATTAATTGTGGTCGTAACCTAACAGAGCGATAATAATCTTGGGGCCCTGGCAATTATTGTTGCTAACATATAATCAAGTAAATCTTCCCCCGGGCCCTTGGGGACCAAGTACACACATTTGTGTACTATTTTGTAGTTATGTTGGGGACCAACTACACATATTTGTGTAGTTTTTTTCTTTCCGTAGAGGACCAAGTACACATATTTGTGTACTATTTTCCCGTTACGTTGGGGACCAACTACACACATTTGTGTACTGCGGAAAAATTTTCAAGACCAAATACACACATGCATACAAGTCAAAATTTTATTTTACAAAATTTTAACACGAACCATTTATTTATGCACATTACCAAAAACTATATATCTGCAAAAACTACAACTGTAGTTCGCTGCAATGCATTGTAAGACTAACGGCCGTATTCCGAATCACAAAAAAATCTCCACTTACACTCACACGTTGCTGAGTGTGAGTGTGAGTGTCGATTCTTCACTCAACCCCGTTGGTATTCCCAATGAAATTGAGTCTCCACTCACGAAAGTCGAGAATTTGTGAGTGTGAGTGTCAGCTGAGAGTGGAGTTTTCTTGTGAAGACCACTGTTGTCTTTAGTTACACTTTTTCATTGTGTAAATAATTAATTTAATAATTAAAAACGTCCTCTTCTGACGAATCCACCACCACCGTAAAAGAGTTGGGAACGCCGGTACGTGCCAAACTTCCGGTAATGACCTCTCTCGAGAAGGAAATTCTACTGGGAATAGTCGCGATTCCTAAATTTAAGTGTATAGTTGAAAATAAATCAACTAATTCGATTTGGACGGCCCAAAAGGACAAAGCCTGGTCCAAGATCAGCTTGGAGTTTTGTTCCCACTTGAATGTGACAAAAAGGTCTGGCCCAAAACTGAAGAAATCGTGGGAAAACTTGAAAAGTCGAGCAAAAAACAGGTAACCAAATGATAACCTTTTTATTTGTGTTCTTCTTAACATCAAACTTTTTGTATTCTGTTCAGGTTTCGAAAACTAAAAGAAGTCGGGGTAAAACAGGCGGTGGGAAAAACAAATACGAAATTTCATCCGTTTCGGCAAAAGTAGTGTCAATAGTACCAGCCCAACTTGCCTCTATAAGCAACCCGTACGATGACGACGCTGTTACATCTGAAGAAGAAGCTGGACGAAAGTCCATTCAAGGTTCGTAAATTAATACGTAATGCAAAGGTTGTTTAATTTTAATAAAATTTATTGAACTAGAGTCGAGCAAGACATTGGAGCGTGAAGTTATCAGCTCCATCCTGGCTGGCAATAGGTCAGATATCGGGCAGGTGTCAAACATCTCGGGTCGGATTAGTGAGTGCATACATTGATAAATTCTTCGGGTTTTATGGCATTTTCCCTAATTTAAATTGTGTCAATTTAAGGTCCACAGGAACTCTGCACGGGCGGCTTGAAGAAAGTAGTTGCACCACGTTTACACAAACGACGACTTCTGGCCGGACAAGAACTGATTATTGAAATGGAGGAGCAGGCACACGAGAAAAAATTCAATAAAAAATTGACAATCATTTCCTTAACTGTTATGTGATAGATTTGTGAAATTTATGTGAGCAAAGTCAAAAGAAATAAAGCGATTTTTATAACGGAACCATGTTTGACTAGATCGTATAACTTCTACGAAAAATGGGACAAAACTATTCTAGTTCTAGAGGGGTGACAGTATCCTGTTCATGGTCTTCATCAATTTCTTCCTCAAAAGTGTACCAATTTATCTGTAAACTTGCATTTCAAATACCTACTAGATATATGTACTTATCGATTTGTACAACTGCAAAGTACATGCCAATTGATTCAAATCAATTTCAAGTAATTATTACCTGATTTTCCAATTAATTATAGCGTCCAAAAAATAATTTCCCTTAATTTTTACTTCAACTAGTAATAATATGTTGAGATAAATACAAATTTAGCAAATTTTGACGTCAAAAGTGCAAAGTGACCAACCAAAGGTAGCTCCGTGAGTGACTAGAGAAAGTGAGTGAAAGTTCATAATTTTGTGAGAGTGGAGAAAAACAAATTGTATTCAGAATACCAAACAGAAATCTCACGAAAGTGGCACTCACTTTTTCACCCAAAGAGCCACTCACACTTTTCCGAAATCTCAACTCATGAGAGTGGAGATAATTTTCATTGGGAATACGAAATGTGAGTGGCCACTCCCACTCACACTCAAAAATGTGATTCAGAATACGGCCGTAATTTTAAATTGTTCACGCTCAGAAATAAGCGTATTTTGGAGTTTTCCAGAATAGACATGTTTTCGCCCGTGGCGGAATTTAAAATAAACTTAATTTTTAAAGAAGCAAAAAACGATAATTTTTTGAAAATTAAAAGTTTTTTTTAAATTGATTTTTTATCCCGAGTCAGGGCTTATGTACCCGTCATGTCCGTCTGTCTGTCCGTCTGTCTGTCTGTCTGGTTTGCGATAACTGCCGTAAAACTAATCCTATCGACTTGAAATTTTGCACACATATAGTATGGGTCAAATGAGGAGTTGAGTTCGAAGATGGGTGAAATAGGTCAAGTGGTTGACCGGTGGGGGTCATCGGAGTGGGTGGGGTATTACGCACCAAAATTTCAAAATTGTGTTAGAAAGCTGAAATTTGGCATAGAGGTTGCTAATGGTTTATAATGAAGGAATACAAAGTAAAATTTCAAAAATTTTCGTCTGGAGGGACCCGAGGGGGTGACCCATACCGATTTTTAAAATTGATCAAATCGAGCTGAAGTTTGGTAGAAAAGTTGGTAATAGAAGAATATTAATTAAAAAGGTACAATTTTCCCATAGAGAGACACCCTATTGGGCAACCCATACTTTTTTTTGTAATCTTCGGATTGAAATTTGTTACACAGGATGGTAATTGTTACTAATAGAAGAATATGAATTTAATTTGGAAAAATCAAATTTAATTTTTTAATTTATTGATATGCATTTGCGATAAAATTTCATGCAAAAAGTCGGATTGAGTGATAAGCACAACTTGGCCTGACTCGGGCTATATCAAGTCTGCACTGTAGGTTTTATATTTTCAGGGTAGTAATTCTGAGCAAAAATTGTGTTTAATTTTTGAAATCGGATTAAAATTCGAAAGGTTACAGCGTTTTAAAAATCCTGACTTTGGCGGATTTTTTAAATTCCACCACGGGCGAAAACATGTCCATTTTAGAAAACGAAAAAATACGGGTCCGCTTATTTCTGAGCATGAACTAACTAACTCCGGTCAAGATCAGTGAAAACCACTTGGACCTTGCTAAACTATAAAAATGTATGAATCAATAACTTAATATTATTGTAATGAACTGCAGATAATTTTTACTAATATGCATAAATAAATGCTTAATGTTAAATAAAATCATCAAAAGTTGCCGAAATAAATTCGGTCCTTTATGGTTTGCACACCCACTGTGAAATCGGTGACGTAACTACGCTTACTTTAAAATCATTTTGGTGACGTAGCTACACTATTGGTAAAATTAAATTGGTTATGTAGCAACAACTAACTGATAAAATTCTGGTCCCCAAAGGAAAGCAAATTTCAATTATTTCGGTCACAAAGGGGTTAATTCTTGTAATGGAGGTGTCCAATTACCTTAGAATAATTGTATCCTTGCCCTACATTACTTCAAATCAGTCGTTTTATAAAACAATCATATTTTTAACATGTTACACAAATGTACAATTCGGTATTTAGTATCACAGATAATTTTAAGCACAAGATTCCTAAACTTTTTAGCTCGTTTCCGTGGAGTGAATGTATTAGGATTATGTAATGAGGTTGTCCAAGCATGGGCCATCTTTTAAAAATTATTAAAAATTTTCGAGTTGGGGACAGGCACGCATTTTTTGGCTTTGTCACCCGTTGTTGGGTGAGTGAGAAATTATTTTAAAAATTATTTTTGCTACATTTTCTGGGGACTGCTTTTAATTTTTAACTCGATTGCATATTACATATGTGATATTGATGACCATTTTTGTCCCCGATACTTTTATATATTTGTACACGTATTTATATGCATATTTTTATAAAGAGCACAACCAGGTAGATAATTCGAGTTCCGGAGAAAAAATTTGCATTTGTCTAAAACTTGACAAAATTTTCATTATTAAATTATCACTCCCACGATAACGGTGGACCTGGAGGACGAAGAGGAGGAGGATAATTTAGTTCTGGAAGATTTTGTAATTGATGAGGTAGCAGCTGCTGGTGCAGATTCAGAAACCACTCCTGCTGATACCGAAGATGAGTTGTTAACGGTATAAGTTTTTAAAATCATGAGGATGTCAATTTTTGTCAAGTTTTTTTAAAGATAAATAAACATTTCTTTATCTGGAACTCGAATTATCCTCCTGGTTGTGGTCGCTATCTTCATAAAAATATGTATACAAATAAGTGTAGAAATATACAAAATTATCGGGGGCAGAAGTGGTCATCAATATCACATAATATGCATTCGAGTTAGAAATGAAAAAGTCCACCGAAAAATAATTTCTCACTCACCCAACAACGGGTGACAACGCCAAAAAATGCGTGCCTGTCCCCAACTCGAAAATTTTTAATAATTTTTAAAAGATGGCCCATCCTTGGACAACCTCATTACAAAATCCTAATACATTCACTCCACGGAAACAAGCTAAAAAGTTTAGGAATCTTGTTTTAAGCACTATAAGTTATGACAATTTTCAAAATATAATGAGCGTACTCACGTCAACCTTCGCATATCTCGCATATCTCGCAAATTGAGCATAGCAACATAGCTTGCGAAGTTTTGCGAGATATGCGAGATTTCGCAAAAAATTTGCTGGAAAACCATAGGATTTTTTTTCGCAAATTTACCCAGCAATTGAGCATGTCCTTATTTCGCAAAGTAATTCTGCAAGAGAAATTACAGAAATCCATGGAAACAATACCAAAATAGGTGTTTTGCTGTAAATTTGCGAGATAAGAGAGTTTTGCGAAGTCATATTTTGCGAATCCCCTCACGACAGAAATATTTTGATCTTCGAAAGTTTGGTAAATGAGTTGCGATGCGAAATAATAAGTTGTCGTGAGTACGCCCAATAATTAAACTATTTAGTTGAGGAACAACTCTCCTCCTTCGGTCTCCTCGGGAGAAGAGGACGAGTCCTCGTACATAAACTCCAACTCGGAGAGCAAAACCCCCACCGGCGTTGAGAACAACTGAGTCATTTGGAGGACACACAAGTTGATGAGGTTCAGCATACGTTTGCTGCCCCATTCGTCCTCAAGCAATCCCACGTTTGGCCACTCGGAAGCATCAACCCTGTCATCATTTATAGCATGTAGTTCATTTCGTACCAAGTTCCCAATAGCAAAATAACCCTTATTCTGCCACTGGTTTGTATTTAATTTGCTAGTTAATTTGCTTACCACTGGAAATCAGTCAAGTTGATATCTTGCAATTGTGAAAAATCATTAGAATTTTGAATAGTCGGAAGAAAATTTGTCAAATTGTCTAGTTTTAATTTTACACTGATCGCCATTTCCTGTTAATGAATGCAAATGCATGTAAAAAAGATTTTGAATATCGGGCTGGCTGGAGGAAATTATTGTACACACGTTTGATAAAAATTATGTACCTTGAGCTTGTTAAGGGCTTGGTTAGATTGAGGTTCGAATTCACTCATCCATTCTGAAAGTTGTTTCACCTGATCCATCATGTCCACAAAACAGGGATAAGTTTGTAATTCCGTAGGCCAACTTAGATTGATTTCCATGTACATATTGTTAAAATCAGTGAATTTATGATTGACTTCAACTTGCTAAATAAAAAATTATCTCGTTTAGAAGTTATCAATTTTTTTAAAAAATTATCCATGTGTCCAAATAAGCGTATTGTTACCTCCTCAATGAGTTTCGCACATCTTGTGGTATTCTCTAAAATCTGACTCCACGTAAATGTGTGTTCACTTAACAATTGATTGTAGCGAGTGAGCAATCTATTCCTAAGGACTGCTAAAGGATCTTGTGGGTTTGACATTGTGGAATAAATTGAAAGTTGTCTCGTTGGAATTGAGATCGAATTTGTAAACTAACCTCAACGGTCAACTCCAAGACATAGAATAACTTTAGGCCTTGCGTCTTTCATCGGCTAAAAGAACGGAGGCATGATATTTAATGGTAAAATTACCGACTTTCCGACTATTTCAAGAGACTTGCAAACTTTGTCTTGTCTTTAAGCTTAATTGTCTCCAAACCCTTAAGTAGTGAGTGCACATTGAATCGGCGTGGGCCTAATCCCGATTCGGGAAGGTTAATTTTCGTGGTTTCAGTAAAATTAAAATGGTGATTTCCTTCAGGGCTTTTAAAAAGCATGGCCTGATATTATGTCCGTATCCACATGTATAATACGTGCGTGTTAAAGTTTTTGGCAGTTCCGACACAGTTTCCCATCCCCTCCACGAAAGAGAAACCATTGCAAGCCTCATAATTCTGAGACGACTGCTCAGATAGTGCATTCTTTAAGCATGGCAGAGCACATTGCACTCGTTGGAATTTGCCTTATTTGAAGGAATGGAAGAGGAACCCTTTTTAGTAAATCTTTTGTACTCACTTCCAGTTCCTTTTTCCTGCATTTTTTCATTAAGTGGTCTAACCTATTGTCACCAACACCTCGCCGTCCATGTGCACGCGTATGCAGACACATGTAGGAAGGAACGGATGTCCAGGTTTCTGCGTTCCTGTGATTTCCAAGGGATGCAAGTTAAAATTAAAAGCAGGTCAATTTTTAAGTGTCGTCAACAATAGGAAGGAGTACCGTATAAGCCGGGGCCTTGTCCGTCCGGCTTCCGTCCCACAAGCATCCGTCGACCCGTCGACCCGTGTAATTGAGTGCACATGCTGAGATTTTAAAAACAACCCTTTTAATCCCTTTATCCTAAAAATTAAGTTCAAATTGCTTATTTTTATTGGTCCCTCTAATTGTATTCCAATTACTTCCCAATTTAAGTATAATCCCAAAATTGGTTTGGAGAATGGAAACCTTTATGGACTCTAAACTATTTCTAGCAGTGTACTGCCTTCCGATGAATACAAAACTTTGTATAAACTTTTTCATATTTTACAATTATGCTCTTCAAATCGATGTTGAATATAATATTTTCATACAGAAAATTAAATACAATTATTAACTCCAGTGTATCTTCTTTTGAATATGCAGACAAAAACCAAACAACAATATTATTGTTATCAATGACATTTCTTTGTCATTATTGCATCACCTTCATGCTCACAAAATTATGAGGAATCTCACGTTGCCATTTAGGAAGAGAATGTATTTATAACGTCTCAAGTTGAGACTTTCAACATTAAGTCATACTTGTAATATTTGTAGCAAGTATGTATATTATTCATTCCAATGTCCATCAATTTGCATGCTCTGGGATTATAGGTGTCTGTGGGAAGGTGGAAAGAAAGTGTATCACTATAGCAGATACAGATACGTACAAATATGTGGTGCAGAATCTCGTCTTGTGCTGGTGAGGAGAAAGTTGAGACGAGAGGCTGCACGGGGTGAAGCGAGGCATAGAGAGACGAGGAAGCTTCCAACTCGGCGCCACCGGCAGTCGCTTCTTCTCCCCTCTTTGCCTCATCTTCGTCTCCTTTCTTTGTCGTCGTCGTCGGAAATTCGCCAAGACACAAATTGCACCATTCTACCAAGATTTCTTCTTCTCTTCCCCGTTCCCCCTCCTGTTCTGTGAGGAACATACCTTACTAAACTTGAAAATCAAACTCCACGACGCCCAACAAAGTTTGCTTGGCTCAGTCGTTATTTGTTGTTTAAAATTTCAGAAATAGAGTTCTGATCTCGTGAGAGTAATTATTGGGTGGATATTTTGTCCTTACGAATGAGCAATATCGTTAAGTGTTAGTACTAAAGAGGAGATTAGTTCTTTGAACGTGAACGGTATTATGGCCGATAAGTTTGCAGCAAACGACTTAGTCTTCGCTAAATTAAAGGGCTTCCCACCATGGCCAGCCAAGGTATGAGATGTATAAAATTTGTGGTATTTAAATATACCATCAAGTAATCAAGTACTGTATAAGGCATAGAATAATTGTATAAACTTGCATTTTTGCAGATAATGGAACGAGCTGGTGGAACTGGAAAGGATGAAAAGTATCGCATAATGTTTTACGGCACTCATGACGAGTAGGTGGAAGTTGTTTAGCAAGGAATGTCTAAGCTTATAATGAATTATTATTAATATATTTAATATTGCAGGGCGACTGTAAAGTGGGATCAGATCTTCCTCTATACTGCTGACACTAGAGCAAAATATGGCAAACCAATGCGCAAGTCGCATTTTAAAGAGGCCATGATTGAAATTGATGCAGATGCTGCTGCTGCTGCCGCTGCCAAAGGGGGCAATGATAAGGAAGAGGAGGCTGAGGAGCAAGGAGCAGAAATGGCTCCTGAGGGGTCGCTTGATGAAAATGAGGCATGATTGACCCTTCTTATTTTTCTTAAAATTTTTATTTGCTTATGTTTTATATTTTTTATTTGGTGCAAACCAGGTTGAAAATGCTAAAGAGAAAGATAGTGAAGGAGAGTTAACGATTGATGAAGGTCCCCCTTCACTCCCTCCTCCAGTTCTAAAACGTGAAATAGCGAAACCTGATTTACCCGCTGAAGTATGTTTTATTGTATTTTTTGCGTATTTAAATTTCAGAAATTTCTCTTGTTCTATTATCTATAATTAACACAAGTCTGACTACTCACGAATTTATTAAAGATTACTGGAAATAAAGCCAAGCGACCAAGAACGCTCAATAAACGAGATTCCGTCAACGTTTTGCCGTCACCCTCTACCCCTGCAGCAATTGTATCAACACCTGCAACTCCTACGACACCAGATTCTGGTCAACCTGGCACTGAAATTGTTAGCAGAAGTGGTCGCAAGATTAAACCCAAGCGGTTTGCAGATGACGACATTTCGACGACAGGTCCTAAAGGAAAAACTGGAGTGGACGATGGTCAGCCTGTTGTTAAACGAGCAAAACGAGGTTCTACTACTGCTGCTGCTGCTGCGTCTGTTGCTACTACTGCCACCACGTCTGCTAAATCTGGAAATTCGTTGAAAGCAAGTTCATTATGCCATTCACAATTTTTTTTACCTGGTGCGGTCTTTAATTATAAGGTCAACTTGCACTCAATTTTAGGCTGAATCTGAAGATGCGACATTACTTGACAAGAGCGAAGACAGTGAAGTTCCTTCGAAGAGTAAAGTTGGAACGCCTTCAAAGGCTAAACCTACAGCCTCTGAAGATGGGAATTCTAAAGGTCCTTCAAACATAAAAGTTCTCCCAAAACGAGCAGTGTCGACAGGAAACAAACAATCATTGGAGCCCACTGTACCCAAAACACCCACAACTCCGGTGAGGAAATCAGAGCGACAGACTAGATCTAACAGTGTTGATGAAAAAGAAGAAGTTGCAGCTACTCTTCCAGAGTCTTCTTCTAGAGTCCCAGACCTAGATGAAAGTGAAGTTGACAAAGAAAATTCAAATGGCGAACAACCAGACCCAGAGGCAACGGTTGTTAATAATAGCGATGAGAACAAATTTGCCAAACCTAGACCACCCAAAGACCCTCCACATGGTAGAATATTATAATATATATTTTGTATCCACTCTTTGCTGCCATAAAATCATAATTTTATGTTCATGCACTAATTAGTTCCAGAGAGGAAGATTCGCATTTCAACCAAAAACGGTCTTAAAATTGAAGTGAGCTTTGATGCAAAAAATCCTGACAGCAGAAATGACGACGAAAACAAAGCGTGGCAAGCTATTGCAACGCAAAATGTGAGAAAAGTAATTGAAGATCTCAAGGAAGGTGACGCAGAATCTCAAGATATTATAAACAGTGCTGCAGAATGCATCCCATCGCTCACGGTGGTTGAAACAAAATCTCGCGAAAAATTATCATCACAGCTTAAGTGAGATACAATTTATGTATTTTTAATCTTCTGTATTCGTTGGTTTGCTATTTAAGTACTGAGACAAAATTTCACTCTTTTTGTACAGGTTGTTGCGATTGGAAGGCGAAGTGATTGAAATAATTGGTGAGATTGTTGGTTGTTTGGGTGTCCACTCTGCAGATTGTATAAGAGCCATAGATCTTATGGACCGTCTTGAAGAACACAAATTGAATCCACTAATGCTAAAGAAGCACCCGGAAGTAGTTCACACAATTCAAAAGGTATCAAACCAGAATGCATATGAAAAACTGCTTGCCGTCTTAGTTAATATATACTACGTATTTGTTAATAATAATAATTTACAGTTGCGTTCTTACGTGGGCAATGTTGAAATTTGGGGATTCAATACAGCGCAAAGGGTAATATAAAGTTTTAAATAAATGGCTAAGATATACAATATTCAGTAGGATTAATCGTATTCTTGAATTTCAGGAGGAATTTGCTATTTATGCTGAAGAAATTCGACGCAAGGCTGTTTCGATTTTCAATCATTTCCAAGAACTTTTTGGAATCGACTCATCCGAGACATTTGCTGAGATCTTCCAGGAGGAAGTGCGAAAATTTAAGGATCAGGTCGATCAATTTTCGTTGAAAAAAATGTTGGGACTTACTGAAGAGAATGGTAAAATAATATTGTTACGTCATTTGTTTTCTGACTGTGTATGCAAATTGCGCACCCAATACTAAAGTTTGTACTTGTTTAGGAGAACTACGCGAGTTGGCAATGGATTTGAATGGCGACGTCGAATGCGATCTAGATACTCAATAATCATCTTACTTAGGCATGTGTAAAAAAAATAAGATTACGGCAAAAGCTTTTGCCTAGATATGCAAATATGGAGGTTCATTAGCATGTACGTTGTTTTGCATTGTTCCAGTTTAGTTTCAATTGTTATTGTTCATAGCCTAACTAATCAATTAATTAATTATTATTATAAACCATGAAAAAGGTTTAGGTTTAATATGTACTTGTAACGCCTTTACCTCATTGTGTTTTTACCTGATCGATATCTTTGTGTTTCGTTAAATAATGCATACTTATTAGGCTCAGTATTATTTAAGTTAATTGGATTTGTAGTTATATTATTGTTACGTGCACTGTACTGTACTGACACTGTACAATGCCATCCACAAACTAAAATAATAATCGGGAAATGAAGGCACAGTTTTGTCCCCTTCTGTTGTCTTATTATTATCTCCTTATCTATAATGGCTACATATTTTCAATTCACACATGGGCACGGATAAATGAGTCGTAGTTCCACATTTGATTCATTGCATTCTCCTTGCAAGTGTCCATTGCGAGCTTGAAGGAAGTTTGGTTATCGCCGGATTTTTCTGTTTCAATTGTTAGACATAAAGATGTTGAAACGTGGAAAATTTGTTGCGTCTGAAATTACCCATTTGCCTAAATTAATGAAGGTTAGCATCTTTTACCAAACTCGTGCATAATAAATGATAAGTTACATTGTCCAAATAACTAAACATTTGATTTCCTTGTAAGCCATGGCACGGATATGCAAATATGTCCTTCCCATCGTAATCCAAACACTTGTACTCGTTTCTCAACTCGAAGCTCTTTGTGTACCAAATGTGCTGCAAAATTACAGTAACAACACCTAAGAAATCAAAAGAAATAAGTATGTAGTTATTTAGTCAAGTATATTTCCTACCTGATTTATTCCTTGTCTGTGACAAGGATACGCAATGGTGCGGCTTCCTCTTGAGAGGTCTAAGCATATATTTCCAGGGTCAGCCATGTTTCGCAGCTTCAGACCAAGGAGGTATTTTCCAATTAAATAAGTATCATGTATTCATGCATTCATTTTAACGTTTTATTTAACATACTTCTCCTCCTTTCAGAGCATTTCGTTTCGGATTGAACCTGGAATCACAAACAAGTAATATGCATTTATGTAAATTTAAATAGGTTGTCCCATAAACTCCTTAGCTTCTCGCCCCAGCAGCAACACGACTCTACCCAGTCAGAAAAAGTGCATGAGTGGAAGGGACCTACGCGACTTACATTTCTGGAATCACCTGAGTAATTGAGTATGCAAAGTTTGGTAGAAAATCAACAAAATTGAAAGCAGGTTATTTTAAACTTTACGTTATCCAAGTACCACTCAAATGAATGGCAGTGAAGCTGCTCTCGCAATTTCTTCCTTTCTGACACGTCTCCAAAATCTTCCTATATCACGTCACATATTTAATTGAACGTTTCATTTATTTTTGGACAAAATTATTCAATATTTACTTAATACCAGCTTGTTGAAAGATACGCTGTAAAAATAATGTTTGTACTCGTCCATCCAAACTTCTGCCAATCGCATTAAATTTCGCTTTAAAAACTTGTCGTTTAGCTTTGCCCGGTAGGTTCCTCTCACTTTGTAAATGCTGACGTAGAGTAAAATTTAATAGTAATTACCAAATTGATGAGCGTTTATGCATGACAAGTAAACTCACTGTCCAACACGACTGTAAGAAATTACTACTAATTATTAAATTATTATTGTATAAGAAAGTGCAAGTGTATGAATGTGCTTCCTACCTGCAAGAAATGTATTCGACAGATCCGCCGCACATCCACGCCTAATAATGTATATATACCAAATCAAATATTGTTTTTTTAATCCTTGCGTTTGAAGCACAAAAACTTGTCATATTTGCATACCCTATGTACATACATATATGTCTTGAAGTATGTTACCTTGAAGGATAGCTCCAGGTTTTCAGCTCCCCAAATTTCAAATTGGTTATCGTAGAACCCAAGCCTTTCGAAAAACTCTCTCGAAATCGAAAATATGCCCCCCACGTTTGTTGGCGATGGCATGGGCTCGGCCGGATGAGACATTTTCTCACGTCGTTCTTTCGTGATTGGAATCCAGTCAAAGAATAGATCCCATGTTAGACCTTATGGAATATATTTCAATTTCAGATTTATTTTACAATTTTGTTTGATAATATTTGGCTCTTTTTGCGCTAAGCTTACCCCCAATGTCAGGAGATGTCGAAAAGGTGACGTTGTACTCGAAGGTGTCGGCATTTATCCAGTCGACAACAGGCGTTGCCACAACTGTGGGATTTTGTTCTATTCGGTCAATTAGAGGTTCCAGCCAACCTGTACAGAATAAATTGTAAAATAATAGTCTTCAACAAGCAAGGTCATGTTAATCGTTAATTGTGCTCACCCGTAGTGCATTCAACGTGAGCATCAAGGAAAGTTATGATTTTAGCTGAAGCGTGTTCTATTCCCAGCAATCGCGCTTTGATAAGGCCAAGACGACGAGGGGCTCGGATAATTTTAATTTTCTCATATCCCTCCAACTGTCGATCCAGGTTTTCCTTTAAATCCTCTGGAACATAAATAAATAAACCTCACAGCTTATCCACATTACTTAAATTAACTTGGCCTTGGTACTAACTATATTTATGTATCTCGTAAATATTTTACCAAATTCAGAATAATCGTCGACAAGGATTATTTCATGAATTAAATGAGGTGGAGACCTCTCAAGGATTGAATGAATCGTTCGCATGAAAGTTGTTACGGCTTCATTGTAGAAAGTTATGATGATCGAGGTAGGTGTGGTTGGTCTGTATTTTCCTGGTTGCTTGCACCTAATTTGCATTGCGTTATGTAAGGAGCAACTAATTTAGAAACAAATAATGATTATCATTCAAGCAATGGCTGGCCACTGACCACGGATCCCGGAAATCTGGTAGACTTCGATGCGTCGAGATTTTCTCCGAGACAAATTGGTTGTATCCATACTTATTGTAAAGGTCTTCCTTAAGAAGTTCTTCCTCTTTGGTCAAAATCAGATCAACAACAGGTCTGCCATATTCTCCTGGTTTTAACTTTGTTATATCCACCGACCACCCAATGTGCGGTTTAAGTTCTTGGTTCACATGTGAGCCCTCTGAATGTGACCTTTGCGCAGCTATTAAAAGTACTGCAAAAGTACTTTGTATAAAATTATTGTGAACCTTCATAACTGCAAATTGTTATTACATTTTCTATAAAATTATAGACCGTGACTATTTTGTTCTACAGATTTCACATAAACATGACAGCTTGATGGAAATGCATTCATGAAAGTGAAAGTTCTAGTTAGCCAATAATAGCTATACTATGAATCGCCCATTAGCCGTTGTTTTTATTACTTTCAAGTATTTGTATCGTAAGTTTGACAATATTTACAGTTTCACAATAATCAGGTACACAATTTTTATAAGTTCTTTGCAATTGTTAATAAGTAGATAATCGAGCAATATGAGGGTGAGAGTTGCTCAATAAATCGGCAGGACTTGTATTCATAAACATGTCCAAGTGGTGAGACTCCCGAGGAATGTCTGCATATTGTTGACTAGACGATTGATTTTCAGTTTGGCAAGCCGGAAAGCCGTTGTCGGATAATGTGTACAAATTTCGCGAGTTTGCTACCACCTCCGCCTTCCGTGATTCAAGCTCCTTTTGTAGTTCACTGGCAAAAAACCAGCCAAAAATAACGGGGACATTGAACACGTTGCGAATTAGCTCAAGGATAATGGACAAGTTGAAAAGAGAAAGCTCGCCCATAAATGTGACCACGATAAGAACCATTCGGAAGGCTTCAAGGCGACAAAACAGTTTGCAGGCTGAAACCCCGGCGTTCAGTTGCTCCAAGTCTGCATCCTACACATAACATGAAAATTACTTTGCACTATTAAACTGATGGTTTTTTATAGCTTAAAATATTTATTTTGCTTCACACGTTACGCACATAGGGAGTTATGGAGCATGCTTTCGAGAGAATGTATTGCCCAGCTCCAAGGACCAAGATAAGCACGAGTAAATGAGTAAGTACCACCATTCTCAAAACAAAAATTATGACTTCGTCCACTGGTTTTGTTCTTTCTTCCAGCACTAAATACATGCACATGCACAACAGTAAATCATTAGAGTAATTGAAGGATTATGGTCGAAGATGTATACAACTCTTTAGACTAACGGTCCAGAAAACTGCTATCTTGAGACAGATGCAACATCATTCCAACCAGAAACAAAATGAACAACGTTAGTGTCAATCCGGATAAGGTCTAGAAATATAGAAAAAATTATTGCAGATATATTAACCGCATGACTATATAGAAATGTGGAGATATGCACTGTACATAAATTACCATTTCGATCAACACGATTATCCTGCATTTCCCCTTACTTTTAAATGGATCCATTACACGTTGAGAATTTCATTGAGAACGAATAAATAATAAATTTAGCAATATTTGACATTTGTATTACACAGCAGATATATATTTGTGCACGCGAAAGCCAAATAAATACTATTGCGTGTAATACTGCTTTCATTCCATGTGACTTTCTCCTCCCAATTTCGGAGAAAGTGCTCTTTCCCCGGGTCAAGAAATGTACATGTCTCTCCGATTAACTGAGTTTGCAGGAGGAAGGAAACCTCTATTTTATTCACAATGTTAGGGAGTCATAAACTTATTATTACACCGTTAATAGTAGGTTCAAATTTACCTATACATATAATTGACTAGAAATAATCATCATAAACTTTTCAGTATTATTAGGCTTGCACCTTGAACAACACATAAAATATTCATATATGGTAAAGCCTGTCGCTGTAATATGCTACCGATATATCAAGGGGTACATATTATTCAAAATACTCTGGCCGCCAATATTTGGTTTACATATTATTTTCATCCTTGGCGTCTCCGAGACCATCGACGACCCGTCATTCTTCTCCCACGGGAAATTCTCTCGAGCATTTTGAGACAGGGGCACCTTTGACCTGCGCCACAGTGACAAGGGATCGCAGCCTGGGAGCTGGGCGCAGACCACATCACGTACGCCGGCGGATAAGGCGACCTTTTCAGGCGGACGGAATGCCCCTCTTCCTCCAACCCCTTGTTTCCCTACACAGAATAGTTTTCATTGATTTATTGGAAAAAATAATCGAATAAAGAATAATAGCAGGTTTTTATATGGAAATTATATTTACTTACGACATTCAGATTCCTTTGTGAAATCATAGAAGCACCAGCGGCTTGATTAACCAGCAATTGAGCAAAATATATTACAACAAATGTTCTAAACACGCAGGATGGTTGGCAAATTTTCCCAAATTTTGCCATGTCTCAGTTTGGTTTTTGATACTTTCAAAAAAATAAATCTCCTTGAGCTTGACATTCGGACTTGATTTTACTACGTTGTGTGGGTCGATAGAATACCAACTGAAACTGAATCGCAAAATGTGCTGATTTATAAATACAACTGCAATATATAATAAATATGTGCAATTTATCATCAAGACCTGAATGGCATGTTTTGATTTGCATGTATTTTTTCGCAGCAACATCAACAAGTTGATAGTAAACATTAAGAAACTACTTGCTTTTGGCATTCCTCATCTTAAGTGTCCAGTGATCAAGGATGGGACAAGGCGAGAAAATATGTGCATATTGATATTGATATGTAAAAGTATTATATGAGGTTATTGAAATAATTAAGATAAGACGAGAGGGAGTGTTACATTCTATTCATCATTAACCAAATCAACATTCCATATAATGCATGTCCCATAATTATATATATTCGACAATATTCTGTATAGTGCGACAAGTGACAACAGGCTTATTCAACCAAAACCTATATATTTAGATGTCCTTCAAAATACTAACTTAAAATATGTTCGTATATTCTCACCAAATTCTATGTACATACATAAATACGTATAAACGACTCGACTTAAATATTTTTATTTCAAACAATTTTGTCATTCATTTAGCCCTCACAGTCGATATGAAATGTCTGGCCTGCCTGATATGCAGAAAAATAATAATAAAACGTCTCTCGCCTTCCAGGCTCCTACTTTTATTATGCCAAGATTCAGTAATCCAGATAAATCTGAATTCTGTTTATTATACATTGACCAACTTCTCATCTCGTCGGTGGTGCTGGTTCAAATTATGTTACGCGTGGGACACTTTTTTATACCTTTTCGTACATAAATTGAGCCTATCATCAATCTGGAAAGTAAATACTTGAGAATTTAGTCCCAAATTGTGAACGCGTGGATTCGGCAATGACTTACTAAAACAGCCAGCCTGGCAAAGTGCATAAATATGTACATTTATACCAATTGAGTGTATCTATGTATTTGTTTTTTGGTATTTCCTGGTATTCTCAACTACAAATGTTTAATTTACGATAGGGAAAGAGTTCTTCCAGGAATGGGATGACCACATCGTCAGGTGTCGTGTTGACTTTTCTTCTTTTGTACCTCTTTAATTCTAAACAGACACTGGATTCAAAGCCGTATCGTCATTATCACATGTTAATAGTTTGTCTGGATCATTATTATTAGCTCACGAATCAAAAAAATGACAAGTGATGAGACAGTGACTCGAACAATCATATTCACACCTCCAGCTCCAGCGAATAGCTTTACTCTAATTTTGTAGGTATATTAACTTATCGACATTGGAAGCTATCCACGCCTCAGCATGCTTTTGGGCAATACGTTACGGAATGATGACTCGGTTCGGGATGACAGACAAGCTTACATACAAGTGTATAACTGAATATTCAGGAGCAGATGAAATTAAATGTTTTTGATGTATGTACATAGTTCGTTTTACTTATGAAATGGATGAAACTTATTTAGCGTTTTACTTAGCGTGAAATTAATTTAGTGAAATAAATATGCTAAATTAGAGTTTTTTTGAGATGGCAGTTAAATTTTTAATAAAGGTATTTTTTATTTCAACAATTCGGTATTTAGAATAGTGCAGCATAAAACAGGGTTTCATATACAGTAAAAATTGTGCATTCATGACTTACATGAAAGTTGAAAGTGACTTGACACACATGTTGATTTATATGAGCTTTATTAACTATCATGATGTGATATCCAGTACAACACGCGAATTGGTGGACACTATTTAATAATAATCGCTACTGAATTAATGGCAAATTAAAAAAAACATATTCACGATATCTAACCACACGGGCCACAGCACGCCGAACAAGAAGGTTCAATCTACATAGATATCTGCATATTCTTAGTTTCCAAATCGAAAACATCAGTGCGGTCCAAAGTCTGCACATAATGGGTGGAAGCCATGTCATAAAACAATTAACCCTTGGCCTCCCCCAACTTTCGCAAAAGTTAACAAGTACTGACGGAGCACGAAGACTTGTCTGGTTCATCAAGAGTTATGCACATAATCATTTAAGTGTTTTGCCGGCACAACAACAACCAACTTTGCAAAGCTACTATGAAAAACTTTGTACTAAAACATTTCCTCCTCTTTCCAGTCTAATAAAAGCAGTTGGATATCGAAATCTACTTGGAAATGCCACAACCCAGCTAAAAGTTGAATAATAAGTCATCCAGTGCAAATGTATTTTAACGCAGGATTTTAATCATGGATCACGAAAAGATTCAAAGATCATGCCAAATTGCTACTTTTCAACTATCAGTTAATAAACATGATTGTCAGAGAGTACATAAAAATTATCTGCCCATAATAACTCAATCTCGCTCAATAATACTAATACACTGCACTGCTACGAAATAATACTAACGCATACAAGACGACGGTCCAAGTAATTACATACATTGAAGGCTAACGAATCAATGTAAATCTTTAAAATGTCTCGTGTCATGATCCAAATATACATACCTCTTGTTAATTATAAGTATGACCAATGCATGCATGCAATCAATCATTACAGGCAAAGTTTCTCGAAACTTTTGCAGATTTATAAATTATATTGCTCAAGCAGCACACATACATACATAACAATAAAGAAGAGATAAATAGTTGAATAGAAGATTATGTTTAACTGATTATACTGATATTTTCTGGCTGTAAATAGTGTAGTGTATCGATCACAGACAAACTGGAGGCATGAACGAATTACCCCATGAAGCTGTATAATAGATTATGATTTATAGCCTTGAAAGTCGTACTCTAAAATTTGATGATCATGATTTTGGCAACCTATTTTTAAATCACTTGGAAGACATTGGAATTACACACGTGTCTTCATAACAGTCGTACGTTGTTAGGGAGCATCCCATGCATACGCCGCAATGACAATACATCCCGTCCCCACAGTTCGCTTGGGCAAGCATTCGAAATCGTCGAACTTTGCAGCGATCACCAGGACCCTGATTTTTATCAAACAAAAAAATTTCGAATTAATAATCTCATGTTCTTAATCTTTCAACAATCTCATTTAGCCTTTCGCTTAAAATGGGTACAAGTTTTACACACACCTTGGCACAACTATGTCTCCCACAAATATCAGTGAAGATGCCATGTTCACACGCTGTTGGGGTGGGACAACCTCCAACGGGACAGGGCGGACATCTCGGTTCCGGACGAGGCAGCGATGTGACCAATCTGAATCATATATTTTCGATTCTAAGTACAATGTACTTCGTGAATCTGCAAATAAATATTGTACAAGCCTTACCCAAGGTTAAAAAGGTGTGCTACAACTACCCACGCCATAACAGAATCACGATTAAAATTCATTTCAGTATTTTTCGAGTTTGTTTCTCCGAAAGCGAAGTTGAACTTGATTGATTTGTAATTGCTTTGAAAGGTTTTGACATGTAGGTCCACTCCACACCATTAAAAAAAATATGAGCAGTTTTCTCCTATAGCTGAGCTGTGTTGGGGAACGAATTCCGTGCTGTGGGGAATTTAAGGAGAGGACGAAGATGAGATGCAGTGTGACATTTCGTTCATGCAAAAGTACGCTTTCCACAAAGCCGTGCGTGGTTTCAACAATCGCTTTTATAGCCGAGGAGCTCCACTTGTTTTCCTCTGTCCTTTGAATCAGCCTGTTCCATCCATGCAAGTAAAAATAATCTGCAGAACAGTCGGTGTTCAGCTGATGTCCCCATGTACATACCAACTATTTGACTAACCATACGTCCACTGAATATAATAATAATTTCATTACAGGCAACATTTCTTTAATAAGACGGCTTGGAGATCATACACATTCTCTATTTCCTCCAACTGCTCTCTGCTGGACAAGCTATATTGACACTAATAATGCACGTAACCCAAGCAGATCATCCAGAAGACACAGGCTAGCTAAACACAACAAGTTTGTGACATGCCTCGTCTCACAGTCGTTGGAATCCTGTGCATTTTATATTCCAACAAAACTGTATCAGAAATGTGCTGTTAAATCGAGAGTGCATATTTTTTTCCTGTATATGAAGTTATATAATTATATAAGTTGCATAAACAATTTGCCTTATTAGAACGCAAAATCCGTACATACTTATACATTTAAATTTAACTCCAAACTTCCATATTTTCTATAAATGGCACGTATTTATGTTTTGTCAATTATTTATGCGTCAATAAGGGTGGAATCGTTATTTAATCTTCGCATCACATTACATTATTCTGTAATACTTGTGAATGCGTAAACAGAAAACAAGTAATCCTTAAGATGCGTGTTGATGTGCTTGGTCAACCAGATATGAATTACAACTGTAAATACGAGATCAAAAGTGATTTGGCAACAATAATTAAATAATGTGACATTCTTAAAATTTAAAAGGAATTTAAGATAGCCGGTATCCACCTATGCAGAAATCTGGTATATCGCCCATTTTACATGCAACTGAGAATCTTTGGCTAGTTTCTCATTACAACTTATGAATTAATTATGAATTCAAAATCAGCAAAATATAATTGTTGATTCGATACAAATTTTGGACAGTCAAGTTGAGATTATTTCATACATCACCGATTGACGCAAGTATTTATGAGATGCAGAAAACACATTTGTCTGTAACTCAACGCTCCTACGTATGGCTTATGGCTTATGTATTGCCTTCTCATGAATGATCGTTTGGTACTGACTTATTTTTATTAGTAGCACTTTATGGAACAAAAGTTTGCCATACCAAAATTGTCATCAGATAATAGCTCCGACTAATTGCAAGTAAGTAATAAATGCACATACTTATGTGCATGGTTATATTCTATACATAAGTAATAATGCATATCATAAAAGGATCTTCTCCGTCTTTTTCCCTCTCTCATGTTACACGGCAATTTCATTTCCAGTCACATCTTGTCCAGGACAAACTAAAATAATTACTATCGGCAAGTTTGTCAGCCTTCAAAGAGAGATTTTTTCCTTTACCAAAGTGAAGGATATGTAAAAGTCGAATAATATCAAGGGTATACTCCAACATGAAAAACTGTGCTGGCGTAAACATGGTGTTTAATGGATTTGTTCTTTTGTCATTCTAGTCCTCCATTATTTTTCAAAATTTTGATTACAGTGCCGCGGACGTTTCACCACAAAGGAAATTATATACTGCAGTCCACCTAAAACTACCTGAAAAGACGCATCATTATCTCCTCTGCTGGAAAAAGTATATTGGGAAGAAGAGTAAGCCACGATGTTCTCTTGTTCTATCCAGCCACCAAAGAACCATTGACTAATTGCAAGACCAAACCTTGCTTTGACTGCATTTTTGTTTAATGAACACTGAGTTTTTCAATAATAGATTTCCGGTCTTGTTGATCTGTTGTGCTGTAGGTTTAGCTTGGGCTGAGCATGAAAAAAATACAAAATCATGAACTAAAAATTACCTATTGAGATCTAAATTTTACCATTTTATCCACATCATATGAGATTAACCGAATAATATTCATGAGAAATGTTGAACGCACAGAGTCGTCCCTGGATGTCTATCTGGAACCATTTTATCCGGAATTACTTTATTTAAAAATCGAGATGCCGTAATTCACCCAAGAAGCAGTAAAGTTGTTGATGGTTGCTGCTGCATGTTGTTACTGGTTGACGATGATAGGAAACCTTTACTTACACCAATTTCATTCACCCCATTAATTGTGTGGAGGGAGAAGACTCACGTTTTCTCTTAACAAAATCTTCAAGTCATTATTGTGTAATCAGTCCGAGTTGTGTGAGAGCGTCTTTTGACTATCTGCGTATATGCAGTTTAACCAGTTTAACTAAACTGAAGGACCAACGAAAGGGTTTTGATGTACTACATAAAAGCGACTGTATATTAAATGTTGAGATGCATAAATTCCAACCAGAAGAAGGGTCCCAATAATAATAATAAAAGACCTCTGAATAAACCAGTACCTATTTGTGTGGTATAATCATAAACAATTTTGATAGGGCACTCTCAACTACTTAAATAATACGTACTCACGTGCACCTAAGTTGGAGTGCCTTCAAAAATATTCTGATTGAACCCATCATCAACTTTTCTCCAGCAATCATGCATCATCTGACATAATGCACGACCTCTGTTTTGTTATGCATTGTTACAAAGTAATATTCACGTATGTATAACGCAACAAATTTACGTATGAATGTACGTTGCTTGCATATTTCCATTTGGAACCGGTCATCATACTACATATTATTATCACTATGTCAAAAATTGAAATAAATTACACAGTATTTTTCATATTTTTCAACAGCTCTATTACTTTTCCAACTACCTTATCGTTCTTGTCACCTCTCGTATATAAATCTAAGATTATCAAGGACGTAAATAGGCCGAAGGCAAATGGAGCATAATGGGGTTTTCATGTTTATAGATTTTCCTGACACAAGAAACAAAACAATAAACAGCAAAGGTACTTAAGAAGGGAACAACAAATTCTCAATCTCACAAGTCCCAAGTTCAATGCAAAGGGCCGTATCACATAGATTATTGGTATTGGGCAATAAAAGGACGACAATGAAGCTGTGCTATACGGATTTATCTTGGTAGTGAGCATACATATATATGTATGGGATATATGTATATACGATAAGATAGCGCTCTATTAGTAATTTCGGATAATTTGAGCTTGGGGATCCAATGTAAAATCTGGACTGTCAATTCAATGTAGCAGAAATCAGTAATAATTTGAGTACATACTGCTCGTTAAGTCTGCAAGGTAGAAAGGCAGTGTTTGGATATGGATGGATGGGCATTGTTATTATTATTAATGACATTATTTAAAAGGAAGAATGGAAGCCAACAAAGTTCAGCATGCCTCGTTTTCATGCCCTCTTTACAACAAATTCTAGCATAACCGAAAGAAAGAGTCCAAGAAAACCAGGCTGGTGGTCCTTCTTCCATACACACAGAGCATATTTTACTATGTAGCAGACCCTCTTCCGTGTAAAAGTCCACCTCCCAAAGATAAATCTCAACAAACAAAAAAGTCGGATGGACCTACTTCACTCTGACTTTAACATCTTGTTCAGCTTTTATTTCTTCTTAAGTTGAGCATAAGCACATAAACTCATCTACAATGACTTCATCGAGTTGAGTTGTGATGGGTCTGAAAATTAGTTTCTTCTCTGCGAAGGAAGGCTCAACGAATATGTAGCAGATAATAAAAATAATAATACAAGTGAATGCATGAGCACTTTAATTCAGAGACTCGTGAATGACTTTCTTTCCTTCCTTCCTTGTTTAGCTTCCCTTGCAGACCGATTAAAAAATAAAGATGTGAAATGTGCGTGTAATGTACAAGTAAAATTAATGGGGGAGGAATATAACAAACAATAAAGAAATCAATTACAATATCAGGCATGTTACACACAAAAAGTGTAAATGTTTGTAAAATCCATCTTTACACAAACAACAAAAAGTTTTTACAAAAATAAAAAGGCTGTAATATACTCTCTCATAACGCGGTCTATCAAGTTAGTCGGCAATCCCTATTTACATCGTACCCTAATTTATGGCATGTTTCTCAGTTTTTGGTAACGACGATTGAAACCTAATATTTATATAGTAAGACATTGTTACACCAGGGCCTAATTATGCAATAACAATAATAATGATACATGTTTTTACTACATCAAATAAACACATAAATTTTGAGGCCCACCACATTTTTATAATTTCTTGCCTTTACATTCTTTACGAATGGAGGTGTGCAGACTTCAACTGCAGCCACAACTTTCGACGATCATCTCCTTGTAGTGTTTTAGCACAATTCTGTCGGAGCTGTCCGTGTAGAGAAGTGAGAGGGAGGAGTAGCGTTTGGGGACGCAGCAAGGCGGGGGCACGCGTCCTGGACTCATGGAGTTCACCAGCGCCTGGATCACGGCATGGTTTGTGGCGTTGAGGTGCTCTGCCAACGGGAACGGACACTCTCCAGAACAGTAAAACGCTTGATAACCTGTGCCAGGGGTGTATTATATGGAGACAATTAGCAGTGTAACAATATTAGCATATTAACCTATACTGCACCCACCTGGAGGAGCAACAATCCTGGAAATTAAAAAATGTAAATCGTATTAAAGAGCTGACAAAGTAAGTGAAAACATGATCAAATGTGGTTATTATTTAAGGTCGTGTGCTCGTACCAATCATTCCAGCCAACATCTGTGAAATCCACAAACATTCTCTTTCTGGAACAAATGTTCCTATTTTTTAATCGATGATTTTTTCGTCTGTGATTCCTATGAGATCTATGGCCTCGAGAAAGGGGCTTCTCCTTCTTCACGTTGAACTGTCTCGGACGATTGCGATCATCAGCGTACGTATGGAGTTGTGAAAACGTTGAAGGTTTGGATTGATTATTTGGTAGATTTAATAATGATGACCGCTTTACTCGAATATAGTTTTGAATTTCCGGTTCTAAAGACAATAAGTTTCCATCGTGGACAATGAGTTCAATGCCAAGTGAAAGTTTTCTCTTTCTGGACTGATGCTGGATTCTGCTTACGGCAGAGATTACGTCAAAGTTGAGCCAAAAGTTGGAATCCAATTTGCTCAGTTTTAGCATCTTGGCGTCAATGGGAAGGCTGATTTGGCCAATTGTTGATGTTGTTTTCGAAGGTTGAACTACTTTCACGAGGTCATGCACCACAATTTGAATAGTGACGTTGGACACGTTCCTGTTTCGTTTGGAAACTGCGAATAGGAGCTGAAGTTGTGCTATTGTAATCTTTTCATTTGATGGGATTGGTGAGATGTCAAAGGTCACGTGAGAATGGAAACCTTCCAACTCGGCCTCATTTCCTTCATTGTTACATAGTAAATAGGTACATAAATAAATAATTGTGGATGCAGATAAATAAATATGTACACATTTATGAAAAATATGGCAAAACTTCAGACCTGTATCGTGGTAAAAACTCCGAATGGTATTTGTGCTTTGAACTAATCTCCCATGTAATGAGCTGGAATTAACTACTTCAAACTGTCTTGATACTTTTAGCTTCTTATTTCGGTCTCTTTCCGCCCGTTTCTTCAATTCCAATTGCTTTTGGTCAAGAAAAAGTAACCGATGTGGATCCGTATTAGTGCTATGCTCATGAAAACGTGCACTGTTTCGAATGTTTGAGGAACTATTTAGAGTAAAAAAGTAATTCGTAACAAAATGTTGGCTTATTCCATGCCACGGAGAAGATGTAATTTGAGACGACTTAGTGCTTTTGTTTTCTGTCACAACACCCGTAGTTTTTAATATTATGCTCTTAAGATTAGTAGTTGAAACAATGGTCGAAGTAGTCTTTGTTGCACAAAGAAAGTTGTATGAGCCGGGTTGGAAAAGAATTAGTAAAACGAGTAAAAACAACATCTTTACAATCACTTGCACCATTATTGTGCACTCGTAACAATTACACTGATGAGGCACTTGGACACTGCTGTTTTTACTGTTGACACCATAGTATTAAATTGGTCACTACTAATTGAATATGTAAAGTCCACCTTTATTTATTCAGTCCGGGTAGCTTCATGGATATTTATCGTTGGTGCAACTAGTCATATTGATTTACTATGATTTTACTATGTAAAAGAGCAACTATACATAATTAGGTGACGGAAGATCACGAAAACGAGATTGAGACTCGAGGACAGCGTTAATGCGGAAACAATGTGGTACAAAAAGACAATGCCTGGTGCTCATGAGGAGTTGATGATCGTCGTCATCATCATTTCCCGAGAGACTTTGAAGAAATGAGATTCCTCAACAATAAAAAACTTTGAACCTTTTCTCAACTCATGGAGAAGATTGATGCTTGCGTTTTGTGGTATGATTCCATTTGTGTGCTTTAAAGCACACAAACTCATAAACCAAGTAAGTCTTGGTTTACTTATTTTTTGGGTTGTCCAGCAAGCAGCCTCAAACGTGACTCCAGATTGGCTGCATTGTTCATAACGTATGAACCACAAAGGAAAAGTATGTGCATCACATATAAGTAATCAGGTTTATGTATATGTTGTGGAGCATGTCTTTCTTCCGTCAACTGCACAACTAGGCCTGGATACTTCTTACCTCATTTTTCTTCAATAATTATATTCACGGCGAGCATTTGTCTATCCTGCTTGCTTTGGGGCCACGCAGTCTCCCATGCATGTTGTAGGTACTTGGGATGGTCCTGTTTGTTTGCTGCCTCTGATTTGCCTATCATCCTTGTCTTCATTATCTGAGGAAACAATGCTCATTTATTTCTTACTTTGTTTGTACTACAGGTTCCAAGTCTGGAACGAGTCCAGTCAGAATTTACCCACCCTCTGAGAGATCAGTCAGAGATCTGCTGACCCAGGAGGGAGTTGCTAACGAATGAGAAAAAAGGCTGTGCTTTGTTTGAGCTGAGTGAGCCTATTATTAAAGTGATGAGACTTTGTTGTGGAAATGTGATGACAAGACATGACATTATCATCCTCGTATTTTCTATGATACAATGAATTATTTATGTATGTATGTACATATGTGTGTAGAGAGTGAGATGTTACAAAATGCTGGACAAAGGCAAAGCGACGCAAAGTGAGAATTGTATGATGATGAATTTGAAGTTGATTATTTATTTAGTTCAGAATAATGCGAATATTTTGGGATAATTAGAACATAAAGTTGTTTAAATCTAATTAAATCAGTGTTCACATCCTCTCCTTCAAAATAAATTTGTGAGGTTTTGGGGAAAGAACAAGTCCAACAAATCCTTCCATATTAATCTCACCATCAACCGAAACATGAAACTTTTGAAAAAGAGTTGTCAAAAACAAGAAATATTCATCCCTGGCTAGACCCTCGCCTAGACAGACTCTTTTGCCCGTAGAGAAGGCCATAAAATTCTCATGTCTCTGAAATTCTCCTTTCTCATTCAAAAATCTCTCTGGTCTGAAGTCAAGATCTCCCCAAACGTCTGCATCATGATGAACGGCATGAATATTGGGAATTATCAAAGTATCTTTCGGGACGAAATAGCCACCAATTTCAGTATCTTCGGTCGTATTATGAAATAGTGCAAACGGAACGAGGGTGGAGTCTCGCATAACCTCGTGCATGACAGCTTGCGTATAATGCATTTCATTTCGATCATTTAAACATGGCTGTCTGGAAGGTCCGACGACTCTGTCAATTTCCTCGTGCAGCTTCTTTTGGACCGCCTGGTATTTCGCCATGTAAAGGAATGTCCAGCTCAACGTTGTGGAAGTGGTCTCTGTGCCTGCTATAAACAGGTCAATCAAGACCCAGTTCATTTCTGCACAAATAAATATCATAATACAGTTTCCCGTCACAGAGTATTATTGGAGTAAAAAAACAGTAAATGTTACCAGAATTGGATTTATGAAATGGTGAATTTGGATCTTTCGTTTTGCGCACTTCGTCGATATACACGTCGAGAAAGTCTCGTTTGACACCCTCTTGGAATGTTTCTTCGTGATATGGGATTGTTTTCCAAACAAAATCAGTAACAAGCGGAACATCCCTCATCATGCGTGTATATCCTGACAGGTTTGGAAACCATTTGGCAATAAACGGGAGGAATGTTGCAACGCCTTGAATCGTGTTGTTTTCTTGGACTGATCTATATACGTAGCAATAAAAACAATGTATATATTTAGATCTGCGCATCATCTCCAGTATTATAACTCATGTCAAGTAAACTGAGTTAACTCAAGTAAAAATTAGCAATACGTTGTCAAAATGTTCAAAGTCGCTGCCAAGTCTGGGTCGTCTTGCTTAAATCTTTCTCCAGTTAGCAAACTCCATAATGCATTCAGAATCGCTGCATTAAATGCCATCTGAATTGACATTGGTTTTCCACAATGAGATTGCAATCTTTCCGCCAGTTCAACAGCTTCTTCGGCTATGATGGATTCCATGGACTTTCGACCAAATCCAAAATCTCTCAATTGACGAAGAGCAAAGCGTCGTTGTTCCAACCATTTGTGGCCGTCAGTGAAAAGGATACCTGTGCGTTTTTGTAGTTAGCTATAGTGAGCCACTTAGGAGGGGAGCTTGCGAGGTTGATAATAACAGATCTTGATGCCCTTTGGATATGTGATAGGGTCTCATGAGTGTACTAAAACCCTGAAGTGGTTTGACTCCATGGCCACATTTGCGCCCGCCACACCCACTCAAAAATGCCCAAAAAACGCTTTCACTCCAGTTTTCACTCACTCAAATCCACGTCAAAAATCCAATTTTACTCGGATTTTGAAATTTCTTTCATCATTACACTCCCAGATAGTTGCTTTCTTCAATCCAATATCAAACCCAATTTTTCGAAATTTTTAGTATTTTTAAAATTTGAAATTCTGAATGAGGATTGTTGTAGTAATCAACAACTCAAATTACGCCTGCGAAATAATCATCAGCAAAATTGAGTTTGATATGGAATTGAAGAAAGCAACTATCTGGGAGCGTAATGGTGAAAGAAATTTCAAAATCCGAGTAAAATTGGATTTCTGGCGTGGATTTAAGTGAGTGAAAACTGGAGTGAAAGCGTTTTTTGGGCATTTTTGAGTGGGTGTGGCGGGCGCAAATGTGGCCATGGAGTCAAACCACTTCAGGGTTTTAGTACACTCATAGGACCCTATCACATATCCAAAGGGCATCGAGATCTGTTATTATCAACCTCGCAAGCTCCCCTCCTTAGGCTTACTGATTTTGTGGTATATGCGGTCAAAACTCATATATTTACAAAAGCAATCACAACACAAACTAAAACTAACCTTTGGCTGTCCCACCGCTTCTGTCCATGAAAAATTTGATTTTCGGGCGACCAGTTAGAGAATTTTGGTTTAAAGCGTCTTTTATTATCTTGGCGTCATTGAGTACAACAGTACTAACAAGAAATTATATTTAATTAAACGATTGCCGTATAACACAATACAATGCATTTCTTTGGGAAAATTTATTTTTTACGGATAGCTCCCCATTTTTACAGATATTACTGGACCATATTTATCTTTATTCCATTGTTGAAAAGTTTCAAACGGTTTGGAGCCCAACATTGGAAGATGTCCAAGCAGTGGCCAACTCCATGATGGTCCTATTTCATAACATTTAACGTATAGACAGACCAGATGGCCAGGGGTCACGGAACCGTGGGGATGTACTAATACTAACACTAACTAGTAATTAATTTAAAAGACAAGAAAGGCTAATATTTCTGTGGGGATAATGGTTCCGCGGCCCCTGAATAATTACATTACAGCATGACATGACAAAGATTACGCTAATACCTGGCGGAAGATTTTGCGTCTTTTTCTTCGTCAAAATGAAATGCAAGGATAAAAATCCCAATAGAAGGACTGCCAAAATTTCAAATCCAGTCATCACACTACCGTCTCGAAAAAAAGATACTGAATGAAAATGAATATATGCTTTAGCAAGATTGCTCACAGAATTAGAGTATTATATGACTATTAAATGCAGAATATATTCGGATTTGATTTCAATATTACGCAAGGTTTAACAGATATTACAGCACCAATGTCACAAACCAAACTACATTGCAAATAGGTAAAGCTAACTTTGGCTTTGGCTAACTAGCCAGGGTAGAAATTATTTTACGTGCTGTACACACATACATAATTGAGGAGAACAAGGACTAATCGTTTATACCAACATGCACATTGTTTTTTTGTGGACAAACCTTGAACGGAGCTTGGCATACGATGACTGGATAAAATCAATTCCATGATACAATATTTAACAGCATCATTTTAATGAACAGACACACGTAATGTTACTATTATGGTAATATGTACTTCAATTTATTAATGTGAATTCCAAGCTTCTAAGCATGGCCATATATCTCAACTGTACCGGACACAAAGTATAAAATTTTGATGTGACAATTATTTAAATACATAAGAGAAAAATTCAAATCAAGGTTTACAAAAGACCCCACTGTCGTTCCATAACTGCGTGTGGTTGGCCCATCACTTCAGGTTCATGTGGATGTCCTAAGAAATCTTCAAAATCGATCGTTTCATCCTTCCCTATCATATAATTTAAATTGGTTAATTTAAGTCTCTTCCATGAATTTAGAAATTAGAATTTATCAATTCAATTTATATTTGGCAAACCTGTAAGCACATTGTAGGACGCGTTGTGTCGTGGGAGAAATGGTAAATGTCCAACCTTGAGGGTCGCCTTTCTCTCCATTTGAAGGCGAAGGGGGGCATGAATTCCTTGAATTTTTCGCAGCATGGCAAACTCCATTTGCTCTGCCCGACTCTCGTGCTATAATTTGGGGAAAAAATTTGATTTAGCATAAAATAGAATTGCTAACTGAATTAACTATGAACTGTGACGTTGGTAAATGTCACAGTTCGACCGGTCGTACCGATTTTTCTGAAGATTCTAAAGGATGGGCAGCCGCTAGCTTGGTTGTGTTGGCTTTTGCGTTGAGCCTACAAATTTAAATCATATCAATTATTTGACAAATTAATAACTGGTAATTAAGGAATTCCAAATATTCCAATTTTGAATTTAATACAAAAATAAAACTAACTACTTAATTAAAATGAACATACCCAAGAACCATTGCATCAGGGAGTTGAAATTGTTTGCTCATTGTAAATCCGAGTATCAGGAACCTTTTACAAATATTTTAACGAAATTTGCAAGGTATTGTTTCCGGAAGGTTGTACAATGTAATATTAGAATCGCTCAATTTGACTCAATTCCACTCGCGTCTTGCTCACTGACAGTGCAAAATTCTCCTCGTAGAACGACTTGCCCAGAGTTTAGTCTCCTTTTCGTTGCATGAAAAATGGAAATTGTTGCAATTAATTAATTGCAACAAGCTACCACTCCTGATTTATTGATGTATGCATAATAACAATAGTATTTTTGATGTGGTGATAGTTTGATATTTTACGCAATAATATTACATCCATGTATTTGCTACAAGTAGTAGTAGTATTTTGCATATTTATGACAAATGAGTATTGCATAAAATCGTAAATTTAGATAATTTTTCAGTTCCGTCTGCTTTATTTCTTTGACAGGTAGAAAACATGTATATAAATACCTCACGGGTAACGAGAAATAATACAATCGGGTATATGGCTTGAAAGGGCACGAGAAGCTCAAATGGTCTGAGGAGGTATTTTTTACAAGGAATATGCGTCAAAGACTGACTAAGATGAAAGCAAGAATTACTAGTTTAGTAATAGATTTTCGCGACTATTATTATCTAGTAGTGAGCATATCCGTGGTGAGCTACCGCTGGACCGTGAGCGTAAGCGAGGGGAGCAGCATGGACCTAAAATAAACAAGAAAATAATCAAAAATTTGCTCAAGTCACATATGACATCGATAACTCCTTAAATTGACAAAAGTGCAATACCTTGGCCACAACTGGGGCGACGGCCTTAACGACGCCTGGGGCTTGTCTGTCGACGACGGCGTTGAATCCGTTGACGGGGTCAGCGGTGTAGGTGACCGTTCGGATGGCACCGTCGGGCTCGACGAGAGAGTATTGTCCCTTGACGACATCTCCGTCTCGGGATTCAGAAGCGGTCTTGGAGTCTCCGGTCAAACCGTCGGAAACGGAGTAACCTATCAAGTCGAACAAAAAAAACGAAGTTAGGTCAGTCGTCTCATTGATTTATAATTTTTCACTGGGAAACTGGGCGATTTTGCACATACCGTAGTTGTATTGTGGGTGTGGGTCGTATGGTTCTGGTTGGGCAACGATGGCCTTGGCGATGGGAGCAGCATAGGCAAGGGGAGCTGCGTGGTGAACCTTGGCGATGGCTGGGCCGTGGGCGTAAGCCAATTGGGGAGCGGCGTGTGCGTAGCCGAGGGGGGCGGCAGCATAGCCGAAACCTGGAGCCACTCCTGCGGCAGCCACACCCACGAGGGCGAAGAGGGACACGATCTAATCCGGAAAAAGTAGAGAGGAATTTAATCAACGTATTGGTTATTATTGTGGAAAGGAAAATAATCCATGCAAAAGAAACTTGTTGTCACTTGTCACAAAACCAAAACCAAGAGTGGTGATACATTTTATATGATAATTATGTAATAACCAAGAACATACCTTCATCATGATGACTGAGAGAGGAATTTCCAAGACTTGTTGCTTGAACTGTGAAAAATGTGTATTGGATGTAGATTATCAGAGTGGGTTGAGTATTTATAGTAAAATTTATAGTAAACCCCCTGCGTTTTGTGACCAAGGCGCAAGCTTTCCATATAGGAAAATCAACTCAGGCTCACACCATTTCACGATGACTTAAGGATGATAACGTCCATGCTTGGAGGTTTGGTTGGGCGATTCTCTTGAGAAAAAAATCTTCAATACGTCTTTTACTTGCAGATGTTGCCATCAAGGCAGAATAATAACAGCAGTTGTACTTTACACGAGCCATATGCACCCCATAACGGCACGAAATCGTACCCTTCCTAATAACTTGTGCAGTGATAATATTATTACGTTATAGTGAAAGGGACGTTCTTTGGCGTTGTTGGCATAAAAAAATTCTACATTTGCAGCAGCCACAGCAGCACCTGCCCTATCTTTCACAATGAAATAAGAGCACTTCCATCACCTCTGTATGCCCTTAATAAATTACGGCATTTATATCGCGAGTTGAAAGCATTGGCACTGTTTTATGAACTTGTTACACTTTTGATTTCTGATTTGACATCAAAAATCCAATCCAAAAGTGCTCCTTGTATGTCAATTATTATTATTGTTATTACTCGAAAAAGCTATGTACATAGTTGCTGATCACATTATTTCTCTTTTGATTATAAATAATAGACCAAGTTCCGTTGATGCATTTTCCCCATTTAAGTCAACTAATTTTGAGAATTGTAATTAAAATGGCATGTGACAGCAAAGTAACGCATCTGTCTCTTAAGATTAGTTTGGTTGATATTGCATTTCATGCATGTAATCGTATACGTACATGTGTAATAGTCAATGTGTGCGTATTAATCCGTTCACTATTATAGGATTTGGGGGGCACTTATTGTTGTGTGGCTTGGTTTTTTGCAAGTAATCTGTGTATACTTATCACAATTAGTAATTATACACTTGATCTTGCTCTTTGTTGAGAGCTCTTAGCAAACCATACCAAACTGCATAGTTTTAAAGTGGATAAGCCCCTTCCTTTGTCAGTCATCACCATTTACTTCGTCAGGGCAAGGGCATTTCTATCATACAAATCAATCGATTAATTCCTGTGCGTTTTTATTGAATATTTACATTAATACAAATTCCGGTCGGCCATGTCAAAACTATTATGTGCACAATAAGCTGCTGTTGACTAGCATAAAATTTATATACTTGACCTGTCTGCCGAAGAATGTAATGTATTAAAAATTGCACAAAAAACAGTATTCGTGGTTATTTAATTGTTAACTTGAACTGGTAACACAAAAATGCATATACTTTCAGAGGCTGATCTGTAAATCAGCAACGTTTGTTCTGATACTTTATTACAATGTTAAAACAGTAATAACCATTAAATAAGCAACACTTCCAACTTTCCTTATTATGTGTATTATGATAAAAATTGCTCAGCAAGGAAATAATTTTTTGAAGATATACACCACTCGTTACAAAGTATTGCTCAGTGTGTTACTCAATTTGAGTAAGACGCAAATTTGAAAGTCTTGACACTTGTCTGCCAATTTTATTTTATTTTTAATTTAACCTATTTCGTTAAGGTTTAACTCTCTATGTTTGTATAAGGATCCGATTTAAAGCATTTATGAAATATCTGTATTCAAATATGAACAAAAATAGAATTAGTATAATGATAATAATAATATGGGTGTCGGATACTGTTTGCATACATAACCTAACAATTATGACTTTTACTCCTGCAGATGCAGATTTTTAATGTAAATCTATTTAAAGCTTGGGTTCTAGTAAACTTGCCAAAAGTTTCTAAACTAGTTCTCGTACATCGAAAAATCATTATTACAAAAATAATACGATCGATACTTCTTCCAAAATTGCAAAAGTATACATTTCTATCTTAGAATTTGGCCGCGCCTTTATTACAGGGTTATCTATGTACACAGTGTGAAGGGGATTAACAAAGTTTTATTAATAACCATTTGCAATCAATATCAAATCAAGTCCCTTGAAATAGATGCATGCATTTATGCATTGTAGAAATACGTGCAACATAATGATTAACACAGAAACCTTTCATTATACTTAATTTGACAGCGATTAAGAATAATTTATATTTTTATCAATTCTTATGGCATGGAAGTGACATTATAAATAGTAAAAATTTGGTTACGATTTCTGGAACGAAAGAGTTTTTAAGATTTTTTTTTGCTCTTTGTGTTTCTTTGATATTGAAAATTCTCTATAAAAAATTAAATCTCATCATAAATATGTACCTACTCATTTGGATCGTGACTGTTTCTCATTTTGATTTAATTTAGTGAGACAATATCAACCCACGAATAGCTGATTTTGCCTTGAAAACTCAATTTTCTCAACTTCCAGCTTCCGCGTCTTTACACGCATAAGGTCTCATTGCATTGCTTGTATGGCAATATTGAATGGGTGAACTTGAAGGATTTAATACCGAGGAAATTAGTTCATAATTAGTTGATCAGTCACAAGGTAAATAATTGAGTAGGGAGGTGGTCATCGTAAAAGAATGGTATGCTCGTATGCATACCTTTGCAGCATCAGACCACAACAGTTTATGAGCAAAACCAGATAATAAGCATACATTTTATTTGCTGTTGTAAGAAATCAAGTGTTGATTGATAGTGTCAGCTAATTTTTGTAAGATTCGTTCATTCGTGACGATGAAATGTCTTCATGCTTGATTAGCAAGATCGACTCCACCGCCTGTACGTCGATCGAGTTCGACTTACACAAGAGTTAAAAAAGTGATGACGACGATGTATAAGGTTTAGAAGCAGCATGGATAATCCTATGATTGCTCCTTCTCATCAATACATGATGACCAGTGACGGCTATTGGCAAATATTTTTGAATAATTTGCCATCAATAAATGGATACGCTCAAAATTAATTAATTACAAGGTAAACAGACAACCTCAGTGTGTAGCATAAATGTATCTTTCTAATCACCAAACAAAATGTTACAATGCAAAATTAACATATTGGGCGATCACGAAGGAAGGAGTGGACGGAGGATCATCAGTTCAATGAAAAGATGGCGTTTGATTCATGAGAAATTATTGCAAATTGTAATTCGTCGTTTGTTATGCGTAATGGGAAACGACAAGTCTTGGTTGGACTTGGAGTGAGGAGGATGCGTCGTCTACATAAGTACACATGCAAATTTGTAAGACAACCTCAGCCTTAAAATACAAATTTTTGCTGTGATGGTGTTTTAAAGGGTGCAGCGTGTTTATGATTAGTTTGTTTGGTAATAAATTGTCTGAAATATTTTTATTGCAGCTTCCATTTCATTCCAATCTCTGTATCGACATGCTCAATATTCTTGTGTGCATATCAAAGTATCAATGTAACATTTGTATATTTTATGCGTATGTGTACATATATATACATTGGAACGGATATATAAATATGCTAATTTTGAACTCACCTTTTGATACAGTGTTATTAGCAAGGCTGAGCTTTATGAGAAAGATTAATCAGAAATTAAAACTTTAGATTGTAATAAGCATATCAGTTATGCAGCCCATCAACCAGGTAAATTGTAGTCTTGCAAAGAAAAGTTCATTGAGATTTTACAAGTTGCACAAGATTTTGAATATTTAAAATTAAAAACAAGGGTAAAAGTTGGAAATAATCAATTGAAATCGTTCGTAAGAAATGAGCAGCAAAGGTTGCTATCGAATTCTCAGATCCTCGTGTCTTCGCATGCACTCAACGCCACAGTTCTTGCCTGCAGCAAATTGACGGAGGCAATTAGAGTCCAATCTACTTAGACACACGTCATTAGAACTGAGCGTACATGGGCCAAAATTAAGCAAGTGACACACCGGTTATACACCAAGTTGACATTCGAATGTCAGTCATCAACAAAAATGTGTAAGCCAGCTCTATTCTCCTCTGAATTGATTCGATATCATCAGTCGTGTGCTAAATAAAAGTTTAAGCTACTGAATGGCCAGATCTAAATATAGTGCGATCAGAGGAATCAGACTCCTTTTCATTTCATTAACTTTTACCTGAGGTGTTATCATGGGTTTATGTTGTATTTTAGCCGAGTCGATATGAGTCGGTCATAAGGTGTTATTCGTTCTCATCTCTCATTGTCTTATTAAGGGAGCAAAATGATTGCATAATAAATAAATTATAATGGCAATAAAAACTGAATCTAGTCCAAGATCTCGCTTTGGAATGTAAATGATTACTATGATTTTCTTTTGACATTATATTATACAATTCTGCGAGTCAGTTAGTCGTATTACTGGCACACCAGTTTTTACTTGGTGTAATTTCTCATCTTTATCATCTATTAAAACTAGGCACTTGTCGACATATTGTCAAATTGGTTGTTTTAACACTAACAAAATGCATGTTTACATCTTCATTCATGAACTTTGATGGTTCATGAACGAAGATGAGTGATCGAAATATGAATGCGTATACACTCCTAAGCTGTAATTTCTACAAAATGGAAGATGAGCGATACAGGTTGTTTATTTATACGAGTACAAAAAGCTACTTGCGAAATGTGCATGTCTGCTTTGAAAATTTTGAACCAACGAGTAAGGCATCGCACGTAGTCAGTTTTTAGTAATTTTTGATGCACTCCCACATGAAATAAGTCTAGGTCATCATCATTTCCCTCGAATCGTCTGAGAAGAAGTGTGCCTCATTACTAACCACTTTAAATGGTCATCCGATGAATTATATGGATAAGTTGTATGCATAAGTGTATGCACATTCTTGATCATATAAATGTATGTATATATGTAAGCATGTGAAGAAGTCTCGCAAACGCATGATGGGTAGTAAGCAAAAAATATTAATTGGCAAAAATTGGCCATATACCGAGCTTCTACGGTTTAATAAACTCATTTTAATGTACAACTTTAATTTACGCTCACGCATTACATATTATCCACCATCAACAGTCCGTCTGATTGATTTGCCTACTTATTTATACCAACAACGTGTTGGGGTAATTCCTTATATGACGTTTAGAAGAGGAAGGTTTCACAAATACTGCTATTATTGCATAAAATTACTTCTTATTGCCCATCTCTGTATTACTCAAGGCTTCAATGCAAAGTATTTGAAATGTGTTTATAAACTGACTTGCTGTCCCACGCTCGATCATTTACATTTCTTAAGTACAAATAAATTGTGAAAAGCCATCAACGAAATGAGCTATTCTGTAACATTTTTCTGTAATGTGTGTGTATTGTGATGAATTTGGGGTTAACAAAGGATCGAAATTTAAATATTTACGAATCCCTGCAAAATTAGATCATTTCTTTTATTCATTCCTGAATAAGACATACATAATTCGTTATGCACTTGGAGGTACACACATATCATGTACTTATTAGTGTCTTTTTTATCGAGGACACATTATTCCCCGTCCTCCATCCACGGGGAGGGTCGCTCTGAAATTAAAATGTATTTTGTTACCACCTGTGACACTGCAAATTTGTAAGAATTTATTAATAATACCCCGTCATAAATCCACTTAGTTCATTTGATGCTAAAAACACAATAGCTTTCGCAACTTCATCTGGTCCACCAACTCGTCCTAAAGCATGGGTAGCCCTTGAATGTTCTAAGAATCTGGAATTTGCAACAAAATTAAAGACATTACAAATGCTGATAAATTCCTTATTATGCAGATCTAATATTGCATATGGGTATACTTTTCATAAGCTTCATCACTCATTCCAGCTCGTTTATGAACATTCGTCTCAATGACTCCAGGATTAACCTGCATATTAAATCGTATCTTTAGATTAAAATAAATATGAAGTATTTAATTTGGTGTCGTCCTGACCGCATTGCAACGAACAGGAACAGAAGCCAGCTCCAAAGCGACGCATCGAGTGAATTGGTCGAGAGCTGCTTTGCTCATGCAATATGAGATGACATTTGGAAACTGCATTAACGAAACATGTATGTCACTTATAACTAGGGTTCAATATCACATAGAGATCTAATCTAGAAACTTATTGTTTTAAACCTCGTACAGATCTCAGACCTGTGACACTCGACACATTGACAATGCTCCCTTTGGATGCTTTCAAAAACGGAATTGCTGCTTGAGTCACAATGTAAATTGAGCGACAATTTAAATTCATTTGCTTATCGTAATCCTCCACAGACAAAGTTTCAATTCCACCAGTGACTAAACTTCCAGCTCCGTTTACGAGAACATCCAATTGCTCAAATTTCTCAATTGCTTCCGAAACCACTCGTTTACAGTCATCATCTTTTTCTAGGTCCGCAATTATTTCCAAAATCTGATCACAATGTACAAAATGTAAATAATTATATTTAGATCCAAAATTTAATAAATGGATAACTTATAATAAATTGAATTACAAAGCACACACCTCCGCCTCTGGAACTCCATGGGACATGCAAATGTTCGCCGTGTCCTTCAAAGCGTCCTTGTTACGCCCAACAATTGCTAATTTACATCCATTTTGTGCGAATTCGATTGCTGCAGATTTACCAATTCCACTACTTCCACCTGTTAAAGATTATTTTATATTTAATCGTGTATAATCAACGTATGGACAAAGTCTATTTTACCTGTGACCAGTACAACCTTGCCACCAAGTCCTGTTTGCAAACTACTGATGTCTTTACTGCTCATGACGATTTCAATTACATGCTACAAACCTATGTGTGTATAACAATGGAATTAAAAATTGGGACTGAAAATTTTATTAAAGACCAACTGATGTGGTTTGCAAAAAAACACGTGCAGGAGCTGTGTGGTGTTTGCCGCACAATAAATTGGCCGAGTATGAACGAAATTAGACGAAAACTTGCAAAAAGCTAACCTAAGGAGATGGAATTTGCAGCTTGCCAATCATGCAATTCTATTGATATCTCCAGATTACATATGAATTGTATTTTAATTTCAGAATAATGTTTCGTGTGAGTATGATTAGCAATGCTAATAACACCAAATTATAGCGTCAGTCAGAGGGGATAATTTATTGGACGTGGTGATCAAGTCGCAACGATCACATTTTAGTTGCCTTTTCAGTGTTAGACTTTTCAAAGTGTGCCTGAATTTGCTCCAAAGTTTTGCCACGAGTCTCTGGCACGAAGAAATATATGACCACGCCTGCAGCAAAATTGAAACTTGCAATTAGCCAATAAGTCCCATCGTTGCCCAGAAGTTGAATCAAGTCCCAGAATGTAAAAATCACAGCAAATCCTACAACTCGGCCCCATATTCCGGCCATCCCTGAGGCGAGTCCTGTAAAATTGATAATTACTAACTAATTGTTCAATCGGTAAATAATTGAAGTCTCACCTTTAGCTTTGGGTGGAGCTATCTCAGCTGTGATGACCCACGACAAGGGGACAATCCCGATACTGCAGGCAATGATATATCCGACCAAAGCTGCTAATGGGACCCAAGATATACTTTCCATAAATTGCGAAGATTCGCCATAAATATTTTTGAGCCTGAAATACAGTCCAAGCCCAATGAGGGAAAATACAATCATGACAAGTGAGACCAAAATCAATATTCTTCGTCCGATTCGGTCTGACAAGGTCATTGGAACCAACGTAGCAATCTAAAAGGACCAAAAAGTCGCAACAATGTGTCACAATTTTTTTCCTATGAAAGAATACTGGACTTTGTAATTTACGATTTGTATGACTCCAATTAAAATAGTAGAAAAGTATTCGTCGTAAGATCCAGCGGACTGAAATATCTCCACGGTCGCATTTAGAACTACGTTGATGTAAGTTCCTTGAAAGAAAGTCATTAGAGCAATACTCAAGAGAATTGGTTTCATCACGGCCTGATCTCGTAAAACTTCACGCCAGGAAAGGTGTGCATCGCACCTTCGGTTTTTAACAGTTTGTGAAACCTGTCAAAAAGTTTGATTCTCAACTTTCCGTATAATTGAGTAAATGCGCCCTAATAAATATGTAGTTACCAAATTTTGATTATACTTACCTCTTCAATTTCTTCTGATATCAGATGACCTGCATCTGCACCTCGTAGCCAGCACAATGACTTCACAGCTCCCTTATAATCATCCTTCTCCATCAAGTAGTACGGCGATTCCGGAACAAAAATCAGCACGCCAAATCCCACCACTGGTACAATAGCTGCTGCAATTGCTTGAATGTGCCAATCCATAAATGATCCTATGATATAGCTAGAAAATGTAATTAACAATTTATCTCTGCAAGCATACAATTAATCAATAGCATAGAAATAACGGAATATGCGTAATTTATAAAATTAAACTTGCACATAAAGTGTTCCAATGCAAATTGCAAATTCAAACATGCACATGAGTAATCCTCGAAATGGAGCTTCGACCGACTCAGCAATCAACAAAGGTCCAATAATCCCACTTAATCCACAAAAAATCCCTACAGAATTGGATTTAATAAAAATGTATGACAATTATACATATATGTAGGTAGACGTAAACAATCTTAAACAATTTCTTAGTACTATAATTGATAATAAATATTTACCAACAGCGACACGGGCAACCAGTATAACTGGAATGCTATTTGAAAATGCAATTATAAACCACGATAAGGACCCCGGTATGGAAAACCACAGTAGCGAATTTCGACGCCCCAAGTGATTGAGGCAAATTGCAGTGATTGGGCAAGCCAATAATGCACCAAGCTAAAAGAATGTGTGGTTCAAGTAAATTTGCTAAAAACATATTGAATATATGTATATTTAAATTGCCATTGGGGCCGATGTGATCCAAGAACGATCTGATTTAGTAAGATCTCCAAGATCTCCAGATTTGGCCATGCCTGGAACGCCAGTAGAAGACCAGAACCAACCCGCTCCAAGGGCAAACCCATTGATATTAGCTAAATCATATCAGATATTGAGTTTACGTTTCATTAGCTACGATTAAATTATTTCGATAAGGACAGCAATGAGGACTTGCAGTAAATCTGACCTGCGAGTGCAACAAAATATTGTGGGAATCTTTTCGCAACAAATTTTGTACTAAACGAGGTGTTGGACCCTCTCGGTTTTTTTTCTTGCTCAAATGATAAGGAATTACTAGAATCGCACTCTACTTTGCAGTCTCCCATTTTTGGTACAGGCGACCAATGTACTCGGAATAAGAGACATGGCTTACAGAAGAAATTGCTTATATTCGTTGAAATTGCACGTCGTTTTCAATATCATGGAAATGGACAATATTAAATATTGGACAGAATAAAGAACAAATCAATCCCATTTCTATTTTACTGTCAGTTAATTTTCCACGAACTAGCCAACTATTCGCAAAACTAATGCTACGCAAATATGTAAATATGCATAGACATGCAGAGGCACGTAATTTATGATCTCTTTTAGTATGATCCTAGGTTTGTGAAATCAATCAATCCATAATTATTCCCTGGTTTTGGATGATTGGTCACAAGGGTCTTTGCCTAAGAAAATGCACACACATAAAGTATCGTTTTTATTGATGATGTTTTTATCAGTCTGAACTAAACTTACGCGACTGAGTATTATGTAATAATTTTTGACCTAAGTTATGTACTGTTATACCTGAAATAATGGCAGCGATATCAAGATGTAGCTCGCGAATAGTGTCATTTAAGAGAAAAAGCTATTTCTCAATACTACTCGCATAATCATAATTTGTGTTTCATGTAAAAATAATATTCCACGTGTTCATATAGGATACATCATTTTTAGGAATGCGTAGTAACTTGCATAAAATTTGATCCTACAACTCCTGCAGGTAAAACAAACTCGCCAACCATGAAGGTCATGCCGTACAGATATTTTTCTTGAAATTTTAGTACAACTTGGTGGTGTACCATCCTGTTTACTTCATCTTGTGCTGCTAAGTTCCAAAGTCTTTGTTGATACATAAAACGCGAATGGATAAAATGAAAGAACATATTTTGCTCATAGCAATATTAATTAAAATTATGCCCTTGATATAATACACATGTATTTGTATGCTCAATGTAACATTATAATAATATATATTAAAAATATATCTTGGTGAAACCGTAATGCAATCAGTTAGCTCTATTTTTCTACAACGATCATTGTTTCCCAGCTATATATTTTAATGGAGTGGAGATATATTTCTCCGTAATATAATTGGACCAAAGTGCAGATTTACAAAGATTTCAGAACTTGAATATGATTTGTAACCCATGCACTTACCTAGAGTTAATAATAACGCTTATAATTTACATTTTACATATAATCAAGGTTTCTGCTCTATGTTTGATTCCAATACAGGCTCCTAAAGTCTTTCGGCAATATTTGAGTAGCATACCTTCAACAAATTGCATAGGTTGAATGCGATCTGCATTATGCTCAGGAGGAATTTTTCCTATTTCTAAAATAAACAAAGAATCCGTATTTCTTCGTTATCGTTTATTTTATTAGTAATAAAATTATGCGACAAATTTATATATGTATGTGTAATATTAATTTCAAAAAATTGTATAGACAAATCAACAAATTGTATTAACAAATTGTCATGCAGTCATGTCTTTTAAACGACCTCGGCCTACAAGTACAAATAAATTTAGTAAAAATAAATCGTAAATTTAAAATTTGTTATTTTGATCATGAAATGCTAACAAAATTCCAAACAGCCGCAACATGCTGAAGTATGTTGATTGGTATAAATTTTTGCGCAAGTAAATATTACAAGCTTTGACACTTTATCTATATACATATTTATATACTTTCCACAGAATTAAAATCATGCATCCTTATGGTCCTCGTGAAATACCTTAATACTTAAGTCTATATCTGACTATTAAATTTTGGTTCGGTCAGCTACGTAAATTGTCGTAAGGATACAGATATGCATTATTTATTTTGCGACTGAAGTTGAGGGAAATGATGTGCAGTTTTATAAAATAAAGCACTGACTCATCTCTTCGATTGTCGGCGTTACTTGTTTCTTTCTTGTTCCAAAAGTTTGAAATCTTTGCTATTGAGTTATTGTTGTCTGTCACAGTCACTGCACATCCGGTCGCGTTTTAAACCTGAATGAATTTGCAATGCAATGTCAGATGAAAGGTTTCAAAATACTTGATCAATTTCAGTGGCTGAGGAATTGCATAAAATAAATAGAATTTTAGTAAGTCAGTAAGTCAGTAAGTCACCAAATAAGTAACCATCACGTACATGCATCCATCTTTCATACACATCACTCAGTCAGAGGAATTACCCTCTTGCTTATCTATGAAACTGCATACAAAGCTGGTTCGCTGTGTGCAATGTGTCAGAGTACGAAATAAGAACTTAAATGAACGCTTGACTCAACAAAGAAAGTTGTGTTTCCTTTAGTTTGTTGCATACATTTTGGTCTAATTGAATTGCAGTCGACTGCATACATGCCATGCACATGCACGGTTCAAGCTTTGATAACCTCATAATAACTGAATAAAATTTCATTCTCGAATTCACAACCAGCACCGTTTTTTTGGAAGTGGTTGTTTTGTTCATGGGGTTGAGGTCTGTCGCATGCATAATATATAACGACCTCTACTACATAATGTCGTGATATCATTAAAATAATCTTGCCATTAAATTGTCCAACTAAATGTGACAATTTTCGTTGACGTAACTCTGATTTCAGAAGCGTTTTTGGTAATCATGTCAATATCAATAGTGCAAAGAAACATACAGACTTTGACTAAAATATAAAAGTTCTACAGGCATGCACGTTATATTAATGATAACCGATACGGTATCAAAATACAGAATAATGTCCCTACATACACTGCGCTAGTGTTCAAACAACCGTTAAAAATTGGTCTTATGCATATATGCAAGTACATATGTACATACATAGATGCAGTACTGAACTCTTAGCCAGACAGATTAATTTTTATGATAATTTTCACAGGATTGCTTCACATTCACACATTGACATTTTCAGAAGTGTTTACACAAAGTACTCCCTTATTGCAGCTGCGAAAGGATCTTAACCATCGTCGTTGATGTAAAAATATATTATTGGAAAAGAAGTAGCCAGGCTATAAATGAATGTAAAAACGAATTACTGGCGATAAAGTTGGCTCCAGTGGTTGGTTAGCCGTTAGCGATAAATAAATATTAAAAAGTCTTACGACTACATATCAAATGTCTCATGGAATTGACACTCCGTCGCAGTTTTTTAATCGTCTGAACTCGCAACGTTTATTTACTTATTGAAAATCATCCCTTACAAAATCTGCCCAACTGAAATTAGTCAAATATTTTATTACAACAGAATCATTAGCACAACTAATGGATACGGGATATCAAATTCTTTAAGCTTCAGGCGTCAGTCATGTTCAGAGGGCGGATATGAATTTATTTTGAAGTATTTCATTCGATGACGACCGACGGTCAGTCTTTGTGGGTATGTTCCATAGCTCTAAAGGGTCACAAAATTTTCAATTTTTTTTTACATATTGTTACATATTCCTAGATTTTCAGGCGTATCAATATTGCCGTTATTATTTAAAAAAATGTAAAGTTTCAAATATGTGAGACGAAATTTTTTTCCTCAAAGAAATTGAATTACAAAAAGATCATCCAGAGGATCAATATATTCAAAAGTACAAATGATGTCAAAATTCTTGTTTTTACGGTTTTTTTCATACATATTTAGCAAACCCATATTTTAGATATTTTTCACAAATACATATCCACCCTCTGGCCATATTCTTATAATTTTTGTTCAGTATTACATTAGAAGAGAAGGCACGCACATGGCACATGTAAACCTAAATTATTTTCGTTATACTGTAAATAACCTTCGGCTAATGTCCAGACATCGTCACGGACATTTGTCCAAATTAAAAAGTGTCTGCCATTGGTTTGCATATGAATCACAAACATACAACCGAATAATTTCTATCGCCCGAACGCAAGAACAATGAGATAGTGAGATGCATATTTAATTGATAATCTCATGTAAAATAAATCTTATGGAAAATCAAGGCACAATTTTGTGAGATTAATGTCCAAGTTCCCAACTCTTGATAATCTGTTGGCATTGAACAGTTTATCAATTTTGCACGCTTACATTTGTAAACGTCTACATGAGGGAGTTAAATACGACTAATTTGATTTGTACTATAAAGTTATGCAGGCAAAGACGGCAACTTGTGTTCTTTTTAATTATTCTACAGAAATAAGTCATGCAAATAAGCTCAGATTCGAACATTAAATGTAATCTAAGACTAAAGAATGTTTACTTCCAGTATAAATAAAAAAATTGACACTGATTAGCCACACAGTACCCGCAAAATTGTTGATACTCAAATGCCAACCAGTAATGCTCACAATGCAATGTCTCTAACATCATACGTAAACAGAATACATACACATATTCACATTATATACACATATTCACATTACATACACATATTCCTTGACACATTGTCAAGTGACCACCATACATACGAAACTTACTAAATAAACGAAGTAAATACATACAAAAGTAAGCTGTAGAATAAAACCTGGAGCACTTTCCTGTTTCCTGCTTGAGGCAAATGTACTTCTGGCAGCACAGAAACGTCAGGTACCTGACTTTTCAAATATGAAACCACGCAAGAAGGGTTCTCCTAATGCTACCTTCGCTTTGGCACCTTAAAGGGAGTAAAAAATAAGAATATGCTTCTCATCACGGACTCCATTTAGCTCAAGGCTCACCAAATACCTTGTAAACGGAATAGGCACAAAGAACTACGAAAAAGTAAAAAGGTTTCAGCGATCCACTCAAAGCATTATTACTACGAACTCATCTTTCAGTCTCTGGTCGATGGAATGGAAAAAGAGAAAAATCGAGCTGGAATAGTGTACCTGCAGTGTCATTTTTTACTGGATGTTGTTATATTTAAGAGGGACATGTTTGCCAGTCCCCAAGTTTTATATGTGTCTACGTAGGTACGAAAGTAGCAGTGCCGTCTTATTTTCTGCTTGGTTTACTCCGACTCCACCTTAAGCAAAATAAGGTGAAATGAGTATACATATATAAGAACACTGACCGGTGTCGAAAGAACAAAGACTGCAAATGGGAGCCAACTAACTTCGTTGCGATAAATAGTCGTGAAATTGTATTCGATTTACTTATTTATGATTTACCCTTTCTTCTTCGTTTACCCCTCATTCGCCCCATTTTATTGTTTAGTTAGCGTTGGTGGTCGTGAAACTACAATTTGCGACGGACCGATTCACTGACGGTCGGCTAAAATCAAAGCTGCCAGAAAGCTGTGCTCAGCAACAATATATGGAACACGATCAGTGCTAATAGTGAGTACACGTATACGCGTATTTGTTCAGTAATTGGAATTAGGTTGTGCCTTGTAGTGCATCAAAATAGTTGCGAGCTAAACTAACACGAGTAGTGGGACTGAAATACCAATATCATCGTGGCGTGAGATGCCATTTGAAAGCAACCACTTACTTGCATACGTACAATAATATCGTGACAGTTGAATATTCACATTACGGTGTCACGGATCAAAAATTTATGAGAAGCATCCAACAATTACTCAGATATGTTTGTGCTTCTGAGAACATACTGACATCCAAAATTTTTAAACAAGTGTTGTCAACCTTGTCCTGCAAGTAAATATCTTAAGATATTCTGCACAAGCGGAAATTATAATTCTCAAGATTTTGCGTCCGTCCTGCAAACCAGGTAAAAAAGGGAACAGTTTTCATTATGCTAATAATTTCATTCACATGCCACCCATTTTTTGGACAAGACACATTTAAATAAGTAAACCAAGCTACTGTACAAGCGACACGACTTGACGAGTCCTCTTATTCCATTGAAATAGAGTGCATATTATGTGTCCGACCGAATAATACAAGAACCTAGTGAGACACATCATCATGAGACACACATTCATGGGCGTACAAATCCAAGGCATAAGGTTTTACGCTATTGAGTGCATCAGATATTGTACATGCATGCGGATTAGCATTTTGCATACACATTAGTTTGGACTATATTGCAAATTTAATTCACTGCAAAAACAAAACCACTCTTTTGTGCTCTTGCACCAAGTCTTTTGCCGTTGAGCTTGTGTGCTAACGCTGCTGACAACGAGCGAGATAATCACCGGTTGGATTGGATTTGGCATTGATTCATCCTTCCCATCAACAATACATAGATGCGAAGCTTGCTTTCGCACGTATATGATGTAAACCATGCTAGGAAGCACCTGCACCTTCAGAATTCAAACAATTGTTGAGACTCTTATTTCTAGATTGGTCTCTGCAGAGTGAAATGTAAAAAGCAAGTCTAGCATTTCCACCACAGACAGCGTAATACTTGTTGCTTTGCTTTTGGCACATGTTGTTATTATATACGTACAATCCACCCTTCGACATAATTTTGCAGTCCATACTCCCTCACAAACAAACCCAACCACGAAAGAACTACCCCAACCCCATCATAACAGTTTTCAAATCCGATCTGTGCGCATCACACGGAAGATTTGGTGCTTATGTAGAATCACGACGAGGACAACGTTTTAAATGGTTTTAACACATTTGGACTTATTCTGTGTGAGTAATAGACTCTGAATTTTGAGACTTTTATTGCGAGAGGAAGTCTGCATGAAATCCACCATTTTTGTAACCTGCAATTCTTTGTAACCTCCAGTGTGAATTTGGCCATCCATAAATCATAAGAATAAGCCCTGGCTCGGGCCAAGTAAGCAGGAAATATTCAACACCTTTGCTACGAATATAGTTCGCGAACCGTTTATCTACCAACCAAATTCCAAAGCAGATACAAAACGACAAAATAAAATCCCGTTTTGTGAATTTTAAAGAATTGCTGAGTGGTTGTCGGTGATTTGTTGGTCGTATTAACAGCGAGTGAGAAATAACGTGCGTCCCATGTTGGTGTGCCTTGCTTAGGATTTATTGCGGTTTTTAGTTCATTTGTTAAATTGGTTACTTGCATCATCCCCGTTCCGAATGAATAGCGGGGAATTATTTGTGCAGTTACACACGTATGCATAGCAAACCGAATGATTTGATAATTATATACGCGGAAATAAATAATGTTGAGCTTCGCGAGATTTCGAAAGATTACAACAGAATGAGATACATTTGGAATTGGTAAGATTTTATTTTTTGGCAACATTTTATGCACCGAGCGACAGACTGCGAGATTGAGCATGCATACATAAGAGAGCTGTGAATTCAATTAATTACGACCAATTCGTATTTTTTGAACCAAATATCTTTTTAACTCGTTAAACGACAACAAGTGAATGTGTATTCATTTCAAGGTTAGTGGGTGGAATGCAACTGTTGTGTGCTGGTCGCCACTGCACTGATATAGTTTTCTTTATGCAATTCTGAAGAGGCTTAAAAGCTAAACTTTAGATTCATGGACACATTCTGCACCTACTTGCATTTTGCATATGAATTTGTGCTAGAGTGAGAATTGACAGTTGACTCGTTATGTTAGTGGGCTTCAAAAATAAATGGTTCCAAGGCTATTCATCGGTCAATTTCGCCCACGCTGTACGTATGCAAGGCAACTTTAGCAAGAAGAGTTGGACGAATGGAAAAGCAAATGGTAGATGGATGATGTGATCTGATTTGTACTTTTAACTTTCAATTCCGTATGTCCTGCCACTACCAATTCATGCAAAAAATTGTCGTACTTTGTTACTTCACTATCCACACCGGTGTCAAAATTAGGCAGTTGATGGTAAACAGTAACACTTCAGTAAGAGACTCGTCATCGTTGCTAAATATTTCTCCAGTTGTTGCATTACATCACACTCATTTGGGTACATGCATATTTTCATCTTTGGTATTTTCTGACGCATTTCTGACCAGTGACCACCCACACCCAATTCTAAGATCCTTATTCTGAACCGTTCTTGTTTGTTCTGCAATGACTCACTCAGTAATTGAATGACCATGAAGTACACCATATTAATAATCGCATATTGACATGTTGTAACATTCTCTGTCATAAAACTCCAACGTTTAATAACCATTGTACTTGTGCTTTGAATTTCAGATAACAGAGAAACCAAAGACAAATTCCTCGACGACTGTTCCCAATGTCACATTATTGACATTATTGTTCTTTACTGACTGAGCTCAAACTCGCCAAGTGAACGATATCTAAGGAAGAAACCAAGCAATTAAAGTGGCATTATTGTGCCATGTAGTGCTCCGAGTGACAGACAGTCACAAAGCTTGTGCCACACTGAATTGTTGCTGGTGGCTTCAAGTGTAGTGAACAAGTGAACTGTGGACAAGTGAAATTTCCTGATTTGGTTGGTGCTCAGTGTTAAGTTTGATTGATTCAATCCAACAATTCGCCATTATTATTCAGTTAACAGTGTCAGTGTCAGTGGAGAAGGATCAGCTTAACAATGGATCTTCTTAGGCTGAAACACCTGTGTCTCTTCTTATCCATCGCACCCCTCGTTACGGCTCAATCTGGGTAAATCTTAACGAGAATCTTATCTTCTCTGTGTGAAATGTATTGTGACCACTTTTCCTATTACATAAACGTTTTAGGGGAGGTGTTAAAATAATTGGAATGAGATTGAAAAATATTTGACCACTTTCATTTAATTCATAATGGCGTGTCATTAATTTGAAGAAATGTCTTATTTTTCCTCATTTTTTGATTTTATGTACATGTCTCATGTAGAGTGTAAATTTTAATGAGCGAGTTTAATAGACATTTAAACTAGCTGCTGCTTGGGCCAAGATTTAAGTAGAAAACTTAGTGACATATGTAGGTATTAATAGGAAGTTAGTTACTATAATTAGGGTAGTTAATTAGTAAAATGTTGACAAAAGTTTTTAGTGATTATAAATTAAGAGAGTTATTTTATTCAGAAACTGTGAACTGTGATGCAACAATGGTAATAATGCAATATTAGTATTGTCCTGCCCTTGTTGATCATGATGATCTGCAACAATTTCCTATCAACTGTACAGACTTTATTATGTATGAGCTACTGCGTAGGTGGGCAACAAGGACAACAATTCGATTTCATTTCACCGACTAAAACTTTTACAATTGAATTTATTACCTTTGCATCCACTGCATATCGCAGGTCTATCTCATTACCTTCCATCCCCAAGTTTGGACGTGACTGGTTACAGTTAACGACCTTTGCTAACAAAAAGCAACGCTTCCTTTAATACGTAATTTTTGTGTTATTAGCAAGTGCGGAAATTTGAAACCAGAAATGTACTTATCAGATTGAATCAAAATCAGATTGCCCAAAATCTAAAGCTTTATCTCATCCTCATCGTAGTATGTACATACATAAATCGTGAATGAGAACCATGTTTGTAAGGTAGCAAACGCCCATTATCAACTGCTAATCAATGACATCACATATGTATCATAACATTTTGCACTTTTGCTGATGGGATAAAGAGACAGACTCAATGTTGTTGTCCCAAAATGGGCTTACACACACACTTTCGATTTTTGAGATGAAATTATTCTAATGCACAACCTGTGTTCATAGGCCCATTAACTTAGCACTTTTATGCGCAATTTTATTTATCATAGACTTGTGACATTTCAAGTATTTTCGTTTTTTAATTTTAATCTTGACAAATGACGTGAAAATAAGACTGTGAGACTGCAGAGAAATATATTTACGACGATCATCTTGTATTTACATTCTGATTTTCAATGTTAATTCATCATATTCCGAAATCTAGCATTAAAACAATAATACTGCAATCGATTCATGAGATGCTAACAGTGATTGTGTACGTTTTAAAAATCCAGGACCTACACCATAATTGCCCCTCGCACAATTCGCTCCAACCTGCCGTACAACGTGGGGGTGAGTGTGGAGGCAGATTCGCCAGTCCAGGTCGTCGTGTCCATCAAGTCACGTCACCTTTCCGGAGGGTCATCCGGCTCCACACAGCAGACGACAGTGGATCCCAAGGCGGCCACCTCTCAGTTGATCACGCTCCAGGTCAGTCATCCCCTCAATGAAAATGCCACCACTCGCTCTCACTAATTGGCATTTCTGCAAATTAATATCCTCACCCATTCCATTGTTCATTGGCTCCAAAATAAGTTCAGCGGAATCAGGTTCCTTGGCTTCCCGACGCATTAAATTACGTATGTGGCCAAAGTTGGGCATAAGAGTCTTATTCATATTCTTCGTACATAGATATTTGCATGCTCGTGCCCATGCTGGGATCGTAACAAATGGGGATGAGAATTTTCGCAAAGGCTAGCGTCATTTATCTAAATTCGTGCAAAGCAGGTGTTGCGTATGAAAGTCTCAGTCTGCATGGCATATCAATTACTCAGCTTCTGAGCTCTGCAGATTCTGAGCAATTGAAGACCAAATTAATGATGAGAATTTAAGTAAAGTTCTCCATTGAGTTGAAGTTATGCTTTGCTGGCATGATATATATGTGACCTCTCCTAACCTTCATTGCATGAGAAATCCATGAATAAAGCTGGATATTTTTGCAAGTCCATTTTTCGAAGGTATAAGTTATATCTTTGTATTATGTGTCTCGAATAATAGTATGCATACTTTTTGGTCTTTAGTGACCAGACAATATCAGCATCGCTTGGTGTTTTGGCATCAATCTGATTTTAATATATGCCAAATTTAAAATAATTTAGCATCATTTATTCAGCTTCAGTTTATTCCCTTTTATGTAAGCATGAGACTGTCAACCATCGTAATGCTATTGCAAACATAAATATATGTATAGGCAGAAAATAGTTCATTAAGTTTTGAGCAAATTTTAGATTTACGTTCATTCAAGAAGGTAGCAAAGTTGACCCATAAGACTGAAATGTGTCCCATTACACATAATCCTTTGTAATTAGTATAAAATATTTTTTAAATTGTATTGTCACAATTTTGTGAACAATAAGCTTTATGACATCTTCGTCATCACGAATTTGAACCATTCATCCGCAACCATGCCCAATAATTATTCTGATTCGTGTCATTGTTCTCCAAAACGAGACCCGTTTATTTAACTGGGCTAAATAAAACGTTAATTTCCTTAATTACAGCATTAAATGATTAGCGCGAATAAGCCCACACAATTGTAAATGGTCACGACTCATAAGCATTTGCCCGTATGAAACAGATCTAGAATTATTAGGCGAAAATTAAAACTATACACATTTCTCTATCATCATCGCCATTAGTGAAACTCAATAGCGAAATGTTTCTTCTATTGTATTAATCCTAAGTAGTGCGTCATATTATTGAAACACTAAATCAGAAAATTCTTTATGTATTGCCATTTATGTATATTTCCATGCACCAAATTGTGTACATTACAAGCTGTACTTGTACGTACTTTAGCAAAATTCATGTTTAGAAATTGTATGATCGTAGCGATAACTATTTTGCAACCTTTTTCCAATTGAAATATCTCAACACGAAAGACCAAATTACTACTAAATCGGAATTATAAGGCGTTGCACAGATGCATAAATATCTAAGACTGGGAAGTCATAAACATGGCTAATTGGTCATGCATGATTCTCTCGATTATATTAATACCAGATAAAGAATAAACCTTGTATGGGGACAAGAGTGACTGATTTTGGCATCTTTATCATTTATAGAAACACATTTGTGCTAATTACACTCTATTGAAGATTTCAAGCATATGTCTGTGCTTGTTGTGGACTCGTTATTTCTCTTAAATGAAAAGAAACACAATATTTGCAGTACAAATTTTGCACTGCCACTGATGCCACACAACATGTTTCTGATATGCTAATTAGAAATAGAATTCATTAGTATCGCAAGATTTTATCCCAAGTGGGATTGTTCTACTCACACGCATGCATATGTACTACATGCGATGGGGAGTGCTTGCAGTATTGAGGCAGCAATCAAAATGATCATGTTCACCCGATTTTAAGTTGTGTTATGTATACAGGTTGGAGATCTTGTTGATGGTGGAAGCTATAACTTAACGGTACGAGGTCGCCATTATAACAAAAGCAGAAGCTGAGTACCAAGAGATTAGTTCTTATTTTGTTTTACCAGGTACGAGGGACCGGAGGGCTGAATTTTGAAAACACGACAGAATTGATTTACAGTCCAAAGAGGTATACTCATGAAAATTACCCTTTCATTCAGTTTTGATGCCGACAAATTTTTAACAATCCGTCACTTGCAGCTCCTCGATTATTATTCAGACTGACAAACCGATTTATAAACCAGGTAAATACATGTTTTGCTATGTTTGCTATGCATATATGTATGCAATTATCAGCCTGTGAAACAAATGCAAATGTACACAAAAATGCTTTTTACCCATTTAGGAGAGTTAGTGCAATTTCGAGTGCTCTACTTGGATCGATCATTGCGACCCAAGGGACCTGGGACTTTGGACATTGTGGTCAAGGACAGCCAGGGAAATATCATCAAACAATGGAAAAACATTGTTGTCCAAAGAGGCATGTTTGCAGAACAATTGCAACTCAGTTCCCAACCAAATCTGGGGGATTGGACAATGGAGGTGACTGCACAAAATCAGAAGGAAACTCAGCAATTTGGTGAGCAGTCACATTTTACGTTAGATTTTGACCAATAGTATAATCGAATTGGGTGAATATTCTCCCAACAGCGATTGCCGAATACGTTCTGCCCAAGTTCAATGTGGACATAAACATGCCTTCCTTTGGAACTTTTAACTCATCAAAAATTACGACAAGAGTTCGTGCTACGTAAGTTGTCTCTTGGATTAATCCATTGTCAATGCTTTTTTGCACCAACAATGTAGGTTCTGCGCATAAAGTACACGTTTTTCATCTCAACAGTTTACCAAACTGTTTCTTTGGTTTAATAACTTTTATTTGAGGGTATTCATTTCGAGTTCGCATCGTTAGCAACGTTCGCAAAACAATAAAGTTCGCAAGTTCGCAAAAATTATTGGCTTGAAAATTGACTTGCGAACTTGCGCATCTCCAAGGCTAGTATTTAGTTCGCAAAATATTTTTCACAAATTTTGCAATAGGAAAACTCCATAAATCTCTATTGGTTACGGAAGTTTGGGGTTTGGAATTTTTGAAATTTCTTATTTGGTAAATTTGAGACGCATTTCGGTAACTAATGGAAATTAACATTTTTCCCATTGCAAAATTCGAGACATTTGTATACCAAATTTTCGCAAATTTTTCATTTGCGAAGTGTGTTCACTTTGTTGCTTCGCAAAATTCGCAATTTCGAAAAAGTTATGTTGCGATGCGAACATGCGAAGTCCTAATGAATACCCTCATTGAATTGCCAATTTGCAAATAGCATAATATGGGAAACTACGCTCTTTTTTTACTGTAAATCATGACAATTATGAACAACCGTAAGAAAGAACCGTAGAAGCATACCTACTTTTAGATATGTACAAAGAAATCACAAAACCAAGTGACTTCACCAATAAAGTCATAAACGAATGAATACCAATTGGTATTGGTATACCAATTGGTATTGTTCCGATGATAACCGTTCATGTTTCGATGATTCGATGAAGTAATTTGCAATTATGACAGATTAGAGCAGTGAAAGGTACTCAATATTACAAGATACACGACTTCTCTAAAATAATTTTTTTTCTGAGAAGGAAGGAATTAATTGAATATTGCTAAAACTGCTTTCATTCATTTTTACATGGCTATTATTATTCTAACCAAGGCCAGATCTAAATTAGGGTTAAACCACAGTGAAAAAATGAGTCAACTTGACTTCTATGCACTTAGATGCTTCTTATTATTTACTACCGAAGAACCGGAATGCAAGATTTTAGATGCTAAGTAATGTTGAGCAATGCAAAATTTCAATTTCCAAAATAGAATGCAAATTATTTGCAAATTTTGCAATGTGCAGCCAATGCACTAATATGGTTTTTTAATGTATATGTATTCTGTGCATACAACTCGTGTGTGTGTGTGGGATGATGATCTGTGTGGGTTTGTTTATTAAGGAAGATACATAAGTATGCAAGTATTTAAATGGAACAATAACTTGTCTCAAAAAATACCAAGATAACTGTCATGTGAAAATTGAGCCAAGATCAGACCAACTAATGCTGATGGTTAATGATACATAATTTCAATATCTGTGTGATGTGTGAAAACGTTGAACAAATTCTGCGATGCACTTCTTTGTTCTATATATTCAAATATGTTCATGCCGCAGGTACACTTATGGACAACCTGTAAAAGGAGAATTGGTGATATCCGCATACCCTACAATTCACTCGTCTTACATCCAACCTGTATTTCCTGGGGTCGTAAGAAAAACAGTGCAAATTAATGGAGATGCAGAAGTCGAGTTTGATTTAGCCACAGAACTTCAGTAAGTAATTCAGCTCGCTCGATAAAACGATGACGCAAATGATTATTGATAGAATTAAAATGAAAATGTGTCATGATTGCTTGATTATTTTAACACTAAAGGTTGACAGATGATTATCAAAGATCAATCCAAATAGAAACAACGGTGACAGAACAGTTGACAGGTCGTCAGCAAAATGCTACCAAAACAATTGTAAGGACTGTTTTCCAACAACTACATACACAAATAATACAGATATTCGTCACCTCTTAAGCGTGGTCTTGTGAGTAAAGCAAATGCCGTATTTTTTTAGGTTTTGCACAAGTACGAGTACAAGCTGGAGATTGTAAAGGGATCGGAATCCTTCAAACCTGGGTTGCCCTACACAATCATCATCAAAGTGGCTACGCAGGATGACGTCCCAATTTCAGATCCGAGGACAGATGCCCTTCAAGTCAAGCATGGATTCTCCTACAACCACGATGAATTTCAAATGTCTACATATCCCATCCCTCCCAGTGGATTGGTCACGGTAAGTTTATTTCATAGTCCTGAACATTCCGTATTCCCGAAATTTTATTCTGCACATTTTATTGTTTTTAGCTGACTTTTGATGCGCCAAAGAACGAGTCTTTAGTTGCGCTAGGAATCGAAGCCACTTACAAGGACCTCACAGAATGGTTCCCCACAGTACAAAAAGCATTGTCTCAATCTAATGTAAGAAATGCAAAATTGCACAAAGTGAATAAGGTTTACATACCAGTTCATTTCAAATCAAGATTTTTATTACCTTAGGCTTATATCGAAGCTGTAATCAAATCCGGCAATCCCACGGTGAGCTGAATTTTTATACATAGAATTTTCTCAATTGCATGACGTTCACCCATTTGTTGTCTAAATACACGAGATTATGCTCACATTAATCAGATACAATTTGTATATAGGTGAATACTGAAGTTGAAGTCGACGTAACTGCAACAGTCCAATTCGACACATTGTATTACGAACTTGTAGGAAGAGGGTGAGGAATTGATTTTTAATTAGAAATTCTTACCACTGAATGTAACTTGTAAAATACTCTAATCAAACCAATTTATTACATCAATCGCATCATTTACTTGTTACTTTTACAAATTGTACGTAAACTGAAAGTCATTTTTCATAATTTTGTAATTTTTTATAGGGATCTTCTTATTTCGAGAAAAGTCAGCCTTCGTAATCCATCAGATCGACTCAACTTCCGAGTTTTGGCTCCAATAAATTCTGCCCCCAAAGCCACGTTGATCATTCACATTATTCATGAGAATGAAATCATTGCGGATGCAGTCGAATTCAATGTGGGAGGGTCACTGGATAATTTCCTCAACATTACGATGACGGCAAATCAAGTGGAACCTGGAAAGGATGTGGAAATTGTTGTTGGCTCCAGACCAAACTCTTTAATTGGATTGCGAGGAATTGATCAATCTGTGTTAATTTTGAGGCAAGATAAAGACATCAATCTTGCCACTGCAGAACGTGAGTTGGAAGCCTGGAATTCTATCGACAGGCCCAACAGCAATTTCCGGTTTAAACGATCCTTGTTTGCTCCAAGTGGTGCTTCCACTGCATCTGCTGTTTACGAGGTACGCAAATAAATCAAGTTCTTCTTGTCAGAGTACCAGAAAATTACTAACATACCAAAATTGGAACTGATTACAGAAAGCTGGACTCGTCATTTTGACAAATGCAGTTGTCCACCAGCAACCCCCAGTTGGTATGCTCATTAATACTATAAAAAGTAGTGAATATGCAACCAAAGATTATCCTATTTACATTAAGTTACACCAAAAGACACAATTTAAGCACACAACAAATTCATCATTGAAGGGTTATAGTTATTAACAACACAACCCTAATCAAGACCGAGGCAACACACTACTAAAAATAATTAGTAATGCGGTAATAACTGAAAATGCATTATTTTCGATTGCTCACTCACATCAAGATATTTGACACTTTATCACCCTAAAGTTATTTATTCGTAGATATTACTGAACGTCAAGTAATCGTGCACTCATGCATAAATAGCATTTCGTAGTGCAGTGGACGATTTGTAGCAAGACGGATTGTTTGAGTTGTGTATAAGCTAATTTCTAGACGTGGTCATATTATTCTTGTAGTTGTATTAAGAAAAGGAAGGCTGCAGGATAATTACGATGACCAAAATCGTCCTCAACAACAGAACCATGATTTGGAAGCCGATTCCGAAATGGATATCGTGAAAGGCGAAACGTATCCCAAGTTAAACAGAAAGCCAACAATTATGACACGAACTTTATTCCCAGAGACTTGGTTATGGGAAACGATACCAGTACGGTAGGGTGACAATCGAAAAATAAATAATAAAAAATGCATGGACACTTCATTTCTGCTTCGCTTAAGCTTTTGTGTCTAAAATCATAACTTATGAATTTACCCGTTCCCGTAACCAGTTATCGAGTGACACATGTAACAGTAATGTTCAATTTTTTTTAAACACGGACAAAAAAACGACCTAAGGACAAAATGAGGTCCTTATTGTATCATCTATCCTGCTATTTATTGACCCTTTAATACTGATTTTTTAACATTTAACCTATTATAGTTTTCTACCGAGCGAATTTCATGGACGATTTAGATATTAACCCCCAAGCCGAATCTACAGGAGGTAGAGAGCTCAGTGATCCTCAAGATTTGGCCAATATTCGAACACGGAAATATTTTCCTGAAACATTCATTTGGGAAGAATTAACTACTGGGTGGGTAAAACACGTTGTCTTCTTCATCCACTCTCTAACCATAACCATAATTTTTACTTATCAAATCTACAACGTGACGCATGACTTCCATACACACACCTGTCAAATGTTTATTTATGTATATGCCTGGTTTTATGTCACAATATCCAGTCGCTATACAAATACTGGTTGTGTGCAATTTTCTACAACTTTACTTTCTACTTTTAACAATTGCTTGTATTTGTAGTACTAACTGCATAGGTAATTGACATGAAACATCACTTTACTTAATTTAGTCTTTTTGCATGTGCTTTTTGTATGTAAATATGTATGTTTTTAGTCGGGGATCACAAACTATCAGCAAAACGAAAACATAGCCTGCATGAAAAAATACAATTACTCAATTTCACGATGAAACAAGTTCAAACTCTTCATCTTTATTGTATCACTTTTTACGATTAATTGCCTTTTATTTCTCAATCTTACTCGTATTTAGGACTCAGAACGTCGGACAAGGCGAATCCACGACCAATTCGACCATTTTATGACGCGTCTCTGGCAACTTCCTCACTGCGGCCTGACATTGGTCCACCCATTTCATACAATGGGCCTACGCGAGGTCCACTTCAAGGACCTTACGCGTTTTCTCGGATTCCTAGACCAAAGCTTTCTCCTTATCGAATATTTCTTAGCAATTTGAAACAGCTTCCTGCACCCACTTGGATATTCAACAGTTCCTTAACTGGGTATATTCACGTCATATTCACTCTCGTTCTTGTTCTACACAATGACAATGCCATACTGTAAATAAGCTTTCTGTGTATGTAAAATTGTAGTTTGTGTACTTTTTTATCAGTGTGTCTAAATGTTGATGATAAGTATTTCATTTCGTACTGTTTCGATTTCTGCTGAAATATGGCTGTCTGATTGCAATTCATATGCAGTTCCAACTTTTATTTATATCGACAGATGAATAATGGATGCAATACCACTCAAATAATAATTTGCTCAATAATTATTCACAGATATGATGGGCGAAGCAAGATCAAGAAAACTGTTCCCGACACAATTACCTCTTGGGTAATTTCCGGATTCTCTTTGGTACGTATGTAAATAATCTATACTGAAATTTTGTTAACTTTCATGCATAATTGTATTTATGTACATGTTGCATTTGATTTTTTTAACGCAGGACAACGTATATGGTCTTGGAATTTCTGATGTTCCAATGAAACTGAAGGTGTTTAGACCATTCTTCATTTCGCTGAACATTCCGTACTCCGTTGTGAAAGGGGAAGCCGTTGGAGTTCAAGTTTTGGTTCATAATTACATGGAACGCAATATAAATGCGGATATCACTTTGGACAACAGTGGAAATCAGTTTTCGTTTACGCAAGATGAGAACGAAATTGAATCCAGTAAGATCAATCCATCCAAGATATTATTCTGATAACTAAATTAAAAAGTGTGCATATACTAAATACGATATTATAACGACTGTGTGTTGCAGGGGTGGAGCTGTATCGAACGGAGAAAGTCTCAGTTCCAGCAAATTCTGTCAGCTCTGTCACCTTCCTCATCACCCCAGTGAAACTTGGTCTGATTGACCTCAGCGTTAAAGCAGAGTCTCGAATGTATGTCAAATTGATATATTAAAGAAAATATTAAAGCCATCCAGTAGAAAGTGTATGGAGATGTACACCTCACAAATTTAGTTCCGTTCGATATAATTACTATAAATTCCAGTGCTGGAGACGCCCTTGTCAAAATGTTGAAAGTTGTACCTCCTGGTCAACCCCAAAAGCTGAATAAGGCCATCATGATCGATTCCCGACGACCATCATCCGTTCCTCTGAATTTGACGACAAAGTTTCCAGCCAAGCGTGTTCCGGATTCTGACTTTGTTAAATTCACAGTTGTCGGAGACATTCTTGGGCCGGCAATTACCAACTTGGACAGATTATTAGGTGATATTATAACCCTCAGGATCAGTTGACTTGTTTCTAAGCAGTCCAAGTTCACGTATCAAACTAAAAACTTGCACTATTTTAGAAATGCCAACTGGCTGTGGAGAACAGAATATGATCAAGTTTGTCCCAGATGTCGTGATTCTAGAATATCTTCAGGTACGTATGAAACTAAGTACCCGGTAAATATTTAGCTGTAATTGCTGTTCGACCGTGCAATATACACTTGTCAACTTATCCTCAAATCTGACAATTATAGGCTACAAGGCAACTTTCAGAAGCCACACGAGCAAAGGCCATTGAATTTTTGGAAATTGGTTATCAGCGACAACTTTCTTATCGTCATGAAGATGGGTCCTTCTCAGCGTTTGGTCCCATAAGTAGCAATTCGGGGTCAACCTGGCTTACAGCGTTTGTGATCCAAGCTTTCATTTCAGCAAGACCATACATTTTCATTGACAAAGCAATCATCGAAAAAGCATTGACATGGCTGGTTAGCAAACAAGAAATCAGCGGAAAATTTAAAGAACAAGGACGAATTTATGGTATTGAGTTCAAATTACTTATTAAAGCTTTTTTCCTTATGCACAATTTGGATGCCGAAATTGAGAAACTTTGACAAATTCGAATCAGATACCAACCTCCCTGGTCAGTCGTCCGAAGGCTTGGCACTCACAGCATACGTCACTCTGGCTTTGCTAGAGGCGGAATCCGACTCTGACATTAAGACGGACTCAAGATTCGCCACGGGTAAAAATCTGGCTTTGGACTTTTTGACACGAAACTTGGAAGGCTTGACGGATCCCTACGCTGTCAGTATCATCACCTTTGTCTTAACGAAGGCGGATCACTATTCGAAACAAGGAGCTTTCAACATTCTCGAAGGGTAAGCTGACAATTGACAAAAATGCACGGACAACTTGATTTCAGCTTCGCGACTTTCATACGCACACACGACCGAACAAATTCTAGTACAAATGATACTGAATGAAAATTAATCATTAATTAATCATGACTTTCTCTTGCAGATTGGCTAAAATTTCTGGTAATGACGCTGAAAATTTCCATCTGAATTTTCGATACGAATTACGATTACCAACTTTGGTTGTTGTTTACAGATGATGGTCAGTTCAAGCACTGGGAGACTATCAAGTCTGCAGAAGAAGAAAAGAACCCTTGGTCTAAAAATCCGAGACCTATTGGAATCGAAGCATCTTCATATGCCCTGTTGACATACAGTCAACGTAACTATGTTGGTAAGTTAGTCGTTAGAATTACGCATTATAATTAATTATATCAATTAATGCACATTATCGCAACAAATAGGCGACTCCATACCTGTGGTTCGATGGCTTCTTGCCCAGAGAAATGCCAACGGAGGATTTATTTCAACACAAGATACGGTTAGTGTAGTATACAGGATGCAAAAGTAGTTTTTAATGAGAATATGCATGTTATCAGATTGCAATTGATTATGTTGTAACAAATTTCAGATCGTGGCTTTGACTGCATTGGCAAGATTTGCACGACTCTCGAGAACGTCCTCGATTAACCTTCATGTGGAGATTACGTATGAAGGAGGCAGCCAGGGTTTCGAAATTAAGGACGAAAATGCCATCATGTTGCAAGAATTTGCTGTAAGCAATAGTTCATGTGCTACCTTTAAACAATAGAATTATGCTAATTATTATGACTCATCAGCTCCCTGCCAATACTCGCTGGGTCAACGTGGAGTCTACGGGGACCGGAGTTGCGATTGCTCAACTTTCTTGGGGTTACAATATTGAAGTTACAGGGGCTTGGCCATCTTTCACACTGGACCCACAACTCGATAGAACATCCAACACAAACCAAATGACCTTATCTGTGTGCACTTCATTCTATGGAGGCAATCAGTCCAATATGGCAGTCATGGAGGTCAACATGCCGACTGGATTTCAAGTCAATAAGGATAAACTGGCAAATCTCCTACATTATCCAGCGGTACATATTTATATGCACACGATTGTGATTAGCACATGGTCACTTAAAGTGACTCACTTTAATGTAAATACCTACTAATTAATTTTAATTTTACAAAATTTACAGATCAAGCGCTTTGAAACTGACGAGGAGGACTCCAAAGTAGTAATGTACTTTGATTCCTTAGAGAATAGGCAGGAAAACTGTCCCACCGTGAGTGCCTACCGAGTTTTCCCAGTCGCCAAGCAGGCTCCTGCATACGTCACCGTTTATGATTATTACGACAACTCGAGAAAAGCAAGGTATCGTTGATTTAACTTACTAATTTTACTATTCCTGATTTTACTACCACACTGTTAATACCACACTAGCGTAACATTTTTTCCTTCTTAGGCAATTCTACAATGCTCCAAAAACCACCCTCTGCGACATTTGTGATGAGAAGTTGTGCTCCCAGGAATGTCTGGTGGCAAGGCAGCGTCAGAGTCAAGAAAACGCCAGAGTCAATAAAGCTTCGAGTAGTGCCATTCCAAATCTTCTAAGGACATCAATCTTCACTTTAATCTCATATTTTTCAATACTGTTCATCCACGAGTGATGGGAGTGAGTGATTATTAAGCTAGTTAAAGAAATATTAGTTAACCTCTGTGTGTACATTGGACTGAGTTTAAGTTCCCCTTACCCCCTCGATTTATTGTTTTTATTATTATGTACTGAACGTTAATGGGTTTTACTTTCCTCTGATGTGCATAATTTTCCAAGTGTACTTGTTGAACTCATAAAATAACCATTTATGTATATATTTTCGAGTTATTAGAAATAACATATTTGTAAGAAATATTCATAAATTGAGATGTCAATTAAGTAATTGTCGATGAAAGCCATAATATGATTTTGATATGTGAATTATTTTTACAAATGAATGATATGGATTATAAAAAGTCTTATACCGTATGAATGGAATAAAGTAGTGCTAATCTTCGTAGTTCAGAATGGAATCAATTTTTTATATATTTCGAAACACATTAATGTGCATGAACTATCGTACACATGGGATGCTTCCGGAGCCAGCAAATACCAGCAAATAATGCATATATACATGCATACATACAATTAAATATATTTATCCCGGAATGCACCACTGAGTAGCAGGTGTGCGCCCTTTCTTATCATCAGTCGGCGTCCCACCTTGGCGTTGGTCGGAATTAGCCCTGCTACTCGATTGACAAATGCCTCGAGTAGCACTCGCTCTCCAATTCCAGACCGATCGACAAGTCCTCCCGTTTCTGCTGGCGAGTCGGACTTATTCCTCAGTTTTAACAACTTTGATACAAAATCTAACTTCACCTTACCTTCCCCAACTGACTGGAGGAACATTCATTACCACTGTCAAAAATTAATACTGTTTTTTAAGGTAATCGCATTATTTTTTTACCAGAAACATCGGGTTAAATTTAGTTAGAATAGTTTCCGCCGACTGAAATGAAATTGTATAAGTTAGAGACGGAATTTGCAACAATTGAATAAATGTTGAAATCCGTCTTGGTTGAGACTTCAATTGTTTTGAAAATTACAGGAAGATGAAATTCTTAAGTACTCTGCCCTTGCCTCATCCCAATTTTGGCGAAATTGCAGAAAATTATTGTAAGATTTAAAATGTGGTGTTAAATTACTACCATGTGTGAAATATAAATGATTAATATGCTTTGTTTTTTTTATTATCCTGGCAGTGAGAAATTGTCGACGACAGAATTACGTAGGTGGTAACTTTTGCAGTAGCAGCTACAGTACTACGACTACTACATGCTGGACTCCAATACAAGCTGGCAATACGAGGACATCAAACAGGGGGGATGGCTGCTTTCCGATTCCGAATGCCAATACTTCATATAAAAAGGACTTTGAAATCGGCGTATGGGAGCCGCCCACAGAAGCAGCAAATGGACGAAATCGAATATCTTCTTATCCGAAGAAGACATCTGAGCAGACATTGCTTAATTGTAACAGGGATCGTGATCAATTCAGAGCTTCCACTAAATTCAGTCAAGTCAATTGCAGTGATAGGAGAAGGAATTCCTCGCCAATTGTATATCGCGAAGGAGACGCTCTGGACAAATGGCTGGACGACATCCTGGTGGAATACCACGTTGATTTCTTCATCCCTCGGCGTCAGGAAACGGCTAATTTCAAAGTCTTGATTGGAATGAAGTTCACTGGACACCCGTCGTGGGCCGTGCTGAGTCACTTTTTTTAATTATCCAGAAATGACCTCTATTTTATTTTTTACTCAATGTTCTGGCATGAATTAAATGAACAAGATTAACTGTAATATTCGTATAATTAATTAATAAACTCGGGAGGAAAGCTTCACTATTGCCCCTCTCAGATTTCGAGGTCCTTTGGATATGTTGTAGTTCCAGGTGAGTAAACTCTGACTCCAAATAGCCTGATGCCATACGCACATTTGCGCCCAGCACACCCACCCAAAGGTGCAAAAGTTAAGAAAATCAACGTCTCTGATAGGACTTTGCTTCTCATAATTTTTTCTGCTTTGAGTGGGTGTGCTGGGCGCAAATGTGGCTATGGCATCTGGGGGTTCTTGCTCACTCATCGGGTACTGCAACATATTCAAGGGAACCGAAATCTCAGAAAGGCAATAGTGAAACTTTCCTCCTCAGTGCATTTCATGTATATTATACAACTGAGAATTATTTATTATGTAGTTATTAATTCCAAACAATTGTACCGTAAGCCGCACAAATGTATTATTTTTTTATGGTCAAATAAATTTGTCACTACTTATACTACAAAATCTTTTTCTTTAATTTGGTAGGTGTTACTCGTGATGCATTAAATTTCAATCCCCGTTTTATAATTATAAAAATCAGGTAGCTCACAAAGGTCATTGATAGAGAAATTACTACTGCATAGACCAAATACACATCTAACAATCTGCGCTGGTACCAGTTTAAATGAGAATTCATAGGTTTCAATGATGTCACATCATCATTTCGTATAACAAATTCCGTCCAGTACACGGCCGTCTCTAGAGGGTTTTGAGGTCTGTCCCGGAAAATCCTGGCTTTTACTGCCATGTTCTTCTGATAACTGCATAACCATCCAGATTATTTTGTACCCAATTAAGCAAGATACACCATAATGTAAATAGTTGTGTACATACGTTTTGTCCGACAATATTTTGTCTAGTGCTTCATCCATCCGTTGAAAAGTTAAATCTTTAATTTCTATTCTGAATCCTACTTGCTGGGCATCAATTCGATACGCATTGTAGTCCTGATCTAAAACAAGGATCCAGTCTTATTTAAGTCTTATTTAATATTTAAGCTTAAAAAGTTAAGTTTCCAATAATACACCTGCAAATAGAGGCATCACAATCATTGGCATCCCGTAAAATGTCGCTTCCTGAATTGAATTCAAGCCACCATGAGTCACAAAAGTTTTGAGCTTGGGATGTCCTAAACAAAATATACAATTGTGAAAAAATGGCATCATATTAATGACAATTGTTAATATTGAAAGTAATTTACTTAAAAGTTCTCTTTGTGGGAGCCACTTATCGGTCAGTAAGTTGTCCAACCCATCTTCATATCCATTTGGATACGGGCCACTCCATTTTAGAATAAATCGTACATTTTTATGCTTTTTGATCACTTCGAAAAAAATCTTGCTATAATATGGGTCAATTTTCTCCAAATTCACAGTCGAACCAAACGAGATTAAAACCACACCCGCTGGCCCAGCATCATCCATGAATTTTAAATATTTCTGCAAGTAATATTTTCAAAAGTGACGCATAGTTGATTCACGAAGAATAGTAATTTTTCATATTTAAGTTCTAACCTCTGGAATCGCTTTTTCTGGCAAGTACGCATTCATTCCTCCAACCTGCACTACGCACGGAGGTAACGTATATGCAAAATCGAAGGAATGATGCGAATTAACAACAACGAGGCTGACATTTTTTTCAAGCTCTTCAAAGGGTGGGATATCTTGTGAATGAAATGCTTGTTTTGCAATTCTGTCAAATTCTGGATACATGACTGCGTGTCTATCCTGAGAAATTAATTGCATCCTTGTTAACAATGTCGCTGTCGTTCTTATCACTAAATAGTTCTATGCTCTTCTTATTACTCGTCAGATTTCTTCGAGTAATATATTTGTATTTTGTAAGTTTAAATTACTGTACTACTTGCTTACCCAGTACCAGTAAGCTGGCCACAAAGCATTTTTCATCCTGTCCATGAATGACATGGGAATGTTTTCATACTTCATGATGATGTCTGGAATCCAGGATGAATCGGCTTGGTATCCATACACGTCGTTAAACCTTGAATCGTGAGGAGAAAATTGTAACTGAACAATATCAATAATTAACGGTCGCACCCATCCCATCTTTAAAAGTAGTTGTACGTATATAAATACTTACCATGGCAGAGGAACACTTGCATCAAACACAATAATTTTGGCGTTATAACGATGCGCAAAAATGAAACCACATTCGCCAAAAATGATGTTGATGATCACCAAATCAAAACTTTCGTTGTAGATTAGCTTTTGCAGAATGGGGTCGTGTTCAGACCGCAGGATCACCGTTTCGCAAATCTGCACAGAAATTGAGCTGTAAGTGGTCAAGATATTTTGACTCTCTCCTCTCTCCCTCTGCTGAAATCGATCAACATCGTAGGACTGGCTCATCAACTGCGTGAGAGTGTTGGACGAGAGGTCAGAAATATTCGGATGGTTTGACGGTGATTTTGCATGTGCGGATATGAAAGTTACATCGTGACCACGGCTGGCCAAAGCCGTTGTCCTAATTCAAACAGACCCATTACCACTGACTTTCAATTTTCTTAATGATAAATCTTTGTCAAATACCATGGCCAAACGCTGTGCTTGTGACTGTAACTTCCTCCTCCAAAGAAAAATAGTATTTTTTCTCCTCTAACAAAAGTTAATGGGCCAAAGGTTAGAATGATTACAATAATGGTGCTTGCAGAAATGTGTTTCATTGTATTTTTTAAGTCAGGCCAGTTCGGCTTGTAGAATCCTTGAAATAAATTTCTGTACTGCAACTGTAACGACACTGAAGGCTACTGACTCGTATATATTACTGGATCAATATTATATAATCAATTGTTTGTTTGGTTAACTTTCCTAAAGAGTCACAGGGTGTATTTCAGACATATTCAGACATATTTATCTGCTCTAAAATATCTAAACAATTGCCAGACTCAAGGTTAACTGCTACCCAAAACTGAACTACCTTAACAATGACCGGATTGTTCAGGCTCAGCTCCCTCAAAACTTTCTCAACAATTTCGTGATGTAAGAAAATGTTGAACGAATTGAAATTTTATATTAAGTCGGCAAAGGGTAAAATAAACTAGAATAAAACTTCTTGATTAATTAGTGACAGTATTTCTCACGCTACTCCGATCCAGCTTGTTAGATAATAAATAAGTATGTAAAAATGAGACGCTGCTTCTCCGCATTAATCAATATGTATTGTTTGCTTATTGTGTTGATAAGTTTTCCGAGTTCAAATGAAAACTGTCAGCAGATAATGACACAACTTGATCCAACAACAAAAAGTTACACATAAAATCTCACGTGTGCTGTCATGCAAGAAGAGATTGAGCAGTATTAAGCATTCAAATCATCCTGTTTTAAATTATTTATTATCGGACAATTGCATTTATTGGTTTGGCCAGATTATCTTGGTCAAACCCACAAAAAGGTAAATAAACTATAAGCACAAATAACAATATTTTTGTCAGATTCTAGCGTAATAATTAAATTCGTCAATTACACTACGAAATCTTTTTCTTTGATTTTGTAGCTGTTTTTGGTGACGCATTAGATCTGAATGCTAACTTCAAAATCTTAAAAATTAAGCAGCTTACAAAGGTCAGTGATAGAAAAATTACTGTTGCATAGACTAAATACACATCCAATAATCTACGCTGGTACCATGTCAAGCCATTGTTCATTGGCTTGATAGAAGAAATATCGTCATTTCGCAACACAAATTCTGTCCAATAAACAACGGTTTCAAGTGGACTTGCAGGACGATCACGGAAAATTTTGGATTTCACTTTCATGTTTTCCTTATATCTAAATAACGTGTCAAAAAATTGTAAATGTGTAATTCACATCAATTATGTACATTTTTATCATGTGTACATAGGTATCATATCTTACTGAGAATCTGTTAATATTTTGATAAGTGCAGCATCCAATTGTTCAAATGTTAGATCACGTACTTCTAACCTAACGCCTACTTTCTGCGCATCAACCCTGAACGCATTATAGTCTTGATCTACACAAAATTTTAAGAAACATAATTTGAAGTGAACCTCATAATGATCAAAGTCTTTATTGGTGACAGTCAATACCTGCAAATAACGGGAGGACAATTAATGGAACTGCATAAAATGTGGCTTCCTGAATGGAATTTAAACCCCCGTGAGAAATGAATCCCTTAATTTTTTGGTGTCCTATATCATTGCGACAAATGTAATATTAAAGATTTGAAGGGGAAATTGCATGCGCATGAATATTTACTTAAAAGTTCTCTTTGAGGAATCCAACTCGATACGAGCAAGTTGTCGAACCCATTTTTATACTTTTCCGGCAGTGGACCATTCCATTTCAAAATAAATCTCACATTTTCATTTTTTTGTATCAACTTGAAAAACATGTCCACATAATTTGATGAAATTTTTTCCAGTGGAATTGTAGAACCGAATGAAATGAGAACGGCTCCACCTTCCCCAGCCCCATCCAAATAGCTTTGGTATGGCTAGCGTTCAAAATTACACAAATAAATATTGAATTATATATTCAATCTACTGATTATTAGTAGCAGCATTTATTATGCAACATACTTCTGGAATTTCCTGTTCTGGAAGCCAAGTCTGAATTCCACCGATCTGAATTACTAGCGGAGGAAATGAGTATGCAAAATCAGTCGCATGGTGAGAATTGACCACCACAAGACTCGTGTTCTTTTCCAACTCGTAAAATGGCAACGCGTTTTCCTTCCCAAAAGCCTTTTCCATTAATCTATCCATTCCTGGATACACTACGCAATGTCTGTCCCAGTACCAGTATAATGGCCAAATTGTGCTTGTAACTCTGTCCACCAACGTTAGTGGGAAGTTGTCATACTTCATTAGCACATCAGGAATCCAGGATGTATCCGCGTGGAACCCGTAAACGTCAAAAAACCTGAAGAAATTTTGCATTTCATAATATGTTGCTTACCACTTCTTGAAAATCGCACCTTGAGAATCTTAAGATTGTAGCAATGCCTGCTTACCAAGGGAGAGGAACACTGCCATCAAATAAAATAGTCTTGGCGTTATACTTTGCAGCAAAGACAAATCCGCATTCTCCAAAAATCACATTGACAATCACGAGATCGTAGCTTTCCTTATGAATCACGTCTTGAAGTAAAGCGTCCTCTTGAGATTTAAAGAATATTGTTTCACAAATTTCCACGCTCAGTGCCGAATATTTGGTCAAAAGATCTTTTTCCTGGTGGTCCTTCCGTTGCTGGAATCTATCAATTCCATACAGGACGCCCATCAACTGCACCAACGTTGGAGTTGCCAAGTCCCGAATTTGACCATGTTTTGTAGGCTGTTTAGAATGAGCGGAGAGAAATGTAACTTGATGTCCACGATCTGCCAATTCCGTCGCCCATGGCCAAGCACTGTTTTTCATACTGTAACTACCTCCCCCAAAGAAAAATAATATTTTCTCGGCTGGAAATGAAGGGAAGTGTAAAAATATTATGAAATAATTAAATAAATTTTTGTAATTCATTTTTAATCGTTTATTGGGCAAAATGGGTGTGATATTCTGTGATCACGTAAAACGTATGTGTATGCGTCAATACTGGTGCTATTTTTCATTGGCGCTTATAATACGCCCAGCAAGAACGTTATTTAACTGTTCTGATTGAACTCTGGGTAAATATTATGTTGATAATCTGAAACAATGCAATGACAGATAAAAACTGGATTCATAATCCACGTGACTGACTGTGTAATGAACGATTAAGCCATGATGCATTATCTTATTGATTTTGTTTTCTACAGACCCCGCAGTAACAATTTTCATGTCCATCAAAAGCTGCCACCATTTGAAACAAACAAACAAATAACTGCGCCACAAATGAATAATTGCGTTTTGATTTCAGGTTGATTAAGTCTTTATTATTTTTTAGCACTAGACTATCATTTTACTTGATTTTTCTCTGTATTGGTTCTACTTACATATTCATAAATCAACAATAAATATTTGCTCTGATTGTATATCTCTGCCCTCACACTAATAAGTATTTAATAATCTGTTCACAGTTCATCATAAAATCTTTGATCCGCAGATATAGAATAATAACATTCTGTATTCAATACGAAAATGCAATGTCTGTTTATAAATGTATACATATGTGTTGTGTGAAATGCATAACATCGTCGTCTTCTTTTTCCTCGTCTGACTCAAGATATCTTAGGTTCCTCATCTTTTTTTTACAAGTTAAAAGTTAAAGCAAGATCAAATAAGCCATCTCTCCTCCTTCGTTAATACTTTTCAATATCAAGTTCTATATAGTCCTTCTGGTTCCGTGGATTAGGAATACAAAATAATTACATACTTCACTATATATTAAATATGTAACAGCATGATAACAATTGTACAAGCAGAATAGATGATAAATCTATGTGCACAGCAAATTGCAATACTATAAACTCATATCAGATACACTTACTTAAAGGTAAAAATCAAATATCACTCGAGTTGCAGATTATGTCAGGGGCCAACAAACAACACCATTCCGAAAAAGTTTCTCTGTAAAATTGATCAACAAATTGATCAAAGTTAAACAACGCTATAAATGCCATTCGTTTCTCTTTTTTTTGTTCAAATGTGAACATGCACACGTAAATACTGGTTGTTTTTATACTCTTTCCATTATTTTCTACCTTGATACATATTCTTAATATATATTTTCCTCTACTTAATTATGGGTCCACAAACAGATATATGTATTTTTTGTTTAATAAATAATTGCATCTGATTTATTATTATTACACATTATTCACTTGGGTTTCTGGTCAGGTCTCACTTGTCCAGATGCGCATTGATACCAGAGGCGATCGATGCATCTCAGATCTTCATTTGCAAGTTGTAATTGTAGGGGTCATAATATCCCGCAACGTAGTATAGGTCTTTCGGCTTGAGAGATTTGGGTGAATTTTTTATAGACAATTTTGGCAACCGCCCAATCCTTTCTTTAAACTCGGAATATGGGATCACATCACATTTCTTCTTTATTGTCTGTACATCATTCTCATCAATGTGAGGTGACTCAAATAACGCACCCTGCAACACAGCGTAAATACAACAAACTTAGAAATAGTTAAATTGTGACTGCTTAAAACTTTGTTCAAATATCATCTTCATCGCCCTCCAAAAGTAGAGCACCATTCATTTTGCACATTCCAACTCGACTTTTGTCAAATGAGAAAGAGAAATGAATGTGTGTTCATTTTGAACCAAAGTGAGATGTAGAACATAAGAGTAGTAGTATCTTTCTTACGGTATGTTTCAGATGAGGAATCCTTTTGGGTGACTTGACCTCTTCCGGATCTTATAAACAGAACGAACAATTTTTTTTATACTTTTTGGTCAATATTTTATTATTAAATCTTGTTATTTTAAAAATAAAATAAACTTACGGTAAAACCAACGCACGTTTACAATCTTTTGACCTTTCTTTTCCCAAAATTTTTCAATTCGTCCTAAAACACAAACACAAATTGTAAGAATCTTACACATGTATACCAAGATACTCGCTTGAAGAAATGCAGTCCAGTGTGCACAACAGATATTGAATGAAAGAGAAAGAAATACTAATTTGCTAAAAAGGTTTTTTCTCTACCTTGCAAGTTTAGTAATAAATATGGAGTAAAAATAAATTGGAACCATAAATCGTTAAAGTTTGGGGGACTACCACCGTATTACAAGAATTAGCATAAATAATCTGGAATATAGCAATAAAAAGCTGCGTACCAATATATGGTCGTTCATTTCCATGTGAGATGAAAATGGCAGACTCGCCAACATTAATGACTTCATTATCTCCTCTTTGTATCCCTTTGAAAAACTCTTTATTACGGCTCTTCTTGGCCTTGGATCTCTTGTAGCCCAATCCCGTCCATGTCCAATAAAGAGACTTGTAAGGGCGGTGTGATGATCCTGTGTCGTCGTCGTCGTCGTCATCATCATCCTCCTCGGCTTTTGCTTCATCGTCCATCTTGGCGATTTTGGCACAATACGACTCCCCGCAATCCGGCTCCTCATGATCTCCAGTACAAACTCCAGAGGATTGACGTCGTTTCCTGTGTTTCTTCTCCAATGTGAGCAGTGGATTCGGGTCGTACTCTGTAAACAGTTTATGAACGTTAGAGCTTATGCACCAATCCACACAGACTTGCTGTCTGGCTAGGAAAATCTAAATTGGTCAATTCACATAGAGTGAAAGCACACATATTCACCTAAATATGCATAAAGCACGTAATGAAAACTAACCTCGGATGGGGTGTTGTGTTGGAAGTAGTCGAATCTCTGCGAGTTTAATCATTCCCGTGTCTCCGTCATCAAACTCGATTGGAATCAAATCCTTCTCTGGATCAAACCCAGGATTAAAGTCTGTTGATACACGGCCGGGGTATAAGCCGCTGTACTGAGGCGACCAGTAAGCACAGATTCGAAGACCAACTGACAGAGTTTGCGGCTTCTTTTCTCGGACACATTTCTGTGACAAATTAGGAAAAACGTACAATATCGCGAATACACAAAGTATCAATTTTATTCAATATATTGTGAGTAATAAGCGAGATTAACAAGCGTGATTTCCATTCAAGCCTTGTTTATGTTTATGTACGTATAATGTAAATGTAATAGCATCAAGTTTCAATTAGGCGTATTTTAGAGTTTAAAAAACGTGGACACAGTCGTTAAACTGAAGCTAAATCCTACGAACATGAAGTTCATTTCATTAATTGGATGAAGCTAATGACAGGGCAGAACTGCCTGAGCCTCTCAAAGTAAAGTGAGATAAAGCATCTCTACCTCCTCCAATGTTTCAAAGTTCATAGGAAAAGTTGTAATACGCGTGTGAAAGGATTTTTATTGCAATTCAAGGAGCAGAAAGTGGTTGGCCATGAAATTGAAGAATAGCCCGTCAAGTCAACTTCTTGTCTTCTGCTGGAGAAGTAGTGAGAAGAAGAAGGCAACACCAATCTCAAGTGTTCTTACTCACCCACCTTCTGCTTTGCTCATCCTGCCCGAGCTGCCTACGCATTAAATCTCGTCTCACTCAACCAACTTCTCCAGTTTCTTCTTCATCTCTTTCCCCCGTAGCTTTTGGATGACTTTTCTGGTGTGCTAGCTCTGTAATGCGATGCTGCACATAAGGACACCGCCTCCCTATACACATTCCTAAACATTCCTTGTTCACATCAAGTCCACCGAGAATAACCTGTACGAGCATTAACTTATCCGTGTGGCATGTGCCGCCAGACACTACAGCAAACGGATACTTTGTACGCCTCAGCCATTAGTCATGATTCGAAAAGAAGAAAAGAGATGGAACTATGCCTCTGCGACACTGGGATAAAAAATGGCTGTTGACTATGGTCACCCACTTTGACGTTTAAAACAGCAAACCGTATAAAAAAGGATTCAATTTCCAGATGTACATAGATAAACGACGAGGATTTATTCAAGATTGAGGTTAGCCAGCAGAGCAGCGGAATAATACGAGAACGGGGAGTCTGGCTCAAACTTACAACTTCCGTCTTATGCACAAGTCTTCATCTCCTCGACTTGACTGGAGTGTAAACTACAAAGTGACACGCCGTATCATAACTACAAAGCCTTGTGAAACATTTGTCTCTTTTTTTACGAGATGTGTCTCATTGAAAATTACATTATGAGCATATGTCGTCTCCGTGGCGCATTATGGACGAGTATTTCTGAGCCATTCTAAGGATATCTGGGAGCAGGAGGGATTGAGAAACATGTAGTTAGTGCATGTAAATCTTGAGATATTATGCTGCCTGGCCCTGAACCACGTTTTGCCTTTGTAGTAAAATGACATTAATAAATAATACATTGCATTACAAAAGGCCTCCTTCACTTCACTCTCTTTTACTCCTCTCGACAAAAAACAAGTCTCCAAACGTAAGCAAGTGCCAGCTTGGCCTAAATGTTATGTTTGGTTGATTTGGTATTTACAGCAGGAGGGTAAAAACAAGCTCATGCAATATTTACACGAATCATCACATCTCATACATTCGGCAACAGAAGGGCACAACTATCTCAACGGATTTCTACCCTCTCAACAATTCTAAAGATATACATATGCACAGTGGTACAAGAGAGATACAACTGGGGTCGTCTTCAAAGCTGTCAAGTGCGTAGTTAACATATTAAGTGAGATAAAGGGCAAGTTGACGTTTGCTGGGTTGAAAGGGTTTACAAACCTCGAGGACCAGCATGCTTATGTTAAGTAAGAAACCGTAACTAAAATTTACCAGCAAGACCTCCTGAGCAGGAAAAATGAGATGTGGTGGAGCTCCTCTCTGCAAAGAAAATCACGTTAAATTCTGTGAAACTTTGTAATCAATTTCTGCAAGTTGTTGTATCACAAACTACGCGATGGGTCAGCGACGAGCATAAATACGTATCCGAAAAGTTCGCCGACATACATAGAGTAGTTTACATAAAAATACTTACAACCACATACATACATAACTAACCTCGTTATCAAGGGTGACGCCATAAACATCCGGTGGCTGAAGTGCATTCAATTTACCTATTTAGATAATAGAATTGTTACGTATTATTGAAATTCAACTAATTTTAAGAAGATGGCAAAAAACTTTGTACATTAATCGTAATTTAAGTTCATGTATTTCGCTTGTATTTCTCATTTTCATGTTGAGTTGAGTGACTATAATATTGTGTAAAATGCATGTCGCGATTACCTTATTTCATAATCTCAATTTACCCTGGTTTAGTTTTTTACCGTACTTTAATTTGGTATTTTGGTAATTTTATCTATCACCTTTTGCATTCGATGACTCCAATTCACAGTCTCTACTTTAACCTATTGTAAGTAATACTATATACTTTAACTTGTAACTTTCCCCAAATCGATTATGCAATCTCAACATCATAATAAATGTGCGTACATGCACATAAGTACAAACACATAAGTACAAGTCCAATGTCTCAATCTACCTCGGCCTTACATGTTCTCTATAGTCATAGCTCATGCTTTTCCACCAAAACTACATGTAACAACTATGTTCCCTATGTTCAGTTGTGAAAATAAGCCTGTCACAATAATTATTGCACGAATTGATGGGTAGTTAATTTTTAATAATGACAAACCAACAATTTGTCAGACTCCGAGTTAATTGGCAAAGTGGTAGTGGTAGTGGAGTAATGTATTTATAAATTTCACAGTGCATGGCAATATTACAAACGGGAAAAACACGGGGCGAGAGTGTAACGGAAAAGTGGAGAAAGCTTGATGCATGCACACTAGATATGCAGGTAGGTACAAAAGTATGTACACCACAAATTGCCCTTTATTTGACAAATGTATGCATATTTCTTGGACTATTAACCCATTTTGAGAGGATTATACATAACCACTTACTTTTACTTGTATTATTTTACGTATTCTTATATATTTAGAACAAACAAGGTTCGCCGTGTTACCTGTGTAGAAAAGACCTTGGATCTCCGTCAAGATTCTCATCTCATTCTTGAGCTCTGCCACCGTGCTGAGCTCAATCTTTCCAGGGAGGAGGGTTTCCTCCATGTGAACATCTGTCACGACAGCAATCGACTCGCGTCTCCCACCCGACCTGGACCTCGACATTGCTGTAGACGCACCAACACCACCACCAACAACCACACTCGACACTGAAGATCTCGACGACGTGGTGAGAGAACGAGAGCCTCGTTTTTTTGGCAACTTTTTTGGCATAGTTGAACCAAAGCTGGCAGATGTGGATGTAGACCCTCCACTAAACCTTCGATATTTGTTAGCATTTCGGTTTGGTTTATTTTCATTGCTAGCAGCTGACTGTTTTGACTTTGTACTGGATGCAGATTGACGACGATGATGATGATGATGACGGCGATGATGTTTAGGGTTAGTTGAAAGGTGCTGATGATTATCATAGTCGCCACCAATGTCCAACAACTCTTCTTCAGATTCCTGCTCCTCATGAGTCCGTCCAGTTTCCAGGTTCAGGGACAGCCTTCGTCCAACCACATGTTTCTTTTTCTTGGAAGAAGCCGTGGAGGACAATCGCCTCCTGTTGCTCCTCTCTCGTTTCTGCACCGAAATGGTTTCAGTGGAATTTTTAGTCACATTGTTCACAGATTTGTTGACCGAACTGCTGGTTTCAGCTAATTTGTTGCTATTTCTGTGATGTTGCAACATGGAAGTATGAGCTCGTGGGATGGAATTGGTCAACGAGGCCACTTCAAAGTCAACTTCTGCGTCGGAATTTTCATCCTCAGAAGAGCCAGAACGTGGACGAGGTTCTGCTTTGAGACAGGGTTTTATGTGGTGTTGTTGATGTTTCAACGGCCGTTTATTTGGGGATGTGTACGGGACAAATGCTGCCTTGCCATCTTGTGCTTCACCAGCATCGCCCAACCTAGCGCTGTTGAAACGGTTGGGAATAATGGTCTTATCCTCGTTCCGCATCCGTTCTGCAGTTCTTCGTTCATACTCCATCAAAACTTGATCCTCGTCCTCGTCACTGCTCAATGCCGAAAACGGAAGCACTTTCTCACTCTTCACTGTTGGATTGTCACTCGTTCCGTACATTCTGATGGCGGATGCTGCAAATGTTGGGTCAGAAACCCAGCTTATGGGTTTATTAGAAGTGAAAGTAGCAGCACTAGTGTCACCACCACCACCGTTATTTCTATTAGAGGTTTGTGGTTGGCGTTCAAAAGTTGGGGGTGAAAAGAGTGAAAATGAGGATGTTTTTGGAGAGAACGAGGCTGATAATGATGTCACGACTGCACCAGTGGCAGGCTTCGCATTATTATTTGCAGTTGGCGGAGGGGTAAGAGATGCGAATGAGGAAGAAGCAACTAATGAATCTTGTGGGGAAAGAGAAGAGGAGAAAGTCGACTTGTTCTCCTCTTTGATTGGAGAGTCGAAAAGTGTCGCACTCTTGACCGAAATGGGTTTGTTTTTGCTGTTCCTTTTCCCCTTCTCTTTTGGAGAAGCAGCGGTGTTGTCAAGGTCGTGGTGATAATTCTTTGCTTTGCTCCTTTTAAGTTTAAGTGGGTCGTTTTTATGAAAGTGAGCCGAGTCGGTAGAAGTAGAAGTGAACTCAGGGCCCGGTGGGATTATGGGATTTTTACACCTTCTTTTTTCCACTTGAGGACCAGTAGATTGTTTCCTCTTACGGCTTAATGTCACAGGTTTGCTGTCTCCTCCTCCTACTTCCGTCCCACTGAGCCTTTGCTGCTTAATTTCTGGTTTTGATTTTCCATTTGTCAACGTTTTGCCACCCATCAAAGTGGGGTTTTCAGTTTCGGACAATTTTATTCGGATTTTGGCAACCGTTGGCAGTGGTAGCTTGATTTTCATGCTGACTGCTCCTCCCACGTTCTTATTGCCCTCATTTGAAAGAGGTTCCTGCTTAATCTTCTTGGCATCTTCTTTCGCCTTTTTGGTGGGAGAAAGTTGTCGCTCTTTTTCAAGTTTTGGCTTTTCCAATGCAATTTTTGGAATTTTAAGCTTGTGAGCAGTGATTGCAGAGCTTTCACTTTTGACGCTGTTTGCAGTTACAGCACTGCTTTTTACCTTTGGTTTTGGATGACGAGGGACATTTTTATTGACAGAGTTGACACCAGTTGAATCAAACTTTTCTTCCTTTTCCTTCTGTTTTTTGGATGGTTTTTTACGACCACTACTATCATGGGAAGCCGCCGTGCTTCCTGCTGTTGCGTTGCTGCTACTGCGTGGCTTTCTCTTTTTTGGTGTTGTCGTTTTAGCCGCTGTCGGCACGATTGTTGGGATTTTCAGCCACACTGGATGTTTATAAGAACCAGGAGATGCTGTACTGTTCCCATGATCCTCCTTCTCGTCATATTCATACTCATCGCGATGGGGCGATTTTGAGATAAACTTGGCATTAAGTGGGCTGGATGGGAGAGAAATGCTGGTGACTGCAGTATTATTACTCCCAGTGCTGGCACTACTGATGGTGGAAGATGGTGTTGGGAAATAGTTTAATTCTGGCGATTGCACCGGCAAAATTGGTGACGTCATTAGGCTGCTCCCTCGACTGCTGTTGCTGTGACTGGCCAACTTTCCCAAATCATCCCTCGATCCAAACTCTTGAGCCACCGTGGCCAAAAGATTCAAATGGCTGTCTTCTGGCTGAATAAACTCTTTTCGCACCTGGTTTGTCATTGGGGGGGACAAGTAGCAAGACTGGAGGGTTGGATTGAGGCCATGTTGTTGCTGTTGCTGCTGCTGCAAAAGGTTGGGATTTCTTACAATGCCCTCAAAAATGCCATTATGGTTTTGATGCGGTGGTGACATTGGTGAATCCCGGATGAAAGTAATGGTGTTGTCACTGTTACTTACTGTATCACATGGGCTGGATGCATTAGTTGTGAGGAATAGGGGCCCAGACGCTCCAGACAGAGTTGAGCTCGTTGTCACCGCAGATCTCATCATACTCTGATTGTGGAACGAGGTAAATGAACTTGACGCAATGTGATTTTGATAATTCTGCTCTCTGTGGTGCAAGTGAAACGTTTGCACCTGTGAAGTTCCTTCAATCGTGGCAAGACCACCGGGCTGAGTGGGGACGAAGGCCGGAATTTTTATCTCTTGAGAAGACACCACCAGTTTAAAAGAGGTTTGTTGATGAGAGTTGGTGATGGTTGTTTGGGGGAGAAGTCTGGGCAGGATAAGGGTCACGGGGGAGTTGTGGTATGGAAGGGAAATCGGAATTATGGGTGAGCTCTGGACCACTGAACAACTTTCACCACCACCGCTGCTGATCGAAGAAGCAGAGTTGTTGTTGGAAAAGGTCATCACCGCTGGGTTCATGCCAATTGGGCCGCCACTGCCTCCAGGGAACGAAAGTGTTGGGTGAGTGGGTGTTGTCAAAATTACGGTCGTCGTGGCCGCAGAAGATGGAGTAGTTGAAGAACAAGGAGACGAGGTCACGACTTCCGTTCCTTTGCTCTTGATGGCCACTGGCTTCCGTCTTTCTCGTTTAACAACGTTTGCCTTCTCCTTTTTAATGACAGCCTTAATTTCACTCTTCACTCTCCTCGGTTGCTTCGGGTCGCTGTTTTTACGCTTTGGAGATTTATTGGAACCATCTTTAACATTCTTTAACATTGGCGTCGAATTCTTGGATCTGCTCCCCTTTTTCTCAACAGTACCGCTCGCCACCTGTGGCACAACAACACCACGACCAGAGCCGCCTGTAAGAGTAGCAGCAGTAGTAATACCACCTGGTGAAAGCCCCAACATGGCATCGTTTTTCGGGAAAGTATGCATATCACTATTAGAACTATGAGGGTTCGAAAGATCAGTAACTACTTTGCCGGAAGTAACAGCAACAGGTAAATTCGTTTCAGGTACATTGTTTCCATTGCTCTCTCTGACATTCTGAAGAGAATCACAATAGGAGGCGGAGGGTGAGAAGAGTCGTCTGCTAGTTCTGCCTTCGTCTTGATCCTTTGCTTTCTTGGACTTGTACACCTTTGGCTGTTTTGGCTGCTTCTTAAGTTGCAGAGACTCGCTACTACTACTTGTCGTGGTGTCGTTGTCCTTTGATTTGGTGGTATTCATGTCGGGCTTAATTTTACACGGTTTTCTAGCCTTGACGACTGGACCACTTTCACCCAGATCAGCCACTTGACTCTTGCTTTTCCTCGGATTATTTCTTGGTGGTTTCTCCTTTATTTTGTTCTCTTTCGGCTGCAATGAAACCTTTTCTTTGGGTGCTGCAGGTTTCCTAGTCTTGCTCGTCGACTTTTTATTCGTTCCATCATAACCATCGTCATCTCCTTTTGACACTTTCACTTTAGGTTTGGCCTTCTTTGTTGGAGTGACAGCTTTTACTTTTGACACCGGAAGTGTAGAGATTTGTGGTGGTGACACCACCATTTTGAGATTTTGATTTAAATCTGTCCCAGAGCTATTACCAAGTGATAGTGGAAGTGGAACAATGTTTTGTTTGAGATCTGCTTTCACAGGAGTAAAAACTTTGTCTGGATGCATCCCCTCACCCATCATCACAGATTTGCTAGTAGAAGTTGATGTCATTTCATGACCACTTTTGATCATCATCAAGTTCTCATCATCATCATGATCCCTTTCAGGAACCTCTCCTTCTTCGTCACTCTTCGCTTCCGAGTTTCGCTTTTCAATGAGACTGTCAAGTCTTTTGAAGTCGTGTTTAGCAATTTGCCCTTCTGTTTTGGTGGTTGGATGAGCGTGTTGTTGCGTCTCATCAAGGTCGCGTTTGTTTCCCTCACGTTTCCCATCATATTGAACGTGTGAGGATGGAAAATCACGGTTTGGAGAATATTCGGATGATGAAGAGGATGTTTTAGGTGCAGACGAATGTTTATTTAGACGACCATGGTGGATTTCCTTGTCAGTATGCTGATCCAATTCTTCTATCGTCTCATCCTGCCTGCCATCCACGAGGTCTTTATCCGATGATGACGTTGACAGATGTTGTTTCTGTTGGTCCTGCAGAGCCTCTGCGCCGAGTGGGGATTCCCGTCTACGTGGGAAAGTATTTTTCCTGTTCAAGTTGGGGGACGTTGTCGGCGTGGCACACTTATTCCTTCCGACAAAGGTGGTGACTGTGTTTTCACTGCAACCACCAGTTCCACCACCAGCGATTGTGTTGATGGTGAGACTGCCTTGTTCTTTGTAGGTTTGTTGCACCGTGACCGGCGACGGGGAGGATGACGTAAGACTTTTTGGGCTTAATGCAGTAGAAGAATTGTGATGAAATAGCTCTGCCGACCAGCAGTTCGCACTCAGTGGTGGAGATGCTACCGTCGCCGTTGTCGTCGTCGTCGTCGTTTGTGGTTGCCCGGCTGCTGGTCCAATAGCGGAAAGATTGCAAAGACTTAGACTGTGACTTGACTGTGAGGGATTGAATCCAGAATTCGTCGGTGTCGGGGTTCGGACTCCGCCGGTAGAAGATGGAGAGAGGAGCGGGATGCGGGTCGTCGTTATTGGGGGGAAAATAGTCGGGTGGATTCGTAGACCCTCATTCACAGTATTGTACATCCCAGCAGAACTTAGCAGCAGCTGGTGACCAAGGTGGCTTTGCTGTTGCTGGTGAAAGTGGTGGCGAAAGTATTCTGACTGTTGTTGTTGCTGAAGGAGTTGTTCATAGTGCTGACGTAAGGTATTCTCATAGCCCACCGAGCTATGGGGCAAATAATGATGAGAATGATTAGCGAGAGGGGAAGATGCACTGCTCCCACCGCCACCACCACCACCATAATTGCTGTATTGCTGGACGAGGTGTTGCTGAAATTGTAGTTGGTTTTGCATAGTTTGTTGAATATAGGCTCCGGCTGAAGGGAAACCTGCAAATTAATAAAATAGAGCATGATAGATCAAGAAAATAATAAAAGATTGAGAAAATTGAGACTGATTCATCGTCACAAGTTGTGACTCACACAGACGTCGATGTGCCGTTATAAACAGAATCACCTAACGTTTGGGCACGTGGCAAAGTGTGAGAGAAAGCATGAGAAACGGGGAAAACGAAACGTACTTACGTCTGTATGCGCTGCTATCTAACTCGCATGCAAATATAGGAGCATGAGTCGGGTAGATATATGCGTTCATACATGTATGAGACTGTTTGTTCGTGCATAGTTAGTTGTACATGTGAGACCACTTTCTTTCACCCCGCTCACCATAGACCGACTTCATATTTACTTTTATACTAACTAAGCACCGTGTTTGGGCATTTTGGGTCAGTGGAAATCCCAATTGGTAATGAAGCCAAGACAGAGAAAGGGAACAAGTTTGTGTGTCACTAGTTTCTGAATTATGTAGTTTGTTGTCACTCCCTTCTTTCACCTCTGTCACTCCAACGCCAATAAAACTATGTGCAATCGCTCATCGCCATACTCACTCACGATAAATAACCAATAACAAACTCGGAACTATTGTCAATGTTCATTGCGATGGCCAATGATAATTCTTATCTGAGGATCGTTTATGCATATCAGTTAATAGACGAATATTACCATTATTATTGTTGGAAGCGCCCACTACTCATATCTTAACAGATTCATCATTATTACGTACATAATTTTCTAAAATTGAGTGTGGAACTGAATCCAGTACAAGATTATAATTTAGGTTTTTATCTTTATTTGGAGAAATGCAATTTCATTACACCTTTACGCATTTCAAAAATTTTAAATATCTACTTTATGATGTGATCTGAGAATATTTCGAAAGGATGTTTATTTAATCTCGGCTTGCCCATTTCGTTTCGTACACACAGATTTTCTTTGAATTGTCTACAACCTACCACATCAAAAATTTAGTAATGTGAATTGACGTTTCGTCTAATAAAATATATCCATCAATCATAGTCAGTTACGGCGTCTCTAGCTCATGCACACATTCCCCTGATGAAACCTATATTGCATAAGTTGTATAGTTAAATTGAATCTCCGTCCCGTAATTCGGAGCATTTGTGCAGCCAAATCCCTCATGTCTGTCATATCACTCAGTCTTTCTTGCGTCCGATTCGGTCTGATTCCTTCCTGGCTCTATTTTTGCCAGCCTCTGTCTGTACGTATATGATTTACATGTCAATGGTTGTTTAGCCAGTCGCTTATTTCATCTCTCGATCTGGGATACGGCACATGCCATCTCGTCGCACAGCTACATAAAATACGACTTGGAGAAAGTACGATATGTGATACGTCTCACCATATTCTATGCATAACACAAGCAATAAATACGTTCTTGCTTCTTTCTTGGGCAGAATTGTAATATAACTCTACTTCAAAATGGCTTTCTTTGTTAAATGCGATTATGTGCCAAACCACCATGATTATGCGGAAATATAAACAAGACCGTATTTTCCGCATCTGCAACCCAATTCAAAAAATTCAAAGAAGGCGAAGCGAACAAATATTGTAACAATTTCACTAATGGAAGTATTATTTACTTTCGCCCACTTGAAGAAACGCACTCAATCGGTAGGCAGAGCATAGATAGAAAAGTAGGAGAGAGATTAAGGGAATCATTCAAAATATCATTTTATTGCTCTGCCCAGGTTCTCAGTGGGTCTACCCATTTTATGCATGGTTAAATTATTTTGTACCGCTTGCGACGGCTGTATTTATTGCTGCACAGGCTCAACAACAATAACGCTTTCGGGTTAATTGAGTTTTGGAAGCCAATTGATCAGGCAGAGCTTTATGGGGTATTCATAAAAAAGTTGTGCATCAGTGCTGTGTTCGATTTTCGTAAGGAAAGCACGTAAATAAACTCGCCGCTGATTGTGTTGTGCCTTTTGAATATTTTGTGCTGGAAACACATCAACTCATTATACTTATTCTTTTACGTCGTCATATCGAACAATAGTTGGACAAAACGATGTCATTTCTCATCACATGCTACACTACATATTCCATCCTCCACAGCCAAGCATGCAAGCAAACTGAATAAATAATGGGCTGTCGTGTTCGTGTCCCCGATTCTGCTCTATTTTGTTTTTGTCTGTAAGTCGCAAAATTGTTAGCGCTGGGCTTGGCCATTCCACTTTCTCGTAATAAGTAACTCCCACCACACAAGACGTTGTTTTGACGAAATTGGTAGTACCCGAAGAGCCCATTTTAATTGGTTCTTATTAGGAGAAAGCGTAACCTTATACACTCATTTACAGGTAAATACAAATCTTTGTATGCGCATAACATAAAGTTTGATCCTAAGATAACGAAAGCAAAACAACTCTCATGCAAACTTTTTTTCTCGTTTTCTTGCCTGCCTGATACATATTTACAAACAAGTAGAAAAATTACTAAAGTACCAAATCATTCATTTTTAGTCGTTCATTCATTCTGACTTTGGCAAGTGTGAATGGTTGAGACACACCAAATGGGATTTTCATCTCTGCTTTCTTTTTTCTCCTTCTGCACATCCAGCATCATGCTTCTCTTAAAATCCTTTAGAAACGTCAAATACGATGACACACGAGAGTAAAAGTCATAAATTACCAACTTTTCTACTTTTGGCCTCCCATATGTCGAGACGCGAAATGTAGTCAAAGAAACTCCGTATGTACAACACGACGACTATATATACCACAACGATAAAGAGTAACGTTTGCTCCGCGTCAGACACACAAGTTGAAAAAATATTTACTGAACTATGAACTATTTTCCTGGTTCAAAGTCAAATGTGTATTTGTTTCACTTTTGTATGTTGAGAGGTTATTTCGAGTGTCTCAATCAAACTAGTTTCTTGTTTTGTTGTTTACATGTTGTTACAACTTTAGCTGCAAGTATACGAAATTAATTTCCCTGCCACATTGCTTCCCACGTTGGTGAAAGGAATCCATACTGCGAGTTTACTCGGAAGCAGTCGAATTAGAAGGAGCTATTTCTAGCCCTATTTCTAGGAGAATAATTTCCTAGCGAGACAAACACTTCGTATGATAACTCTCCACTAAAATCCTAACAGAAATTCTGTATAAAATTGTGAAGTCTTATTTCCCTATTGTCAGCTGAACTATGTAACAGCATGCCAACCAACATCAAGTGATCTCATCTCACATCATTATGCTCAAGTATTTATTATCTGCATATTTGCATCGCGCATGTTTTCGCTAGTTCTTTCTCCAGGAAATATTGTGACTGTCAGTCGCAGCTTTCCTATCACAGCACATGTTCAATCCCAATCTTATTCGGGTCTCATGCTCTTTTCATGCAACGTATTAAAAATTGACTGGTTTCCTTACCCTGAGGCACGTTGAGATCCATTCCAAGTCCGAGATGATGATGCTGAGTTGAAGCCTGCCACGTGGGCGGAAGGGAGTGAAAGAGGTTGTGAGGCTGTGTTGATGGGTGTGGTGGTGGTGGAAAGGGAGTCAAACTCCGCATACTCCCGTAATGGTAGTCCAACAGGGAGGGGGTAGATTGCTGGTGAAAGTAGGATAGTCCCAAATTGGGTGGAACTGAGGATGACGGCAACGGGCGACAACTCGCCGCCGTCGTCGTCAACTCTGGTGTCACACTTTTACTGCTCGTCTCTACAATGGCTCCTCTAACACTCGCGTCACCAATTGGTCCACCCACGTCCACTGCACTCCTCCGGCTTATTGAATATGAACCAGATTTACTGGTATGGACATCGACCTCTCTGATTTTGTGACCTGAAGCATCCCTTCCTGCATGGTGCTGACTGGTGGCATGCACGTTGACATGGATTGGAGAGGCGGATGAGGGTCGCACAGGAATTTTACCACCAGTGGAATGTAACTGAACTTTCTCCTTGTGGTGCTTGTGTATTTCGACCACTTTGTGAGATGGGGCACAGGACATGGTGCTCACTGATGAAGAGCTGTTGTGCAGGGACGAGTTGCTTGTCACAAGCCGCTGCCAAGCCACAGCAATTCCTACTGGAATTTTGGAACCCTTTTTTGTTGAAGTTGTCGTCCCCTGATGTTGTTCATGATGATTATTATTATGGTGAAGTTGACCAGATGTGGGTACATTTTTGGTTACCGGATTCGGACTTACGGCCAATCTTTTATCTTTGTGGTCATGATTGCTTCCAGGAAAATTGACAAGACCGACACCACAACTGATCGAATTGTTGGAGGACGGAGGGGAATGTGATCGTTGTTGCCCAATTTTAGCTGTTGCAACAACTTTGTTCGATACTGGCTTCGATGATGTCTCACTTTCTGAGGATGAGTCACTACCACTACTGCCACTACTCAAACGGCTCAATTTTTCATTCTCACTGACACCAATATCACTTTTTTGGTCACTAGATTCAGTTGGAGGAACTTCCGAGACGGGAGCACGGTTATTAAGAGTTGCATCTTTTTTCAAACTTTCCAATGGATTCGTAAGATGGCAAATAATTTTTTTTGAATCGTTCAAATCCTCGTCTTCGTCTGCTCCTCTGTCTGCACCGAGAGGAGGAGGAGTGGGCATTTTCACCACGCGCTCACAAGTCCTTTCCTTTGATTGACGCGTGTAAGGTCGGGATCGAGAACATGATCCTTCGTCTGGAGTTTCCAGGAGCAGTTCAACCTGTTCATCCTCATCTCCAGCAGTTTCCTCTCCTTCTTCGTCATCGTTGTTTTCATCTTTCTCTTTTTGTTGCTGGTTATCACTTGTTAAGTTTACGAGATCATTGCAAATAGTGGAGGATTCATCCAGGTTATCTTTTACGTGGACAAGCGTAGATTCCACCTTCAAATTAGTCCCCTCTGTCTGAACGACCTCATTTAACGAACATTTAGAAATTTGTGATTTCTCCTCAGCGTCAGATTCATTGGAATTAGATGACCGATTTATTTCTGTGGTGCTGAGTGTTGTTTTTGCTTTCAGATCACCATCACCATCAGTCTTTGGTTCATTTGTAGTCGGTACTTTCTCCTCCACAACGTGGGCTGGTTCATTAAATGGGGCAATAATTGAAGGTGCATCGCCCACGGAGGAAGCAAGGAGGTGCTCATCATCGCTTGCCTTCTTTGGAGATTCGGAGCCAGTCTCACTCATTGCTGCTGGTGCACCCAAGGAGTAAAACCTCTCTGCTCAAGTAGTAGTTTTGGTGGGAATTCGCTGGTGAGTTGAGGGAAATGGGAGACACGACGGTTGGTGGTGGTGAAAGTGGTGAAGAGGAGAAAGGCCACCATTCCTTCGCATCTGTTTGATGTAGCTTTCCCTCTCAAGACTTTTCACGACTCAGTTGATGCAGCAGTTTGCGGAAGGAGGACTGAATTTCTCTACCTGAAATAAATAGCAGAAAAACTTTGATTCTAGTTGACTGTTCCTTATAAAAAAGCAGTGTGTCTTTCGTGTATATGTTTATGTATTTTATCCATCTAGCGACAAGGCCAACGTGTGAAATTGAGATTGATTCATCTCCCTTGAAACGAATCCATATTAATTTATGTCAACGGTTGCAAGTTGTTTTAATTATGCTGTAATATAGCAGAAGAGTAATTGTAAACAGAAAACAAGAAGCTTCATGAAACATTTCACGTGAAATAGTAAAAATCTGGTTAAGTAAATGTGAAGCTAAAGTATTTACCCAGAATAGAATATTTGTAATTATCAAAAGGTCAGACAATGCTTTCACTTGCTAATATTTGTCAAAAACCTAGGTTTTCCATATTTTTGGAATGCCCTGTGCTGTGCGGTGGTTCATGGTATGAAAAATACTGCATAACTGTCTTAAGGAAAATGGTGGTAGTACTCTACACACGTTGGATGAGTGTAAAAACATATTTTTTCATGAGAAACTAATATGCGACGATTCAGCTCTGATCTATTTGTACATGCTTACACATATATATAACTACATACGTTGTGTATTTAGCAGCATGATGATTCATTGTTTGTGGTGTGTAAAAACGTTTGCAATCTTAACAAAAAATTGAACAACAAATTTCTTAGAAGGGAGCTTTTAGCATCATGGTATAATTTTAAAAAGGTACTTGTGCTTCCCTGTGGCATGGCAGGAGAATGTATGACAAGAGTATCCATGTATGCACAACCGATAGAAACGTCCATAAAACTTGGGTGCTGTTAACCATTACATAACAGATTTGTTTTGGGTTGGGTAACACTTATTTATCTCGAGATTTTCCAAGAAATTGTTCGCCGGCAGATGAACATTCTAACCAGTAACCTAACCAGCAGGAGCTACGTATAAGAACATCCACTAAATGGAAGTCGTTACGAGAGTTAGCGAATATGCAAGTATGTACCCGTATCATAAAAGTAGTGCACAATGCACATTAGTTTAAAGTTGCTCACCAAAATAATATCACATTTTATGCAAATGCATCAATGATACCAAGTCTCAACAGCTTATTATATCTCTCAAACATACTGTAATCAGTTTGCTGCATAAAAATTGGCCCGACGTATTTAACGGTTACCAACAGACAATGACAAAAACTAAATAAATAGACTAAACACGAAACAACACTTTTATTTACTCCAACCAACAACTTTTATTAAACTCACGCGTCAAAAATCAAACCAAGTGGCAAATAACTAAACAGCATCACTTGAGTGTGCAAAGTATTGAACAATATTTTTTGCTACTCTTTTCAACCACATGTCGTCTATTCTTTATCCAATCAGCCAAACACTAAAGGCAACTGGTGGATTTAATCAACTCTCATTTCATTAACCCAACGCCACCATCCACTAACCCCTTCAAAAGCAGACTACTTTTGTGATTATTATTACTACGCTTTGGTCAAACTGATTATTACGTGCACACTTTTTGATAATAGACTCAATTCGACCCTCCATTGTTGTTAACGTGGAGTTGTAACAACAAGACGATCAACGAGAGAATGATTGCGTATCGTATACAAATGTATTGACCGAAAACCAACAAAGCTCCCTCGATCCAATTTACATATTGGTACGTATAAAAGCAGGCGCAGACACAATAGAGCGTAAAGAAAGATGAGGAAAGAAGGAATGATGACCTGCTTATCCTCTACGTTACGCGTTGTTCATTGGACACCCACCGCCACAGCATCTCAGCCAGTCTACATCGAGTGTGTATTAAAATGCAGGCATTGCTTTGGTGCCCCACACTCCAATATCTCACATGGGATCGTCATCAGAGATCATTCATCCATCTTCTCTGTTCTCATTCAACTTGATAAATGACAAATTACCGAGCGAAGCCATGCCTGGTATGTACTTTTTTAACTATTGGAGTTAAAGCAAATAATACACGCCACAAAGAGGCGAGGAATAACTGCTTGCATATGTGCACATGTAAACAGAACATAAAGTGCAAATAATAATATATTTACCCCCACGCACACAGAGTGTATTATTATGTACAAACTGTACACTACACAATGGCCGAAGTGAAGCAGGAAGACAAATCTATTATCTCGCACTGATGTCATTTCACAGAGAAATATGGGAGCGAATCCGACGATAAAATGAAGAAATGGTCTAAAGTCTCATCGTAAAGACTGCAAAGTACATATACTCGCATATTGGTTTTGGCTTGAATCTGATCGACGTACTCAATCCAAACCCTTGTTTTTCTCCATCCGCACACAAATTTTAACGAAATAAAGAGTTTAATAGTGAAGGAACTGGAGCTACTTATTGCGATTAATTTGGCCGTCAGCACGGTAGCTTTCGAACGACTTAATTTTTTAGTTGTGCTTTCGGATATCGACATTTTGTTTTTAAAGTAAAGAGTTTATAATTGACCGTGTAGGCCAAAAGCTAGTTGGGTTAAAGACGTCAACAATGTGGAGTTTTTAGTTTTGTCATTAATAATAATATAATATGGTTTTAGGCTTGATAATTATAGACGTTTGGGGTGGAGATTTCAGAACACCATCATGTCGAGGCATGGATCGCGTAATCGAGGTCAAAGGCAAAAAATGTCGGATAGCCAAAAATGTCAAATTTTCGAGTTTTGAACCACATCGAAAATGTTGTAGCACATTCAATACAGAATTTCCAGCACTTCGCTTCCGCTACTTCAATATCATTATCTGGGGTTTATCATTTGTTGTGAGTGAATCTCTAGCCAAGTCATCTCGTAAGTAACGAACAAATGACGGGTGAATCGATGCGGTTTAAAAACACAGTTAGTAAACTAAAGTCAATCGATGTAGCAGATCCCAGTCAGGATTACAAAGAGCTAAAGAGGAACGGAACATTTTGAATCCTTATTGATTGATTCAATTGACTTGGCCACTGATCCTGAGGCAAAGTTAATAATACCAAAGACGAATAAGATGGGGAAGGGCAGTGCGAATTGGGAACAAACTGCAGTTTTTTTTAGCCCGAGTCGGGGCTTATGGAATCGTCATGTCCGTCCGTCTGACCGGTCTGCGATAACTCCACCCTTCGATTAAAAATTTGGTACACAGCTACCAAATTATTGCTTAGGAGGACAACATGGTGACCCCCATGGATTTTCTAAAATGGTTGTAGAAGACTGAAATTTTGCATGAAACTGAACGGTAGATCAGATTAACAAATATGAAGTAAATTTCAAGATTTTATTTGCTAGAAGGATAGAACCGGGTTACATACACTGCTTTTTGAAATTGATCAGAATAAGGTGAAATTTGACGTGAATGTGAATTCAAATTTACGAAAGTAAAGCTTTCTTTAGATTTTTTTCATATGGATCCAAAAGGCGACATATGCTGGATAAATTGGAAATTGATGATTGCGAATATCTGTTAAATAGGAAATATATAATCCGCATCCTTGAGTTTGTACCATACTTGCAATTAGATAATGTAGTAGTTGGGTAATCCGACAAAATTAAGAAGAGGATTCTGACCCGACTCGGGCTAAATCAACACAGTTTTTTTATCCGTAGGCAAGTATTAAGGCAAGGTGTGTATGTATGTGTATGATCTTCCCAAGCCCATATTCTATGCACACTTATACCGGCCATATGATATCATAATTTTAATAATGTGCATCTCTCCATATTTTAGTGCAGCGATATGCGACCCAGCAAAGTATTTTATGTTAAGAAGGCATATACGTTGAAAAAATCTCATAACTAAAAGACAGAGACGACGGTTGCGTCTCCTTGTGTGCCGAGAGATTTTTTGCTAATGAGGGGGGGCGGGGCGAAGAGAGCAGCTGATTTTCATGTAAACAATGCAGGCAGTTGCATGTAAAAAGTTGCTTTGGGTTTTGAGAGTGACCGTTCCCACTCTCCAAACGGGGCATCGCGAACCAGAAAAGGAGAAAAATTTCGACTAAAACTTCTAATTTGCAGCTAATACAAAATGGATTGATTTCGTTTTGGTGGCAATAAATTCCCAAGTTTGTGCTTTACAATTGCCATGTTGCATAAATTCCATAATAAATCTCAGAGAAAAGTATTGAACTGAAACATGGACTCATATCATGTTTCAGTCCAATACTTTTCACCGAGATTTATTATGGAATTTATGCAACATGGCAATTGTAAAGCACAAACTTGGGAATTTATTGCCACCAAAACGAAATCAATCCATTTTGTATTAGCTGCAAATTAGAAGTCTTAGTGACAAAAATCATTTACATTACTGGTAAGTGGCGAGGAGAAAAAGTCAACTCGCTCACTAGGATGCCCAGACTGTTCCCTAACTCAAACTTTAATCCTTGCTAAGTACCTCAACTTATTGAATCAATGTGCCAAACTGTCAGCATTATTGTCTGCGTAGTATTATTGGGGTAATGTATTTAAGAGTTTCAATAATCAGGATACAATTTGTGTTGCAACATGAGATGTATAATAGATCGATACATTAGCCTTTTGAGAAATGCTATCTATTATTTTGTTGAGGCGAGATTTTTCTGCGCTTTCGCAGCTACCAAGTGATGATCATCGCATCAGCAACATTCATTCCACTGATACATGCAGATATTAGGATCTAATATCTGCACAAACAACTGCAACTGGCACCGCACCACCGTCGTCGTCGTCAACTTGTTGTGCTGTGTAGTGTAGATTGGAATAACAATAAAAAGTGCAAAGTGAACTTGCTGTGTAACATTCGACCGCATAATACACACAATAATGCAACCACGTCCACAAACCATAATCCAGTTCATGCTACATCCGCAGATCAATTCACCTATTACGTGATGTTTTACATGCATCCTTAATATTTTTGGTGATTTTGCCCCACACGAAAATCCATCTCCCAAAATTGTTATTTGTCATTAAAACACGTTGTGTATAAACAAATATGCCTTAGCAAGTTGCATATTATGCTAAGCCCACCACACAGACAATTAATAAATAGCTGGTGATGGGCAATGTTTGACGTGTGCGGAATATGCGGTAACAAGTGAGTGGTATTCAACCACTGCATTTTAGTTGTTTGATGTGGTGGTAGCAGTGGTTGGTTTAAATAGTTGATAGAAAAGTGGTTGAATAACAATATGTGCATGCAGAAGAGTCACTGAATGTGAGCAATGCAATGGGATGTTGTAACTTGAGATTAAGTGACTCTGGTTTTGACTCTATTCACCCGAACAACAATGATGCTCGTCGTCGTCGTCGTTCACTAACACTGGGCTCATTTTCATTGTTCCATCACCCATCCATACACCCATCTACGTATGCAAGAAGAAGAAGAAGCTTATCCACTCAACCCTGCATATTAAGATCGTTAAAAGTTTCAGTTGACTGATGGATTGACTGATTCCACACTAAATGAGAATGATTCGATTCGGAAAAAGGTGGACCACTATACGTAACTGCACATGTACGTTACGTATGTCGTGGTTCGTTACTATGTATTCCACTCCTATTCCTGCTGCTATAGTCTTAGCAATTTTTATTCGACGCTTATTACCAACGAGTCTTCTATCCAAATCATATTAACTTCTTGTTCAAACAACTTTGTAAAATATCACAGCTTTTTCATTTAATTTGATTACCCTTTCTCCTTCTACTTACCAACTCACTACTCTTTCGTTATCTCTTATCCTATGCTTTGCTTGATTGAGATCGAGTAGACTTGGTTTGGTTAATTCATCTGTCTTTATTGATTCACAGCTACGTGCTAAAGAATTCTGGTCACTATTAAAATCCTTTATTTACTAGCTAGTCTACTTTAGACTGTCTAAACGACCCTTGTTCATTTCAATATGATTTGATCACTGCATTGATAATTAAGCAACTTAATCAGTTCAAATGGCCAAAAAGAACAAATTAATATACAATTAATGTACATAAGCGATTCCACCTGAATTCTTATGACCGTCTGCATATTTATACGCATATGCACATACATGTGTGTACCGCGTGATGCAGTAGTATCCGTATCTACTGTAAATGTCATCTAAATAATATTCTTTGCACAACTGTGTCAATTGAGCGACCAACAACCCGAATTGAATGCACATGCAGCATGGAAAAGTGAGACACGGAGGTCGTCCTGTCTGTGAAGTGTGTCTGCATTTCCTGTTATTTCGAAATTATTATTCTCTGGCTGGACTGTCCTCGGCTCCTCCGCGATCGAAAGCCTCCTCCTCTGAGCACAGATTAAATTACATGCCCGTTCTCCAGAGACTTTGACATTTACCCGACCCATTCAATTTCACGGATTCTTCCTTGAGAAAGCTCCGAATATTCTCAAACTGCTCCCATTACCAGCAACCAACACCTTAAAATAACCATTTTATAGGAATTGTTGATCCAGCAGAATGTTGGATTTGTGTTTCACTCAATTACAAGATAAGTAATTGCAGCACGATAATATGAGTAAGAGAAACACAACACAAGCAATGCAATAAGGCAACGCTATTACAATCGAAATCCATGAAAAGAAAAATCTTAATCGTATTTAGACTTGGTAATTATGCAGTTCACAAGACTCGCTCGCCCATTTCTACATATTAAAAAAGCCTTCGTATGGAACAACAAAAAAACGGGTGAGCCAAGCTTATCAATAATATCGTTACTTTATTTTATGACCGAGGTCTCCAATACAAACCAATCATGCATTAGTTCCACATTTTGGCGTAAAAAGTACCGCCATTTCAATGAAACGAAGAAGGCAAAGTTAAAGTAGTAAAGTAAAGGTTTAATTTCTCAATTTGATAAGTGATTGGGGTCGGTCGGACGGAATGTACATAAATTCTTTACATTAAATGTATATATGTATGTATGCCTTTGAGGTCGGTCAGTCAATATATCCATGAGAGAAGAAGGCCATGTTCGGGTTACGTGGATTTTTAACCACATTTAAGAATGTGGCATAATATAAATTTGAGATTGAGAGACACGCTTTTCTCAATATCTTAATTGTTACTTTTGTATATTCCTCTAGAACTGCTTCCAGAATCTGCTTAATCTGGAATTTAATATGCTTCATGGCGCAGTGGTAGCACAAGTACACATGACACCAGTAAATGAAAATGTATAAACAAATAATATTGCATGTCCACACACAGCAGAACCCAAAGTCAAAATAGAACAATTGGAAAATGAAAGTGATAACAAAGTCGCGAGTTATTAACACAATCCCAAAGAGACCTTGGTTTCCATTTCGTTTAATTCCTGTACTGTGGGAATTATTGTGTCTGGAAGGTGTTATGGTTGAGTTACCACGAACGCACAAAGTATTTAGGAACCCCAAACAACAAACAGGTATCACTTGTCCAGACTTCAACTAATCCTAAATGCATCCAGCCCTGAATTACCAAAACCTTAATAAATACATGCATACGCTTGTGTCCAACTCTAACCGACTGCTACCACGAAAGGGCCTCAAGGGTTGTTAGAAGGAAGTCTGTGCTTAGTTGTACACTTACCAGCTGGCATAATTTGGACGAATCTGCTAACACCACGAGAAAAATAGACGGAAAGAGTGCTAAGCAAATGCTAGCTCGTTGTTTATTAGTAATCTAAGCGATATTATCGTTTTGCTTTTCCAGTAGAATTTTTACACGAGCCATTAAAATGGAACCATTCTTAATGTGCAGATTTTCCAGGGAAAGCGAGATTGGGATTATGAGCATTCTTGCTTGTGAAATATTATTGATGCGAGACGAACGTAATAAAATGGTTCTTACATTGATTTGATATCCTTCTTCCTTCATAACTTTCCCATCACACAATATTCTCACAAAACATTTCAATTTTCAAGAAACCACATAAATGTAACGATATATAACCTAGCGTCATTTCCGGATGCTCAAAATAAAACTGCTTCTGTATTTCGTTCCAAAATACCCCCAATTTCCAAACAATAAATTGATGCTGTTGATAAACCTAATGTTTTATTTGTTCCCGACGATTTCCGCACGTCCTTTCACTCACGAATCGTTTTAATGTTTTTTCACACTAACCCGGACACTAGTGAAGGAGTGGGTGGTTTGGTTTGGGTAATTACGCCGCAAATAGGGCTTCACACTTTGAAGATGCACCGAATGGTCGCATTAAGTGGTGTGGTTGCCGAGTGTTTGGGCAGTATCAAGTTGTCATGTCCGGTGGTGAGACAACGACGCACAAGTCCTGCCTGCTTTCTCTCCAGTTCCGTGTGTGCAATGTGTACATGCAGTCTCCGCGTGTGTAAAGGAAGCCTGGTATGCTTTCACCTTGTGGAAAGAGCGGAGCGGCGTCGTCTCGACGTGGTCAGGATCAGTTGAGAACTGATCCATCCAGACTTTTCCTTCCTCTCCTCGCCTCCTAGCAAAATGACTCTGGTGTAGCAGGCAAGGAAGCCAAGTTACTGACAGAGGAGCAGCATCATAACCTCTCTCAGCCAACCCTTTACACGGAGTACGAAATCCAATGCGCAATTCACTTCAGTCATATCCACGGACCAGGCGAATGTTGCTAACCTAACGTGTGCCTCTCTTTATGCTGCTTCTCTTTATTCGGCTCCGTTCTCGGTAGCATGGCCTACTTGGTCTTTGCTTTGTAGGTGAGTAGGTACGTTCTTATGGCTGCTGCTGCTATATACTTGACACACGCTCTCATTTCTTTCCCCGAGCAGTCGTCTTCTTCCTCCCAAATACAAAAGGCGTTAGGACATGGTTTTGACGAATTCATACCTTAATTGCGGGATGGTTTTTAGTTCTAGAGATTTCTAACATTTTTTATGTGAAAGCCCATGTCTCAAACTATAGGTAAGCATATCTGGCTCCCGATTTTGTATACTCTACGAAATGAGGCAAGGTTAAATTTGGAGAGGTGTCCTTTTTTAGTTTTCCAAACCAGTGTTCTTATAAAATGGCGTTGAACAAAATATTGTTTTCTGAGGTCCTGGTGCAAAAATCGTCTTTGCGACTATTATCAAGGGACTTAGCATGCTTTTCACTATATAAAACCACTTTTGTATCATGCTTATCTTTTAAGTCCCTTTTGTAGTCTAGCTTCCTACTTGTCCTAATGGAATGCTCTCGTGAAGACATCTCCTCGACTTTTAAGGCCCCCACATTTTAGGACTTTGATGCTAAAAATCCCTAACGTGGTTTTTATCCAAGGTACATATAGTATATTGCACTGTAAGTACTTTTGATAAAATTCTGATAAGTGGTTACACCCCAGGAAATGGGATTCCATCAAACCCTATAAATTTTTTACAAAAGTTCTCCTCAAAATTGAAGCGGAACTTTAAATTTTTTTTAACTAATCAAAACACAGTAATTTTATTATTTTGTCACTTGTACCTTGTAGGTAAAATAGTTCTTCAGCAGGAGACACAAAAAAGTTATTAAAATTTGTTTCCAACAAAATTTGACCATTAATTTCCCAAATTAGTTCACGAGTTTTTTATGATTCCCCGTCAGCTGATTAGCTAGGGTCCTTCTTCAAAACTGTTTACCCAAAATCTTCACTGCTTAATTTAATATTACTTAGGACACTTTGAGCTTTGCCCTCAATCTTCATTTGACCCAGTCGGTCCGTTTTCAAGGTCAGCTGGTCAATTTCCCGGTGCACGGTCCGATTGATCACTTTTCATGGAAAAGTATCAGCGACGATGGAGGCCTAACGTTATGTAATTCATTGTGGATTCTTTTATTATTTCATGCAATGATTATCTAGGGTTGTAATATTAACAATTATTCACCTCTGACCTCTTAGGTTATCATGCTATATGAGTAATTCAGTTTGGAAAGTGTTTTTTTGGCTCCTTCCAACTCTGGGGGCACTGGAGGGGGCATTTATAAAGCTATCGGCCTAAAATTTTAAATATATCTTTTTGAGAGTATTATCTTGCAACTGACCAAAAATCAGTTCAAAATTCAACTCCTCGCCAGAGATATTCACCCGCGAATTCGTCAAAACCATGTCCTAACGCCTTTTGTAGTCAGCAGAATAGCAGTGCTTGGACCAGATAGACCGCTGCAGATAGCGTTGCTTGCTTGGGACGTACGTCCAAAATTTCGAGAATCCTCAAGAAACTTTAACTCACTTTACTACTTATATATAAATGTGCTGAGTAGCAGTCTCACTCGCAGCCTTCTTTCACGTGAAGCTTGCGTCGTTTTGCCCAATTTCCGTACTCCCGAACCCTTTCTCTCTCGCTCTCCTATTATGAGACAGACCATATTTACTCGCTCCGATGAAAGTGTAACATTCATCTTGGTCCTTTCCCTCAATAACGAGAACCGATGGATTCTTGGCCCAATGAAAGAAAGAAATGCTGCACTTGAGACTGTGGAAAATCTTTCCCTTGCTTTCTTTCTAAAGAGAAAGTATATACAACTGCATGCAGCTACGCTTTTCTTTTGGGGACAAACTATGTATATTTACTTAAATGAAGAAATGAGGGATTTATTTATGTGTCAAACAGAATGAGATTACAGCTAATTCTCATCAAGTTTAGTTTTCCAGAAAATTTGGGTAAACAACATAGATTCAGAGACTCAGTCATGTAAACGCTTTAAATGATTAGCACCAAGTTTCAACTTCCCAAAACAACTTTGCATTATTGCATTTGCACACGACGTGACATCACATTGATATTATTGTCAACGTCGTTTAATTTATTTTGAACAAGGCAGCAAATGCAGTTGGGTTGAGGATGTTATAAACATTAAGCACCGTGTTTGTGTCATCATCATTTTGTTCATCACAGATATTCTCAACAAAAAAGGTGTACAAGTTCCTTATCTGGTCTCCGCGATTGGATGAGACCATGAATTTCGCTACATATTGAATTTGTCATTGTCTATTTAGTAGCATAATGTGTGTGATTTTTGTGTTCAAAAAAGATTTTTTCCACGATTTGTAAAAACAAGGCGAGGGAAAGAAAGAAGAACAGGACATCGTTTCGTACTCCCCATTATCAATCAAGCGACGACGAGGGAGGGAGAGACCGGATACCTAACCTCTGCAGCCCCAGTTGGAATTGGCAGCCTCTAATCCAATACTTATTATTATTGCATTACCAACGTGTTGTTGGTCCTCTTTGTCCGCAGTGGTTCATGAAAAACATGATATGCTCATCAACACAAGGCTTATTACACAACACATTATCTTCGCGATGGAGTGTTCATCTTCCGTTTGTCATCATCTTCCGTCGCATCAGCTCTGGCTTCTTTCTCTCATATTTTGCTCCTCTCTGACCGTTTCCCTAATCTCATTTGGTGGCAGACGAAGGTGTTTTTATCATTTTGGTAACAACACATTAACCGTTTGATGTACTCAACTTACTTTGTCTGTCATCAAGCGCAAATTAAAATGCTGCCAAACTTTTGGAGCAAACTCATTGCAGAAATAAAATGACAATTGTATATACAGATAGCGGTTTTAACGTGTTTTAATGCTCTTAAAAATCATACCTTTAATACACGTATAAAATAATAATCACCGAATTAGCGGAGAATGCTCAAACTGGGACCAACTACATAATTGAGAGTATGCATGATGAGAATTGTGTTTTTGGATGTATTACAACCTGCAACAACTTGGTTCTTCATGACTAAAGCGTTTCTTTCCACATCTCTTCCAAGTGCCAATCCATTTGCACATGTGACTTGTTATGCGCTCACCAGACTGCCGGATTGTACTGTTTAGTTGCTAGCTTGTTTTGCTAGTTGATGATTCAAGTTATGAAATAAATGCTCAATTTTTGCAGAGGAGGAGATGCATACACGTACGTAACGTACGTAAGGTGGTGGTGGGTATTTGTTAGTGGTTGGTCTGGCGTTATTGGCTACCATGCCATGTCATGAGCGAATAATGCGATGTGCCATGTCTTCTCGCCACTACTCCTGTCTGGTGTGCGAAAGTAGTCGCAGCGTTGTTGTTGCTTTAGAACGGGCGATTCTTTACACAAGCTCTGCTGTTGCGGTGCACCAACCAACCAACCAACCAAGCATAAGATAGATGATGATGAACTAAGTGGGAGCGAGGAGTTTTTTGTACTTTTGAAGGCTAAGGTCACCCTGACTCTGGTGGCTCGCTTGCAGAATTTGCACTCTAAGTGAATAAGTCGAAAGAAGAGAGGGATTTAATAGTGGGAGATGGCGCTTGGGATTTAACAGCATGGCAAAAAGTTATCATTTCCAACCACACAGACACCGTCGTCCCTACAAAATCTTATGGACTGCGCTTCAACCGTATTCATACAGATAACACATGAGACGGGAGAGAGTGAGAGATGATGTTGCATTAATGAGATTCCCAGTATGCTGCTGATTTCGCACAAGTGTTATAACTTGTGAATTGTCAAGTGTGGAACTTGAGGGAATTCGAGTGCTACTGCAAAATGGGTGAAATCTCATGCCTAGAACAACCTAAAACTGATGAGAAATATTGTAAAAGTTGAAAATTTATATCATCCTTCCCCAAAAGTTGATTGAAAAAAAATCCTACGTTTTCATGAAAGATTTGGTTAAGCAGATTGCAAGATTTAGCAACCTGGTCTCAAATATAGCAAAAACGAAACATTGCTCTCATTCATCCCGGTCGTTTCCCCAGCACAATCCAACACTCTTTCCCCAAGTTTATTAAACCCTGTCTTACTACATCTTTTTGCATCCTTACTTACCTATTCCAACACAAGTTCGACACCAGCACAATCTTGTATACTCGCATACATAGTAGCGTTTCTGGCATTTATTTGACAGTGTAGAAAGTTGATGGTAAATGGGACTGACCACATATTCATACACATGCAATTGTGTATCTGACTTTTAGTCTGAGCTATTTGTACACACAAACTGTTTAGACTTGTTAGTACTAGGATTTCTTAATAGTAGGAAAATTATTAGAAGGAAGAACAAAAGAGAGCATTCGTGTAATTGGCAGTTGTACACGAGCACACACGAAATCGTTAATCAATTCATCTTGGCGAGAACGAAAGACCAATGCACTCCGCCCGCCTCCTCTTCTGAATGGATAATTTTTTATGTATGTATCCAGATTGCGTGGAAATGCACATTTAATTGCAAGGAATGACCGAAAGGTGCAATATGCTACCCCCCAGTTAAGACCTTTGTCCTTTCTTGTTCAGGTGGATATTTTGAGAATATCGTGAATACATGTGTATCTCGGCGGCCATGAAATTACATGAAATGTAGCAGAATGAAAATGTCGTTTAGTAAATTCTCAACCTTTTGCTTCTATGAGTAATCAAGGGAAATGGTAAACGGCTACTTATGGATAACCAGCTTAAAATAGTTTGCAAATATTTGTAGCTTATTGGTATCGAATGTGCAATGCCAGTTCACCATTAATTACACCAATTAAAATTGCAGGTGACTTATATTATCTGAGAAATATCAAAAATAGGTTGAAACATGCAAGTCCAAGTTTGCCAATATTGGTAAACTTTCTCCCAGCAGTAATTAAGCAGTTCTTTCGGAGGAGTTTATTGATTGACCAGCAACAATCAGAACGGGCAATGAAAAGGCCACTGCTTGAGACCATAAAATGTCAGCCCTCTGTTCATAATGGTACTAATAAAACAGCGGTGCTTCAGTCCGTGGGCATTCAAACTCTGCACCACGTTATGAGTAAAGGTAATTTTATTGTCCTAGAAACGGCTAAAACCGTGAAAGGACAATCATTGCAAAACTAAAGTCGCCTTGAGTTGCGACACGGCGACGAGACAGGTAGGACTGACTCTGGCAGGAGAAAGTTGCAGCACACTTTCCCTCGCTCTTGCTTCTGAATTATTTCAATATTATTTGACACTTTATCATTCTATACATGTTGCGACAAATGAATTGTTTCCAACACAAATTTTCATTTTTGAAGAAATTAAATTTTAATTATTATGTACTGACAAAATGGTGTGAGTGGACCGTTGCTAAGTTGGAGGATTGAGATGACCCCCTAGGTCAAATCTGGACCAAGTGATCTCACACCCTCCAGTGAGGTGTCAATCGATCGGTCTAGATAATACGATCAGTTTGGTATATTATAAAATTTTGTGAGATAAGAATTGGCTTCGAAATTCCTGAAAAACTTATATTTTGGAGATATTCTTCAAAATAAACATTTTAATTTTCGAAATAGTACACTCGAGATTTTTAGCTTAAAAAATCAAGCTAAAAATTAGGATGATTTCATCCTCAGGAATTAAGTCTCTTTGTCTGCCTATTCAAAAGTTATTCAAGGTTAAAGTCGTTGGGGCAAACCAAAGGACTTTTGCCCCAACGATTTAAAAAATGAAAATTTTCTAAAAAATAATCCATTTGTCGCAACCGTATGGGGCACCACCCCATAGAAACGATGTCAGTTAATCGTGGAATTATTTGTCGCGAATATATTTTGTTTATTTTTTTTACCAAAGTCCACCACAGTTTTTTTTCACTGAGGTTTGCACCCTAGCGTCCAAATTAGGAAAAAAATTAAAAATCTCGTCAAGTTGTTTTGTCTTTTTGTGGGACCGAGCTAGAAAGAAAATTCAAAATGCCACGTCCTGTAATGTTTGACTGCGTTTCTGCTGCTCAAGGGAAAGAAACAATGGAAAAGGAGCTTAACGCGAAGGAAGCTTGGATCAGGATGAACAGGAACGGAATTTGGCAACAAGCTCTCGGACCAATTCAGGGAAGAATTCAAGCCATTTGTGAGGACAAGAATGAGTGAGTTTGTAAAACTTTTCTCTTTTTAATTTCAACTTTCATCCCAGATCATACAAAGCAAGCAACAATATTGCATTCTATGTATTTAAAGCTCATGTACGTACAAATATTTACCCCTCAGTTTCCTTAAAATTTCGCACGTTTCTTGTTCCCTCTTTCCACACAACTTTATATTGGGTGACTTTTTGAGCAAAGAAAGCCGCAGATTAAGCAGATTGCGTGGTGAATCGAGTATTATTCTAAGCAATGAAGACGTACCAATATTTATATTAAGAAATATCATCTACGGTAAGCACAGTTGATACTTATACTTGTGGGTTTTCCTTAGCACATACGTGTATACACGTAAACACGAGGAGAAAGTTTGCAAAACCATTGAAATGAAACAAGTTCTTTACTATCAGTTGTGATGGTTCTTTTTTGTAACTGACGTGTAATTCTATCCGTAATTGTATCAATTGAAGATAGATCTGGATTTAAGGGTACTGAAAATTGAGCATGTTTACTCGATAAACTTGCTTCACTTTTAAAGCAACAATAGAATCACGCTTAACTGATACGTTAGGTTAGGTTGTGCTAGCTGCCGTTGTTGGCCGTCTGTCAACGTCATTAAGTGACCCAGATTTCTAATAATAATTGTCCAGTCGTATTGCCCCGTTGTCCATCAAGAGGTTCGAAAAGAGTGAATCCCAGTGAATGAAAGGTGCGTTTTATGTCGCTTCCCTGGCAATTTTACGACCCACACTTCCTGTCCCCATTAGTTTGGTTTGATTCTTTACAACAAAAGTGAGGAATCAAAGCTTGGTGGATGGACATGAAGTGGAAGTGGGACGTATTTCCTCCATTCAGCTCGTGTTCGTCCACCTCTCTCGTTCTCTGATAGTGCCAATATGTAGTAATAGATTTCTCATTCACCATTACATGCTAATAATGTTTGGGTTGGTGGCATAGTGGATGGCTCACCTGCATTACATTATTCAATGCGCAGTCTTATTCCGAGTTTTTTTTTCTGGCTTAATTGATTCGCTGTGTGATGAAAACTGTGTCACAAAAGACATCCAACTGGGTTGGCGCAGGGCGTTCTGTTTGGGCTATCGTAAAGTGTAAGAATGGCAATAGTTACTCCCGGAGAGGTTACTTAATGCAGAAACCGAAGGTGAGATAAAGTCTCAAAGTGGGTGGAAAAATTGGTTTAGTTTGCCAGAGTGGGCCTCCGGTATCAGTTGGTTTTGGGGGATACATACGTTTGCTGAGGTGTGAATAAGAGTGTTTCAGTGCTTTAATCCATCTTCCACCAAATACATTGTTGTTTTTTTTACTTAAACTTATTGTTTTATAGACTCCTTCGCAAGCTTATGGATTCTAAAGACGAGTATTTTCGCTTCTGCAAGGCCACGCCTCCACCCAAGGTGGAAAACGACACGTTCATTGTCCATGTTGGTCCTGACCCTTGTGACGAGTGTCAAAGAGATCCCACAATTCCGATGAAGACGCCTCCGGAACACATTACAGCGTTGATTTATCAAGGTAAATGTTAATTAACATCGTCTCGTATTGGCTTGCAAAGATACTCATATTTTTATCCTGGTCTAACCCTTGTCAAAATTATCTATTATGCCCATAATGACATAATTTGCATAGGTTTGGCCAAGGAGGGAGAAGGCTACCGACGTTATCTTACAACTCGTTACGACTCAGGTTCGACCCTCACACAATTTGCAATTTCATTTCACCTTTAACCTAAAAGTCAATTGTAAGTACTTTTGCATGTTGTTTTGTCCACTCCCAGGACTCCCAGAAACAAAGTTTTGCTATCCGCCCACAACCAATTCTGAATACGCCTGGAAGCTGATGGAAAGTGTTCACAACCGGAAGAGTGCCACTCTCCCACGACTTTCCACCATCGGACCTGCTTTCTATCGATCTCGAGGTGTCATGTGTAAAGCAGATTATGCACCCTACCATTTCCCCCGGAATTATTATTGACTTGTGCGGATATCTTTAATCCTGTCCTTGTAATTAAAATTATATCCTTGCTTACGTGGGAGATAAAGTCTAAATTATTGTCGTCTCACTCATGGGTGCAGCAGTGTGCTTCTTATTTATGGTTTATTCGAAGGACGTATAGTTTTAATGCATAAACTTTTTTGAATCAATACCACTTCAAGAAGAGTTATGAAAAGGTAACTGAATTATTTCACTGGGTTGCTGAAACTCGGGCACGCCTGATTTTCTCTGCGGCCCCTCCGTTCGACTAAGCCTCGTGCTTCCATCAGGCGTCGTGGTGTCAGGGATAACTTCCAAACCCCGAGTGCAAAATATTCCTAGAATTATTAAACAATGTTGCATCATTATTTTTATATGCCTCAGATTGCCCTTTGTACCTTGTAATATGGGATACTTCTTGGTCAAAGTCCGCCAGTTATCTCGTTTGCAAATAAAGATGACAAAGATTGCAATTGACTGCAGCATGCTTCCAACATCCACAATGCTCCAGTACCATGTTCTTTCATGTAGGTCAACCAACGCGTGAATGACTTGAAGTATCCAGACTGTCCCCATCACGCAAAACAATTTTAGCAGCAACTGACAGCTGTATATCAGAAAAATTATCATTTATTTTAGAATTTCAATAGTATTTATTATTTTCAAGTCAGGCTTACGAGCTCCGATGTTTCTTGGCTGAATGTCCTTTCCGTTTTACATTGAGTTTGCAAAGTCTGTACGACGTGCACGAGTAGAAAATGACATTTGTCAACAGAAGAATTCCAACCGGAGTGTAAAAGTAAACCAATTGAGCATCATCGGAGAGAAAGCAATGTTCCGTCCCATAGCCGGGGACGGTAAAGCTGGGTTCTTTGTCACGCCTACACTTTATCGGCCTGTGCGTAATACATACTTGAGTAAAAGTTTGTGAATGGGGTTTACACAAGAAACAATTATTATGCCATTATTATAAATTGTGTGCCAATTTACGTCTCATTGCTGAGGTGTTGGAGGGAAATAGCCACTGCGATGACCATGAATGGAATCGCGGTTGCAATTATTCCATAAATAACCAACCGCGACCAGTGTACGTCTGTTGAAGGATTTAAGACCCTACACAATCCAAGTTATTATTAAATTAGTCAATTAGGTGAATTACTTGTTGAACAAATTACTTACCTAAAGGTCCACCATAAATCTAGGTTAATTAGAACTCTTATTTAACTATTATTAATAACTTTTAAAAGTTAGTTAATTAGTTACCAAAGTTAATTATTAATAGCCAGGTAAATGTGGACAATCCAAAGAAATGGGCAAGAATTCCGACAGGAAAACACCACGATGTGCTCAAGATTTTCCAAAGTTGATCCACGTAAATGATAAGGATGAAAAAATAAAACAAGAATTGCGACAGTACGTAAAACAGCATCGACTTTTTGTGGATATTTTGCTTTTCTAGCACAATGAATCCCAAAGCGGTTGCAGCAAGAAAACACATTGATATCCCGAGAGCAGTTATGTTTGTGTAGGAAAAAATGTACCGAGATTCCTGTGATATTTGGAAATACAAAATTTGTAAATATTCTTCGCGATGTAATATTTATGGGGAGCATTTAAATATTTATGCCGAATATGAAATACAATAAAGAGAAAGTTGTAAAATATACCTCAGAATCATAATTAATGCTTCGGTTGGTATTGTCTTCACTTTCACAAAAGATCAAAACGTCTTGTTCTTCGCCTCCGCACGTGTCACTGTCGATTGACTCACGAGAAAGGACAAGTTGATCGACACAATAGTTTTCTGTGACAATTTTCCAATGTGGAATGTGCATTTTTCTGTCATAATATGCTATCCGGTTGGAACTGAGAATCTTCCATCTTTACGCAAGAAGTTTCATGCAATCAACGGTTTAAGATCTTGAGTTACATATGTTCATAAAATGTTTTAGCTTACGGGGTGGGGACGTACTCCAATTTGGCTAATGCACTACTAATAATTGTGGGATAGCTGCAGCTGGGATACGTGACCACTGGATAGCTTATTTTCTGTATTTCTTCCTCAATTTTCATTGTAGGGATTACTGGTGGAAATTTTGTGCGAGATTTATTGTGGTTTAAATCTACGCATCCGTACGAAAAGTTGAAACCTTGACCTACGGGACAGCACTTTTGATACCAACGATGTTTAGACAAGCATACTTCAACTTTTATGAATTGTGTATCCGTTCTGAAAATGTACCAAATTAGCATTGTTAATGCGTTTGAAGACCGTCAGCTTAATTAATATTTTCGCAAGTAAAGTTTAGTTATACTTTCTTATGCAGTACGAATCCTGAGGGAAATCGCCCAAAATTATTTCACTCAAAGATTGTCGCCCAAAATTGCTATTGGACACCTTGATGCTGGCGTTGGGTGAAAAGTGAAGCTGAAAATATTCATCATTCTCATTGCTTCCAAGAATTGATAACGTATCGTTTTCCACGTGTCCTGACGTAAAAATATTCGCATCGATAGGAATATCCACAGAACGAGAGGAACAAGAGGAACCATGCTGTCGTTGATCGGGAACTAGCCTAATTTTAAAGACATTAGTAAATAAATATCCCATTAATATTTTCACCATCTAAATACACGTGTCAGTTGTACAATAAGTTTGAAACCCTACTGGAACCAAATATTTCTGCTGCTGTTGTACGATTTCCAAGCGTCCATCCACTGATTACATTCGTCTTTGGTTGTACAACAGCCAGGTAGAAAGTGGAGACTTGCACTTGATAATGCGAGAAAGTTAATTATCACAATTATAAAACTGGTATTCGACATGACTGGCGGCACTCGTATTGTTTAATAATATGCACAACAGCGATAAATGTTTCGATGCACTTCAACCTTTGCCAGCTTCATCGTCCAACAAAGGTCTAAATTCCATCATTTAGAGATAAATAGTTTGTCTTTTTAATGTACGAGTCAGCTTTGTATATGTATTTTAAAATATTCGTCAACTTTCCTAGAACAATAAGGAAATTTTGGTAAAATTAGTAATGCATATTTTTGCGGCGTGTTATTACTTCCAGATTTTCCTGTTCTCTGGAAAACAGAATGCGGCGTACCAGATTACCGGAAGGATTGGTAAAAGTGATGTCATGAATTAATACTTATTTTCTCATTTCTAAATATGTCTTATAAAAAACTAGTGTTTCTCACGGGTCGGGTTCTTGCAAATCCGAAACCCGAACCCGAACCCGGTACCACTGATCCGAAACCCGAGGCCAACCCGAACCCGAAGAACCCGTACCCGTTTTCAGGGACCCGAACCCGAACCCGAACTGGGGGTTCAAATCCGAAACCCGAACCCGAAAACCCGAAAATATTTTTAATTTTAAGGCATGGGCTGAATTTGTACTTAAAAATTATTTAAAAGCTTAAAAATCAACAATATTTATAATATTTCAAAAACTGCCCCAGAATGGCTTTCCGAGACCTTTAGAAATTTGAAAATCAGTCCAAAATTGGATAATTGTTTCCAGTTTGACGTTTCCAATATTATTACTTATATCATTAGGTATGATTCAGGTAATTGCATAGCAAAATTAGGATAAAAATTCGATTTCTTTTATAGTTCGCACCGTAACACTAATTGAATCAGGCTCTTGTAAATCGTTTACCTTTTTGGAAACCATTGAAATTAAACGAATTTAAGACAACTAGAAATTGGAATTACTTACTTCAGTATTGCAACCGCTGAAGAACATGTAGTTCAACAATTTTTCTAATATCTTTTTGTGATATCGATCCAAAAAAGTTTGATTCGGGTTTCGGGTTCTTAATCCGTACCCGAACCCGACCCGAACCCGAAATTTTGACATGACATTTTTCGGACCCGAACCCGAACCCGAAAGTTTCGGGTTCTTAAATTTCGTATCCGAAGCAGAACCCGAACCCGAACCCGAACCCGAAACCCGAAGTAAGGACCCGAACCCGTGAGAAACACTACAAAAAACATGTGGATCATGATTTATTTTATCGGATTTACATTTAGTTTTTTTTGCATAATTCTTCATTTTCTGTTGAGTATTTATTCACAAGCATGCAAACTATAAATTAAAGTATTTAAACACAAAAATGTAAAGCTTGATATGTGCATATTTCATAAGCATTGAACGTTTTCACTAATGAAGTCGAAAATCATTTGGAGAGTTACGCATTATCCGCATACCATTTTTCATATCATTTATGATTATGAAAATTCGGGTTCATACGGAAGTAATGTAATAATGCACGAATTATTCGATTGTATAATGCATGTCTAAGAATTTCCCAATTTTGACAAACATTTGAAATATTTGCCCTTCAGCTATGCTTGCATCGTCTAGAAAATTATCGTATCGTATACTCAGCGTTTAAAATACTCAAGAGTTACAAAACTGCATGAGAAAATAAAAATGGAACCATATAGTGACCAATGGTTTATTTTTTTACAAAACTAGTTGACACAATAAATTAACCAAATTATGGTAATTCATATATTTCATTTTCTTCTTTCAAACTTTTTTCCTTCCATCAATCAAACAATTTGCCAAGCGTCTAATCCAAGACAAGGTGTGAGCATTGACTAAACGACTCTTTTATTTTCATCCGCCATTCAACTGGTATTTTGGCTGGGAATGATGCTTGACCTTTATCACTAATTAATTTTAATCGGCTAAGCAGCCATTGTGTCGTGTCCAACATGAGCGGGCATATGTCGAATAAAATTCTGGCAGAGAATATACACAACACTCTTTTTGCTAAATTGGCTCAGTTGACCTATTGAATGTAATATGCTGCCCTGCACTGATTCAATATTTTAATTAAGCGTAAACTATTTTATGACTTGTAAAATTTTATGTCGTACTTGTGCTGTTGCTTTCTAACGAGAATATTTAACAGTTGATCAACCACTGTGTCCAGCTACATATGCATCACATCACCATTTATGCTTTCGACGCTTCTTCAAATCTGCAATAAGTACACGAGTTATTGCACGATGAGACTCTGGCAAGAAGAACATGAGCTCTTTATTGATTCTGAAATAAAGTGGCCACTGGTCAAAGTCAGCGTTGACTTATTTCAGCTCCATAGCATACACATTATTATCCAACTGATCATGAGGCTAGTTAAATAGCAATTAAAACATTAAAGTAAACTTGTATTAAATTCAGTTCACTTGATACAGTTATCCAAATTGCCAACTTGTGAATAAAGGAGGAACATGACGGGAAAGTGCTTTTAGAATTCTCGAAATAAAAATAAAATCAGTTTTTGTGCCAACTTACATAAATAGAAAATTGAATTAAACCACTGCTACCTCAATCAGCCAGCGAGCTATTATTTGTCCTTTTTCAGTAATTCTCCCGTATCATCGACCATGGACAGATTCAGCTCAACAGTAGCTAGGATTTGATCCGTAGTGTATTTCTGTAATTGTTTGTTTATCGAGAAGTAGCCATTTGTTACCGGATCAGGAATCGACATGGGTCAATACGAAGATCCGCTCAGATCCACTTCAACCGACATTCGCGAGCTGAATTGCTTGACTGCGGTATGTAATTCCTGTACTTATTTAGTTATTTACTTATTATCTTCATTGGATATCGCTCTGAATGGAGAATGCTTGAAAATATTATTTATTTGTCGTGACAGGAGGAAAACAAAGAGGAGGAGAATGACCTTCCGTGCAACGAATTTGATGACATTCTCGACATCATTGGGTCCCAAGGAAGAGTTCAGAAACTATTGCTTTACGCAGCCATCTGTCCCATCACAGCCATCGAACCGTTCATAACGCTTAACATGATCTTCCTCCTATTTCAACCCGAACACTGGTGCTACGTTCATGGGAGAGACCCCAACATTACCAGCCTTACGGACTGGAAAAACTTTTACATTCCATTGTACGAACATTTTTATCATTTTTTTCAGCTTTCTAAAATTCTGGACGATTTTGAAAATTGCAATGCGTATACTTACTTCTTGAAGAGACTACACCAGACCTCCTGGTTCGGATGGTCAACCCAAGTTTTCTCAGTGCACCATGTACAGCGAGGACAGCTCAATTATAAAATGTCCTTCAGGTTGGGAATATGACAACACAGAGTACGAGTCCACAATTTCATCTGCTTACAACTGGGTTTGTGACTCCGCGGACAACCCCACCGATGCCTTTACGGTAAAAATATTAGCAAATACTCATTTACATAAATATGTATTCTTGAAGCAATAATTTAGTAGTGTTTCACATCACATTTTCATTGCTATATATTCACTAATGCTTCAAAATTACAGGCCCAAGCATTTGGCAATGCTGTTGGAACTCTGGTGTTGGGCCACCTTTCAGACAAGTACATAATAAACGGCGTATAAAATTTTAAAGGAAAAATCAAATTAGCATAAATTTGATTAAAACTGCCATTGTGTTCAGGGTGGGTAGGAAGCCAATCTTCTTTTTGACCATTCTAATAAACGTGGTGTTTCGTATGCTGAGCTTCTTTGTTGTACACAATATTGTAATGTTCAATATCACCCAATTTATTGCTGGGACTGCTTTTCCGGTAATTTAAAATAACTTCAAAAGTCCATTAAATGTTATTTTAATTGCAATGCCCACTATTAAGATGATGTTTATTGCCCCTTCAATGATTCTGGCCGAAATTTGCGACAAGGGTGAGTACTTATATGTGCATATTTATATTTTATGATATACCTATTTATGTACACGAGACTTTGCCATATGTCATGTAAAGTCCCTTCTGCATAGTTTTCTGTGTTTTAGACTACAGAGGTCACGTCTACGCAATGACCTGGGTAATATGAAATATTATTATATAATATTAATATTCATAATATTAATATTAATATATAATAGATGATCTGGGTTGTCGGAATGGCAGCGTTACCACTGGTCGTTTGGTTTTGCAGAGAATGGTTTCTGGCCACGATTAAATATCACACATTGAATTTTTTATGCACGTCATAATCCTAGTATCGATTTACATAGGTTTCTAATCGGAATTACGACGACCATTCCAGGAGCTCTGCTGTTCCTCTACTGGTTTTACCTTCCTGAGAGCCCGAGATGGCTTTTCTCCGTAGGAAAGTTGGAAGACGCTGCCTGCGTTCTCATGAAAATTGCAAAATCCAACGATAGGGCAGATCGACTAACCAAACGTCAACTGGACGGCACTCTGTCACGTTTGTATAGTTTGCAAGCTAAAAGTGAAGGCAGGACTGGGGTGTGGACGCTGTTTAGTCGGATGAGATTAGCAAAGAACACGGTCCTTCTCACCGTCTGTTGGTCAGTTTGTGGTATCTCGATTAACATTAGTAGTGAATATCGCATTTTTAACGTGTAGATAACTTAATCTTGCCAAATCTGATCGACACAGGTCCATTAATATCGTCGTCTATTACGGCATAACGTTAAATACAACCCAGATGTCTGGGAACCAATTTGTGAATTTTTTCATGCTCTCCATCATCGAGTTACCGTCTGGAATGTGCGGGGCATATCTCGTCGATCGTGTCGGACGAAGATGGACCCAGGTCATTTTCTTCTGTGGATGCACTTTAGCGTGTGCTGCCTCTGCTGCGATTGTGCAATTTTTGAATAATCCTGTGATTGAAATTATTTCAGTTGTGGTTGCAAAGTAAGTTTCCTGACTGCAAAAATGCACCCATAAAACAATATTTCACACTAATTCTAACTTTATGTATGCTTTATGTAAAGATTCGCAATAACACTAACCTTCCTAGTGGTTTACTTGCAAGGAGCCGAGATATTTCCCACTCAGCTACGCAGTACAGGATCAGGATTTGCTTCCACGGTGGGTGCGGCATGTGGAATCTTAGGACCAATCATGGTGGCACTGGTAATAACGAATTACTTTTGTTACAATTTGCATTTATTGAGTTATTCAGTATAAAGTATCACCATTGATTTTCATCATAAAAAATTAGACAATTTTAGGAGATAAACCAAGGCGCAGTACATACGTACATGCCTCTCCGTACATTAGTTGACACATGTCTATTTTTCACAGGGGACGTACAATGTTAGCTATCCTTACTGGATCATGGCTTCCCTGTGTTTTGTAGGAATGATTTCTGCAGCATTTCTCCCCGAAACGTTAAACCAAACCTTACCGGAAACAATTGACGACGCCAATAAGTTTGGAAAAGGGAATAGATTCTGGAGCCTCCGTCCAAGCATAGATTTAACCAAAGAAAATAGTAAAGATAAACCTAGACTAAGCCAAGATAATCTGAAGCACTGTGAAAAGTTAACTGGCAATCACATTAATAATTAATCTGTATTTAATAACAAAGTTAGAGGAATATTTGAACAATTACGAATTAATTATGACATAAACGTAATGAACCATATCGTATCGTACATGAACAATATGTAATACATACATATACGGATTTTGTAACTCTTTGTCATATCTATTAACAAGTCTCGTATTACTATATTGCAATAAGGAAAGGAGCTACATAAATATTATGTGCATAGGAAAAAATAAACATACGTGTGTGCGTGCATGATAAAAAAGGGTGTAAAATGAGAATTGCTTACAGAAGTCACACTTAAAGAGTGTCAAATTGTTTAATTTTCTTTCGAAAGTGGCAATAAAACGAGACTGTTATGCTCTTTCTTACAACTAACTAACCTTACTTTGGACACCAACGACAACAAAGCAGAAGACGTTGTGGTGATAAATAACAACAACTTAAGACGAATGATTGAATTATTTATGTATTGACTTGATCTTGGTCTCAACGCTTGCGACACTGCATATAATTGTTGTGAACCAATTGTCATGCATGAATGCAAATACATTTTGTATTAATTCAAATGAAGGGACCACATGGACGACAATGGACGTTGAGTTTAGAATTGAAGGACAAATCATGTGCGGCATTTTTAGGGGGTCATCGGGCCTTTCTAAAAAAATAAGTGGTACAAGTCAATTTCATTATTGCGTTCGACACAGCACATTAGGTGCGTGCAATTTACAAGTTAACAACAGCCCCTAGCAGTCAGTTTCTCTACTGATGTCATTATAGTCGCTGAAAATTTGTAGAAATGTCATTCACATTAACGAAGCTGGTTTTAGCCAACCTCGTCCCAGCTATTTTTGTAGATTTCAGTGTCAATTTCTCTGAAATCTTGAAAGATTGTGTTGGTCGTTGGCGTGCTGTAAATTGATTCCACCACTGCGAACTGGTATAGCTATATCCGTCATTGAAAATGTGATTCCCTCGCTACTTGGTAAATTGCTATCCACATGACAAATGGAAAAGTATGCAAATAAATTGGTGGAATGACATGGACAGCGATTAGCCATCGGGAACAAAAGATAACCCTCCTGCCGTCCTCCCATTCTAATGCAATGAGTTTACGAAAGAATGACAGTGACATCGTGGTATTATGGACAATGTTAAACCATAAGCATTGTATTTTAAGTAAATAGACCTCCAGCCTGTTTCTATCATGTCGTTATTGTTATTTTATAGTAATTGAACACTAACAACATGGGAAGCGTGGTTTGCGATGCACGCTATTAGGAAACAGACTCATGTAGAAATGCAGGGAATGTATTTAACAGTGAACTTTGTCGCAAATGAAATTCTCGTAAAATGCAACATCTCTCAATTATTATTAGTGTTCCCCTAAATAAAAAACAGCTACAAATTTCATTGCATTACAAGCGATATTATTTTGAATACCAAGGTCATTCTCTCAACAATTCTCTCAACATCACACAATTCCTGGGACAAATTAAAGTTGAAGGGGTTGCATATCTGCATAATGTATTTAGAAGGTCTTCCACGGCAATGACAAATCCGTGTCCATTTTTTGCATCTCATTCTACATCCTGTGTTTTACATATACAATTTATTTTTATGACTTATTTTCAAGATTTAAGATGTGAGTAAGAGCTGTTTTTAGTAAACGCAAGGAAAGTGGGATTTCCCTGATTATTATGTTAAACGATGTATTCACATTAAATATTCAGTAGTGCTGTTACACGTTTCATAATTAGTTTTTAATTGGTAATAAAACTTTTATATTTTTCTACCAGGTGAAACATTTAGAGATCAGGAAATCGAAATCAAGAATTACTATGCATTCGTGCCAATTATAAATAAATCAAGCTGGAACAAATCGGTGATTAAGTAATACGTTGTCATCAAATTAGATAATATGAACTCATTATTCCAGGGCATCCAGATTTTCAGGATAAATACATACTTACGTAAATATTTCTGCTTATCTAAAAAGCAGAATTACACAAAAATTCATACATCTGTTTAAAATTAATTGTGTAAACTATTTCGAAAATAAAGCACAATTGAGCAATTTGAAATTATGTAACTTACCCTGTAAGTATCTCCAATTTAGTTGACTACTTATTACATATGTACATAAGTACAGAATTTATAACTACAACATACATACAGACATATTATTAAACAGTGTGCTCGGGTATTGTGAATCATGTTTCGTTCTCGTTCTACTTATTTCCAGCTTCCAGAGTGTATACAAATATACATCTGTCCGTGTGTATGCATATATGCAGATATGAGCATTTAATTATCTCACTTGGGATTCCTGCGTGTTTCCAACTCAAGTTATTACTCATGTATTTAAAGAGACGGAGATAATGAGAAGGAAGGAATCAACTTAAATGGACTTGGTCATCTTAATTAGAAACTAAACAACGCATTATTGTCTGCCCAATTCTATGGGGTTGCAAAGTTCCAGCACGGGTTGACTGACGAATGGTCAACCCGTGTCAGCATAAGAGTGGAAAAAGTTGACTACCGATTATTGTTGTATTGTTGACTCAAGTTGGCTTGAACTTCACAAGTAAGTTAAAAGTCATGCACTTGTTATCATCTCGTCCATGAATAGCCATACAAAATCCAACCCCTTGTTATATATATGCATGCATGTATTTTGCATGTCATACATAACTCCTACTATTATGGCACTGGTAATGAATGGTGCATTGAGTCTAGGTATTAGTGTAAACATAATGTTCTCACAGGGAAAATCTATGCCGTTGTCTCGCAAGTCGAATATACAAACCACAATTGTTAGTTAGTGCGACATAGTGCAATATCGGTTACACACGCGCCGACGACGACGACGACGCGCAGCATAAGAACATCTTCAATAACCATTCAATTTGGTGAATTGTTTCCGTGTGGACCGAGAGGAACCAAAGGTCTCGCTTATCAAAATGAGTATCCGCTCCATTAAAACGGCGGCCGCGTTGGGTTACAACGTGAAGTGCATGGAGGTAAGCGAATTTAATTCGTAGCAGGTTTTGAATGTACAAAAGCATAAGAAATTTCATGCATCGTGTATTCAGAATGGAGATCAGAACAAACGGAAAGAAAGTAAATGTGAAGATTTTGACGACATTTTGGAGCTAGTGGGATCCCAGGGAAAGTTTCAGAAATTTCTTTTGTACGTCGTCCTCTGTCCGGTCACGGCTATTGAACCGGTCCTAGCGTTGAACATGTTGTTCATGTTGTATGAACCAGATCACTGGTGCAATGTTCCAGGTAGACCTGAAAATATGACATTGGATTCATGGAAAAATCTCACAATTCCCAGGTTTTTAATTTAATTAATCCTTCCATTTATGTAGATAAATAAAAAATAAAACATGTTCCATACATAAGGGGCGGTCCATAAATTTGTCACGCGAGAGGGGGGAGGGGGTGTCTTAGGCTCTAATGATATCGTGCCTATGTGACACATGTTAAAGGGGGGGGGTCTAGAAAATCGCGACTTTTGCGTGACATAATTTATGGATCTACTCTAAGTTCTGGTTATATGATCGAGCTAAATGTGGTCCCACAAAAATTGAACTGGTTAAGTCCACGTTTTCATTTGGAAAACTGGTTATTTTGTGCTCCTGTTCTCTTACAATTAGTCAATTTCTTTCTTTGGTCTTTAAATGTAACACGACGAAAAGTTCGGATGTTCAACTTTTTAACTCATCCAAAAAAACTGATGGACACATATTTATGTAGCTTTCACATACAACATAACCAAAAAAATTTGAGCGAATATTTGATCCTGACCAAGAAAGTCCAAACCTAAATTTCATGCCATGATAAAAATAACAATCTTAAATTCTGATGGCCTAACATCTAATTTGACGACAAATGACTTGCCATTATGCAAATCTTTTCAATTGCAATTTGGATGCCAACATACTATATTAAGTTGAATTGGTCAATGTAATGTTCATATTTATTCTGCCACTGTTTTGCAAATTAATTGCATGCACTGTTTTCATACGTAGAGAGCTGGATGGAACGTTTAGTAAATGTGAAATGATCACTGCAAATTCAAGCAGGGCGAGTTGCAGTTTTGGTTGGGAATACGATCGGAAGGCTAGTGCAGAATAGTGAATGGATTTTGCCTCTAATTCAAAAAGTTAATAGGTTTTATCCACAGGATTACGATTTAACAATACCCTCCCAGTATAATTGGGTTTGTGACAAAAGCGAGTGGGCGACCTGGGCTTTGACATTCGGTGGTACGATTAAACCATAATTAATTAATTCTTCAACGAGTATGAAGATCTATGGACCACCACAAAATATTGCGCTAAACAAAAACATTGTATTTATTCCCAGGGCTTGGAAACGCGGTCGGAACAATTGTTTACGGGATGCTAGCGGACCACAAAATGTATGTTGTGATATACATTAATTTATAAGAGTCAATATTGTTTATGTATTTTCATCTGAAATTTGGAAGGGTTGGGAGGAAGCCCATCTTTTTTTTGTGCTTGGTATTGAACGTGTTTGGGAGAATTGCCAGCTACTTTTTTCCCAGCAACTTTTACGTTTTCCTCGGACTCTTGTTCTTAACCGGCACGGGGTTCCCAATGGTGTGTACTTTAAACAAATTAGTAATCTAAATGCATAAATTTTTATTCTGTTTTTAATTATCATATCCATTTCATGAAGATATTTATAGCCCCGTGCATGATCTGTGCTGAAATATCCGACAGAGGTATCATCACACATACGACACAAGCTATTATCCATTACGTAATGTTATGGATTACATGCCGTTATTAATTTTCAGTTTTTCGAGCATGGATATATTCATGCACGTGGATGATTTGGGAAAGTTCTTAAGTTATCTGGTAAATATAAGGACGAATTTATGACGAAAATTTAATGATTTTGCAGGTTATAGGAATGGCGTCACTTCCGCTAATTGCTTGGCTAGCCAGAGATTGGTTTTACATCGGAATGATAACCACAGTTCCAATGGTGTTGGTTTTTGGGTTTTACAACTATATTCCCGAGAGCCCGAGGTGGCTCATTTCCGTGGGTCGGACGGAAGAGGCTGCACTTATTATTAAGAAAATGGCAGAAAAAAATGGAACGTCGGATAAGATTTCAGACACCCAGTTGGACTCCATGTTAAAACTAATCGTTTCAAAGCAAAATCAAAATCGTCAAAGGGTTGGCGTGTGGACTTTATACAGTCGTCCACGTCTAGCCCTCAAAACAACGCTGATTACTATCGCCTGGGTTATGAACGGCACCATTTATTACGCGATCACTCTCAACTCATCCAACCTCTCGGGGAACCAATTTGTCAACTTTTTTATCCTGGCAATGATAGAAATCCCAGCCGGATATTTTGGCAGCGTTCTCGTGGACAAGGGTGGACGTAGGTGGACACAAGTAGCTTTTTTCATACTCTGTGCATTCGCCAGTATTGTTGCTGGGGTTGCCTCGCCTCACAAACACAACGAGGGATGGGCCATTGCCTCCGTGGTGGGCGCAGTCGTGTCCAAGTAGGAATTACTTTTTATATGAAAAGGCTACATTAAATTAAAGCAGCATAATAACGGAAATTATATATTTGTCCACTCAGATTTGCAATTACTCTCACGTTTCTCGTCGTGTATTTACAAGCTACGGAGATTTTCCCAACAATCATTCGGTCAACAGGGAGTGGGTTTGCGTCAACAATATCATCAATTATTGGAATTTTTACTCCTTATATCGTTTATTTGGTATGAAAACATTCTTTACCACTTATTCTTTTATATTATGGAAACATTCTTCATTGTTATTCACTATAGTCTAAATATAACCTCGGAGCGACCTGGTTTGCCATTGTCGCAATGTCGATTGTTGGAATGGTTAGCTCTGCATTTTTGCCTGAGACTCTGGGCCAATCCTTGCCTGTAAGTTTGCATCATTATATTTATTATCATTACATCATACGTGTTTAATAAATGTTGATTTTCAGGAGTCAATTGAAGATGCCGAGAATTTTGGGAAAGGAACAAAGTTTTGGAGTTTGGTTCCAAAAACTAAAGACGAAAAACCAATTAATGAAGCTTAAAGTACCTGAACAATTATTGTCTTATTATTTTATATTAACGACTATGATAATATCGTGCGAAAGCATGCAACCAGTATTCGTGTATAGTAAATATCACCACACATTCTTTTATTTTAATACTTGATTTGATAATTGAAGGACTAACATTATAAATTTTCCTGTTTGGGTATACATTTAATTAGGCATATTTACCATGTAAGACTTATTCTATTTTATTGAGACTTTGTGATAGGCCATGTTTTTTGGTACTTCTAAACGCCATACTGTCTAAATAATAAATGCCATAATATGATGCGATCATGAGGAGACTCTCTTAATTGATGGAGATTGTATCGAAGTGCTCCAGAAACTATGTGGACTTTGTTGAAACAAGTGTGTTATGGAGGATTCCTCTCCAAGCAGTTCGGAGGAAGTTTTTGACTTTGTGACTGGCACAAATATTCCGGAAGGTAGTTGGTCAGACTCCAGAGGTGTCATAGACCTGATCGAGTCATCCTTCTTGGGGGCGTACCCAACGGATTTCACAGATTTCACAATAAAATCCAGAGCAGTTAAAGATTGTTTTCTGCCAATGCTCTATAATGCAAATATTATATTGAAACTGACGATATTGAACTGATGAAATGAAATGTTTGTTTACCGGCTTGCTTTCCAGTAGTTGAGGAGATAATGTATCCCCAGGATCATCTTCGTCTTCGTCAGCATTTCCCGCAGTCGCATTTACTGAATTATTGTGCGAAGGCGCTTCAAGGAAATTAATTATGGCTGGAACATTCGGCGGTGGCGCATCCCATCGGTCAGTTTCGTCGTCCTCTGATTCCTGAACAACGTCAGCCGCATTCTCTGAAGCCACCGTGGACCAAATCGAAGTTTTTGACGTGTGACGTGTCCCTTCATTTGATATCCTAAACGCCTTTCTAGAGTAGGATTCTGATTTCATGGCATTTTTCCAATCATCATGAAAGCTGCCCATGGAAGAAGATCTCGAAAAATTTGTAGACCTCTGGCTGGAGCTGCCATCCGATCCCAGAGGTGTTGGGGGGCTCAAAATCGGCGAATCCCCAAGGGCATCCGTACTGTATGTGGTAGTAAAGGATGGGACTCTTCCAAAGGGCTGAATAACCATTGTTGGCATGCTTTTTACTTTTCTTGCAGAGTTCATCTTGGCTTTTTTTAAGATTGAGTTGTACAACTCTGCATCAACAAGATCGTCATTGCTGCTGATACTACACAGAGAACGCCTTCGCCGCATCTCATTCCTCCAACATGCTCTCAAAAACTTGTTTTGTTCTTCCTTCCTTTGCTCAAGAGTTAGGTCATCTCTTTGATCCATTGGTGGTGCTGGTGGCATCGGATAGCCTGAAGGTCCACTGAACAATTTTGCCTCCTCAATATCTGGCTCCATAAAAATAACGCGGTTGCGAGACCCGCTCGGAATCGGTTTCAGCACAAGGTCTGCGTGACTTTGGGATTTTTCAACTTTTGTTAGAGATAAAACTTTATCAATGTCTAAATGAGATGGGGGAATGGCCATGCAGGGATATGCTTGTTGTATTGCGTCGCTAAATGTTCGAGGAACGACGAGATTTTCGATGGGAATCAGTTTTACATGCTTCGCCTCATTTAGTGGACAGGAAGCTGGCTGGGTTGCATTATTTACTAAGGTTTGATTCCCAATGATCAATTGCATTTCATCGTCCGTTAACTGATTTCTTGTAGGATCTATAAAATCAAGAGAAAATTGTACATTATTTTGACTCTGGCAGTAAATAAATTTGATTGAGCTCACCATTCACAGTTACTCTGCTGGAAGTGCTTTGTTTCATAGAAGACTGACTTATAGCAGCTTTAGACGTGGGGCTGCTTTGTTTAATTGTGCTTGCATTACTTTGTGGTTTGGGAAGTTTTACAGGCACTTGTTCCCGTCTGTTAACAATTTCTGCAATGACCTCATCTGCAGCACCACGACCATGGTCGTCATCGGGCGAAATATTTGGGGCGGGTGAGTATCCCCGTCGTCGCCGATTTTCCCACCAATATTTGCACCCGAGCACAAGAAATGAGAAAAAAAGGACGGACAAGCAGACTAATAGCACCTATTATGAGATTAAAAGAAATGTGAGTTTGCATCAGGGATTTTATTACTACATCTTGCATGTTTAATCGACCTAAAAATTTACCATGAGGGAGTGATGTGGTTGGGGTGCATAAATGTTGGTGGAGTTCTTTCCTGCCGTGCTATTATTATTGAATTGAAATGGTAGTCCGGGTCTCAAAATGTCTCCAATTTCCTCCCATTGTTTATCATCTAACAGAGAAGAATGGTTGGATTTTAAGGGTTGGGTAGTGGTTTGATGGTTTGAAACAATTGTGCTGGCTTTGGATGAATTCTTTAGTCTAATTGCTGGGATGATTTTTGGAATATTTATTGCACGGTCCAAGGTTGATGAAGATGGCTTCGTTTTATTTGTCTGTCGACGAGCAGTGATTGGCAGGACTTGTTCAGCATTTGACCTTTGGGCTTCCATTATGTTGTCTAATCCTCCTTACTAATTATTCATCCATATCCATATGCAAAATGTTTAAATCAACTTTGGAGCAAAATATTTTTTTTGTGAAAAATAATGATATGCATTTAGAAGATACAATGCTTGGTAACCAACCAGATAGAATTCCTGCAATCCTAGTAATAATTATTGTTAGCTCTGATTACATATGTACCAAGATTCCTAAACTTTTTAGTTTGTTTCCGTGGAGTGAATGTGTTAAGATTATTTAATGAGGTTGTCCAAGGACGGGCCTCCTTTTAAAAATTATTAAAAATTTACGAATTGGGGACAGGCACGCATTTTTTGGCGTTGTCACCCGTTGTTGGGCGAGAAATTATCTTTCGGTGGACTTTTTCATTTCTAACTCGAATGCATATTTTGTGATATTGATGACCACTTCTGCCCCCGATACTTTTGTATATTTTGTAAAAATGCCACGACGTTGTATAGTGGAGGGATGCCCATACAAGAGGTCACAACTGGAAGAATACAGATTACACAGATTCCCTGCGGAAATTGTTTTAAGAAAAATCTGGCTTACTTGCATTGGATGTGGGCCTGAAGACCTAAATCGAGTTGAAAATTGGGGAGTTTGTTCATATCATTTCTTGCCGAATCAATACAAAATTCCTCCAACAATTGATCATCGGGGTCAACTTTATCCTCACGCGGTGCCATCGGTTAATGTACCACAAATCAGTGCTGATGGTACAATAATAGTTGACAAAATATTAAATACATAAACATTATTTATATTAATTATCTGTATAAACATAACAGGCATTGTGTTCAATGCGAATGAAATGAAGGACTTAGTGGTGAAGTTAGAGTCAATGGAACGGGCTTTAAACACAAAGGAGACAGCAGAAAAAGACCTGAAAATCTTGCAGAAGTCTTATCGAGCCACTATTCTTGAGAGGAATTCAGCCCAGAAGTCGTCCTCAAAATATGAGCAGAAATATCACGATGCTGAGGGGAAGTTGAAAAGCCAGAAAGAACAAGAGGACAATCGCTTCAAAAAGTGGTATCGAGTTCACGCGTATGCAGATTTCCAGTTTTTGACTCAAAACATGATCGACCTCGTCATCGACAAAAACCACTTTAAACGATGGAATGAAAATGACTTGTCTGCTGCAATTAGTATTTTTAGTGCGTCTTCATCATGCTATGCATTTTTGAGGGACACGATCGGATATCTATTTCCATCCAGATCCTGTATCTTGGAACAGCTGCAACGGATAAAGGTTCAACCTGGTTTCATTTGGCCCGTGTTTCAAGTCATGAAGAATGAATTCGTAGACTTCTCGCCCCTACAAAGAGCTGCCATGATCTCGTTTGATGAAATGTACATTGACGGAAGGATATCGTACGACCAGAAAAATGAGAAGATCCTGGGACCACATAAAAACTTACTTGTAGTCACCGTGAGAAGTTTGGCGTACCAGTGGAAACAGGTCATTTACTTTGGTTTCGATGCTCGTCTCACGAAGGGAATCATCAACCAAATAATAAATGAATTGTTCAACGTTGGCGTCCACGTGTACGGGCTTGTGTCGGACATGTCAACAATAAATAGAAGAGTGTGGAAAGAATTAGAAATCAACATAAATCTGAAAAATGAAGCAAAATCCAAATATTCATTTTGCCATCCAGTCACAAACAAGAATGTTTGGGTTTTTGCTGATTTTCCCCACACATTGAAACTTCTCCGGAATCACTTCTTGGATACGGATATCAAACTTGGACAGGATTTCGATAATTCTGTCATCTCTTTGAAGGTTGTTCGAGATGTAATTGCAGCACAGAAAAATAACGACCTGCAGATTACCTACAAACTTACGGATAAGCATATTTCTATGAACAAAAGAGAGCGGATGAATGTCAGAAAGGCATTTGAACTTTTTTCATCTACCACTGCTAAAGCCATTCAGTTTTTGTATCCCCATCATCAAAAAATGGCCGATTTCATTCAACTCGTCAATGATGCATCAGATTTACTAAATGTAAGGAGATACATATCAAATTCTGAACCTTCTCAATCGGGACTTCTCTTCTCGTTCAAACCAAGCTTCTGGATAAATTTTCGAAGAATTTGACCGAACTACGAGTACAAAGTCGTCGACCCTGTTTAAAACCATTCCAGAAAGGGATCAAATTGATCTGCGAGAGTACCAAAGGATTGTTCAGCGACTTGTCCCAAGCACCAGTAAATCTCAAATACCTATTGACTTCACATTTGAATCAGGACCATCTCGAATCAACGTTCAGTATCATTCGGGGGATTGGAGGATTCAATGATCACCCACTTCCAGCAGACGCAGTCCAAAGATTGAAACGTGTAATCATATCCTCAAACTTACGACATCCAAGAACTGGGAACATTCATGAAGAAAATGGAGTTGAATTTTTAAGTGCAGGTAGATTGCAGCTCTTAGTAGAAGGAACCAAAATGACCCAAGAAATTCTGCCATCCGACCATAATTCGGATTACTTTGAAGAAAAGTTCAGATTCATTCAACCTCACGAGTCCTACGCGGTACCATCATGGGCAACTGAGCAAGTTTCCGAGAAAGCAATTATCGGAGCAAGTGAATTTTTGGCAGGATATATTGCGAAACGATTATTATCTGAATATCCCCATTTGAAGTCAACACAAGCTGGGAATTGGGGAGCGTGGATTGGAACATTATCAACTAAAGCACTGATTACCCCTGCCCATTGGTGGTTATGCGTATTTATGAAGTTTGAAGAGTATTTCGAGGAGTATCATAAAACGCAAGTTGGGTGGAATTTAAACAAAAATGGGCGAGTGATAACACCTTTATGCGAATATCTGCATCAAATTTATCCCAACGTTCCCAAAAAAGCCATCCAGTTTTATCTAAGAGTTAGAACTAAAATTCGAGTTCAGGCTATTAAGAAGAAAATCCAAATCGTTCAACGCAAGCGAAAAGTAAGACAATTTTTAAATTTTGTAACGGTGGACTTGGAGGACGAAGAGGAAGAAGATAATGATTTAGTTATGGAAGATTTTGTAATTGACGAGATTGCAGCTGCTGGTGAAAATTCAGAAACCACTCCTGATACCGATGATGACGAGCTGCTAACGGTATAAATTTTCGAATTTTCCTTCTGGTGTGCACGCTCACATCATAAATATATGTATTTATCAACATGCGTAGAAATATACAAAAGTATCGGGGGCAGAAGTGGTCATCAATATCACAAAATATGCATTCGAGTTAGAAATGAAAAAGTCCACCGAAAGATAATTTCTCGCCCAACAACGGGTGACAACGCCAAAAAATGCGTGCCTGTCCCCAATTCGTAAATTTTTAATAATTTTTAAAAGGAGGCCCGTCCTTGGACAACCTCATTAAATAATCTTAACACATTCACTCCACGGAAACAAACTAAAAAGTTTAGGAATCTTGCATATGTACCAATATTACTTGACACTTTATCATTCTAAATTTAGCATAATAGCTTATTTTTTTTATTATTAACACAAACATTGATAAACTATGAAATACACTTACAATGCGATGGTGTCAAGTATAACCCTCCGAATTGGTTGAAATTTCGAAATTAAGTGGTCCAAGTCAATACAACCAACGTTCCTTCAGGGAGTTTGTGCGATGGTTGGAATTTGTCAAAATATTTTAGGTCATAGTTGAAAAACGGGCGGTTTTTACCAAGCAGAGGAAGCAAACCCCACTCCCGTTCCCTTCAAAGGGAAAAATCGCCCATTTTTCAACTTTGACCTCGAATATTTTGACAAATTCCAACCATCGCACAAACTCCCTGAAGAAACGTTGGTTGTATTGACTTGGACCACATACTTTTAAAATTTCAACCAATTCGGAGGGTTACACTTCACACCACCGCATTGTTAGTTGGCTTGGGGAGTAGAGGAAAAACCCGATGTTGGTGGGTTGGGAAAACCTTTACTTGATCCGGATAGGCGTCCGAGATCACCATTCGGCCCCTTACATGATTTTTGTAAATAAAACGACCTATCATTTAAAATATAAAATAATTCTTCTAATCCTCGTTGACTGGGGACAGCTCCCATGATTGATGCCGCATTCCCGCGTTGAACTGCCAAACTGATCCGTTGAATGAGAAATGTTGTTGACATTGGTCCAGTGACATCCTTCATCCTCCTCCCAACATCTTGGATGAACTTCAACCCTTCCGTCCCCCATACTCCTGATGTCTCGACGGCCACCGGAACAAAAATATATTGTTTTTCAAGTTCAGAGTAAAGTTTGTGTTTTTTGGTCTCGGCTAGTTTTGCTGCTGTGCCAGCATGTCTAAGTGTGTGAAAGAGATAAGAGGGGGCAAAAGTGTCTGTACATGTAAAGTCCCATATTAATGAGCGCCCTTGTTTATATGGTATTAATGTAAGACCATCCGGTCTTTTTCCATCTGTTCTACTACAACCTAGTGGTTCCCTAATGCTTGGTATGTCTGCAGAAATTAAAGCTCTCTTTATAATGTCGTTACGCAACCATGCACCTGACTCTTTTGACCGAGATGCCAAAATTATCATTCTATACTATTTCTATGGGGCACCGCCCATAGAAACGATGTCAGTTAACCTTATAAAAACTAATTAATTTTGACCTGGATACCATTTAAAAACGGAATTAAAAATGGTTTCTATTGCATTTGGGGGCGGATTTACTGGGGGGCAGAATACCATTGAGACCGACTTGTGGGGCGGTGATAAAATCAGTTGGGGACTGAATTAATGTAAACCGATTTTGAATATTCTACTGATGCAGTTATGATTTATTAGAGACCTGGAACTGATTCGACAACAAAAATTAGAACATAATACATTTTTAACATGAAATTGCAACTGAACCAAATGAACACACGATATTAATTTTGATAAAAAGATCGGATTTGATTTTGATAGTACTACAAAAATAAACTAAACGAATAAATCGTCATCATTCATGTCATCAATTTGATGACACTGATTTTGGGATGCATTTTATATTTTAAACAAGTTATTAGCTATAATTTTGTCCTTCAGTGTTCTGTGACTTGTTCCGATCGGTGGTGACACTATTGCGAATATATTAGCTAAAGAGAACGTTGTGATAATTAAAAAAAAATATGAACTGTATCATATTTACAACATGATACAGGTCAGAGGTCAACGCCGACCAATTTATTAGCGGCGCCAATGTTGGATAATTTTTCGGGGGCGCGGCGTGACCTCTGATGCACTTCCTCCGAGTTCCTCCCCCCACTACAACTACAACTCTAAAAAAATTAGTTCAGGCTTGAAGAAAAACTAACGACAAATAAGGAGGAAAGAATGGAACTGAGAAAATTTTCTCGGTCATTTTATTTTTATTTTTTCCTACACCTTATTGATGTAGCCCGGTCTCAACGGAATTCTGTAACCATACACCTTATTGGTGGAATCCGTCGCCAACGAGAAAAAGTTGGCCTACACCTTATTGGTGTAGTCCGTCGCTAAGGCGAAAAATTTGGCCTACACCTTATTGGTGTAGTCCGTCGCCAAGAGATCGAAATCGCCCTCCACCTTATTGGTGGAATCCGTTTTTAAAAGGTTAATCGTGCATATGTACGATATCAATTAAAACTATTGAACATTGCATGAGGCCAATTTATGAAGTAATTTATTGTACAATAATAATTTTAGTGGTAAATATGATGACAAATTGGTTATGTTAAAGTGAGTCATTTCTGACAACCAATCATCGAAGTGATCATTAGACGGTTTTATGCATCAGGGTGTTCCATGTAAGTACGCGTTGTTAAAGGGACATCATTATTGTTTCTGTAAATCGCATCAACATTTTGATATTTAGAATAGCGCATGAGTTGGGACGCATTATTTTTGTTGAGTAATTTATAATTTGTAGCGGACCATGTTGATGTGCGCGGGGGGTTGAGGGCGCCCCAATTTCAATTTCGGTCCTCCCACTCGACCCAAAATTCCCATTTCCAAAGTTTCAGCATGAGCATTGAAGACCTGCGATTGAGAAAAATTTAGTCTGATGAAGTTTTGAAAATTGTATGTCATTTTAATTCATTAGTTGCATTTTCTATTTTAATAAGTGATTGTTTAAAACAATTGTATGCAATGCCTACCTTTTGCTGTTGTGCCTCCTTCATTGCCTTGTTGGTGTTAGCAAATGCTGCAGAAAATGTCACTGCCACGATCAGAAGGATAAAAAATGCCTTAATATTCATTTTGAGCAGTTATTCGAAATTCTAAAAGTTAGTCACGGAGCTTAAATTATTGGTGATTATTACCAAAGTAATGAGGAGAATGAACGAATTGTAAGCTTCTGGAAATCGTATCTATATTTTGCCCCAAATAATTGATATCGAGGTCTCTCAATTTGTATTTTATCTAAGCTACTGATAAGATTGCGAGAAAACCCAATTATTCATATTGTGTTCACCTGCATTGATAATCTTTTAAACTATCTCGTTCTTATTAAATAAATCGTTTAACGTTAAACGTCAAACTTAAATCATGTACATAAATTTCCCGTTTTCCTTAACTATTTACATAAAACTGCATTTTTTCAATTTTTGTCATCATATTGATCTATTCACCAATTTAACTGCGTAGCCACTAAACCATAATATGGTTTCGTAGAATGGCTCAACATATGAAGAATCTCGCTGAAATTAGTCTAATCTCGTTGTCTGTGTACATATTTCCTTTCATAGTCCATCAAACTTCAATTCATGACACTTAAACGGGAAAATAAGATGAATCAAACTGTCTTATTATTAGACTACTCAGTATAAGCACGAATTTGCTAGTGTATTAGTACTCCAGGCAATTTTCTTCAGATAACCTTGGAACGAAATGCAAAGGTCCACCGAGTTCATAAGCATGTTTTCAACCCAGGCGAGAGCATTGGTTGCAAATTTATAAATAAGGAATCACACACAACCTTAAACCGCTTGCCACACAAAGATTTAATAAATTCACTTGCACCCCTGTAACAATAGCATATACCAAACTAATAAGGTTGTCTTAATCCCAATGTGAACCAGACTCGTTGACTTGCATAGATTGTAGTTTTACATGGTTTATCATGGGCAAGGATGGCATACGTACATCTGCGCCTGGTTTTGATGAAGTCTCTTTTGATATGTTGTTGCGATGCGCAAGAAGAGTTTAATGGAAAGCTGCGATGGGAGATGTTGCAAAAAAATTCCGGAATTTTATAGGTATAACGTGTTCAATAGCTTTTTGCTGTCCGCCTTTCATTTATTAACTGAAGGAATACGACAACTACAACCAGTTGCCCGTACTGGCATATACGCGTATTACACAATTTAAAGTCCAGTGCAACAAACAGCAACAATAAAAAGCAATGAAGTAATGCAACGCCACGCCACTTGGCCTAAAGCTTATGTTTGCTACAATTAAATCTGCTAGGATTTTAGACTGCGAGGCATTCGTAGTTTTTTCCTTTGATTGCAAATTTTTAACATTTCATTGCACAGCAAATTTATAACAAGCAATAAGCACGTTGTTGTGCATATAATTATATCGCATTGCACATTACCAAGTAAAATTTCATGTGATACAATTGATATACACGCTGTATAGTTTGTATATTAAATACTTTCCGCACAGCTAAAATTGCATACATCACATTTTTGTGGAATCTACAAAACCACAAACAACTGGTGATTTAGTTAACTGGTGCTGCAACAAGCTCGACTTTAGTTAGGTCTAGTTAAATGCTACTTTATTACACTTTAGACTTGGGAATCCTGTACATATATTCTCCTGAAATATCTGCTCGTTAACTATTCAAGAAGCAAAAGATTTGTACAATAATCTCGACATAATTATTCAACACATAGATCCAATTTTGTCTCAATTAATCTCGAGTCGGTCTTTTCCTCAATTATTCGTCAAACGGCCTTCTTGTAATACATATTTCACACGATTATATTTCATTTATTCACATTTCTGGAAAAGATGAGACTCGTTCAATCCTTGAAACTTGTGGCTTTCGCCATCATTTTGCTGTTCACTACTGCAAGTGCTCATCAGGGTCATGATCACGGGGACCATGATAACTTTTCGGAATCAGACTCCCTTCCAGAGACGGACAACGAATGGAAGGACCCTGCTGTCCACTCGATGCCGTTTAATGGAATAACTTTGAAATGGAAGGAAGATCCAAAAAATCCAAGATATGTGATTTTTAAGTTGTCTGGAAGGACTAGAGGCTATGTCTCAGTTGGATTCTGTGTCGTTTGGACAGGAGGGATGGAAAACTGCGATATTGCTCTTGGTTGGGTGGATGCATCAGGAATTGCTCATGTCCATGTAAGAAATTTATAGGAATTTTGGCAGTTCAAATAATGTAATCATTATGTCCATCCGTATTGAAACAATAATTGATTTGTGTACATACACGTAGGATTATTTTGCAACTGGAAACACAAGCCCCACATTAGACACGAAACAAGATTACGAACTGCTAAGTGGGAACGAATCCAATGGGATTACATCAATTGTCTTTAAACGACTGTGGGACACAGGAGATGATGCACAAGATGCTAATTTGGAGGTGAGTTGGCCTGCAGTGGTGATAAAGAAGTATTATTTTCAAATTTGCATGTAATTTTTTTAGCACAATCAGAATGTTCACGTAATATACGCTTGGCATGAGCAAGACCCTTTGAGTTCAACGGATTTCCATAAGCACGGCGATGGGACGCGAGGACACACTTTGAAAGCGGTCGCAATCAAAGGCCATCAACATGGAAGTGCTTCAACTTTTGCTGGGAACGGTGGCGTCACCCTTATCATTAGTTCGGGTGTCATTGCTTGGCATCGTTTTAAAATTTAAATTTTGCCCAAACCAGAAAAACAAATATGATGTGATGATGATACATATATTTACATGTTACAATCTTTAAAATTTATACAAAAATACCTGAACTGTCGAGTAAATAATTACTAACATTAATGATATGCCATATATCTAAAATTAACTGTAGTAGTACAAATAATTGTGCAATAGAGGATTCATAAATTATTTTATAAAATAATCTTATTATTGTTTTACAAATCAGTACAATATATGTATTGATAGGTACGAAGCTAGGCAGAGTAGATATGTTACAAAACTGGTTGACAAAGTTATAGATTGTTGGAGCATATTATGTAGTTGATATATTTGAGAATTCGTTCTCGTTACAAATAAATTAACCAAAAAAGCGCATTCAATTGACCATGGCATATATTCAGTCCAAACTAAATTAATAGTTCCGAAACGATTGTAAATTTTATTGCGACCTGTAGTATTCAATCACGGAATCAGCGGAACTTCTTATTTGTAGCAGACACGCCATTTCCTTTCGAAAGGGCAGGAACACGTGGGGGACGAATTCGATCCTTCCTAATTGATTTTGTTGCGGCTAAACCACGTACATCGGTCACAAACTCTTTATATTCTTTCTCCGTGCCTTCCTCGCCTTTGTACAAAACTACCTCCACGATTTTCTAAAAAATCGTAAACATTTTGGTGTACGTTAAACACAGACACAATATTCAATAATATTATGTTAATTTACCTTTCCATCTAAATCATTCACAGGTATTCGTTCAGCGCCACGGTCCTTGTTTAGTAACCCACCAAGTTTTGGCATGACTAATGGTGATCCTGACACGGAGAACGCCTAACAATAAAAACACATTTTCAATTACTAAAGTGAATCAGTTGAGACAATTTATTTGTGTCTGATCAATACGTAAAATTAAAATATAGTTCTTACAACTTCTCCAGGTTTTAACAATCGAGGTGCCTTGTTGGTAGACATTACTGAGCTGATGCCACCAAACTGAAATAAAGTACGGGCAGGTGTACAGGGAATACCACTGACCTACATTAAACAATTTCAATTATTAAATAATTACTAACAATCAGGATTCTTCAATCACTAACGGCTACGCCGGTGTTTCTGGGTTCGGCCGTAACTCGGAAAAAATGGAAATTTTCATTTTTTGAAAAGCTGGATATTATAATATCCAGCCTTGTGTATCCATGTGTCTGTCTGTCTGTCTGTACATAAATTCCACAAATTCATACTTTTACGTAAACTGCTTGTGCGGCACATTAGAACGTAGAAATTAAATAATAAATTAAAATACAAAATAAAAATCTACAGTTCGTGCAGGAAGACTCCATATAGCCGAGTCAGGGACAGAGTCCATTGAGTCAGAGTTCTAAATTTTTCTCCGAATTGACCGACATAATATTACCAAACTCCTTGTTGTGGATAGCTAAATGTTTGTTAGATTTTCTATTATTTGGCATAAAAATCTTTAACATCTTGAACTTCCAAAGCTGGGTGTGCTATCCAGAAGTGGTTTTTATCCCCATATCAAATTTCAGATGAAATAATAACGTTTCAACGGTATGGGTCAGCCTCCAGGGTCACTCTGGTTGCACTTTTAACTTTGTATTCATTCATAAGAAGCCATTAAGTATCACCATGCCGGATTTCATGTTTTTACAGCAATTTCTAAAAATCTGGATGGGTCACCCGTCACCCCATAGAGTCGCTCCAGATAAAAAATTTACCAATTTCATTCCATATTCTTCCATTAAGTCACGTAAGCAACATTTCAGCTCGATATGACGATTTTGAGAAATCAGTATTCCAATGCTAGATATCCAATCTACGTTGGGCATGATTGGTCAAGTGGTTGGTCGGTGGGGGTCATTTAACTAACAACGCCAGCGGTCTCGCTCCGATTTTGACGAAACCACGAAAATTATGTAGCATTAGATAAATCATTAAAAACGTGTTTCAGGATTTTTCATAATACTCAGTTTAAAAGAAATTTTGACTAAGTCAGCGAGAATTTTCATTTTTACCGTGAAATTTTTCTCACGAGGGAGGGAGGAAAGTACAGATTCTCATATTCCATCATACATAATTTTGTTTAAGCTTAAAATTTGTGGGCGTGACGTGTTTTTCCCTCGCACAAATTTTTAAATTATGATCAATTTTCAAAATTTTGAAAAATGTAACAAACCAGAAATTTTTGAAAAATTAAAAGGTTTTGAAAAGATGATTTTTCTTTTGCACAATGTAATTGTGTGCAGAAAGGTTCTTTCATTTTTGAAGTCGGGTCAAAATTGGAAAAATTTACAGCGCTATTTAAAGAAATCTTGACTTCGGCTGATTTTTGTCCAACTGAAGACTTACACTAATTTCCTTGTGTGAACAATTTAAAATTGGTCCGGTCAAAAGCGAAAAAACACTTCATGCCCACGCATTTTAAGTTTAATTCTGATGGAATCCGTAAGCGAGAATCTATATTTATCTCCATCGCGAGAAAAATGTCACGCAAAAATGGAAATTCTCGCTCACGGCCTTAAAAGGCCTAAAACTGAAGCACGTACAGATTTTGGTAAAAATGTTAACACGTTGCCTCGAATCTCGAAAGAATAATAAATAAAAATGTGTACGTAAAAATATTTTTATGCAAAATAGAGTAATTAGTCATCAATTAAAAACAGGAAAATAATTTTAAAAAATTTTCGTCGAGAGTAAATGGTCCAATTCATCCTCAGAATAATCAGAATACAATAAAATATGTAGTGCACTTGATATCGAATTTATCGTTAACTACTACTCCCCTGACTCGGGCTTCATGGTCAGTGCTTGGCAAAATCCACCAAATTAGCAAATAATTAAAAATTTATTCGTTGACTGAGTTACGGCCGCACCCTAAGAGGAAACGAATTGATTCATCCTGACTAACAATGCCATAAAGAGGGGTTATTGATTGAATATAGTTACCATTTCCGTGGAATTTGGGAATACATTATTCCGGTACTGTGAATCGCCACTGACCAGGCTTGGAGCAACACCGACAGGTTGACCACTTGTAGATGCAGATAAAAGCTGAGAGCTACATTGGCTACTTGGACTAAACAAGGATGAGTGGTTATTGGGATGTAACTCATTTTCTTCATTTATAACGTCTACAATCTGAGGTTCTTGAACACTTGACAAAATTTGAAGTAGCTCAGTAAAGGTCTCAATTGGTTTTCCACTGACTCGCTCCATCTGAATTATCACGTAATAAGATTAAAGTAATAAATTAGAAATTCCCAGCTTACAATAGTAAATACTGTGTCCTCACCATCGCCTGAACAGTTTCTATGCTCATATCCATCAACCCTGTCGGCTTTCCAGCTTCAATTAACTGCAAGCGTTTGACAAAATACCGATGCTCCAGTTCTATTTCCTTCTGCAGTTTATAGAGTTCCATTAAACCTGCAACAAAAAAATATGTTAGATCTTGTTTCTTGCTTGTAGAATAACATTAATTATTATTTTGACTTCAAGTATTATGTTTACATTTTCTTTCAAGGGCTTGCTCCTCAGGATCGACAGTTATAAACTGTGAAATTTTTCCTGTTTGTTCTAGCTCTTCAGTAAGGTGACGGTAATCCGCAGCTGGTGTCATTGTAATTTTCTGTGATTTTGGAATATATTTTAACTTATACAGTGTATAGTTTCTTAGACGAGAACCTTGTTGTAGAACTGTGCACAAAAATATACGCACCGTGTGTGACGGTTAACGAAGCTGCTTCCCGGGCAAGTTTTAGCAAAAAAGTTTCGCAAGCTAACCTATATGAAAATGGAAATATGTAAATATATTTTGAAACTGTAATTATTTCACACTGCATTGAGTTTATTTGACTGAATGACTCCTATGTAATTTGCAGACTGTAACAACGAAATATAAATTCACTGGTAAAAGTTTTATTGGTTTCTAGAACGTAAATAGGAGAGTTCTATGCATGCCCAATGAAATTGGATTACAAAGTTTATGTATAAATATAAGCCGACGATGACACATGAAACAAAATAAACGTATGGCACATCACTTACTTTAATAATATAAGTTAATAATAAGTGAATATTCTTGGGCGGATCTGGCTAAACATCTTGTCACTTCACTTATCATCAATTCATCAATCACGAGTTAATTATCATATAATCATCATTCTCAAGTATTCAGGCAGGTTTATTAGTAAATGACTTTGGATATTTATTCTATGTTTACTCTATATTATGAAAAACTGGCGTAAATACTGCGAGAAAGTAGCATCTGAAAATAAATAAATATATACTCATATTACCACACACAATAAACAAGACCTCATGTATATACATATTGTCGAATGCTTACGGAAGTTACGGATATGCGGTGGATAATCTTAACTGTGCAGTTAAAAGGTTTATACATAGTACTTGGCACCGTTATTTGATAATGTTGGTGGCCAGGTGTTTAGTGCGTCTCTTAATGGGAACGACGTCCCAGGTGGGGTGCCAGTAGAGGAGTGACCCAGCCAGACACACGGCTGCGAACAGGAGGGTAGGAAGGAACATTTGGATGACCTTTGGATGACAATGGTTCGAAATTTAATTAAATTTAAAGTTGATACATATAAGGCGGAAATAATAGAATGAATAACTAATGGTTATGATTACCATGCTTCGGAGGAAGACCTGAATACTGAGCTCGACATCATAGGCTTTAATGACATGGACAAAAGATAGACACGCAAAACCCCACCCAGACACCCATACCAAAATCAGCAACCCCAGACGCCAATAATTCAGAATTCCCTTCATGTTTATATCCGGGTGTTCACTGCAATACGAAGAAAACGCTTCAAATTATTATTTAGTCAAACTATTGTAAATCTTTTAAGAAAATCTTTATTAGCCGTAGCTCATCACTGGCAATGTAAACATGTAAACACACTTTTGCAAAAAATTTTCATAAAATCAAGCTTTGAATGACCTCTCCAGCTCAACCCAATCGAGCCGAGAAAATTACTATGCAAATCAACATAGCCAATTCTTGAGAAAATTCTCAGATTATGATTATGAATACGAACTAATACACTGTCACGCAAAATTTTGAATTTAACTTTAACAGCCTATAAATTTGGAAGTTGTTAAGGCCAATCACCTAAATGATCTCCACTAAGATGCCCATTATCAAACTCGATTTCAAATTTGATCTTTATTATCGTGTCACCGAAAGACACAAACAACGATCTTTGATAAGCGTTCCCATGTGCTAAACTGGGGAAAATGTATAAAAAATACTTACATCAAGTGGGATATGCTAAAATAATCTTCTTCTCCAGTGAGCACTTCCTATGGTGTTATTTTTTGTCTTCCGTGAGTGTGAGTATATGAGAATAAGGTCAAACTAGTTAATTCACGCACACAGTCTCAATTTCAGTTCTCGTCAACTTTGCATGATGAAGAATTATATGAGTTTCAGATAGGCCGATAAATGAAAACATGTTTTAATACTTGAACCCGATACACGATAAACGATACCAAACAGGAGATAGCACAAACACAATGCTAAAATATCAGACGTGAAACTTATCCTTAGTTATAGTACATAAATAAATGTAACAATAACGTGATCATGAATCAGACGATGAGTATATAGTGTATAAAAGATAAGCTATGGATGGATGACAACACTCGATATGTCGCGATGATGGTTTTTAACAATCCGTAATATTAGTATTTCGTAATGGTCTTGTGGAATTCTAAAGCGGCTGAGTGCGTTTCTCTCCATGTGACCTCAAACCAAAAATGTTTCAATACCAGAGAGTAATATAAAAGTTTGCGTATTTGAATAACTCATCAAGTAAATATTTGGATGGGACAAAAGCGAGATAAAGCAAGTTATCACTTTTTGCACTTAAAATAACACAGAATACTTTTTCGTCGTGGCGAATGTGGCGATAACAATTAAACGATTACTACGTGCCATCGTCATCCATACATCGTACATACAGATATAACTTTTGTACACAATTATGTACTCTCATTTATCTGCATTCCTGTATACGATATATCTGTAGCATTATGGTATTTGCATTTTAGAATCTATATACTAGTCCCACTGGAGAGTCACTTGATTGAATGGCAAATAATATCTATTATTGCATTCATTATCTTAATTTACTCATGAACAACAGCAAAAGTAGGCGATCAACCGATACATATTATACGTGCTGGTGGTTCACAAATGTAATTAAGCATACCTGGAAATAGGGAGGATGTAACTTTTAACAATAATAAAAATAACTTACCCGAAATGTACATACATACGTGGTTCTGTAAATATGTAGATGTGTATGTATGAAAGGAAAAGTTATCAAACTTTTGTCTGAATGAAGAGACTGGACTCCAGTGATCACTGGAGGAAGTAGAGTCTGGTTAACTGGATTCAACCTTATCTTTCTATCGTGTTGCAATTTTTAACAATTTTTTCTATAATGGCGAAGCCTATATTTAGAATTGCAACTGTTGACAGAGAATGCTTATTAAGAGGGACAACAGCTAAAGTACCGTACCGTTTTTATTGTTATATGTATGAAGGTACTATCCGATTTATTTAAGACAAATCTGCAGTAGCAATCATACAGGTAAAAGCTTTGTACGTACACATATCTAGTTAAATAGCTAGGTACATGTGTTTCATGAATGCAAGAATGAATGCTAACTATCAAATGTAAATAACAATGACATTAAAACACAGGCTGATTTGCAGTTCATATTTACATATTGACGTTACTCCTTGTCATTTGGTGGCTATATAAATATGACTCTTGTTTGCACAACAAGTGAATTTGTCCCATTTGGCTAACAAAATTGATGTTGTGTATTTTCTGGAACATGTTCTTGCATGTCATTTAATTTGTGTAATCGTATTTTTTTAGGGTGAACTGGTTTACTTTCATTTCATTCATCTCGCATCTTCCATAACCTCAGTAATTTTCATGCAGGCTTGACTTCTTCGTGCCTGTTCATTAAAAATATGTATATTTGCATTTATTATTTGTTCGGATGAGTGGGTCATCAGTCTACACAATTATTGCTATTGATCCTCATAGCCGGATATACAAGTAGATAATATGCATGTACTTAGGATTAGATACATTATTATGAGACTTCATACTATTATACTTGGTACATATATGAATGGGGAAAGATGGAACATAATGAGAAAAACCAATAGAAAAAATACTCAGCTTTTTGTACCAATTTCCGTCTCATTTCTCATTTCGTCTTACATATAAACTAAATAAAGCAAATTTGTAGATGAGACAGACGATAATTTCATGGCTTACTAGCGTATCTAATGATTGTATATGCCTATCTGTATTTCCTGGAATCTGAAAACCACAAATTAATGCGGAAACTCTGGACCGACTGATTATTATAACTACCTCCTTGTCCGTCAAATTACAAGGTTTGCCTAATTAGAATTTACTCTGTACATATTGACAGAGAGATGAGCGACTGATAGGAGCTATTTTATTGAGCATTGTCTTAATTGGAGATTGCGGTGTTGTGTTGTGTGGTTTGGTGTGAATACATAAATGTTCAGCACAAAACCTTAGCTCTTGATTTATACTTTATATTATGCACGTTCTTCAAGTTCAGCAAGTATAATTGAACCAACTGGCCACACTAATCTTGAAGACTGAAACATGAAACTATTCTTTATAACTAAATATATACTTGCATGTAAATAAATATCTATAGATCCAGGCGTGCACCTTTCTCGTCTATTATTAGTTAGTTATGTTACATGTAGATATTCACACACATCAGGTATGAAACAAATCAATTCCAAAGCAAACTATAAATACATAAAATAGGAAATAAATGAAATACACTTAAGGATGTGTATACTGCTCTGTGTTAGATTCAACATCTTGGTCACATACATATGTACACATGATACCACTTTAAACACTTGAATCGTGCATTTTAGCACAATTTATTTAATCGTCGTAATCCATTTACTACTAAATGGATTTGCACTTATTTAAACTACTCTTATTTTTACTCTTTTTTGTTGGCAACTGCTTAATTGACCTTTTAATTAGACGATGGGGTACAAGAGCAATATGACTCTACTAGTAAAAATTGCGAGTTTATGACAAATCTAAAATTAATTAAAATGAAAGGCCACGATAAACTGCATATGGATTTCATGGTCATGAGCGATGCAGTTACATCTCAGTTCAATTGATATTCAATCGATAACGTGATGGTGTAGTTAGTTAGTGCTTGGTCAATTAACTTGATGAAGAGGTCTACACACCACCTCCCTCCTCTTCTACCTGCAGTACATAAATATATACATCATCAGCTCAAAATGACCTTATGTATATTAGTTTCCGTTCAAGAAATGTATCTCTGTACAAGCGCACGTCTCGTGTATTATTTTATGATGGGTGTGGGATTCTTGCAAGGCTACTATAAATAATAATAAAACTGACTCACTCATATGTACATATAAATACATACTGATATTATGTATAAGAATCCCAGCTATGTATCCTCAACAATGATGATACAATGAATTTGGCTGATTATTTGATGCACAATAATTGTGTGGATAAGCAGAGGTGCTTACATACAATAATGTTACAAATTATCGATGAACAAAGTACACCAACGGATATAAAAGGAGGAATCGCGGTCCAAGATATCATTCAAGCTTATTCCTTTCAACAATTACTTACACTAACTTTTGAAGTTCCACTTCATCCAAAAATCAACATGCAATCCGTAAGTTGTAGAAAAACGATTTTAGAAATATAGGAGCATTTCTAAAATAAACAAAAGCACAAAATCATACAATTTAATAAAATATTAGGTCGCCGTCTTCCTTGCCGTCGTTGGAGTAGCCGCCGCTGGTGGACTCACCGGTTTCGGTTACCAAACTGGCGTCCAACACGCAGCCATTGCTCAACCAATTGCTGTCGCCCAACCAGCTTTGGCTGTTCGAGCGGCTCCTTTGGCCTATTCCGCACCAGCTTTCGCCGCCCCAGCGTACGCTGCAGGTCCCGCCTACGCCGCCCCAGTCGCCACTTACGCCCACGCTGCCCCCGTCGCTACCTACGCCGCCGCCCCAGTTCTCGCCAAGGCTGTTGTTCCAGCTGCTCAAAGCTTTGCTTACAACAACCGGTAAGCGCGATTTTTTCTCCGCCCTCATGAACCCGAAGGAAGTATCAACTAATGTTTTGTTAATTAATCCATAGTGCCCCAGCTGCCCGAGTCGCCATCGCTGCTGCCCCAGTTGCAACTTACGCCCACGCTGCCCCAGTTCTCGCCGCCGGCCCAGTCGCTGCTTATGGAGCTGGTCCCATCGGTTACGGCGTAAGTGGTTGACCTACCTCTATTATTTTCATACGCACGAATAACAACACATAACTATCCAGGAAATAATGTGCATGAACTAATGCATGCTTATGTATGTAGCTAAACAATGAATTTTCACATTTAGGCACCAGTGTACGGTCATGCCGGTAGTTTCGGCTATGGAGTACGTTAAAGTTTGAATATTTTTAAGTGGTCATTTCTCCAGATTTATTAGCGTATTCAAGAGATTTGCAACTTATTTTCCATTTGTTGACTGCTCCATATCCGCTCTAATATTTCTACCTACTTGACATACACATATTTACAATAACGGTTCGCTTGAAGGATCATTAATTGTAATTGCATTATTTTATTTTCAGGCCCCAGCCCTCCGAGCTTTCTAAGTACACATTGTCCACAAAATAACACGTTCACATTTTTGTTACTTTTGATACCCAATTGATTTAGTTGAGCTCATCATGCTCTTTACATCTGGTCTTATTTAAATAAATTCTAAATTATTTTCATCAAAAAACTTAAAAATCTCGAACGGCTTTACTGGCATAACATTATTTCTACGTTCAACCATAAAAATATATATACGCGGCACAGATCATCATATCCTGACAAGAATAACACGGGTTTATTGATTGCATATTAAATATTCAGATAATACACATGAGTATAATACTGATAATTTTACTTTTAAAAACATATGTACACACCACAACGTTAATTAAAGGCATTGGGATCATGTTTCTTCATTGATTATGCTCAGATCCTTGCCATCCTTTCTCATTGGTGCGTTATTTGGTTCTGGTGTAAATGAAATTTTTCGATAACTTTTCCATCTCACGGTGGACATGGTGGTAGAGAAAGAGCTTCGATCTCTGCACCTCGTCGAAATTCCACTGGACGCTTGTTGCTTGACACAGCAAATAATTTTTCTGTACACATCTTTAAATGCATTTTTAAAACTGTTGTTTATCCAAGCGTAAATGACGGGATTGTAAAAACTGTGCGACATTGCGAGCCAATGGCAGGCGATCGAAATATATTCATTCGTGTATTCCGGATTATGTCTGGAAATGATGTAATTGATGTTGTAGGGGAGCCAAGCCAGCGTATACCCGCACACCACAGCTAAGGTCAGTAGTACCGTCTGAAATTTAATAAAAATCAGTAATGCTTGAATATCATTGATTTTGGGGGCTAGCGAGCTCTTGAAATTGTGTTAACCTTGCGACTTCTCGTGTCAGTTCTTGAATTTCGGTTGAGATTGATTTCATTATTATTGCCATTTAGTCCTGTAACCACGGACGGTCTCTCGTTCTGAATGCCCCAAACTACAAACGTTATTCGTGAGTACGTGAAGGCCAGAACCTATTGGTGATAAGAATTAATTTTATGCATTTTATGCAATTTTATGTCTCTTTCTCTGCACACTGTGCACATTAGAAAATCTCATTTTATACCCCAAGCGGTATAAAGTACTGGACCATCATAAGAGAAATGCTGTAGTACAATTCTTGCTGAGCATTTCCCCACCCACGCTGCGATAGAAATTAGCAAAGTATTACAATTTCGCATTTATCGGACTCATCCTTCCATTTATTTATCAAGTTGTATTGCATACCTCTTGACAAAATGACACCGATTCATTTGTTCCATTTATTGGCAACTCGTAAATTTCACTGACGACGGCGATGGGTATTGATGTGGCACAAGCTGCGATCCAAATTAGAATGACGACCCACCAAACTTTGGACTTCCTCAGGCGTGGAGCCAGTGGATGGAGAATGGCGACATATTTTTCAATTGCCAACGCTATCAATGTGAACGCTGATACTAAAACTCCAATTGCATTGAAAGGTGAAACGACTTTGCACAATATTCCACCAAACGGCCAGTACCCGTAAAGTATTGAGATGTATGTAAAGGGAACGCAAAAACTGGCGATGATAAGATCACCACACGCCAAGCTTGAAAGTAAGATGTTTGTAGTTGATCTCATTCGAGGCAACGAGTAAATCACGTAAATCACAAGTCCGTTCCCAATAACGCCGCAGAATAGCACCAAGTTGTACAAAATATGAAGCAGTACTTTGAACGGTTCTGAAAATTGTCCTTGGTGATGAATATCAGTCGGATTGTCATAACCATCATCAGATCCAGTCTTATTTTTATTTTTTGTTACCACTTCGAGGATCCATGAAAAGTTGGAAGTGAGTTCCATAATATTATTATTATTATTATTATCAGAAAATGTCCAGTTTAATACTTCCGAACTCATGTTATAGATAAATATCACGGCAAAAGTACGATATTATTATTCAACAATTTTTAACTAATGCTTTCTCTTCTACTTTCAAACTGCAACTGCGGGTAAGAGATCCAGCCAGATTCTATAGATTGCGAGAAATTTCCAGATCTTATCTTGATCTTGGGTCTTCATCGTCTTGATCATGAAATCTCGTTCTTCAAGATAGAATCTTCTTCGCTTATGTATATCGTTCATGGAAGTAAATATGTAGCAGTTGGGTCTGCTTATTTATCTTTATCAAATATTCACACAACGTAGAATCGTCTGAGAGAACACATAAATCAAATCAAGCAAAGAAAACATTGGGAAAAGCATGCAAATTCTCAGGGACCAAGAAAGGTCATAAAATTGAAAACTGCCATGATTTCCACATTCTCTAAACACTTTACTTCTCGCCACTTAGTTGCATAAATATCATAAAAGCACATATTTCACTCTGGTTATAGATTCAACGGCAGATAAACTGAGTCATAGATATGCATGGTCACCTCCCCAAAAAACCATTTCGAAACAGGAGCAAATAGTCGCTTCTTCTTCTCATATATCCACCAAATATTATTTATTTTGCTTCGTTCTCCGTGGGATTTACCGTCGTGGCACCAAAGTTAGGATATGCCAAGAAACTTGCAGAAAACTGCTAGGAACAAAGCAACACAAGGCACTTACATACAACAACACAAGTTATAAATTATTAGTATTTTATATATTCACACTCTCCACTTGCCTTGGATCTGAAGATTTAACACTGTTGTCAGCAGATCATTTGGTTATACAGACAGTATTTAAATTCAACAAACTGTCAGCCCATGATGATACATATTGAGCACAAACAACTATATCTGCACACAGTACACATTTACTTATTTATTAGTAATTTACACCCATGCAAAGTGCAAAATACATCCCACTAATTTCCCATATGAAAAATAACAGTGTGCCTATTCTATAATGGATCTAGTTTTATAATAACGCTAACAAATATATATATTTACCAGATATTTCAACTTTGATGAAGAGTTCAACTTTGTTGCATAGATTTGTCTCATACAGTTCGTTTAACACGATGACACAAAGTTGTACACAAATGAAGGTCGTTACGACGAGCCTTGCTCAACGTAATATGCAGTCTGGATTTCAACCCACAGATTAATTCATAAAGATAGGACATTTCTCCTGCTCGCATAATTGGTTGTGGTTGGCATATAATACATCATGTTTGACAGATTAATAATAATCCTCGTTTCTGCGATCTAAAATGGTCTGCAGGTAAATAAGACCTTGTAAAAACGGAATATAATAAAGTGGTGAAATCAAAATTCTGTGTATTTTGATGGTGGCGTTAAATTTCATTTTGAAATATTTTCAAAATGATATGTCACATGACATGATTTGCGATAAAAACCTTTTGTATGACCCTGAAGGTCAAAAAATAAACTTGCATCTAGTTTGACCTTGCGCTATCTAATGCAAAATCGATGTCCCGAACATGTTGAAACATACGGACGGACGAACGGACGCACAGACCATTGGCATAGAGTGGTGTCATCACTCAATAAACGGGTTCTAGAAGCGTTGCTAAAAGGAGAACAGATACACACGTGTTTGACAGGAGAAATTATTCATTCCGTGCATATTACTTAGGCGTTGGATGTATGTATAGTTTGGTCATGTTTCGTTTTACGAGGGTGCAGACGGTAGCTTGTTTGTTGATGTGATGCTCATACATAATTTGTTTTTACTGATTTTATATGGCGAACCGTTGACCGTGCAACCATGTTGTCTCAAAATTGATGGCCAACTATGAACAACACTGTCAAAATCTGTTCGAAACTTGCCATGAAAATAAATGAGGTTTGTTCCAAGTATTTTTTAATTTATCATTCGCCAAAGAAAGATGTTAATACATTTAAATAAATTCGATTTATATACATATTACTCATTTAAATTCAGATTTCTCTCTGTTGAATACATTTCTCTTTACATATTGATAAAGAGAATAATCCATAATTCATTTGAATAAGACATGAATTTATTGAATAACTCTTATCAAATAATAAGCACTCTCCTCAATATGCATAGATATTTGAAATCTTCTCAAGAAATCAATGATCATTTTGCAAGTAAATGTATTAGAATTTTGCAGTAAAAACATTGTACTCCAATGGCTCTGGTGTAAGCTACGTATGCAACGCCAACGCAATTACTCTTGAAGATCGGAAACTTGTATATACACAATTAGTTAAAAAAATCTTGTATCAATTTACTATCCGCAGATGGAAGTGAAACTCGGTTTTCGGAGGAATTGGGGTTGCCGGAAACCAACGTAAGAAAATATTGCATATTTTATGGATGACTGTACATGTTCAAACTTCGTCATCGATTCGTCAGGATGTGATTATTAGTTCAATACCTTGAATTCGCCAAAAGGTGGGAGTTGTGGAAAGAATATTGTTTATGTGAGCGAGGTAACCTCCATAATTTTGCCAAATCATTTATGTATCATCGATACAGTCAATAAAAGGTTTTATAATCCAGAGGCCAAGTGGACTAACAGACAACTAGAAATTTTAGAGCCGAATAATGAATCAGTCAGCTAATAAATTTTGCTTCAAAGATATCCCAATGAAGATATGAATGAATCAAGTTTATAATGGATAGGTGCAATATTTTTAATTTGAAGGAAAACATTTGAAAAGGTATGAATTTGCGCAAATCGTTTGCTGCCTAATAATCTATCGAACATTCTTCATATTTAAGAATGACCACGTCCGTTCGGTCCTTACATATTTGCACATCCGTTGGAACAGCCATTCACTACCGAAAAACAAATAAACAGCGTAGATTAGATGGATTTACATCTAAGATTATTTTGGCAGAAGTGAACACGAAACCACTAAATCATAAGATCGCATATTGAACCTTTTCGCAATTAAAGGAATGCGTACTTCATGAAAGAAGCACGGATTCGTACTAAAAGATGCTAAAGATGATGTCACACCATGACCAAAATTGGGTAAAATATAAAATTCGATTCCACTATAAACTGCATCCTATTTATTTGTTTTGTCAGTATAATTAACGCCAGAAATGGCAAAATACTTGTCAAAAATGTAATACATTCCAATTCAATAAGTATACCACAAGTAAATATTTCTTATCAGACTGGAATAAGATATTTCTCATGAGATAATACGCATTCAGTGGAATTAACACAATGCTGGATGAATGGAGCATTTCCTTGGGTGCCACCAATATCAAATATGTACAGGGTAGATTGTTTTCAGAGATGCTTGGATCAATTGAGACTGCTGAGACAGATTAACTACACAAATTTTTTTTTTCGTCAGTCAAATTCTCTTCTGCACGTCGTACATATTTTCAACAATATTTTGAATGCAGGATGTAATCTTTTGTGAATCAAAATACTTTGGAATGACACCAAGTCAGCGACCATAAATTATTATTCATGAAAATATTATGTAGTCTCAACTTGAGAGTGTCAAGTAAATATGAGGCAATTTGAGAAGTCTTCAAGATATTAATTCTTTCCAGCTTTTCTGTCCCAATTGGAATAAAGGCAATACATGTTGACTATCTCTCATTATTCCACTATTGTGCTAAATCAGATAAGACCCTTATCTAATCTTATCTTAACAACAAGATTCCTCAATACTGAAATTGAGAAATAATTTAAAAGAACCGTGTGATAGTGTTGGTGGAGAGAGTGTTGGAGTGTTGGAGTATTTGGAGAGGAGAGATTTGGGGCAGTGAGGCAGAGGTCGAGTTGGCGGGAATGTTGTAAGCAAAAAAGCATCGAGTCTATCTCAGAAATTTAAGAAATTCGTCAAAATTTGGGCGTTGGGCGACGACTTTGGTGGCGGCGACGGAGGGAGCAGATCACTTGCAATCCGCCCCCAAGGTCAAGATCACCAAAACACCACGTCCACCATGTGGAAGTTCCTTCAGAGCGGAATCAAGTCCGTGCTCCTCTTCCTCTCTAAAATTTGGAACTTTCTTCTGTTTTTTACTCGAAAAAGTGGTAGAAAGGTGAGCAAATTGAATTACTTGTCAGTTTATTCATTAGAACCAATTCTTTATATTATATGTTATATGTGATTGGATTCCTTGTAACTCTACTAACTCTGCTATTTGATCAAATTTAGGTTCTACAACATCAGACAATTAAGTATGAAATAGTCCCTCTATCTCCTTTATCTAAGCATCGTTTAAGTTTAGTTAAAAGAAAAGTCCTGGTGTTGGACTTGGATGAGACGCTTATACATTCTCACCATGATGGGGTTCAAAGGTTAGCCATTTATTACCCTCGCCAATTTGTTAACATTCTTAAATGCCGATTATTCTATGCAGACAAACCGTAAAACCCGGCACACCACCTGACTTTATTCTAAAAGTTACAATCGAAAGGCATCCTGTCCGATTCTTTGTTCATAAAAGACCTCACGTAGACTTCTTTCTAGACGTTGTTAGTAAATGGTATGATCTTGTTGTATTCACAGCAAGTATGGAGATATATGGCGCCGGTAAGCCTAATATGTTCTTAATTTTCACTGTAAAATGTTAGTTTACTAAAGAATATTATTATAGTCTGCACGGAAAAGCGTAAATTATGCGTTGGTTGTATCACAGGTGTTGCAGATAAACTCGACGCCAACCGCAAGATATTGCACACCCGCTACTATCGTCAACATTGCACCCTTGACCTAGGTTCATATACAAAAGACCTAAGCAACATATCCCATGACCTTAGTTCTATATTCATTCTTGACAATTCTCCTGGCGCTTACCGATCCTACCCAGCCAATGCAATGGTGAGTCAATCAATCAATTTGTTGAACACATTTAAATTATCGTACTAATTATTTAACTCTCTTTTTATATTTTTTTCAGCCGATCAAGTCTTGGTTTAGTGACCCATCGGACACTGCCCTCTTGAATCTACTCCCTGTCCTGGACGCCCTAAGATTTACTCAAGATGTTCGTTCCGTTCTCAGTAGAAACTTACATGTTCACAGGCCCTGGTAGTGGTTGTAGTAGTAGGCACAGGTTGTGGTACTATAATGAGTAGAAGGGGGAGGATAAGTAAAATGAAAATTAATTACCGCGTGAGCGATAATGGTATTATGCCAAGCGTACATTATCCAACCAACACGTTAATAATTACTATTACGTATTTTAATGATTATTATAGTTATTTAAGACGATTATCATTAATGAAGAAGCGAATTTAACTTGACGAAGCGCAAGTGGCTGCGTGACGAACCACAGAATAAGCCAACTTCCGTATTGTACATAGACTTTTTATAAATATTAGTTAAAAATTGCCTATACAAAATATCCTGCTCTTATGTATTAGTCTCAACTTGATAAAGTTCTTACTTAACTTTAGTCAGCCAGCCCTTATATGAATAATCACACACAAGATGTGATTTTAATAAAATGTATACATATACACACATCTACATTAGTCGATGACTTATTTACTAATAAGACTATGATAATTATTATTATGTTAATAACTTTACTATACAACACATTATGATTGATTCATATTTGTTAAAACTTGATAATACGTAAGAGAGCATCATTGTAATAATATTGCGACTCAACCGTAAACGCAAAATATTATTATGTCAATAAATTTCCTACAACAATACCAACACTTTTTCAGGTTACTGAAGATTCCATTTTTTACTACTGAATAATTTTTAGCATTTTCTTAAATTACATAACAGCTCGTTGCTCCTTTCCCATGATCGAGCGGAGGAAGGATCATTTGTTTCTCTCATGCAAAACCACTGCGAAACTCATGTGCATTATTTCACCGATTTCAATTCACAATTCATTCGCCAATTCACAATTGTGCCAAGCGAAGGTAGGAATAGAATCACGAAGATCATGTGCATGTTGTTTCTTCTTGAGAATCAAATAGATCCTTCGTTTTAGTCCTTCTTCTAAACATTAATTAATTGTACTATGCGTTCTCTCCAGTTTATTCGTCACACTAATTCAATCTACCTGCTTCGGAAGGGAGGTATTTACTTTAACCTACTTTGATTTAATGGAATGGACCACTTGCGACATGCAAATTACCTGAGTAATAATAATTTTCTATGTGCACGATAGGTGGGATCTTACAGAACAGTTCGTCAAATAGTTATTGTAGGTCGAGGTTGACCGTTTTCGTCAGGAGAAGAATGAGTACGAGCGGCAGGGCAGCACAAGAAACGCTACCTTCTCATCCACCCCCAAGCCTTTCAACACCACCAATCTCACCACCCCTCAGAATTCATGATGATAATCCTCAAAAAGGTCAAACCGCACTTCATCCCACTCCTGTTCCTGGCCTTCACCCTGCTAAAGTGACCTTGGGTCCCAGCAATAAACCGGAAGAGGAATTTTTCGACGATGAGAAAGCATTTCTTTCCAGTTGGGAGTGGCTTTTGAATTATGGACCAGGGTTTCCTGTTTCAGGAGGGAGCGTCAAAATAATTCATTCTCCAGACAAGTTCTATTCAACTTTGCTAGAAAAAGCGAAAAAGGCAACGAGAAGGGTCAGCCTCGCTTCATTATATTTAGGAAGTGGTCCTCAGGAATTAGAGTTGGTAATAATTTTTTATGATACGAAAATAAAATCTAATTGCAAGGGAGTGTATGGGAAACATAAAATTCAATTTGCTGAAAATATATAGGTTCAAGCTTTGGAAGAAAATGGTGCTTCAAATAAGAATTTGAAGATCAAAGTGTTGTTGGACTTTACCAGAGGCTCGAGGGGGTTAGCGATATCAAGTAGAACAATGTTGCTTCCCCTTATTAGCAAATGTTACGACTGCCAGGTTTGACACTTATATACTAACTTAAAATTTACTGATATTATTATTTACTTTTGTAGCTACTTGCACGTTTAAAAATTACTTATTAGGTCTTCTTATATCACACGCCTCAACTTCGTGGTCTCAAAAAACGATTTCTCCCTCAAAGATGGAATGAAATCATTGGTCTTCAACATATGAAAATTTATATTTTCGATGACAGTATAATAATATCTGGGTAAGCAGGGATCGTGATAAATGTGCAAATAAATTTTAATAAGTTAAATTATAGCACTAAATTATTAAATTCTTGTCATATAGGGCCAATTTATCAGCCGACTATTTTACAAATCGACAGGATAGATATTTTATGGTTGAAAACTGCAAAGAATTGGCTGATTTTTATGATCAATTAATTGATCGGGTTTCAGATTTTTCGTTTCAACTGGAGAAGACAAATTCAGTGGCATTAAAGCCTGATTGGAAAGTTCACCCCTCTGAAGGAAATTTACAAGAATTTGTGGAGCAGGCGAAACAACATGTCTTGTCGTTTTATGATAGGTACAAACAGGAAAATGTATCTCGACTAAAATCATACCAATCAGCAAAACGGCAAGACAATTCAAAACCGACAACATACTCGAATTCTAACTTGGAAGACACTTGGATATTTCCACTCATTCAAATGGGGTAAGTGTTAAAATTAGACATGAAAAGCAAATTGCATAAAGAATTCATGCTTTAAAGAAACTATAAATGTATACCAGAAGTCTGTAATTAGCTAATCATTAATAACTATAAATTTATTCTTTTTTCAGTGGGATTGGAATTTCATTAGACAAAAATGCAACATGTCAAATATTTGAAAATTCTCCACAAGGAAGTTTCATTAAACTAGCAACTGGATATTTCAATTTAACAACGGAATACATTGATAAAATAATTAAAAACTCGTCAACCAATTACGAAATTCTTATGGCTCACCCTAAGGTTTGTTCTACTAGAGACAATATAATTCTGGATTATATTAGTAATATTTAATGTGCCAGTCATACAACTTGTATGATACAAGAGAATTTCCTTGCAGGCCAATGGGTTTTTCGGAGCAAAAGGTTTTGCAGGAGGCATCCCAGCAGCATACACATTGTTAGCAAAGCAGTTTTTGGATAATGCCGATTACGCAAAACAAATGTATAGACTTTCGATGAGAGAATATCTACGTGATGGATGGACTTATCATGCCAAGGGTCTGTGGTACTATCCTCCCAATAGGATATTACCCGCAGCTACATTAATAGGATCTCCAAATTTTGGTAATTTTTATTAACAAAATTAGTAAAATAAACTATCTGCGTATTAGTGCGTATGCACAGTAAGCACTCACAATCAGTGCCACCGTTAAAATGATCCATTTTGTTTTGGTATTAGGTCATCGATCAGTATACAGAGACTTGGAAACTCAATTATATTTAGTCACCATTAATCCAATGCTCCAAGAGCAACTTGAAGAGGAACAACGTCATTTATTTAGCTTTAGTAAACCCTTTGTGACAACCGAGTTAAGTCAACCAAACCGTGTTGTTCCATTATGGGTACGAATGGTTATAAAGTTGTTTAGAAATTTTTTCTAGATTTCAAATGTGTAATTTTAATTGCCCTTAAAAATGTCCTACATCCAAAGCTGTTTATGCGGAAAATAAAGCTGTCAGTTTTCAAACAAGTAATAATTGTTTCTCAAAAAACATTACCTAAAGAATCCATATTATAGCCAAGTGGAAATAGAACGACTACACACAATTTGCCTATAATAAGTCGCATAATTCAATTTAGAACGCATTTGCATATTTGATGACATAAGTAGCGACCTTTCAAATCTGGCATTTCCGGCGATGTTTCCGTTTTCATGTCCATCTTTTTAAATGTTGTCCTATTGTGACACGCAATCCTCACCCAAGAACCATCGTCGTTGTCGTCGTACGTACTTAATCGCGCAGTTATTATTAGGCTCGAATCACCTCAAAATCTCATTCATACTATTAAACTAACTTTTCATAGTTTTTGGTTGTGTTAAAGTACTGGCAACAAGGTTCATTCATTATTATTTTCATGGTTCAAATCATTTTGTGAATGGGATCCAAAGTATATACTTGGACGGATACATACTTTTTCGTTTTAAACCCTAAACCAGTCTGCATCTGAAGTGCCAGCGTAATTTTCACATAAAGTGCACAAGATCTTCTTGCAAGCTAGGATGGTTCGGTTGTTTGCTGAGTGCATTCATTGTGAATGAAAGGTAAAACTGGGAATACCGAGAATATTGTTGCATGCATGCATATGTAGGTCTCGATATGGTCTCAATTCAGTAGAGTCGCCTGTGCATGTGTGTGTGTGAATCCGGATCATATTTCACGAGCTTCCTTCCTTTCCTAGAGGATGGCCAGTTAAAACTAGCGAAGAGGAAGATGTTGCTGCCAGAAAAGGATTTTAGACGGCTTTGGAAGATGAAACGAAGATGAAACGGAATACAGTTTTCTTTTCCTTCAAGTCATCTCATCTCGCATCATCGCAGTTGTTTCTTCTCCAGTTTCTTCTCCAAGCTCAGTTAGTTCCAGTTGGTTCAATCATGCAGCCTGTAAAAGGAAATAATAAAATAAGACTGATGTGAGAGTGTGTGGGAAAGTGCTTGAGTTGGACAAATTGAGACGATCTCAAAATATCAGAATATGTAATTCTACTTGTGCTGATACGGATTTAAAATGCAGGCCCACGACTATTACCATATTATTGTTAGAGCAGTGATAATTGTATCCAGTTGTTTGGTTCCAATGGGAAGAACATTGTTAACTTCTGACATCAAGTGGACACATGATTTAGAGCTCGAAGCCGGTTTTAAAGTGAGGTGGGATGCGGACGATCCTGATTTTCTGACAATGGAGATCAGTGCTCCAACCCAAGGGTATCTGGGGATAGGATTTTCTCAAAATGGCGAAATGTGGGGCAGTGACATTGCTATTGCGTGGGTGGACTCGGATGGAATTCCTCACATCAAGGCAACTTAAATACATGTCACGAACCTTGTATAGATTTCGTAATGATGAAGACGAATTAATTCAAATGTGTAACAGGATTTTCATGGAGTCGGAGCAGATCAGCCCGTGGAAGACGTACAACAGGACTACTTTTTAATCGCTGCTGTTGAACGGGATAACGAAACGACGGTTAGGTTTCATAGAAGATGGGAAACTTGTGATGATTTGCATGACGTTAGCATTGGGGTGAGTATGCAATAATAAAATGAACGCACTACAGTCGAAATTGAGATTTAATGAAGTCTCATTTGGTGTATATCCATTGGCAAACTTTAATTATTTTTCTTGCGAAATCCATGTGGAGAATTCGATTAGTATGTGAAGATAAATATGTAATGACGACAAAGAATGTGTATCAAATTATTCGATACACAAATATTACACTACTACAGAATGGTTTATGTAGTAGTTTCTGGTTGCAAGGATTACATGTGCAAGTTATTTGTCACATTCTCTTTTCAACAATTAGCCAACCAGTTTTTCATTCATAATATTTCTAGTTATCACCAATTATCGTCACCATTCTTCAAATTGGTACAGCTTGTTAGTGTGTGATCAACAACAGAATCAAGAGCACAAATGAGACAATGTCAGGGTGACGATTGTGTAATACCAGTAATGCTCACGTAGACCTCTTGTGATGATTTATGAACGTGTCCCAGCCAGATTGCTCACTTAATAAACCTTAAGGTTCAGAACTGACAAATGGTTGTGTCTCCACTTACTATTTACTAATTCAGCTATCATGGATCCAGTGAGACGACATAACCTTGCCGACCTAACATTATGACTATTTAGAACGGCACAATGACACTGATATGGGCATACGACACGGAAGACCCGTTCTCATCCCCCGACCAGCTCGAGGTATCTGGTTTCCCCTCCTGGCATGGAACAACTGTAACCCAAGGAAGTCAACTTTATGTCCACATGAGACTTCCCAACCAACCTCTGCCCTTTCCCGATGGAGACGATGGTCTAGGAACACCACCGACGGATGTGAAAGTCTGGGACCTCACATTGGAGAATGTAGCCACACAATTTTATATGCATACATACACAAGATTTATGCCGAGAGATATCTGTCAAGTTGCATGCATTTAATGTTAATCGTCTCAATTTACTAGGTGGATATTGATGGTTCCAAAAATACCCTATTCATGTGCAAACTCTTCCGATTTCCTATCCCTCCAAGTAGGAAAAAGTATCAGTTGATCGGGGTGTGGTAAAATATACGCATGCAAACGCATCGATTTTTAGCCCGAGTCAGGGCTTATGTACCCGTCATGTCCGTCTGTCTGTCTGTCTGTCTGTCCGTCTGTCTGTCTGTCCGTCTGTCTGTCTGTCTGGTTTGCGATAACTGCCGTTAAACTAATCCGATTGACTTGAGATTTTGCACAAATGTAGTATGGGTCAAATGAGGAGTTAAGTTCGAAGATGGACGAAATCGGTCAAGTGGTTGACCGGTGGGGGTCATATAGGTGGGTGGGGTATTATGCATCAAAATTTCAAAATTGCCGGAGAAAGCTGAAATTTGGCACAGAGGTTGATAATGGCTTCTAATGAAGGAATACAAAGCAAAATTCCAAAAATTTTCATGTGGAGGGACCCTAGGGGTGACCCATACCGATTATTAAAACTTATCCAATCGAACTGAAATTTGGTACATATGTTGTTAATGACTACCAATAGAAGAATATGAATTGAAATTGGACACATTTTCACCTGGACAGACCCTATGGGGTGACCCATACCAATTTTTCAAATTCGTCAAATTGAGCTGAAATTTGGTAGACAAGTTGGTAATAGCTCCTAATGAAGTAAAATAAGAAAAATTTTCACCTGGAGGACCTTATTGGGCGACCCAATAAGGTGACCAGGGAGAAAAATATGTGTGCACCAACAAATGTATACGAACCTAGTCACCCGGGTGGCTGGAATTTGCATATGTTGCGTCTAATATTACTAGGATAATATCCTGAGAGTTTTAGGAAAAACAATACACTCGTTTCAAAGTTATGGTCATGGTCAATACTGGTGACCAGGGAGAAAATATGTGTTGTGCACGAACAAAAGCATATGACCCTAGTCACCCGCATACCTGGAATTTATATATGTTACATTGAATGTTGGTAACATAATGGGTGCTATGAATAAAAAGTAGTAAATGCTTTTACTTCAAAAAATTCAAGTAAAAGGTCACCTTGGTATGAATAAAAATTTAGCAAATACTTTTACTTTTTAGCAAAAGTACTTACTTAAATTTCCATGACTTTACTTCGCAAAAAGTAAATGCTCAGGCTTCGTATGAATAAACAGAAGTAAAAGCTTCGAAAACGAAGTAAACTGTGAAGTTGCTATACCCCGAGCTTCAAGGTTTACTTTTTTAAATTCTAAGTCATTTCATTAATTTTTTTAGATTGTTTTTTTGACAATTCTATACTGGAATTGATTTTCAAAATTATTATGACCAAGTTTCCAATTTTTAGGCAGTTTTGGACACCCAATTTTGGACGCCCCAAATGTCCAAAAGTGTCAAAAATAGAAAATGGGGCAAAATGTTACCAGTTCTTTATTAACGACTTTTTTGAAAATCTATGCACAGTATGTAATGTATGTATCTCCTATTAATTTTGAGCATTTTGGTGTGCAAACTGAAGCACTGGTTTTTAAGATTCCAGACTAATGAGTGGATTTTCGAAGCCGATTTTCTCAAATTGTTATTGACCCATCGGGGTCAATAGAAATTTTTTAAATGGAATGTAACTTAGAGCAAATTTAATCATCAATTAAGCTGAAGATATGGAAAATTTGCAGCGCTTACGCAACTCGATTTTAAAAGAATGTCCTCTTGTTCTATTAAAAAACGTTCGCTCTGTAACCGCTTATCACACAGGACGAAGGGAGATGTCAACCCCCCTTTTTGACAAACTTTCCTCCATTTGCGTCACATGAAAATTATTTGAGACCCAAAATTGCACTAAACCCACTAATTTAGTTATGCTAAACAAGATTTTCGAGGTTTCAGTCATATTAAAAAATACAGTCCTAAAGGGGGGCGATGACGGTAAAAAATCGTCGAATACGAGTGGTATTGTGTTATTTCTGAAAATCGTTCCGGTCTTAATGGGACGTTATTAAATTACGCAACGCTAAAATGTTATTCTTTGAATCTCCCACCCCCCTCCCCCCTGTTATAACGCTTGCATAACGCTTTCGCAAAACCCTCTTCCCTTTGTAACAATAAAAATTTTAATTTTCCAAAAAAAACTTCATAATCAAACATTTTATTTTAAATTAAATAAAACTGGAGCAGCAGAAGAAATAAAGAACGAAAAAAACACAAATAAATCGTGTAAAACAAACGCAATTTTTAAAAATTGCATTTTGGGGCGACCAAAAAAGTTATAACAATTGCCTCAAACCCCCTCTCTATCCGTAACGGAATTTCCAACCCCCCTCCCTCCCCTTATAGCGTTACGAAATTTAAGAACATATCCTAAGCGTACATTTAGCGTAAATTGCATATACGCTAAATGTTCACTTTATTTCAAAAATTTTAATTTTTTTCGAAAATTTTAATTTTATTTCGAAAATTTTTTATTTTATTTCGAGAATTTGAATTTGAATTTGAAAATTTACTCGGTTTCCATGCAATAAAATCAAGTACTTGCTAAAAAGTACAAGTATTTACTTTGTAGTAAAAGTAAAGTTTTATTCATACCAAGTCTAGTAAATGCTTCCAGCTTTACCTTTTACTAATTTTGGGTGCTTTTACTTTTACTTGTTACTATGCAGTATTTACTACTTTTTATTCATACCAGGCAATATCCTGAAAGTTTTAAGAAAAAATATACACTCGTTTCAAAGTTATACTGGTGACCAAGGGAAAAAAATGTGTGCACTAACAAAAATTTAGTGATAGTGGATAAATTTTAGTATATGGGTTACCAAAGGCTCTTAATTGAAGAATTCGAAGTTTTAAAAATTTTAATTTGAAAACAGATTTACGCCTGACTCGGGCTATATCAAGTCTGCACTGTAGGTTTTTCAAGATTAGAAAATAGATTGATGGCATTTTTTTTAATTTAAAAGTTTCGTCCATTGATCACTGAAGAAAATGAGAGCAACATTTACCGCATTTCTCTCCATCAATGTCACATTCCGCCAAGCGTCTCTGAAAAATTCGACCAACACAAGACGAATTTAGAAGCAACAGTTGAGTGTTATAATAATGATAATGATGATGGTGGCGAAGAATACAATTCAAATTCATGGGACAATTCATGCACGGAACTTGTACTGTCGTGGACGTTTGGTTCACAAGGTGTGTGCAATGTATAAATATTATAATCGTCGGTATATAAATACTCTTTTGCAAACTATTAGCACGAGCAATATTTATTAAAGCTCCTTTTGACGGTTTCTAAATTGGGACTTAATTTATTAGGGGACATGTTTCCAGTCCATGTTGGACTGCTGCTTGATGATTTCAGTTCAACCCTCTTTAAACTGAAAGTGCACTACGATAATGTTGCTGAAAAGCAAGGTGAGAATATGTATCACATTTACGACAAGTTTTTCCCTGATAATCCACATTTGAGATTTTAAAAATTTATTGCTTTTACCAACCAACTGAACTTTTTTGCAGTTCTTGACAGTTCTGGAATTCGCCTATTTTTTACGGATGACCTGAGATTATATTCTGGAGGAATCCTCAGTGTTGGACACCGAATTTCGCCTTTCCTAGCTGTTCCACCTTCCCAAGAGGGCTTTAAGATTTATAGCGTCTGCTCGTCCGAATGCACTCGACACGTACGTAATAAAGTATTTCATTGCCAATGGAGAGAATCAACGAGAATTGCTTTTATTTCTTTATTTTATGAATTAGGGGATTCCGGATGGTGGGATCAACGTATTTAGTGTAATGCTACACAGTCACGAAACGGGTAGAAAAATCCGTCTTCGTCATATCCGAAATGGGAAAGAGCTGTCTCCAATTGCTGAGGTATAAACGTGTGTAGCATGTAAAATAATAAGCAAAATGCAGAACCTTTTACTTTAATTAAGTATGAAAACTACATATTGAGTACAATGATGCTGATGATTACTACATAACATAATTATTAATTGCTTAATCTGTCGATGGTGAAGCTTATCTTATCTTATCTCATCTTAAGTATTGCAAAATTGTCTCCACAGGACTCCAATTACACATACAAATACCAACAACACCGTCGTATGAAGGATGAAGTACGGATATTCCCAGGGGATCAGCTTGTTCTAGAATGCGAATACAATACACTGCACCGAGACAAGTTTACTTTCGTAAGACCTTATCCACACACAAATGTCGTTGTCATATGCTTAACATGTTTGATCACGAGTTGAAAGTATAATATCCTAATTCTACTAATAACAATTACAATACAATGAAAATTAATGAAATTGATAGAGTCATGAACAGTGATCATTTATGTCAGGGCGGTTACGCGATCGAAGCCGAGGAAATGTGCCAAGCCCAGCTATACTACTACCCAAAAGGGAATTTTGACATTTGTGAGAGTAAACCTGAATACAAATCCTTCTTTGCTGCCTTTGGGGGAGCAGGTGTAATGGGCGAAGGATTAATGCGAGTTGATCATCATCAACCTCTAGAGTAAGAAGAAAAAAACAATATCAATAATATAATGGGACATGATGCCACATTGCGAAAATTCTAATAATCCCCCTCTCTCTTCACAACCACACATTGGTCATGAGTGCTTGCCAAATTAATTGCAGTGATTACCATGCCGTGTTGTAATTATGTAGAGAAGGAGGAGGGGACCCATTATTGCCACCCCAATTCGTCTTAGAAAACTGGCCAAGATCTGAGGATACGAATCCTTTCGACACAGTTTTCATTGCCACCCCACATTCGGCTGCGTATAATGTTTCCGTGGCTCAAAGAATGGCAAATTTCGATTGGAGACTGAAACATGTTTCCAAAAATTTGGAAAATTCATGGAAAAATGGGAAACATTACATGTATTGCAAAGGATCAAACGAGTCGAACCCAATCATATACAAGGCATGCAAAATAAATTTATCCTGATTATGCGCATGTATGTATTTATTTTTATTCCTAACTTTTTCATTTCCATTTTTCAGAACCACGTTACCGAAATTCCTCGGTTTCAAAAGTACTCGAGATCTTTAAACTCCATTTGCAGGAGACCTGCTAGTTATAAAAATTCTGCAAACATTACAATTGGCGAAACTATGTTATTGATATCATTTGGGTTACTCGCCAAAGTTGTGTTTGACGTTAATGGGTACTTTGTTCATTAACATAAAACATAATTAGCCTTATTATGTTCTCTCAGGAAATTTTCGTCATCTGAAAATTAATAAATAATCAAAATACTGCTACTTTTGCACAATAGACGTGTTTGATCATTCGCAGAATAGTATAATAAATAAGTTTATTCCATAATTATTAACGAATGTCCTATGGTATGCACTCCGCTAGTCATTAGTACGGCACATGGAAGTGGTCAAGAATTATTAGCAACGAATCCAAGTAGGTAATGTCACTATAACCGATTTCCTGCCAATTCTAATCATCATTCCATCTTATCCTTTGTAATAATGCTGTATCAAGGTGAACCGAATGACAGATAAGGCCAGAATTAAGTAATACGGAATAACCGATCGAATACAACACAATTCATAATTTGTAAGCTGACCTCATCACCAATGAATTATAAATACATGTGCACAGTTTAAAAATGATTGTCATTTGAAGGCAAATAATTTCACTACTGGCGAACTATCTATAGCTTCAATCGGCTTATGGCTTATTACAATTTTTAACAACGCTCCTCAAACTCAGCGTCTCGACTTCCAATCACAAATAATTTATGTATTATCATTTTCACTATTACGAAATAGTATGGATCCTAAATTATGTCTAGCTGCATAAATGCACACATCGAGATATTGCTGCGATTCAAACAATGGAAACAGGTGTGTGGTGCATGCATACTATGCAAATTTAAATTATAATACTTCTCCAATTCTAATACCTACATATATGGAATTGCAATGAAGGGAAATAGTTTTGCGCTGTCTGCTTATCAAAAATGAAATTGGCATGCACAAAACAAGCAATGCAGAAGTTTATAAAAAGCAAAAAAAGACCAAGGATTTTCGCGAATCCTCTAAAATGGATCCGCTCATTAGAACTAGTCCAATTTCAGAGATTTGTACGATATCTGCCAAAAACTTCGCACTAAATAAATGCTACAAAATAGAATAAAATATGACGCACCACTTTGACGTGATTGCATCAGTTGATCAATGACTTGTCTTGCCCTCATGTATAGAGTGCATTTTAGTTGAAAGTAACTGGTGAATAGTCCTAATTCTTAATTTGAAGGTGCACCATTCAAATGAAAGTTACAAAAGTCATTTATTCATATTATTAAGGTCCACACCCAGACACGGTCGATAGGTAGAAATAGATGTGTCCTTATTCATCTCCCCTTCTCAATACATGCTTACGTACAAATTCAAGCTGGCTGCCTGTAGTCGACCGATGCACACAATGCATATCGATGAACGATGCCAAGCGATCTCAGTAACAAACAACGTGTTAATATTATGTAACAATTTTCATAGGCGTGTGTTATTAGAAGTTTATTGTGGTCACATTATAGGATATCACTAATGGATGTACATAGATGCATTTTGAAGAAAGCTAGAACGCTACTGCCTGCACACATCTACGAGTTGAACTTGAGGGTACTTGTACGTGTGATAGTATTACTGCGGAAGGTGGATGTGGTTTACAAAGGGAAAATTAAAATCTTATGCATGTTTATTTATGTCTACAACGCTTTACTTCAACGCATATAAATACAAATGGGAACTCTTGGGAGTCATCATAGTCAGTGGTCACAAGTCAACAAGAGTAAACAGCTCAAAAACTAATATTAAACAAAATGTACAAGGTATGGCGAGCATTAAGTGCGATTATTAAACGTGAATTGTGATATCGATCCGAATTTTACATTATTTTCAATTTCGGGTCCGCAGGTCGTGTCCTTTCTCTCCGTCGTGGCTGCTGCGTCTGCGGGCGTGATTGCTCCAGGTTACGCGGCTGCCCCCATCTACCCAGCCCCCGTGGCGGCTGCCCCTCTCGCATACGCTGCTGCTCCCATCGCCAAGGTTCACGCCGCCCCCGTCGCTTATGCTGCCCCTCTCGCCAAGGCCGTCGTAGCTCAACCAGAGCCATACGGTGAGACGAGTCACCCAACCGTACCGAATTTTTGGTAGCAATTTGGTAAACAATTTAAATTTTTGAACAACAATTTCAGACCCAAATCCACAATACAACTACGGATATTCCGTTGCCGACGGTTTGACCGGAGACTCCAAGACCGCATCTGAAACGAGAGACGGAGACGTCGTCAAGGGACAATACTCTCTCGTCGAGCCCGATGGTGCCATCCGAACGGTCACCTACACCGCTGACCCCGTCAACGGATTCAACGCCGTCGTCGACCGACAAGCCCCAGGCGTTGTCAAGGCCGTTGCCCCTGTTGCCCCCGTTGCAGTGGCCAAGGTAGCAACCTACAATGCAGCCCCACAATTCTACTCTCCTCACCATGCCGTATAAATTCAAACTCTCATTCTAATACTTATACTAACTCTTGTTTGGAGTCTACATTCTTGTGTTCAGGCTAACAAAAAACCCTGATTCGGCATGATTGAGTAGGTCTCTGAGAAATGAGTGGCTTAAAAATCTAAATTTTTACTGTGTTTTTAAACAATAGGTCGCCGCCGCTCCACTTGCTTACGCCGCTCCAGCGATCGCCAAGGTCCACGCCCCAGTTGCTTATGCTGCTGGTCCAGCAATCGCAAAAGTTTTCTAAATTATCCAATAGTTGTTGTTCCTAAATTAATTCTTTAAAAATGAGCTATGTTGTGCGAACACCTTATTTTCTTACCATGAATAATGCTCAAAACATGTTGTGATGATTATCTCCTAACTTTTCTTCTAAAACGTGTTAAATTCCTGATATCTTCAAAACCTTGTTAATTATTTCCTATCTATCTATAAACAAATGCGTTTGATTGGTTATGTCTGTTGTATTCTACCAAAAATAGTACTGAAAAATACAACTATACACAATCTTTGTTCAGCAAAATTTTATTCTTTATCAGCATTTATAATATTTATGGTAATTGACATTATAATTATCATAATATGGTGCGTATACTTGACATAATCTTAATTTTTTGCTTGCAGTAAGAATACGACATACGTCATTATTCCACTCATGACAGCGAGTAATGAGCTTCTGGAAAATGTGAAAAACCCACCTGCCGAAAAGGCTATTGGATTTGCAGAACTGGACATCAGGTGTGCTAAAATCATATTGACGTCCATGGGTTTAGGGTTGTTAACTTGCATCAAAAATGAACTAAGCGTCCCATTAAAACAAGCAGAATACCCGTACACTGCTCCTAAATTGATAAAAATTACAACAGTTCTAATAGAAAATGCCATAAAGTTGACCGTAAAAATAATTGCATCGACTCCATCTACAACTCCTGAACCCATGTAATTGATTTGGAGGAACAGGAGTAAGCAACTCATAAAAACCAAAAAACCAGTGTCAAGCATTAGAAGCTGCCCAAATATGCAATTAATCAAACGCTGCATGTTGGCAACACAATTGTATCGTTTAATCGCCAGCATAATTTGTCCAGTCCCATCCGAATCGAATTCCTGGTCATAGTAATTTGCAGAATTATAACCATCCACCGCGGTTGGTTTCAATGCTGAGTACGACAGGTCCCGATTGTCACCAGTATTCTCCATCCTTGCTGACAGGACAGGGTACATTATTTCACGCCTTCCTTCATTTACTTTCTGAATGTAAGGATGATCCGCCATGTTCTTATTAGAGTTCATCCCTCCACTGCTGATCTTGTTGTTCCCAGCAGCAGAAAAAGATTGCCGAAATCGAGGACTTCCATCCAAACTTCTCTGCAATTCGGTTCGAATCGCAGTTAAAGTATTGCAAAAGCATGTGGCCAGACTGCAACAAAGGACTTCAATGTACGCAATCGCACACGACTTGATTATGACGACATAGCATTGAAAACAACACGCGAGTGCGATTTCCTCAGAAGTGGGTTCCCTGTCCAAATTGGCCAAGATTGAAATGTCCGTTCTTGGATTCCGTATTAACAGATTGCACGTAAATCCACATGATACCGCCCCGAGAAAGATGTAAGCCACGTACAATCGTCGAGAATAGGCCAGCGTCTTGTCGCAAGTGATCATTCCTTTCAGAGGGGTTTTAAACTCTCTCATTTTCTCAAAAAAGAGCGTCATCCTGTTCCGTTTGATAAAGGTGGCGATCAGCATCGAGACGGGAAGAAATGAGCCAACGCACCACATTCCAAGATTCACTTTCTCGGGCATGGGACGGTTGCGTTGAAAAGAGAAGTAAAACTGGATGGTCAAGTATACGGAGTATGTCGACATGATAAGTAGAGTAATAATTGTACGAACAACTTTTAAAGATCTCAACCGGAAAACGAGAATCTCTCCGCCAGCTATTTCGTGGGGGCAGACGCCCACCAGCTGATTCACAATCACGATGGGCCTGATAATGCTCATCAGCGTGGGCTCTTTTTTCTCCATGATGATGCCTCGTTTATGTAAAATTTGTACAAGTAATTACAATGATGATGTCCAAAATAAGGTGACCATGTTCTCAGGAACAACTCTTTACCGTTACTGGGGTGAATAGTCACTGACATTCTACTCTGAACGTCGTCAGAGGTTATCAAACGATGTACATATGTCAACGTCGATGTACATAGTTAATAGACGTTTAGTTGTTTCATGTATCCACCCAATTCCATCAAATTCGCTAATTTCTTGTAATAAGAGGCAATTTCCATGATGGAATTGCGCTATCTCACCTACCGAAGATATCTATGCGATACATATACCTACACAGTTGTGACGCATGTACATGTGTATCTGTTAATTTGATTAAATTTATGCATGTAGTGAAAATTCCCTGTCCAAATATTGTCGCAGGGAGTCATTCATTATTTTGTATGCAGAATAAACAGACCGGAACTAAATATTTAATAACAATAATTATGTAAGACTATTATACACTGTAAAAATCTCCGGTAACAAATAATTTATTTTCCCATTAGATTTACATGATCAGTTTTAGAGGAAATAGAGAAAAGTAACAATGGCCGAAAGATGGATAAGCTGCCAAGAAAATAATCCTGCTGCGCCTGCTTTGGCACCACCACCATGCGGCTTTTCTTTGCAAACTCCTTCATAGGCGAGAGTAATATCTGCACAAATTAATTAGAAATTAAGTTAATTCCCTGTATGATTGTTTACGCAAGTAAATTTTGTTATATACTTGGGGTGGTTTTAGCAGCGCAATTAAGACCGCAGATATTTGTGTATGTAACATGATTCGTCCCACACACGGGTTTCCACTCCTGCGTACAAATGCACATTTCGCCCAGAACAGGGGTCATCCTGGTCAGATTAATGGTCAACGCGAGACAAGAAAGTGTAAACCACAGTTTTAGAATTTTCTCCATTGCGTCGAAAATAGTTCCTGTTGCTTATTTACAAAAATTGGAGTTAAAAAGCCGTTAGTCGGAAGCGCACGAGTCGTGACTTTGTATGAATCACTCACTCTCAAACTGTATGACAAAAGACGGACTCAATTAAATAATTCCTTTAGAATGTGCTTAATCACGAAAGCGCAAGCACTGAATAAAATTATGTAGTATCCTTGTAAAATAACAAACTTGTAGTGACCGAACAAATTATGATTGCGCTACATATTCATCTTACATGTCCAAAATTAATTTATAGACTTCCACATGGCATATGTGCACATATACCTGGTTATATCAATATGAAATGATTATAATGTTGCGGAATTTTAGCTCTCAACTGCATATCTACAAATATATACATACGCAGTATTAGAAGCGATAAAAATACGATCCAGGGCGAATAAATGAAATTTATTAAAGATGTTGACCATATTGAAATTAGGCTGATTGTGAGTACGTATTAATGGATATATTTTACATTGTAATTACAATTTTGGAACTACTCATCTAAACAGTTATACCTCCAACCTCTTTTTATAAACATAATTTTACCAAAAACAACATGACGATAATACATACTATGTACACAAGCATGATATTTTTACTAACCGCATCTGAATATGTAAGACACTTGTACATAACTCATAACGATCATTCCGGACAAGAAAATGTAGGTATTTTTCCAACAAGATGATTTATTACAGAGTTCGTAATTGCTATTAAATGAGTAATTCCAGAATTGTATAATCACAAAATAATTTAACGTTATTCTCTTTGACTCATCCTCATGAACAAAAAAAATGTTAGAAATATAGGAAACAAATGCCCTCGTTGATAGCAGAATCTATTAACGTATCCACAATTTGATAGAATTTCCAATTAATTATGAAATTTTTCAATAAATTAAGAAACATATACAAATAAATTTTCACATGAAATAAATATTTTTAAAATTTATTGCATCTTAAAAAAATTGTATCAATAAATTATAAATATTATAGCAATAATCCAAATAGTTCATCCAACTAAAATCCAACTAAACGTTCATCGCGTTGACCTCCTCCCTAACAAACTCCGGAGTGCACCACATAAAGGCCTAAAAATGAAGAGTTGAAGTAGAATTCTCAACAAATTACACAAAAATATAGGCTGTTATGTAACTCACCTGAGTTTTGAGCAGCAGCGCATCTGAAGAGACAGCCATTGCTGTATGTTTGACCGTTTGAGGCGCAGACGGGGCGGTACTCGAGTGTGCAGAAACAACCCTTTTGACCGTACACTGCTTCAAGGATCATCAAGACGAAAAGGAGCCCAAGTGTGATTGCAACGTAGCTTTTCATTTTTGTTTATATTGCTGTTTCGATTTAAAAAAAAAAATGTCTGAAAAGGTGATTTACTTATGATGAATGTAGCAAGAAATTAAGGTTTGTATGCTTGTTCGTATATGAAATAAATTGATCCTTCGCTCTCTTATATATAGGCGGCCTGCACACGGCTTGGCATCCAAAATAAACAATTATCATCGAAGCAAGTAGGTCCACAGAATAATTAATTTACATCAAAATGCCATTCACAAATACACACATGGTGGGAACAATCAGAAAATAACTTGAAATGGCAAACAAACCCGGAACTCTGAAAACTCGTAAAGTCGCCATAAATAAAAATATTATCAGAATGTTCTAGGCCCACTACATTAAAGTGTTAAAATTGGTCTAATTTCCAACTGAATGAGCTGCAAATCGGAATTCTCTGGTGATGACTCGACCATGGTTGACAACAATCATTGACACTTGAATGTGCTAAATATTGATGATCAAGAGGTATAATGACGAATCGCAATTAAATAAATTAACCAGGTGTGCATCCTTTAACAATATTAAAATTGGATTAATTTCAAGGCTAGTTTATTTCTGTCATCATAAAACATATACTTTAAACATCACAAATAAAGTCTGTGGCAGACTTCTTTCCGTGATTTATTTTTTAATAAATATTTAATAGCCAAAAAACATTAGACGTCCCGTAAAGTAGGTGAGATCCGGAACAATGCTCAGTACAAGTATTAGCATCGCCGTGAACCAAAAATTCACTTGTTGCAAGAGAGGGATGAACGAGAATGCCAAAAGTCCTTTACCGTTTCTGAAAAATTATATTGCGACAGCAAAAAAAAATCAGCTAATTATGCACAGTAAATTTATTAGTGGAAGTTAGAAAACAGGCTATTTTATCCAAACTTACGACATTGCATGACACAGGAGCATGTAGAAACCTATCAAAGTTGTATATGAAAATACTTGAGCACACAAAGTGGGCCACGTAAAATATCGTCCTTCCACCAAAACCTGCAATAAATCCATCACATTCTCCATCTTATTAAGAAGTAATTCCGAATGAGAAAATTAAGAAAGCAAATAACGGCTCCTACGACCCACCTTAGTGTCAGTTATAATAACAATTATGCTGCTAATGAACAAGCTAAACGATCCATAATCATTAAGTGACGATCCATCAATCCAAACGTATCTTGGAACGTAGTAGCAAATCAATATGTGCCATATTCCGATCAAATACCACCTTGAAACGTTCTTTAAGGACATGTGCGCATTTCTCGTAATTTCTCTGTAAAGCCGCGGAGAGTTCAGCAATTCTTCTTTGGAGTACTGCTGATCAACTAGACCTTGAACGACCACTGGGATCGATGTAAATGCGATGGTAAACATCATGACAAACGTGGAGTCGAATATAGTCTTCAAAGAGGGAAACAAAGTAATAATAGTTATTGACCCTTTGCTTAATTGCGACTGTGTTTAAATATGCATGTACATGTGAACACGCAGAAACGCAGTCAATCGTTATCGTACCTGTGCAGAGAAGCCCGTGTCAAATCCATACAAGAAAATTTGGAAGATAAATACAACCCCTCGATAGAAAAAGTATGTGATCAGTGCAGAGAGCCGATGGTAGTACCAAGACCCGTGTACCAAAATAGCTTTCTGCAGGAACCTGAACCTCGGCACGGCAAAATCGGATTCTCTTGCAGCTTGGAGACCCTCTTTGCCAATTATGCCTGGAAACAAAATATGCTACCATTGACGAGTTCGATAAGATATTGGACAATTATCACAACAAATTTATGCACCTATTCCCAAATGCGCCTCCCTTAACATTGCGCAGTCATTGCCGCCGTCCCCCTGTTTTAAGTTATTGACTCAAATTTGTTTTTTTTCTTATTAAAGGGGTAAATTTTACCACTGCACAAGTTTTGTACTGCTTTTTCGGATTATTCTTAACGAGATGAACAACTTGACTTTTCTGGAGAGGCGCCATTCTGCAGAATATTACGGACTTGGCTTCAATAATAATTCTACGAACGAGGTCCTTGCAGCATTCCAAAGCCAGTGCGAAACTTTGTCCATCCATGACTAGAACGGATGATGATTCCGCGGATAATTGTCTGTTAAGCAAATTTCTGTTAGCCTAGTGTACATAAATCCAGTAAAATAAATAGGTTATAATTCAAATTACGTGAATTCATGCAGACGCTTCTCGAGTATTGCGTTTTCGTGCATTTGTTCCACAATAAAAATTTTATCCGCATTTTCCTTTGATTCATGCGATGATGAAATAATGCCACAAGTTGATCCCACACTGATTGCAGTTTCAAGTTTATCCCCAGTCTGGCATAACAAGCAAATCATTGCATGTTATTTGAGACCCAAAAGAGGTGATATTTATGTCTTCCTTACCAACATGAGTATTTTTATGCCAGCTTCTTTTAAAGAGTATAAGGTTTCGGGAACTCCTATAATAATCAGAAAACAGAGGTTGAGTTAAGCTAAAATTTATCCCATGTAATCAATTATTTCTCAGTATTTGCGCAAATAAATGCAAGAAATTGATACGCAAATCTTACCAGGTTGCAGCTTATCTTCAACCCCAGTACATCCTAGCAAGTGCAAATCTTGCTCCATTTGAACGTACAATTTGTTTAAGTATTCAGGGGAGCTTCTATATTCCTCATATTTCTGAAGGAATGTGTCTACTTCAGGCCTCTCCAACTTTTTGAACGCCACTACAAGTGTACGATATCCCATCTGGATAGGAAAAATTTGAGCTATATAATTGTATAATTTTGTAGCAGACTTAAATAGGTAATTATTAGTGGTAACCTTTGCAAAATCTGTGACATGGTTGGCAGTAAGATCAATAAGGGTCTGGGAACTTTTGGTACATTTTGGAAGAATTGATGATTCTGCCCCTTTTGAGAACATGTAACATGTCCCAAGCTCGTCTTGAATTATTGTAGACATGCATTTTCTGTCTAGAATCAAATGTAGCGTTAATTAACCAAGTCTGATCAAACCTAGTGCTGCGTATTTATATTATTTTTCTAACCAGAGTCAAATTCAAGTATCGCCAAAGTCTTCATTTCTTTAACATTACCAAATTTTTTCAGAGTAAAATTTTTGTCTTGGCCCCCAAGAAATTGAACATTCAATGAGTGTGCCATCTTTACTAGAATCTCCTCGTCTAAACTACTAGTTTGATATACAAGTTGTCCATTATCGTCATTTCCAAAATTATCACTATCACGTGGCAAAACTCGCAGCGTGTGACAAACTGCTAGCGTCTCGAGAAATGCATTGTACAATTTTTCATGCTCTTGGTCTAGAGTTTCATTTTCATTGATTTGTTTCAACTTGCTGGATTCGCTGTATTCGTACTTAACTCCATTGATTGAACAGCATCGGAAAACCAGGTCGTTATCAGTCAGCGTCCCCGTCTTGTCACTGAATAAATACTCAATTTGCCCAAGTTCTTCATTCAAATCAGACGTATTACAAATTGGTTGTGCCCCAGTGTCAGGACAAATCATTTCTTGGTCCCACCCAAAAAATTTGCTGCAACCCAACTTTTGTACCTCTGTCAAAATTATGTTTAAAAAAGAGAGATTAGAGTCCATATCTATCTGGGTATATGTTTTAAATCATTTTGAATTCACATATTGCCATTATGCTTACCGAACGAAACACTCAAAGAGACCTAAAATTTACAAAATAATACAAGTATTTAGTAGTGGTGACACTAAAATTTGGCCGGATTGATAAAAAATATTCCAAATTACGGGAATCATATAGCACAGGAGCACACAGTAAGCGAAAAAAATGGTGATCCCATGCTTGGAATCGCTATCATCGTTTTTTGGTAGATACCACATTCCTCCTGCAACAACAACAGGGGAATAATTTCACTTTGTTATAAGTATATTCTCACAAAATGATGTTTCAGGGCATAGTAGGGTTACCAAACTTGTTGTCTTTATACACGAAACTGAGTCCCAACGATATTGACGACAAGGTTAGAAGACCAATGAACATCCCAATCACAATTTTGTTCATTGAGCTTTAAAAGAAAAACATTATGGTTGAGGAGGATAGTTGAACTTTATTTAAATATTTTCATACTCACTGCTCAATAGTTGAGAATTTAGAGGTTTTCACTTTGCTAGAATTCATTGAGAGTCGAGTATCTCTTCCCGTGTAGATTGCAACAGCATAAACGCTTCGACAATTTTTAACCCTGGTTCCTCTTAGAAGTACATTTTCCATTGTAATCTGCACCGGTTTATCAAAAGTAGGTGATGTTATTTGCCCGTTAAAACTGTATAAATCCGAATTTGGTTGTTCATATTGGAAAAAATATTTCTTGAGTTTATCTGAGATGACGCGATTATCCTCCAAAATTAAATCTAATCCAGGTGAACAGAATCGCATCTATTTAGGACAAGTGACATAATGTAATAATCATAAAGGATTAAGCGAGATAAGCTGTTGTATACTTTTAAATTGGATTCCCCATCAAGGTTATCTGATCTTATCTGACAAAAAGATTGGGACTGGCCAGAGGTGGATTCACACGCAATAAGCAACAGGTCACAGGGTACAGCCTCATCCCCTTCCAATTTCACCAGTTGGCCAACCCGAATGTCTTTCGCGTTCAATTTCTACTTGTACACGTATTGAAACTGTTATTGATTATTTTCCCCTCAGTAATATCAAACAATTCATCACTTACAATAACGTTTCCATTTTCGTCGACTATGTGGACTACGGCAAAATTAATGCTAGCATCTGCCCTATGTCTCATCCAATCTTCGTATCCTTGTTTCTGAAATTAAAGACTGTAATTTAGATACTTACGTGAAAGTTCCTTATTTGTTCCTTTTACTCTCTACCAATTTACGTATGTGGATGCACACTTTAATTCTTTTATAGAATCACAATTTATGTTTGTATATTTAGCTAATTTCAGTAATATTTAGGCACTCGAGAGGGGTCTCACAGCAATCCATCGACTAACTAAGAGTCATACATATTTATTGGTCAAGTCTCATTGAGACTTGAGAAAAAGGCGTTACATGAGAAGATCACGATACTACATATTCAACATTTATGAAGTATCACCTATTGAAACGTCTTGAACAATTTTGTCAAAAGTGTGGTTTTCTTATTTATAACCTAACCGTTTATATGAACGAAATGTGTAGATCGTATTATTTACCGTTGCAGTGATTCCAATCACGAACACAAAGGCTGCAATGTATGGAATAGGTTCCACGGGAATATCTATCGAGACCTTCCGGGCAATTCAGAAAATAATGAAACTGGTGAGAAATTGTCAAGTAAAGAAAAATTATGTATGAAAATATTGTACCTGAATAATAATCAAGCAGAGAAAGAAAAAATTAACCATGCGTCGAAATTGGAAAAATAGATTTCTGGGTAAAAATGTTATCAGCGTGTACTGAAAATTGAGACACAGCGTGCAGAAATTATTATTGATTCATTTTTTTTACTAATTTAGATGGTACCGAAACCTACGTACCTTTGAGGTGGTCACAGTATTATCAGCAAACTCTTTATTTTTCTTGGGTTCATCTTTCAAAAAGTTTATTTCTCTCAATTTTTGAGCTGAAGCTGCCATTATGTATAATTCTTGAGATTTTTGGATGGATTATTTTGGAATGCACAATCGGACGGGGTCTCACGTGCAGTATTAAACTACATCTCAACACGGTCAATTTTGATTGATTAAGTGGCAACTACATGTTTAATTTAAGAACGATCAAGTAGCAGATTGATTTGATCTCTTCTTTGGGACAATGGATGATAATACCTGCATCATTAAAGGCGCATGACGTATTGCAAGATAACCATTGCATTCCAGGTTTAATTGATATGATAACATTCCAAGGTCGGTGATACAAATGAATTGTCCATCGGAGAGATGATAAGAAGAAAATGTAACCAGCCAGTAGATCATCAAATATTTATTTGTAGTGCCAATAAGCTTTACTCAACATATGTACCGCAATCATCGATGCCAACAATCAGATATGTACCTTTTACAACAACACCAAAATACAATTAATACGTGTGCCATTGATATTCAGAATATAAATATAATATGTGTATAATCATAGGGATGAGTCTATGGAAAGGGCTGTTTCAATGTTAAATTTTGCAATTGATCAGCCAAATCCTCAAGGCCTTCTTCCTTAAGTCGGGAATTTACACGCAAGTAGAAAATCATCTCCAATTTTGCAGCAACACGTGCTTCAATCTCATGAATCGATCCCGTTAGTTCAATTGACTTTTCTAATGCTTCCAATCCCTTCTCTGCATTTCCTCTGATGGGAAAAGTACGCATTATAGTTAATTTAATCCTATTTTAGACCATGTATTTCGCTATCTGTGTAGCAATAAATAACATTACCTTAAAATTTCCATTTGGCCAATGTGATAGTACGCCAAGTTGTTGGGACCTTCAGTCTCGATGAAGCTGTCCATCTCTGCAAGTGCGTGATCCTCCTTCACTAGGTTTCCGTTTTCACCCAACCAATGACGAAAAATCACTGGAAATTAATTTTACAATTAACTTTGCGTGACAAGATTTATCAAATTATCCGCCAATATGCATTACGTACGTTTCTTAATTTTGAACACAGGGTCCTGAGGATTGCATGCAATGGCTTTATCAAATTGTTCATTGTACTCTGCTTGACGTTCATCTCCGCCTGCAGCCATTAGTGCCTGAAAACCATCATTCAATTTTAGAATAGCAACTCCACAACTCAGTGAGTTATACATATCGTCAATTTTTTAAATACCTGCCCAAACATTTCGTGACATTCTGCTGAATCAAATTCGTGCTCTAGTTTCTTCAGTTCCAAGTATGCATTATTTCTGACAGAGTCTTCGTTGGTAATTGTGAGTTGCAGCGTCCAAAAGAACGTCTTCATCATAATTGATGTCTCCGGAGCACAAAAGCGAATTCCCATTTCCAGCATGTCCAGCCCTTGTAATGGTACTGCACGATCCACAAGCAAAAGCGACCCGTGGTAATAGATGTCGGGATTCTCCACCCAAAGTTCTTCCGCCTTGCTATAATCTTCCGAAATGGTTTGTATGGTGTCGGATTTCGAGAAAGGGTGTCGAGTGTTGGTGTGTCTCATTGCAAGTTTTAAATATGCGGAGCTTTTCATCTTATTGCTGGCAAGAGGCGACTCCGTGACCTTTATAAAATCTTCAACGGTTTGCGATGAAAGCGTCCAAATGAAAGTCATTGTCCCACGAAGGAATCGAGCATTCAGAACATTTTCTTCTGACGCGTCTGGATTCTCGATTTCTTCGGTACAATGCTTGACGATTGCATCATATTTCTTCAATTTCAAATCTCGCAAAGCAGCCATGTATCCCCTTGCAGAGAAGGTATTTATTTGTTAGATTTCGTAATTTAATGTTAATTTAATGTATTCAGGGTTATAAATTTGAGGAGTAATACTTGAGATCGTCGGTTTTCCCTTGAGCAATCTGTTCGTCCACAGCAGATGGTTCCAATCCTTTCCAAATTCGCGACACTTGATCACCATTAAACATTCTGAGAAAGGCTTCAACTATGGTCACCGGAGGTGAGCAACTGGCATGATTAGCCAACACTTTTTGTGTTTCAACTTCGGCTAGTTTACACAACACAATATTACTTAATTTCTCATTACACAACAAAATAGAAAAAAAGAGATTTAATTTTTGCATTAGTTATCAAGCATACTTACTTTGACCCAACAGTATGTCAACCAATCTTTGCGAAGTTTCCATTTGGAAACCACCCGGCATAAATCCGTTCACACCAGTCACGGCAACTTTTTTTTGTTGGTCCTTAATCTCATCGACGACGACATCCACCAAATCGTCGAGCGCTTCTTGGTAGCGCCCAAGTTTGCACAGCAAGTTGCTTCGTCTCTTCAAAACTTTGATGTACTTATCCTTTAAAGTTATCGCTTCCGAATATGCCTTCACTGCCTCCTCCAAGTCGTTCTAAGCCAGCCAGTGTTCTATTGGTTTAATGTTCATATATACAGAATTATATTTTACATATTAGTTACCATTTTCTCGTGCGAAAGTCCAATGTTATGCAATAGAGCTGCCAGGTCATCCTTATTCTCGACGGAGTAGGCCTGGGCTGCCTTATACTTCGCAATTGCCTCCGTGTATCGTTCTTGTTTGAATAGATCGTTACCTGCGCCTTTCATTTCAAGAAACTCGGGACTGCTAGTTAGCAACTTTTTATTCAAAACAAAACACATTCATCTCGTCAGATAACTCAGCGTTAGGTATTAAAGGTATTTTACAATGACTATTTTGACTGAATTTGACTTGCCACATTTTCTTTGGGATCAGGAACAACGTCTCCTTGATCTCCCACAACGGCAGTTTCTAAATTCACTGGCGGACCTGACATTTTCTACAATCCTTTACAAAAATTCTCGAGAACGTTAAAAATGTGATTTAATTTGATTTAGAAATCAAAATGATTATTTGTTTATTCGTGAATCGGAAAAGCGAAGAATTTTAACATGCACGGCACCGGCGGCAGAGAAGCGAAAGCCCCATGACTACAATTACTTACGCAGCATCAGCTGCATGCGTGAAATGAAAGAGTCTCACGTTGAGTCACCTCAAATTTTTTTCTGCTTTTATTTTCAATTTATTTTCATTATTTCCGACAATCCAAAATCATCTTGACAGAAAGATGAAACTAACATCACATAAGAAAAAGTTTAGGCTGATTGTTAGCCCGATGAATACGTGTTGTCTCGTTCTTATGCACTTTGGGTTTATGATCACTCGAAATAATTTGTTTATTCTTTATCTCCATGTTGTCGATACCATTCATCGTAATCAAGGGCACTTGATTCATCCTCCAATGTTCCAGGGACCATACACGCCTCATACGCCAAACGATCATGTCCCTCTTCATTTGGTGTTTGGATGATGGTAGATGTGTCTTCGTGTGATATCTGGGATACCTGCCACGGGTCCTCCTTGTTGTCACACTTATCGGTTTGTTCGTCCATAATACCTTCCGTCTTAGCCGTGCATCCGCATGGACGACAGCTCGAGGTGCATTTATTTGATGTACTACCTTCATCCTCACAGCCACAGCATTGGTCTAAATTATTTACCTCAAGACCACCCACTAAACTTGGGTATCCGGTTGTGTCAGCATCAATACTTGATGGTAAAGGGCATTTGGACAATGGAAGTTTCCGTAGGTTTGGTGGTTTATATTTTCCTGGTGAGTTATACGGCCAAGCTGGGGGTTCTACGCTTAATTTGGGAGGGTGCAAGTCCACAGCACCTAATTTGCATAGTTCAAATACTAAACTCCGTTTCAAGTTACTTGAGTTCCCCGCCTAGAGTACATTAGCCGAATGAACCGAATTATCCTATTATTTTATACCAGTTATTTTTATTTTGGCGTTTAAATCATACGAAATCATACTAAATTGAATAATTTAAACGCCAAAATAAAAATAACTGGTATAAAATAATAGGATAATTCGGTTCATTCGGCTAATGTACTCTAGGCGGGGAACTCAAGTAACTTGAAACGGAGTTTAGATTGTATACATATAAATATTTAAATATTAAATATATCCTGCGTTTGTATTTTGAAATTAAGATTCACTTCACCCTTTTTTGACTGAAGACATGATTTTAACATTTTTCGGAAACTCGTACATTTTTTATCCTGGAAATCATACTGTTCGGAACAGTTCATGAAATTCTTAATTTCAACGCCACACCACTGTTTTCTTTTCTCTGAGGACGCTTCATACACAAATTGTATCGAGTGCATCAATATTGTGAGTTCATCTTCATCCAGTTTATCATGCATCATCATTGCCACGATCATCGCCTTCAGATTATTCTCCTGGCATTCGTTTGACGAGTAGTGCGGAGACATTTTAAAGTTGAGACCTCCAGAATTTGTTGCACCAAATACCTTTGCATAATTATTTTGTTGTATTAAATCATGAAACTAGGATTGGTTGTATTCTGAATTTGGTTATTACTCCAACCACTGATGACGTGTATCCGACATGTTGCACCAGACCTGGTCGTGGTTTCATGTTGATTGAATACAATCTCCGGACGATTGAGGAGAGACTATGTTTTAGCAAAATATATCTGGAGGAACTATCAGAACAAAATATAGTGCGGATGAACATTATTCCTGGAGACAGAATTATCATACAAAATGTAATTTGAGTTTAGTACATATTGGTTAGACTGACGGTTAAAGGATACGGTTACTACTGTGAAAGCAAAGTCAAATCAAAAATTGAATGAAGCAATCGGAAAATTAAAATGCTCAGCAGTTTCTCACTTCATTTAGGAGTGTTCATTCTCAAAAGATAATCGCTTACGTAACAATGTTGCCATGATGTCTCAAGGTACAAGTTATTTGCCTCGCTCCATCAACTTGGACCTCATTCCATCATGAATTCAATATGACATGATTTTGATGCACAAGCGGACATTTAGGAATACAAGTATGTGTAATTAATTCGAGGATTTACATTAGGCTGAAATTATGATCAATGAACCTTTAACTTGAATATTAGGGGAACTATAACGGGCGTGCTTGTTCCTGAATCAGACGCAGTAATGCAGCTAATCGTAGATCTTCTTGGAATTATTTTGATAGCCATGGCCTTAGTCTTCTTCTTTGCAACCGTTTGCGCATGCCTTGAGCTCGTGATGACGGTTGTGTCCTCATTTGTATTCGTGTTTTTCTGGGGGATTGACAGGATTCTGTCGCCGTTCGGATATCCTGACCCTTCGGTTATGATAGAATTGGAGCAAAATTCTGAGGACGAGTGGTATCGGTCCAGAGATCGTCGGAGGGGAGTAAACATTAGAAATTGGACACGATGGAGATTTACCCCATACTCATGATTTGTAATGTAAGATTTATATGCATTTATACTTATTCTAATAATAAAATGATTGTTATTTCTCGATATATTTGCTTTTATTTATACATTTTTGCACAATCCTGATCAGTATCTTTCGCCATAATATCCAACCAACACTGTTATTAACGACAACGTCCATCCAATTATTGATGAAGGAGCCAGGGAGTGGCCTTTTCCTTCTCCTTCTGTCTCAGAGCAATCCACAGATAAGATCATCCTTCCCAACTCATCTCGATGGGAAACATCCGCAGTATTTGCCACAAACAGATTTCTTAACGCCACTGATTTACAAGCGACATCGTTTCCACAAGGTTTGAATCGTGGTGAGTCATCTCCCTTGATATTTACTCTGGAAAATATTTTATAGTTTGTGGTTATTGACAAATTATGAAAATATTGTTGAATGGAATACATACACTTACTTTTGATATGCGAGAAACAACTCATCGTCGCAAACCATACGTTTGATGAAGTCATGCACCTCTTCTGGGACCATGCTGCTTACTTTGTAATGTGTTTGGGCATCCAGTATTTGAGAAAATACGGGTTCGTTCTTGGGATTGTCGTTGGACGCAGTCAAATTCAAAATCCATGTCTCATGGTTCACAATCTCCCAAGTGGACTCATTTCCACGCTCACCATCCGCATAAAATACATTGTACGCAGGGTTCATACCATCAGGGAGACCACTTCCGTCCACATAGCTGACACTTATTGGTCGATTAGTACCCTCTGCAAACGTAATTTTGTAGTTTTGATCATGCTCATGGCCGTACCATTGTCCTTTAATTATAGCTTCGTAGCGGCTTATAACACGATTAAATTGGTGGCTCCAGGTTGGCCAGCAATCGTATGAGCCTGGACTTATGTGTCCAATGATGAAAACCTTTTGACCAAATCTCTCTGCCAGATCCATGGTGTCTGCAAACCACTGAAGTTGGTTAAATGGATCGATCGGAGCAGTAGGAAGCCAAAAATTATCAATGTAGCAGAGGTTTGTATTCAGCACAACAATGCGTAAATTTCTATCTGCTTTTGACTGCACTGAATAGTAGCCATACTTTCGGAACAAGTTTACTTGGTTGACGGGAATAGAGTCTTCATACGGTCGAATTACGGCATCATACATCCAGGTCAGTGAAAAATTGCCCCATGCGGACTCTGGGGGGTAGAGGTTGCAAATGTCTGGCTCATGGTTGCCAATCAAAGGGTAAATTTCCACCGACGTGTCCTGGAACGTGTCCTTCAGCAACTGACTCACATGTTCCAAATGCATCCTATTTTCCTCCTGGCCATACTCCCACACATTGGAATGAATATAGTCTCCCGTTAGAAAAATAAAACGGGCATCCTAGAGAATCATGCCGTCAATAATAAGTTATATATGACTTTGGAACAAGCAGTACACATACAAAGTATATATTTTTTTAATACGTGATGGGTATCTCTGGCATGTTGATACATTGCTTCTAACCCTGCGGTTGGCAACGCGCATCCCAAGCTTCCAAATGTTTTGGCACCAAGAGTCTCATTTGCAGGCTCTCCATTTTCCACTCTGCAACAAGCAGGGAGGTCACAAACGGTATTCTTCCCTGGCGTATAATGCAAGTCCAGGTGGATATCCGTGAAGTGAATTATTTTGGAGAGTGCAACGGACTATTGAAAAGCAATGCATATTTCAGGTACATATTTACCAGCTAGTACTTATTAAATGAAAACACAATTACAGGAGGCGGTAATGGACGAGGCTTGATAAGGGGTTTTTCATTATTAAGTCGAATTTTCCAGCTTGTCAAATGTTCACTGACAGGAGTGCAACCTGGATTTAAAATTCCACAGAAATCGTCAAAATTCAAATCTGGCTTATCTCGGAAAATGTAGGTGGCGGGTTTCTAAAAAATATTGCAATTTTTTACAACAAATCTGTGAATATTACTGAAAATTACAAGTAGATATTTAAGTACTCACTGCATATTTTTCTACCGTTGGTTGACAAATGCGACGTGCCGGAGCAAGGTCGAGAGCTATGCAGGCCACAGTGATTAGTTGAATAAGAAGTTCTTCTGGAATTCCAGTCTGCAGAATTTCTTTCAGAAATGGCAAAGCTTGCGTACACACTTCACAGTCGACGAATGTCGCAAGAGATGATGGATTTTCAGAAGCAAATGGATTATTATAAGTCACTCCAGAAACTCTCCAGAACCATTTTTGAATGTGGGTTCTGTTTGTTTTAGTAAAATGAAAATCAGGAGAATAAATTATTTATAACGGTGTCCACGTATATGTTAAACGTTACTTACCGATATGGTTGGATAAATTTTATGACACGTTCTTGCAATGCAGAAAAGTCTTGTTCTTTCTCTGCTGCATTACTACTGCAAGCAAAAGCAATGAACAAGAAAACACAAGTATAAAGTAATTTCCGTATAATATTCATTTTCGGAGTATATGTTTTTTATTCAGTTCTCTCGTGTGAGGAATACTACGGAATAAATGGTCATCCTGATTGACGTGATGGAGTGATGATATTAATTACAATCATTGTGGTGAGTTGACAATTGATTGAGGGCGATCTCATTGAAACCTGATGACCCGATTAATCTTATGTTATCAATCATTATCGCTAAGTCAGACTCGGACAGAATCCTGAAAATAATACTGATGAAAAATAATTGGTCACTTTACGTAAATGAAGATGACAATCTCACTAATAAGTCGTGCGTATATTTTTGTTTACTGCTTTTAATAATAAATCAGTACAAAATGTTGTTTTCGATCTAAGAACTATTCCTTATCGGGTTTCGTCTCGCATGCCTTTCCTTCGCAAGAGGACGCACATTCTCCAGTTTCCTGGCAGTTGCAGTCGACACCACATCCGCAATTCTTGCCCCCCGTTGCTTTCTCCTTGCAGCCTTCCTTCTTAGCGCAGCCCTCCGCGTCCTTGCACTTTGCTCCACAAGCGGAAGCGTTTGCTAAAATTTATAATAATTTTGGTGAATAAAATTTCTTAATAAGTTGGCCTGTGTTATAAAATTGAGGTGCAACTCACATTCAACATCCGCCATTGTGGCAAATGTGTGTAAAAATCCGGGTAAAAATTCGCACCGGGCTGAAGGCAAGTTACTAATAAGTGATGAGGATGCGATTAAATTCATTCAGCAACTCTCACTCTACTGATTCATCCATCCGGATTTATTAAATCTGAAGCGAGAGGTGGTGTGCAAAATGTAAATCCAAAATAAAGTGACGTTTGCAGTGACCATGTAATTTTCATTCTGGAAATTTTACACATTAGATAACCTTGATGTTGGAGGAGGCAATAAAAGAATTTTAATATTTATACTACACGTCTCACCCATGATTTCAATTTCATGTCGCCCCGTCGTATCATAAATTATTCCATAATGAATAGATTTTCCACGATACGGCAATAAAAAAACGATATGACAATTTTCAATGTCACATTTAAATTCATGTTTATTACAGGTTAATTACCTAAATATGTATGCACAAATGATGGCATTGAATGAGTACTACATCCGTGTGTGCATTGCAATCTGGAAAATCCATTTAGCACAAACTAATTTATGATGCCACTAAAATGCATGATATGAAATATAAATGTATGCATGTATGTATGTACATATACATGCATACTTATGATATGAACACGGTTTGCGGTATAATTATTGAAATTATTTAATATTTAAAATATATATAATCAAAATCAGGGCATGAATGATTTTCTTCTGAACGTACTTATATCTATCAAAATTCGAATTGAATAAACTAACTATTATATAAAATGATATTATTTTTTGCAGAAATTAGAGACGTTTATGATTGAAATGAAGATGAAATATTTCATTAAAACTTACAATTCAGGGTATGCAATTTATTTCATATTTCAACTTTGTGTTACTGACAAATGGTTCAATACAACTCTACGGTAATTAACAGTATTACATGATGGAAGCTCCCACTACGGCCTGCACAGCTCGGATAGCGTTGAATACAGTCGGGGGAAAGAAAAGGTCGGCAAGAATTTTATTAATTATGTTTTTAATGGGACCTTCCAACATGGCAGCAACAATTCCTTTGATCAAATTCCCCAAGAATGAGGCGACCTTGCGTACATCGTATTTTAAAATACATTTTACCCCAAACATTTTTTAACCTCAATAGAAATATGGATTGGATTACTTACAATTTCCACCAAAAAGTTAAGAATGGCCCCCAATCCCTTGATATCGACCGACAACACTCCAGTGCTCCTAATGTCGAAAGTCTGCATGTGGACTGCCATACTGCTAAAGTCAACTGTTGAAGGGGATGCATTATTATCATACGCACAAGACTAATTAAAAAAATAATGCATATTATTGAGGTAAATTCTTGCCCCGGAGTGCCATAAGCAGTCGAACCCTGGACAACCCTCCATCGACTATTGCATGAGGACCCCTAAAATACGATATCAAACAAGCACATTACATAAGGGAATTTTTATGTATTTTTTGGATTGCATTAATTAAATTTGACTTACAAGTCCATGAACTGGGCAATCATTTCGTAATGCAACTACGAAGGAATGAAACAATAAGATGTCGGCTGAGGATATTTCATGAAACGTTTTTATTAAATTAATTATTTTACCGTCGCTTGGTTTACTCCGACTTCAGCACTGATCACGAGGTCTCCATTTTCCTAAAATTATTTCCATGTTATCGCATCTGTTTATGACTACAAATAAGTCCGTAAGTTAGTACTTCAACTTTAATGTCAGCCACACCGGTTCTATGCAATGTGTCCAAGTGGAGGAGGGTCCCATTGTACAAAGCTGCTTGACCTATGTGTCGTCAACGTCAAAGTATGCAGTATTGCAGTATTACAACAACGTAAATAATTATACTGCATGAATGTCAATGTCAACGTACCATGAAAAGTGATGCCTCCAATAACTTGTTCAAACTCTAGCACTTGGTCAGGCAGAGGAATGGCGTTCATCCCCGTTAGAAACATTTGCTCTCGAAGATTCGCCAAAACTTGGTCAAAGTAAGCAGATGCATCGGCCCTCGCTTGTTGGAGGGAGTCAGCATCAATGCTCTATACACAAATATTCAAAGCACCAAAATGTATGTTTAATCGATTTCTAATATGTATTTCAATTGTATTACGTTTCCCAAAAGTTGTGCAAGCGTATCCTTTGCAATCACTGAACCTTGTGCAAGGCCAATAATCGCCAACAACGTAAAGAAAACCTTCATGTTTGATTAATAACTGATGCGTCTTCTGAGTGACTTCACAAGAACAAGCTCAAACTATAAATAATTGTGGTTCTGGAAAATACAATGCAGAGGGATGAACGTGAACTTTAAACACTGCGTTGAAGCCAGTGTTTGAATGATAAGCAATCAAATATAATTTTCAACCACTTCAAAAACTTATTCCTTCCAAGCTGTAATTATGCCGAATTATGTTCGATGAGTACTATCGTACACACATGTCACCTGTTAATTGCTGAAAAATAGTTGAAGTGTTTGGTGTCAATACTTGGTTAATTATCTGTCGTCGTATGATAATCTGGATGAGACCACCTGAATTTACAAGGATGATATGATGCATAATGTAACATTAACAGTATCAATCTCGATTACATGTTTTTTTTTTATTTTGCATAACTGGTAAATGTCGGAATCATTATGTACATTGTTAATAATAATTAAATGATGTTATCTTAGAATGCCATAGCAGGCGTGCTTCCGCACCCTGGACCTGGATCTGGACCGGGTGGCTGAATGATTCCTCCAATTATATCAGCCAATAGAACGTCCTAATCACAAACATGCCACGTATGATAATTAAATGTGCGTTTTCAAGCCTCTACTTGAAATATGCAGGTAATAATACGTTTTCTTCTAGATTGACACCTCACCTTCAAACTAAAGTTGATAAAGTCAAGCATGACTCTCATCAAGGTGTCGTGAAGAATGGCTCGAACTTGATTGTAGACGGTGAGACCCATTTCATTTATGATTTGGTTCAAGACTTCGCCCAATTCGCCGCCTCCTAGCAATCCCTCGAATCTGATGGCCATTGTTTCCATCTCCATCGTAAAATCCAACTGCCTCATGTACAGAGAACCATTCAAACGGGCCCCAAGCTGACCTTGTCCGCTGATTTTAAAGTTCCCAAGGTCCAGAGAGAAGGGTCCATTTCCATAAATTGGAAATATTATTGCTGCCAATCCATCCACATTGTACAAACCTGGGGGCGAAAGACAGCAATTGTATAACAAGTGTCATATAGCAAATATGCAGGGTTTGTATTACCTCCGATGTGAAATGCCGGCATGTCCATGACCAACTGGACTGAAAGCGTTATAATGTTGCAAGAAAGACTTGTTACTTCCAACGTCCTCAACCCAGTGGAGTCAATGTTTCTTCAAATTAAAATTTGTATGTAAAAATTATATTTCCATATACAAAAGAAACGCGTTTATGTGGAACTTACGAAATATCCCCTCTCATCTTCAACAAGGCTGTGGTAATATTCAAGGGGAATCCTGGAATGAACAAGGGATCCAGAGGTGGAATTCCAAGACATTCATTTCCTTCCACAATGACATTCTTAAAATTGTTGATGATGGCCATGATAAAGTCGTCCAAGGCGTTTTGAACTCCTGGATTGGCCAGAGACCCGATAAGGGCTCCACCACCGAGAAATATTATAATCCCGAAAAACGCGACTCCCTTCATTTTAGTCGTTTAATGAATGATCAATGCCGAACAAAACTATATTCAAACTCAACAGCACGTTATTGCAGATTGTCACGCCAAAGGTTGACAAGTTTAGATTGAACAAAATGCTTACATGTCAAGTGGATACAACGGATTGCATACTTGTGTACAAGTTGTGATTTATCCTAAAAACTTGAGTAGCAAGCACGTCAAAAACATGTCAACATAATATATTTACATATGTATCAATACTCAGTGCAAAAGTTCAATAATCAGTCGAACTATTTATTTTAAAATTATAAAATGACATTGATAAGCCACTTATGAAATAATAATCTCCATCTGTTTAAATAATTATAAGTGTGCAATCATAAGTTAACATAAAAGAGGCATCATTCCCAGGAGATCTCCCAATTGGCTGACTTTTATGTCCTACACGGTACGATACGAAAATTTAAACAAATTCATAAGAACGTCTCAACACCATTAACCGATTGTTGGATACCTTTAAAATGCGATCAATGTCCTCCATGAGTTCTTTCCTAATGTCTTCGTGTACCAGAGGCTCTAAGCGATTAAACAACGCTGTGCCAAAATTGTTGAGGATCTGGTTCAGAATATCGCTTATGAGACCACTCCCATAAATCCCATCAAATTTTGCATAAATGTCCCCGATGGTCAACTTATAGTCAAAAGATGTGAGGTAAAAGTGACCATCCTTGTAACCAAGTTGGGTATAAATTGTGCATTTCGCATCCTCAGGTTTAAGGAGGAAGTCGCCTTGACCCGTGACTGGGAAAAAGGAAAATGCTTTCCCTTTTAGCGTGTAGTCTCCTAAAATTGAAATGAAGCTTTGATTTCAACATAACTGCATAAATTTTGAATGGAATTGTCACCTGTTATGAGCAAATTTGGTATTTCAATTGAAACATTAACACTCTTCTTGAGCAGCTTTGTGCTTATGTTGGTCACGTTGAAAGTGGACAGATTTTTTACCAACGCGTCTCTGCAAAATCAAATATTGTTGATAAAATTAAGTGAATTGCTTATACATACATGCATGACTACGACGATAAAAGTATGCAAATGTATACCGAATTTGTCCATAAGCCTTGAAACTGGGTTCACGGACATCAAAGTCGTACTTTGAAATGTTGAGTGGATCGAGTGGCGGAATTCCCATTGACGGTATGCCGTCATGCATATGAGATTGGATTTCTTTAATAATTTTTAAAACCAAGTCACTGATGGGGTCCATCAGGTCCAAAGAACAAGGCAGTTGGATCACCTCTCTTTCGTCAATCTCTCGTTCGTCCGTAGGAAAGTAATTGACGACTTTGTTAATAATTTAAATAAATAACACAATTACAAAATTTTGTAATAATTGTACCATGTTAATAAAAATATTTAATATATGTATTTTGTACCTCTTCCTGAAGAACATTGTGAGAATATCCCTTGCAATAATAAAATAATTAAAACTGTAGAATTTGGGAGAACCATTGTGAAATTTTTAGTACAATTTTGCAACTCCTGAATCGTATTTCTGATTGCTTTAAATTTTAATTTACTTAAATTGAGCAGGAAATTAATCCTACTCGACCAAAATCCGTCTAACTCTTGCTAGATTAGAAACTGGAGAATAACCATGCGTGTTTATGTTCAATGTCCAATTTATATCATGCTAGCCAAGCAAGCCATGATTACATTTCTTTATTTGGGTTAAGTTGATAAAATCATAGCTCGATATGAATGTAGTATACATACTTATTTCATGTACATTGTGCGACGTAAAATCATCCAATAGTGCGACTCTCATGGACAAACAATATTTTTATTACGCGTTCTTGGCTCACTGAATGAAACTCGACGACTAATGTCAAAAGCAGTGCGTATGTACATTCTTTGCATATATTAGCATGTATGTACATATGTATGTACCTAATTTCATTCATTCTAATCTTCTTCAATTTCCGTTTGAATTGGAATAATCTATTTCACCTACGAATGACTGATTGATAACTAATCAAGAATGGAAAGTTATTTATAATCTTTCTTAATTTATGTGCCCTTTCAATATGTGGTTAGTTTATGGGTTTGAAAGAATTATGAATTTGGGGGATTTCCAAATTTTACGATGATGCACATCAGTTTCCTTCCTTATTCTTTCTAAGTTTAGACATACGTTACATAGTAGGACACAAGCAAACAGATATAATTTCTTCAACAGTGTTATTTTGGTCTAACCACAACACCGAAATAGACATAATTCACTTATTAATGACTATTAAACATAAATACTGGGACCTAAACAAAAAATCATTTTTTAACCGTTTTCGCTCGTTCCAAGGCACTTTCGATAGAATCTCAACCAATACATTTTGAATATGTTCCCATCCTTCGTGAGAACTCATTTATATTTTTAAACACTTAATTGAGACCTGATTGAAGCAGTGATAAATCATGAGTACAATTTTGAACAATTACAACACTACCAAAAATGTGTTTGATAACTTACTGGCAGCATCACCCACCAATAACGCTTCAAATCATTGCATAAGAAAGTGGGCCTGGTTGCTGGACATGTCGGAAATTGAACCTGGGAACTCTGCAGTTCTCGGAGGAAATAAATTAGTCTTTTATGGAGTTCATTACACTGCGATTGTTTTTATCTTAATTTCTTTAACATCCTGCACATCAGTGATCATCAACGTTTTTCGGAATTCAAAAAATCGAAAAAATTGGGATTTTTCTGACCGGTTTCCGCTCTACTTGGCCATTTCAGATGGGCTATGGGGACTGTCAAACTTGTCCGGTGATCATGTCATACTTATAATTCGTCAGTTATTTCCTGAGAAGCACGTGGCCACTATGTTGGCCGTGAACGTCTTTTTCTTCTTTGCGTGAGTAAATAATAATTACAAATATATATAAAAATCATATTACAGCCCCATGGTCTTAACACATAAATAAATAGTCTCTAGAGTTAAATGCTAAAAAAATCTCTTGAAAACCAGGTACCAACAATTGATGAGTGCTGGCTTATCCCTCTACACCTACATGAAAGTTGTTCGACGCGTCTCTCTCGACTTGGGCCATTGGGAATGGAAACTGCACGCCATCGTCGTTGCTTTTGTGCTTTGCAACGTGGCCTTGTACTGCTACGTGGGAGCTTTAGGAAATGCTGGATTTTGGTGAGCGTTAAGAATAATCTACTCGGTTGTTCAATCTGGGGTTGAACTGACAATGTTTTATAACTTCAACAGGTTTCTAGCCGACCTGAATACAAACTGGGGGAAATTAATGGGAGTCAACATTTGCCTCACGTGCACCGTCCATGCCCTTCTCACATTAGTAGCATATAGAGCAATTCAAAAAGTGATTACCAATCAGAAACGCGTCGTGTCAACGCACATTCAACCACTCTCATCCTCCTTTGATATGGATCCCGACTGGTCAAAGCCGACTAACGGGGGCACGAGGCAAGCGTCCTCTCAATCTTGTAGGACCACAACCCATCGAAATAATAGCTGCCGAATCATTCAGCCAAGATACCATTCAACGGCTACAAATTGTCTCACGACCTTTGTCTACATTTCGATCTGCTTGTATTTTCCGTTCGCAGTAACAGCGTGGCTGTATTTGACCTTTGGCTTTTTCGGTTTTATTGAGCCAACTACTGCTTTCATCGTTGTGATTGCTGCCAACAGCGGAGGGTGGGTCAACATGTGGGGATACTTCCACAATAGAAAATTGAAGGAGATGCGAAGAAAAATTGTGGTAAATAATATAAAAGCCAATATTTTATCAAGTTCTAGCAGTTCCGTGTAGTAATTTTTATCGTGACGTGAGTCCACGGGAATAAAGAAAATACTATTTATACAACTTTGAATTATAAATACGTGATTATTCTAATCGTATATTTATTTGGCACACTGTTTCTCCTGAATCTTTCTCATTCTATCCTCCAGCTCTTCCTGAGACTGTAAACAATATGCAACATCTTTGAGAGAATTTTGTGGAATTTGCTCCAATGATCTCCTAAAGCATTAAAATTAAACAAATTTCACCAGTCGTATTTTTCAATGTAAAAAGAATTTTAAAATTATTTAAAAAATGATCATTACCTTTTCCTGGAACCACTGTTCACTTCTGGTCGCTGCAACCGATGTAAAAACGGAGAGCCAATATATGCCCCTTGGGAACACGCGTCCAACACTTCCTACGAACCAACAAATTCAAATGAGATTAAAAAGGTCATCTTTATTAATTCCCAATTTTAGCCCAGAAATAAATTAGTAATAAAATACGATAAACGAGTAAAGACTTAATAATACCATCGACATATTGACAGGTATAGTGAACACATTGTCCACGCGGTCCTCCCTTTGAAATTCCGAAACGCTACTCCTAGAAACATGAATAATTGTAACCTTATCATTCCATCTTTGTGTTTGACTGAAGCATTACATTAAATTGCAATACATCCTCACCACCGCAAGTGCACTGAATCACGAAACATTTGTTCCATCACAACCTGAAATTTATGGTGCAAGTTCAAATTTTCTTTGAAGGTCGCAAAGCAGATTCCCATCACTATATCGATAATATGCCAAGCTGCGTCGACAACAACGTCATGTTTTCCCCAGACGAAATTGGCTTCATCTTCCCTATCAAATGGAATTTGCACATCTTTCCTACGGACAGACTCGACCTGATACAAATAGTTAATACACCAAAGGCTATAAATTACAACTCAATTGTAACAATTTCCTTGAGCTGAACTCACAAAGAAATTTGCTGGGCAGTGGTTGCCCTCAATGAACACAGATGCGTCGGGGTCTCCCATACAGTAGTCTAAAGCCCTTGATAGCATGACAAAGTCATCGACATCTACATCGCTCAGCCTTTCAAGCCCTTGTTGCTTCAGCAAGTACAGGAACCCTTGTTCAACATTGTCCAGAAATTCTTGCTTGAGAAATAAAGGGTCACAAATCATGTGAACCAATCGGACAGAGTTGTGAAATAGTTTTGTAACCCTCAAATGGCTGCTCACGTCCTCAACATTAACTCCGGTTATAAAATAAAACATGCGTTTTGTCTGCTCATCAATAACGGCTTGAATTTCAGTATCAGAATTTTTCAACTTGTCTTTGATCGTCGGATTAGGACGGACTTGTCGCTTTTTTCGTTGCTTCATTCCAATTGAAGTGAGATAATTATCGTCTTGAAGTTCATCAACGATAACGTCCGTAATAATGGGAAATGGCTCACAAATTGGTACATCAGGGTTGATGATTTCTTTATTATTAAGGAGGTGCAATATTGTAATAACCCTGATTTCATAAAAATATAAATATCCGTAGCTAGCTAACCATCGCTTTCAACCAAAGTCGTTTTGTCATCTATTATTTTGCCTGGAATAATTAGCTGAGCCTACAACACAGACAATCTTCAGCAATTTTGCATCATTGGATTTCCGTTTGTTTCAACTTGCCTCCGTGTACTGAAGTCTGTTAGAACAATGCCAGTCATCTCGCACACAAATGTTTTTATTGAAACAGAACCTGCATGACAATAAAACTTTAATTTTGTAATTAAAAATGATACTGAGGCTGATTTCATAATTTAAACAGTAGTGACATTAAGCACTGTTACTGTAATTCGTGTTCCAGGGGATCTTTTGCTGGTTGCACAGCCCCAATAACCACAGGTTCCTTGAAAAGTAGTCCATATGGACAGTATCCACTAGAATTATTCACAGCTTGATTGCTATGTACAGTTTGCAACCCTTTATAGCAAAATCTAACATCTGCAAATGTATTTGCGACAAACAATGTATTTGCAAAGAATACAACCAGCTTAAGGGAATGGCCAATAAAGTACATATTGAATGAAACTCTGTTTAAAACTCTTGAGAAAATGACAGCACAACTTTAGCTCTATTTATTATTTTGTCGAGCTTTGTTATCCGAAACTAAAAATAAAAATTTAATAAGCAAAAATATTTATATCAATAAACCAGCTACAACTTTGTGTACACACTTTTTGTACTCGACTTGCACTCAATATCACTTTAAATTTATTTTGAAAAATTTATGTACGGTGCTAAATTATGGTAAGAAATTTTGTAAATTATTGGTGTCATTCAACTGCCCGAATTCCACGAACAGCACCAGATTCACGCATCTATGTAAACATTACAACTCGTTGTTTAAACAATTTAAGTAATGACTAAAGTGGAGTTACTACTGATAAAACCTACTGCATTCAGTTCATCAGCAACTTGTTCCTCGTAAAGTCGAGCTTCTGTCAACGTCATGTCGATCCATTGGTCAATCCAGCAAAACATGCGTCTAAAAATATGTATAAAGCTGACCAAATCCTGCAACTTCAATAGATTTTTCTATCAAAGAACATATGTACCTGTGAAACGATGAGAAAACCCTTTGCTCATTTTTCTGAATAAAGTTTTCTAGTCGATTTTGAAGACCAAAAACTTTAAATTCGCACGTGACAAGTTTGTAGCTACACATTACGGGCTCGGCCTTAAAAAATTAGTCGTTCTTGTTAAAATTCTCACATTCATTTCAGAATACTAATTGCATTCTCACTTCGTTGATCCAGTTCGTGGTCAGAGGACCCCTCAGGGTTTTTGACGATCTATAGCGTCGCGGAATTTCATCTTCTGGCAGTTGTGCTTCTTCATCGGATCCTAAATTTTCTCCAATGTCAATCAAAACTACTTCACGTATCTTGAGCTGATCTGGAGTCAGGTTGAGAGCGTTCTCGGTATCGCCTCGGTCCTCCAGGTGGATGGATTCGACACTTATGCTCATCCGATCACCCAGGTATTCATTCTAAATGAAACTCATCACTGTATTAACATTCAGTAAATTAGGTGAAGGACGCACCCACCGATATTATCGTTTTAGAGTAAGGAAAAGCATTCCAACTTTCCTCCCTCAAATCTAAAGCTCCTTTCGGTGTTAACAGTCTCACAAAGCCTGGAACTTTGCTAAATAAAATGACATGGCTTAAGCACATTTGCATGTAGTTGAAGCCGTACTGAAGGAGTCGTACTTGTTAATATGATATTTTTTGAGTGTGTATTGTCCAGCTCCCAATATTACGCCTGATGGTAGTGCGACCTCTTCAAATGGCTCATTTGTGATAATTTCTATCCCATCGCCTCCACCAGTCTCCCGTTTCGCTGTCTCTGCGACGGAATATACCTGACCCCGACGATACTGCAACAATTATGACAACAAATCATCATCCGAGAATGTTGAGAATGTTGAGAAACGGAGAAAATTTGTTCGGTTGGTGTGACCATTTATTTGCAGACTTACCTCATCTAAAGTCATAGGCATTGGTATACGGCTGAAAAAAGTATTACGGTTGAGCTACTGAATGCATAATGTAGAAAATATGTGCAAATGTAACTTTGTTTGTATGCATGTAATTACGTACAACTCCTTTATAATCATGTCTGTTTACGAACTATGATTTAGATTCCTTTCGCAATGGAGACAGGATATTAATCGCCCTCGGTGAAGGAAGACTTATTGAGATTTCATTTTGAAGCCCATCGCATATTACAAATTATAGGAAAGTACATGCATTAGGAATTTAGAAAAATTATTCAACCAATTCCACCTTACTATAAATTTCTCTGTCTCATTTTATTATTCTTATTAGTCTCCAGAACACTTCCATGGATTTTTTTTGCAAACTGTTTACGTGACATCGCTCGGGTGCTTAGGTAATTAGATGATTATAAATTAATAGTAATGAATAATCAAATGAATGCGACATAAATTTTGGACTGTGCCATTATGTGTACAATCCAATGCAGTCTTATCTTACTACTCGTGAAAACATTACTCAATTCCTTCCAATTAAATGGCTTTCATCGTTAACATATAACATGGAACGCATTGACGCATATGTGCTGATAATAAATTCGGAGGTTTCAACCTTTTCTATGAACACAATTAACAACATGCTTGACAAAAAATGTTTGAATTGCATCAGTGGTCAAAGTCAATGGCGACTCTATGATTCAATAAATTTGTAAGTTACTTCAAACCTGAATCATTATTGTACTACGTTTACGTTGAGTTGCACACATTGATTCGCGAACACTTATGCCAATCGCAAAAACTTATTGTTCGCTCACTCTTGCATTAAGTCGTCATCAATTATATGATCAGACTGATAAGGTTCTCAGCTCATCAATATAAGTTGGCATGTCTTTGTTATAAATCATTATTTGCCTGTCCCCTGACACTGGCAATACTCGTATTATTCATGTAAAGGATTGAGAAACCAATACAATTTTTAATTTCCAAAATGAAAAAGTTCTTGGTTTTACTGCAATTATTTGCATCCGCACTTTTACTCCTGATTGGCCCAAGTTCCGGGCAGCTTCTTCAGGCAAGGTCCGAAGCAAGCAAAACCCTTCCATTTGTGAGGACTAGCAGTAAAAGTGGGGACATTCGAAATGATCCAAGTCTGCCCTGGCGTCTTCCACAGAACATCAAGCCCAGTCGATATGAAGTCGATCTCATTCCCATTTTGGACGAAGACGTCGAGGGTCTCGGTGTGCGGTGGACGGTCCCAGGTTCTGTAAAAATCCACCTCGCCGCACATGACCAACCCACCAACAGGATCATTTTGCACGTCAATGACATCCAATTAATGACCAGCGAAACTACAGTACTTTTTAATACGACATTTAAAAAAGCTTGAAAGAAAAAAACGTTTGAAATTTTAAAATATTTTCACCAAATTCTAAATAGCTCAACAAGTTGGACGATAATTCCATCGTGAAAATTCTGGGCATGACTCTGAATCAAACTACCAATTTCTTGACACTAGAATTGGAGAAAGATTTGGAAATTAATGTTCCTTACGTTCTGAGATTTATTTTTGTATCTCAACTTCGAGAAGAGTTTCATGGAATGTATAGAAGTAGCTACATTGATCCCGAGACAAATGCAACAAAGTGGGTCCTGCTAAATATTTACTAAATGCAGAATACGCTCCGAAGGTCTAGGATAAATTTGTAAGAAACATATTTCAATGCAATTTTCAGATGGATTGCCATTACTCAAATGGAAGCGTTGCATGCCCGTGAATTGTTTCCTTGCTTTGACGAGCCGAGTTTTAAGGCTGTATTTAGCACGAAAATTGGTCGGAAAGACGATCAAATTGCTCTGACAAATGGTCCTTCCATCGGAAATGAATCTATGTAAGTAATACTTAAAGTAATAGTCATCATGTGCAGTTATTATACAAATAAATATACGTAATTCCTCCTTTATTTCAGACCACATTTTCCAGGTTGGACTTGGGAGACATTTGGTGACACGGTCCCAATGTCAACTTATCTCTTTGCAGCAGTGATTTCTGAGTACGGCTATTCTGAAGCACCGAGCACAATCCTTCCAGATACAGTGGTTCGAGTAAGTTCATATTTACACGACCGTGAAGTATAACGATGATATTGATCGTATTGCTATGTTCAACCCTATGCGATATATGTACTTTAAATGGTGTTTTTAGAATACCACATCATGTAATTCCGGTATTATAAAATTTCGCTTCCTTCCCTCGCAGACTTATGCACCAAAGCATCATATTCAACGGCAAGGTGGTGTCTATCCATCAGAAAAAGCTGCCCTTATACTCAAAGACTTTGAGACAAGATTTGGGCAGAAATATCCCTTGGCTAAAATGGACTTGGCCTCAGTCACAGACTTTACCTTTGGAGCAATGGAAAACTTTGGCCTTAATATTTACCAGTATTTACAAAATAAAAATATGATACTGTGTACAAATTTTAGCAATTTTTTCTTAAACAGGCAACAACTTTTATTGCTTTTCTCTGATGAAACTACTGAAAATGAACGAGGACGTTTGACTCAAATTCTTGCGCATGAATTGGTACAAAAAAATACAACATAACTTTATTAACATTAAGACTTTTCGTTAACCTCTGGAAATTTCCTTCTGTGTAGGCACATCAATGGTTTGGGAATTTGGTTTCTCCAGGATGGTGGACATATATTTGGCTGAACGAGGGGTACAGTTCGTGTATTAAATATTGCTCCCCATTGTCCTTCTCCATAAATAAATATGTATTATGTACTTGTGACTTACAGAATTTCAACATTCGTCCAATTTGTTGGGTTAGAGGCTGTGGTACCTGAGTTCAAATCTTGGGATTTATTTATCGACTTGACTCTACAACGTGCCCTGGCTTATGATGCCATTCAGGCAACTAGCCACCCCCTCAAGATCCCCGAAGAGAGATGGGCTCAGCAAGACGCAATGTCGTGGTTCGACGTAATCGCTTATCAAAAGGGTGGCAGCATTGCAAGAATGATGGAAGGATTTTTAACCCCACCTGTATTTCTACAAGGGCTTAAGACATATCAAGAAAACAAGTAAATTAGAGTTCCACGAGGTTCATCGCTCGTGAAACAGAAATTATTTCACATTATTTTGGTTTCCAGATACCTTCAAGATGCAGTTCAGGACGACTTATTCGAAGCTTTGGATGTACACGCCACAGGGAAATTACCCGCTAATACGAATGTAAGTCAAGTGATGTCAGGATGGACACTACAATCTGGATTCCCATTGTTACAAGTGTCTGTCAACGACGCAAATAAAATTGATGTCACTCAGGTAAATTCTTAAAAGAAAGTTTTGCATTAAAGGCATACATTTTAGCTGAAAAGTCGAATGACAATAAAAATAATTTTGTCCTTTAGACAAAATACAAGGAGCCCAATTCTCCTGATATTTGGGTAGTTCCTGTGTCGGTGGCAAGCAAAGATAATCCTGAGTTTGGAGCAGAGCCGGAGTATTGGCTAACGGGAAAAGCTTTGACTCTAAATGAAGCCGCAGATAAATGGGTGATTCTTAATGCAGGGTTGACAGGTGGACTGAGAAAATCTATATGTACATATCTATGCATTAAAATACTTATTAACACGACAATGAATTTTCGCAGGATACTATCGAGTTCTATACAACGATGCACTCGAAAGATTAATTCTAGAGCAGTTACAACAGGACCATGACGTTATCCATTCCCATTCTAGGAGCCAATTGTTAGACGATTATTTCAACTTTGTTTGGGATGGTAAGAATAAATATAGGTAGTTATTCGTTTATTCATCGTGACACCCACACAAAAAAATAATCAATGTAGGACAATCTGGCGTCGTCATACAGCAAGCACTTGCCTTCACAAAGTACATGTCGACCAAGGCAGAGACAGAAATGGTCGTGTGGACTCCACTCCTCAAACATTTGGAGCACTACCTCAACACGTTTGGTGGCACAGGAATGCTCGAAGATCTGAAGGTACGAAAAAATACATGCATTTAGCACTTTGAAGAATGTCATATCAAAACACGCGAGACAAGTATTTTGTTTGCACAGGCTTATCTTCTTCCACGAATCAAGGCTTCAATCACAGCTTCCGGAGGTTATGACAAAATCGATCAGAACTCAAAAGGTATTGACGTAATGAGCCATACCCAACTGCTGGACTGGGCTTGTGCATTGGATGATCCTGATTGCCTTGCTTATGCTGCAACTTCCATTGACACGTGGAAAACGGACATTAGAAACAATCCGTAAGATCAATTGATTGGAATTTATAGTGCAAAACTATGTTACATTTATGTAATCAATTCTGATCCAGAATCAATCGCGACCTGAAGCCAGTGCTGTACTGCGCTGCAACACGCAAGGATAAGTCCTACGGAGAATTCCTGAGGACAGAATACAGTGGAACGACAAATGGGCTTAGTCCTGCACAGAAGACGCTCTTGCTCCGAGCATTTCACTGCATTGACGACGGTCCGATGATTCGCACGCTTCTTGAAGAGACTTTAACCGAGAACTTATTCAAGACCAAAGCTGATGCTGCCACATTTCTTCAATCGTTGGCTTCAAATTACAAGGTGCGAGACCATCTAGTTTCATTCATCATGGAAAAGACGGCCGACATTATGACTTGGTTTGGAGCTGATACTGGTAAATCTGTGTTGACTTCGGTTGTGTCATCGTTAAGCAATTTTATGAGTACCACCAGCGAGCTGGAGCAGGTAAATAAGAAGATGAATAAGTAATGCAAATAATAGTTACTTTGTTTAAAATCTATAAAAATTCTTATTAAAAATTGTGTAGATTGAGACGTTTGCGTCTGAAAATGAGAACATCTTCAATGGAGCCCTGAATACTTACATTAATAAAATTAAGGGCAACATTGACCTCATCGAGAAATTTGGAAAACCGATGCAACAATTTTTCAAAGACAATCCCGTAAATAACAGTGGTAATTCTATTGCTACCTTTAATTATCTTTTTATTACGTTCGCTTTAAGTTTTGTTTTGCGATTGTTGTAAAATTACATGTACAAATGATAAGCCGTGGTTATTAAATCTTTTTCTTTAAAGAATCATCATTGTTCAATGTTACAATTTCATGTGCATGACACTTGCATGAAATATGTACAATTACTTTTATTTTAAATCAGTAAGTTCGTAGAGTGAGACGTGTCTATTCATCAGGCATAATATGCATATTGCAATTAACAACAACACGTACAGAGTTGAAATAATTATCCACAGTCACGCATACGTTTTTACATTCAATGAGATTGTTAAGTTTATATTGAAACGTTATCAATTTGTTGGAAGGGAGATTGTCCCCAAATTAATCATTCCCTTATGAATAATACCGGTAATTGACTATGTTTGTATGACTCAAATCGTGATCTTATGTCATATGCATATGTCAGAGAGAATAATACAATATATCAATAGCTCTAACGAATGACTAATTTCAAGTGACTGCTGTACATATGTGTATATGCATATATGAGTGATTGATTTGAGTATGATATTTATCAAAAATCGGATCAAATATACATATAATATATTTTATAAAGCAAATATGTAATTATGTATGAGGAGTGTTAAATAAAAGCTGTTGCTGGTTTTCCCGAAACGAGACAAATCTCAAATAATCCAGATATTTTTATAAATACCATGTCCTTCAACGGAGCAACAAATGTCATTGACCAAAGACCACTTTCCCCGATCATAATCCTGCGTTGACCCAATTCTGTCCCATAAAATGATTGCCCTGCATTGTTACAGAGAAAGATTACAATGTGTGAGTGTCTTCTCCGAAGGTTTTGCGATATCCTAAAAACATAAATTGATATTAATCACATAAGCTTATTTGCTTCTGGAAAAATCTAAGCCACATTATTTATTTGTTTACACATGTGAAAATGTTTCCTGAAAATTATGTGACGTGCCAAAGATTTCCTAGATAAATAGAATAGCAATAAGCATAAATAATGCAGTAAATACGCACACGCTATTGTTGTTGACTGCTCTACAAATAAATGTACAAGGCTTTTGTCACTGTTCATTAGTAGCTGAGATTTTGAATCAATTTTTGCCATGTGCAGTCGAGTGCAACGTATTCATAACTTATTATGCGTACGCCAGTGAGACAAAGTTGTACAATAGTCGCACATATGTATGTAGAAGGAGCCACCTTAATTATACTCGAAAAATGCAGCATTTTATTGTTAAAGGTAAACAGTGTCGTCAATGCAAATGAGAGAACGCGCTTGATGCCAACTGACACGTCTCTTTTGTATTTAAAAAACGGTTAGCCAACCGCAGAAAGACTTGGCTGACATAACACGTAGGATATCAAACATGAGGTTGTTGTTGACGAATCGATCCATCGATGTTCCATTTTAACAAAGATAACAAAAGATTGGTTCGTATAAAGGTGCCAACCGCGGATCTGTTGAGCATCAGTCTCCAGTCGCCGTCGAATCCCAATTCAAAAGACCTGCACAAATTGTGACTCATTCCAACACCAAAGCACCTGTGTATACTAACCTACCTTTCCAGAATGAAACTCTTAATTTGCCTCATCCTTTCCCTAACACCTGCCGCATTGGGTTCCAAATTAAAGAAAAATGACGACTCGGTAAGCTAAACTTCGGGAATTGCATACTTATTCTAGTACATATTTTACCTGTCATATCTTTTAGAATTCATGCATTTGTCCCATGACTTATCATCCTGTTTGTGGTTCTGATGCTGTCACGTATTCAAATGAATGTTTCTTCCAATGTGCTCAAAGTGAACATCCAGGTATGTACATCACCACCTCCAATTACTTAATCCAACCACACATATATTAATAGTTGCACAAGCTAAAATATTGAGTAAAGTCAGCTTACAATCAGCCTATCAGCCATCCTCCATCGCTCAATTTATGAATAACATTTTGTTATTGTTCCCAGAATTAACAATATTTAGTCAAGGGGAGTGTCCGGTATCAATAGACGATCCAACGTTTTTTGGAGATGAAGTACAGTCATCGCTACAGGTTTGTGACTCAGATTAACTCGACGATCAATTTATTATTAAACCCGACCTGGCATAATATTTGCTTGTGCATGAACAGGATGAATCTCCGAGATGTGTTTGTTCAATGGATTATAAACCCGTTTGTGGCACTGATATGAAAACTTATGGAAATATCTGCATTTTCAATTGTGAGCGACAACAGAATCCAGGTAAACATTGCAATATTTTATTTTATTTTACATATGTATCTTAGCCTATTCTGTAATTCTTTGTGTAAAGTTGACGTCTTTTTATTTATAGCTTTGGGAGTGGCAGCACATGGCGAATGTCCTAAACCAGAGTTGGTTGATGTAAGGATAATATATTTACAGTGGAATTTTATGATGAATTTGTGTCAAATTACTATTGCTTTCAGACTCTCCATCCACCCAAAAGAGCTTTGGATCAAGCAAGTCCGACGTCGAAAAAAGGCGTCCAGGCACGACGTCCAAGAATTATATTAGCCGACAAGCCGAATTATCCTATTATTTAACACCAGTTTATTTTATTTTGGCGTTCAAATTATTCAATTTGTGCCAAGAATTTGGGTAGTTGAGTGACTTCTACACCAAAATAAAATAAACTGGTGTTAAATAATAGGATAATTCAGCTTGTCGGCTAACATAATTCTTGGACTTCGTGCCTGGACGCCTTTTTTCGACGTCGGACTTGCTTGATCCAAAGCTCGTTTGGGTGGATGGAGAGTCTGAAAGCAATAGTACTCGTTGTCACCATTTCATATTTTTATACGATTTTCTCCAGGCTCCTGTACAACACCAACTGAAGCCTATTCCATTCAGACTTAAATCGGCGTCGCTTAGGAGAAACGACGAAAACGAGAAGTTTTGCCTTTGTACGAGGGAATACCGACCAGTTTGTGGGAGCAACAGGGTCACATATGCAAATCCATGTGAATTCAATTGTGCCAAGAAGACCAACGCTGACCTTAAGATATTGACACACGGAACTTGTGATGACCTGGAATGAGAGGAATTCGTTCACATCACCAAACCAACTCAGAACTGATTTCTTTACGCGTTTGCCAAAGATTACTTAACTACTTACATACATTTTAGTTCAGGCAGTGCACAGTGGATACAAAAATATGTATATGAAAATAAATTATGAAAGTTCAAATCAGAAGAAAGGCCAAGATCTCATAATTTCATTTAAATCATTCAGTTGACTTTATTTAAAAAATCATCAATTCCAACATGAACATACAATATATTATTTGTCAAGTACTTCTTACGGTAATTCACGCCTGATATTACAAGGAGAATGAAATTATTTACAAAACGCTTATATTCTTAAATCCAGGTTTTTGGTATTTAATTTATTTGCGAATTTTGACATATTATTGAATTAAATTACATAGATTATTTTATTTTCTGGATTTTATGCCTTATTAGCATGGTTCAAACTTGAAGATTTTCAATTCTGCAATAAATTGTGTAATGTTTGTGTAAACTAACTACTTGTCAAAGTGGTGTATGAATAGTTTAAAGCTTACTGTTGTTTTTGCATCTGGCGTTTTCAAAGTGACAAACATTCGGGTAAGTTTTTGCATTAGTGGCGCAGACCGGCCGGTACTGATCTTCACAGGGAATGTCACATCCCATGACTCCGATTGATCCAGCGTCTCCAGGAGACTACGCAATAATATTCTTATTCAAAATTACCCTCACCGTGTCATCAGCAAATATGTCACAATTTCTTACACATGGCCCATTGGATTGCGGTGCCAGACCTGGGAACCAAAGTTTGAGTAGAAATTGTCATATTTACATTTGTATAATTATTACTTGGATTGTAGCATTTTGCAATTGACAGTTCGCACAGGTTTCTGTATGTTTTATTGTCTGTTCCGCATAATGATTCCTCCCTCATGGGACAGATTCGTGTCAAACAGTTTTCATACGTTTTCTGCGGTTTAATTGTAGATAGATCAAGACAGATTAATCTTTTTTAACTCATGTGATACTAAAAAATAGTGAGTATAACAGGAATCTTACACATCTGCCCTCATGTTTTAAATCCAGTCCTGCAACATCACAAGAAATATTCATGGTTTTTGTATCAATTCTACTTCAGTATTAGCAGTAAATAAAAATTTATTTTTATTTACCAGGTGTCCGACACATGGCTTTGGACAATTGGCATCGTGACGAATAAGTGATACCTTTAGAGAAAGTACATTTATTAGAGATATTAGAGATATTAGAAATGACATTTATTAGAGACTTATTCAATGATATTTTTTTTACCATCATTGGCGCAGACCGGACTATGGCGTGCACTGCAAAATGTGTCAGCACAATTTGAATCGTTTGTCACCATTTCGCCAACAGTTGGAATCGTTGACGTTTCGGTTGTGGTGACTGCCTCAGTTTCCAGTTCTGGGGCTGTGGTGCCAATTGTAACGACAGACTCGCTTTCCTTCTTCTGACAAAGAACACAAAAACAAATCGTGGTAATGCTTTCACAGTTTGAAAGCTATTTTGCTTATCCATTATAAAACTTACACATGCACCAGGATGCACCACAAAGAGTGCTGAAATTTACAAAATGATTAAGAAGTACGTACAATTTGTTATTTCTCGTTGATATCGTCTTACCTGGATCCTTGCACTGAGCCTGAGAATACGTGCACCCATTTAGATAAGTGACCGAGTCCGACCCACAGAGTAACGCCGGTTCTCCTCCGCAAAGAAATTCATAGCACGGGGACTGCTGAGCTCGTAAGGATACACTTTCCTGTTCAAGAAATATGATACCTTTTTAAATTTCTATTGCCACGATGGATATTTTGAATAATGAATCATCAATATTTTTACCCCCGTTCCAAGCAGAATAAGTACAAGTAAAAATTGTACTTTTCTGAATACCATTTTTTTAAAGCCGAGCACAAACGCTGGTGAAAAGGTGCAATATTATCGTCTCAATTTGAATGTAATAATGGTATGGTTGGCCATTTCTACACCGAGTTTTATACCAAACGGAATCCTAATTAGTTGCAAATTCTATTTCACTTTTCCATCGCAATTCTATAGTGCAACACATGTATGCATGTTCTGGTTTTGGTCATCCTAATGCATAATTCGGATTTCACTTTTATTGTTGCAGTTTTATACTGCTTCTCATCTAAATTTATACGCATTGTTGTTTATTCGTATTTTTACGACGTGGACTTGGTCCAAATGTCTCTTAATGCTAATTTCACAGAATTCTAGGATGAATAACCAACGAATGAAACAACAATTTTATTTAAAAATATCGGCAACTGTCATATTTATTTAGAACAAATGGAGAAACTAAATTTCTACGAAATAACTTATCCATAAAGTAGTAACAATATGCTCTCGAGACCATTTAGCAATGCGTGAAAGAAGAAATCACATCATTCAGTCCGATCTCTTTCAGTGCAAAATGTCCAGGACTTCCAGGGACCATTTTAATACATTTTTTGCATTCTCTCTCCCTGCAGACTTTGACGCAACGGTGATGCGTTTGCAATGAGGAAGCTTCGTCATCAAACACCTTTGGCAGATTGTAGCATCTTGGTCCAACTTCTTGGTGATATTTTTTCCCTGCATAATAATTAAAACTTTATTAAGGAAGTAATTACCAGACAATTTTATGAAGGTGTTTAAACACTACTCACCTTGGTGGTTTTCATGCTCAAACAAAGTCAAATGAGCCCACCCGTGTTCTGCAGCAGGTGTTTGAAAATGAGCCGCACTAACCCCTATACGACATAGTGTTCCAACCCATGCGATTATTACCAGTGTAATTACAGATTGATGTACACTACGAATTAATTCCATCTGTGCTATTCAAATAATCAAAAACGGTGGATAAAATTCTGGAGTAACTGAACGACGTGAAAATTGAAACACCAAGTCACGACGACTAAGCACTATCTCGTTCTCTGATAACTATCAAAAGGGCACTGCCATCGGAAACATTCCCATTTAAACGTTACGTGTTGCTGTGAAGTACTGTGAAGACAAATGCACGTGTGGCACAATGTACAATCCTATGAGAGAAGAAGGCACATTTTCAAATATCATTCATTCATGTCTTGCATTGCTTCTCTTATTGATTTCATGCGGAAGTTGCGTCCTTCCGCTTTCCGCAAGCAAAAAGTCGCAAAAGAGAATGTCAACATAATCACTCTTGCAAATTGCTAAAAATCAATTTTATGAGGTAGTCGTACATTCAACGTAGCATTGATAAATATATTTATGAACCAGAACCTCTCGTTTTCTTTTGCGTGCCTGACATTCAATTTCTATGTATTAATGCTTACTGTAGGTTGGGAGAATTGATTAGGTTTGATCCTTCCTTGTGGTTTGGTTACGAAACGTGTTGGAAATCTAATTTGGAATATTCTCTCGAGACTGTATGGCTACAATTGATTTTTATTTTATACCATATTGAAGTATTTATCCTGCTTTTGCTCAATTAAGTTTGTTTAGATACTTCTTAAATACTTCTGTAATTTCAAGTGACGTTTTCACACTCATGTTTAATGACTCCCGAAAAAAAAAGATGACAAAAAATCAGCAACAACCCCATGTACACGTACGTGGGATAAAAGTAATTAATGAGCATACATTCTTGACGTCAGTAGTATAAGAAAAGTTTGTAAAGCAGAATGGTGAAGACCCAAACCCAACTTTTTCAAGTCTTTCAGTCAGGTTTGCTACTGCTGCCTTGTTCCTGAAAAGTAAAATGCAAATTTCATTTATAACGCAAATCATCATTCATCATACAAGTCATAAAAGCGGGAATAGCATACCAAGACAAACCCCACACAAGATCAACCCCATCGTCTGTGACGAGTATCATGCACATCAAATTTTACGACAATTTGCATTACTTAAAACTCGCATTTTCATCACGTTGACCGAAGCATCCTTACTCTTGTCAGAAATTACCTCGACTCCCATTACGTAGATGTAGATCTATAGATGTACATATATGTACATACTTACATATGTACGTATGTACGTATGCGGTGTCCTGGTCGTCATTTGACCAGCACTTTCTCGCTAATTATTTTCAGATCCGGGAACTCGTACTTGGCTACAGAAACAAAGGTCGGTAGTTTCCCAATCCCTCCTAAATAAATACTTTTAGTGAGGTCCCCGTACACCGAGTCGGTATTAGTATAGTCTCCATATTAGTCTCCAAATCCACACTATCATAACCAAGATTTATTCTTTGGAGGATGGTACGCTGGACTGATGCCTATCTAAAGTGAATATTTCAAATAGAAAATGCAAATAATAAAAGACAAAATTCATGAAGATCAATGTATGCAAACTTGTTTAAATTACTTGATGAACGATGTCCATGTACTTATGTATTTGTCTAAATAATTTAAAAGATCTTGCGTTTATTTAAAAAAATGATTCGATGTGTCATTATCCAAATTGATGGAAACGAGAAGGAAGATGAATCAGCACAACTATTATTATTGATAACGAATGTTGATAACTCCATAGGTCGGGTTTCATACATGGCTGTATATTTTGAGTCTGCACTGTGTGTTTTAAATAGCACGTACAGATAATGCTGTACAGTGTTTGAATATTTTGAGACTGTTGATCATTAGAGAAACATTACAAAAACTGAAAATTGCACCAGCCTACCCGGTTTGCATGCATTTCACTTGAAAATTCCCAGAATCAAGTGCAAACGTAGAACGTCAAGGCATAGAACAAGGTAAACAGTTTTTGAGTAAAAAAGACTAACTGAATTTCTTAAAAAAAACTCACATTTGCACTAATCATGCAAAGAAATGAATAATGATTCCATGGTCGTCGGTACATTGATTACAGATCATAATCTCTGCATGTGGCAAATGTGGAAACGGGAACTTTTGTTGCAACAGGATTGACACGCCTGGACCAAGATGATGAGTTGAGGGTTGGTCAGCATTGACGCAAATTATGGATTTTCCAGTTGAACTGAACAATTCGTTTGGCAAAGGAAATTTGTGAATGAAAGTCGCCTTTTTGGTGAAGTGCGAATTATTAATTCAAGAAGCAAAGAAAGAAATTATTTGAATACGGTGGATCAATCCATTTTGAACGAGAATGTAATGTTACATAGATATTCAGACCCCAGAAAGCATTAGAGGATTTCATACGCTAAACATAATTGTCTATGTGTTTGCATTATACGTATCCTCACGTGGGCCAATTTACATAATTAATGCAAAAATGCCGACCAAACTTATTTGATCGCACCTTGGATTCGAAGCGAAACAATTGTCAACAACCTTTGCGTTACGAAAAAGGTTAAGCGCTATCCGCTGAAACCGTGCCATTCCACGTTCAGACCAAGATTAAGTGTTAATTCGTTTTCCTGTGTAGATAAGTGGAATCTACCATCAACAGAGATTTAGCAGGACTTTCTGAGGTCTTGGCCACCGATAGTGTTGTCTTAATTAATGTTAATACAGTGTGAAAAGTGGCTTAAATTCAGCGTAATGTCAATATAATTATACGCATTTTAGTGACCACAAGCTGAGGGTTATATATTCTGTTACTGCTAATTGTTTAGCTCAACTTATTTACCTGTTTGACGAGTAGGAAAAGGGGAATATTATTAATTTTCCCTAAAACCAGCCCAACCAGTCAATTAAATGTTCAGCCCATACAACTACATACATATGTACATACATATATACATATATTCACTGTATATAAGTGAATAGAGGAACATATTTCCTTCTATGCACTTACATAAATGTTCCACTATTGCATGATAAGCGTTCTTCAATCTATATTACACTAAAGCCAAACACTTTGTCTTACATAACAATAATAAATACATTTGTAGATTGCAAACCAATCATGTTTAACTTTTAATACTAAAAATAATGGTGTAAATAAATTATTAAATATATGAAAAATTTGATAAAAAACTACTTTTAAACGCTCAGTATAATTAATTAATGGACATTTGTTGAGTTGTAAGCCAACGCATGCAAAAACGCGTGACACAAGTCACAAGTGGGCATGGAACGATTTAGTCCTCCAGGAGTCAGTCGGCTCAGCATTCTCCAAATTTCTTAAGGACAAGTCGATATTCTAGAATGACAGGAAAAAAACGACCATTGTATAATCCTCTTCTTGTTATCTAACAAATATAATCTTTCCTGCCTTGCACCCAGTCGAGAGCAACAACACGCTTTATGAATGCATGTATATTATTCTGATTTTAGGTACACACAACACACCCTCGCAAAGCAGTCTAAAGATTGCTTACTTTGATACAAATCCGTGGCGTGTTTTGCTTTACAATGGAGAACGCATCTGTTGTGGTACGTATGATTGTCTGATCTGCAATTGCCATCTTAAAAATTTATCCAGAGTAGTGTTTGCATATAGTGTTTAATATATTGAAGGCTTACGCGCAGACAGGGGCAAAAATCAGAGGACCTACATAAATACATAAATGACGTATAATTAGCAAATTATAAGAAGATCTCCATTTCGTGGATATGTGGAAGATTTCACCCACAGTTACACGCGATCCCAAGATGCTTTTCAGATTTTATCCCGTCCGTTTCATCCGCCAAACAAAGATACCTCTACACACACACGAGGAGAATACTTGCGTGTGAATAATGTCTGGAAAAATGCATGCTCTCAAATGCGCATTAAATATAACTTACATAGTTAATTTTGTGTTTTGTACGATGCTTCGAAATGTCAAGCGTTGACTGGTTAAAGTTTTGTACAGGAGTGGAGGATACGACAAGTGTCAGAAATCCCCCAAAAATCAGAAGCAGTACTTTGATGAAAGACATGACGAATAAATTTATTTATGTATCGTTGGGTGTACTTAATAAGATTAAGATGTAGTATTTTGTAGTATAAATTGACAACTAATTAAAAATTTGTATGCAAGAGATTCAATAGTACTTTGTCCTTATTCACAGGATAAGTGTATAATGCATGCACCGTTAAAATGTTGCTGGTTTTTATACTCTCTGGAGCTTTAGTCATCCACTCCAACCAAACAAAAGCCGATGGCCACCATGCTCCATATGCATTGATTATCTTATCTCAGCTCAATTATGGAATTTGGCTTCCAAGTAATTGGCAGTGATTCCCTAAATAACTTGTGCGGTTTGTCGGAAATTCTGATGCATTTACATTCGGATGAAGTAAGTGTGAACCTTTCAAGAATTCCTCCATGCGTTGGACGTCTGTTTATTTTGATGAAGAAAGGTGCTAATGCTAAGGAGGAAGAACCCATTAGATCACGTCACCCGCACCCCCGACGCATACATTATCCTACGAGATCTTGTTGCTCTTGTCCAATGTTGCAAATATGTACGGTCAGTGATTGTCAGTGGATACATTCACACTCGACTAGATGTCCGAATCAGTGAGATGGCCATGGATCAAAAATGAATTCGGTGGAATCCGATATCAGCATGATAAACTCCGAAATTAAGTGAAAAAGGTGGAAAGTGACGCATTCGTCAAATACATATTTTGCTGTGCTGTGTGAACTGTGTGAATATATGAACTTTGGTTCAACTTGAGCCAAAATGACTCATTGCTGATGTACTTGTGTACATATGTAGTTTCATGATTATTTTTCAGAGTAAGGGCTGAGCTTTATGTATATAAACAAGGTATTAATAGTCTGACTAATAATACAGTTCAGTATTCGCACATTTTTTAACGATTTGCAATTATGCGTCTCTTCTCAGTTTGATTTACACAAAATGTGTCAAAGATTGCTATGTACAAAGTTTTATTACGTGTTTTATTCATTATGAAAAATAAACTATTGTAATGGTAAGCAAGATCACAAAAATTCGCTGTTACAGTTTGAATTTCAGTTATCCATTCGAATTCAAAAGTTTCCGAGGCGTCTTTTCGTGACATCCGCCTCCCTGCGTCCAATGCATTCCTTGAGGACACGGAGACTTCTGCACTCGAGGTCCAGAGTAGAGGGACTGATAATTTACGCCATCGAGCTCCTCAACAGCCGCCAGTCCCGGTGTCGGTGGTTCGTTGGTTCTGCTGGAAGGTCGTCTGGTGGACTGTTGCCCGTCCCAGAGAAGTCGATTATTATTATTATTATTTCTCTGTCCGGAAAATAGTCCTTGAAATAATTGAACCAGCGTCTGGTACAGAAGAACGTTTTGTTCCGTTGTAAGAAAATCGTTAGTGTTCGAGTTTTGCGTTTGCAGTAGTTGAGGACTGCGATTGCTGTAGTTGTTAATATTAGAAGAAGCTGAAGGAAATGGGAGCGGTATATTAAAATTAAATGGAATTCCAACTTGTGGCGTGGGAATATTAGGCCGATGTTTGTTGTAGCGGTCAGAAAACCCACGGTTGTAGGTACTATAAGTCTCAATGTTAGACGATGCGGAGGGGAATATTATTCCGTCTTCGATGGAAGGGGTCACGGAGCGAGTTTCGGGACGATAAAACTTGGCAAATTGTTGTTTTTCTAAGAATGGAAGGAAATGTAAAATTATTATCAAAGCTATTTTGACAGCATCTTAGGTTAGGAAAGTTGGCAAATGCTTAAAGTCGTCGTATAATTATTTAAGCTGCATACCTTCAACGCGCTTCAGGTCCTTCCAAAATGAACGTTTGTTGCTACTTGGATGAACTTCTTCACTCTTGAGCATCAATTTGTAATCTGCATGCTCCTCATCTCGTCCTTCGTTCCCACCATTCTCCACGGACTGAACTAAATTGTCTATCACGTTTGCATCCGATTGCACTTCAGTTTTAGAATCTGCATCGTCTCCGGAGTCAAGGACAGGAAATGCACGTACACAGCCAATCAATATGATTAGTAATGTGAGCACAGAGTAAAGATGAGGTTGCTGCATTTTATAAATTCCGTTCTTGCTGCGACGTTTGTTTTACTTAACAATTAACAGATCAGATACTGGGCTTGGATGTAGAACAAAAAATTTACTGTAAATTTTGGGCGTCGCTGGATAGGTTTGGTTGACTTTGTTGAACTTGTATGTTTGTTCATGAGAAATGTGTGTAAGTTTTATTGCATAAATTTTGCAGGTGTTGAATTCCTCATGTTTCACTCGCGACTGAGAAACTTGTGGACCAGCTTTTGGTATGTAAGTAAACTTCTGAACCGTATCATTGAGATCTCGTTAGTAGATTTGTTACACAATCCTCCTGTTTAGCTCTGTTATTAAGAGTGACCATCATTCGTGCCACAAACTGCAGGCATTATTTCACAGAGATAAGGTTATGGCTATGCATACCAGTAAGGAAAAAAGTGGTAGATACATGTACTGATTCCATTTATCTAGCAAAATAGGGAACCCTCACTAGTTGTGCAAAGTCCACATACTTACCTACATTCAGATGTAAATAGGTATGCATCGTCTACTGCACAGCTATAAAATTGCTTTGCACTTGCCTACCTTTTGCATAAATGAGTTGTTCAAGCAAAGGAGTTGGACCTCTGGAAAGAGTCAAACATTTCTTAGTTTGATACAGCTCATTCAAAGATTGTCTACCCCAATTCTAGGCATATTTTAGGCATCAGGTAACAAGACGGACATGATAAGTTGGATGTGTATGCCCCATTATATCATACGTATTTATTTGATGATGTTATACTTGTTTCATTTGCCAGGTTTGCATGTCCTAAACGAAGCTGGAAATTTATTTGGTCGTCCATATTCATCTGTTTGATGTGCGTGATACTTCGATCTTTTATATTTAATGATTCAGGCCCAGCTTTTGGGACAACTATCATTATTAAACAAATGAATCATTGGCAAGTTCAGTTAATGCTCATGGTGCACTCAGGTTCTTAGTTCTAATTTTTTCTATTGACGTAGGTGAACTAAACCAACAACGACGGGATTATATGCGATTTTTAGTAAAAAGTTGAAAAATCAAGGTAATAATTACCATAATGAAAGATTACTAGTTTTGATGGGAATCCTCCGATAGACGGACAGATTATACGATTGAATATCGTTAGGCACGCAGCTCATTAATTGTGGTTCCAGTAAATTGTGAGGTTTGATTTCAAGATTTTTGTAATGCCAGGTGTGAAGTTGGGGCACCCATTAAAATGTTGGTGCACCTATAAATTGACCAATTTTAAAACTTTTTGCAGGTCATCTGCACTGTTTAATGAATTAAGCTGCACAATATTAATTAATACGTGCATTATGCATGTGTCTGTGTCTGTATTTACCAGAAATCAAACTATTTGATAATGACATATGCAAAATATGTATGGATATCAATAAAATGTAAATGAATTTTGTCGTCCCGATGCAATTGGACAATCAAAATATTCATTTTTGCAGTGGAAGTTGACAGCTTTAATTATTGGACCGTAAAGTAAATAATTGCATCACATCACATGACGTTTGCACATGCTTATGTTACATAAGTTATGTACATTAATGCGTTTCATGTAATTATTTAAAAATATTGGTTGCTAAAAACAATTAGGCTGGAAAATTTCATTGAGTTACGTATACAAAATGTTAAAAATAATTAAAAATACCTATATTTTCTCGTGCCAACTTGATAAAAATATCGCTGAATTATTATTCACACGCCACAAGCCTCGTCAGGTAATTAACCGTGGGACCATGGGATGGGATTAAACAAATTCTGGTTATTGTTATGTATGACGACGATTGCATCATAATGATGGCATTAACATTTCCGAAAGGGGGAATGGAGTTACTCGTTAATTGTGATTAATTGATTTTGACAAATATTTCCTTGTCAGCATGAGTCGACTACTGTTTTAGATGGATTAATGTCAAACCAAAAAAATATAGTGACGATTCATTCATTGATCTAGATTCACTTTGGGGTATGTACATATATTTACCATTCACAAATCACTCATAAAACGGAACAAGACCTCACCTAAATTTATTAAAAGGGTCACAATGTCAAATTATGATTCTGGAACATGTGTACCTCATCCCAATCGCATATTTTTTTATGTACATACACAAAATATCATCAAGGTTAATTCAAATTCTTGTGATCGGTACATAATACACATGTCCTGCTATCTATATAAAGCAATTAGTTCAAAGCAAACAACCTGTTTGGTCGCAGAGTGTGAGATATAAGTTGCATTATCGCCAAAAAAACAGTCGATACTTCCGTGAAAGAAAATGGTGAAAATGCTTCAAGTACCTTATTTTTGCTGCATAGTTTTCCTTTGCAGCATCTTGGCGGACACGGAAGGAGTCAAGTATAAGGCAAAATTAAGTCCAAATTACACACTGGTCTGGGAAACGGTAGATAATGAATTCATCAATTTCGCTGCGCTTGTGAAAACGACCGGTTGGGTTGGTCTGGGCTTGAATACCAAACCCAAGATGGATGGTGCAGACCTGGTCATTTCAGGAGTGAAGAATGACACGCGGCCTTATCTCTTTGTAAGTAACGCCAAAGTGACAAAATAATTCTCCATATTTCTTGCACAGTGCGTTTTTATGCTTGTTCTAAGACGTAAGATAACAACACGAATATGATTGTTATATGGGCAACAGGCATATCACGGTATTGGGCATCACCTTATTGAAGAAGAAACGTCACATTGGGACATTGGTTATGGACGAGTATTTGAAGATTGGAATGCAACCGTGACATTAGTAAACATGATCAGACCACTGGACTCTAATCATAAGGATGGAATAAACATTGAGGTAAATATTATGATTGGGATGTCAATCCTGATTTCTCTTATCACAGAAAAATGCACTGTATTGTGTATTATTTTATAATGCAGGACAAAGACATGTATCTCTTATGGTCTTACGGTTTGGATGATGACGTTAGCAAAAAACACGTTGAAAGAGGAGTCATCCGAGTTAATTTTATCAGTCCTAGCAGTAGCAACAACAACCCAGATAATATCGGTATTTTGTAAATTCGGTGAATTAGCGTATGGTGTGACGCATGAAATTGAGATTGCCAATTTATTTTGTGAAATATACATTCTTGATGAATTTAAGTAATGTGCACATATATATTCATTCAGTTTTCGCTGCTTATAAACATATGCAATAAATACATATATCCAAAATAAATTAAATTAAGGGGACACAAATAGCTCGTACATTAATCCGGGATGCTCGATAGACAATCGTTGGAATTCTGCGGACTGCGTCACCAGTTTCGTCTTGTTTCTGAAATGCATAAATATGCAAATTCGGGTATGTCTACATACGGGCTATATTTTTCGAGGCAAGCGTTGCATGCAGACTTACGCCTTCATTATCGCCAAAGCACGTCTAACTATTTTACTTGAGCCCACTTCATGTCCAACGGTGTACATTTGGATGGCATTTTCCGTCTTAATTCTTGGCAATAAATATCTCTCACACAATTTCTTTAGTTCGGGGAGCTCGTATTTATGTGCGGCGAGAATCAGTTTATCCGCCATTTTTTCATACGAGACCATCCCAGTGTAAATGTATCGAAGCAATTCTTCAGCCACTTCAGCACTCAGAGATTCGCCAAGGTTTAATTCCGTCAGATAGCGATTTATACTGGTTCCATTGCTGTTGCCAAATAATATTTCGTTTGTACTTTCTACCAAATCTGTCGAATTGTAGAGCATCGCAGAAAATACTGGACTACTTGCTGTGAAAATAACAATAAATCAATAAACCGTAGTCAAAAATAGCTAAAATATCATTGTCTTTTAGTTTAGTGAGAACTAAGAAGTTAAATAATTAGCATTACTTGATAAAATTATTCGATGTGCGGTGAACAGTTGGTCTCCATCTCCCACTTTGACTTTAAGGATCACGTCTGAATATTTGACATCGTGAAGCATGCTATTTGCATGTTTCACATAGGGTGGAATGCCATATTTCCAAACTGCATGGGTTTTTGGCGATGACGACTCTCCATCTCTCACCAGCCCTTCTGACTCCTCCGAGAAAGTGGTCTTCAGCAAATGCTGGCAATTTTCCGAGCCCGTGAAAACAGGGTCAGTTGGGAAATATGCGATGATTTTGAACCTCAAAGTTACATCTTCACTTTCTTTCTTGAACGTAAGTCGACCATCCTCACCAATGAAGGACTCGTCTTCTTCTAGCTCACCGTTTTGTCTGGATGAATCTGGAAGTCTGGAGGAGGTGGAAAGTTTTAAAATACTTTCGATAGTAGATCCTAAACTTGGCCAGGTGAAAGTATGCACGTATTCCAGGTAGCTGGAATACCCACGTCGATTATAAAGTCTTTGTTGCATGACCATGGCATTTGTGGACTTTTGAATTGGAAGAACAATTTCCTTCTTGTTGTGAATTAGGGACAATTTGACGTAGAAATGCAGTTTTTTGGGCTGTTTGGCCTCGTAGGAATATGTGCTGGACACAATAATATCTTCAGAAGGAGTATTGCCAGGTGTAATGACTTTGATAATCTTGAAGTACCTAGTTTAATAACATTAAACGACATTAACTTATTACGATTTTTAAATTCGGGAATCAAATTTTACCATTTTCCATCCACAATGTCTGATTTGAAATTAATTTCTTCCGTTTTAACTTCGAAAACTTGCTCAAACTTCTTCATAAAAATATAATAATCGAGAAATCCTTTGAGATCCCAATTATAGTCCAACGATTCTTTACTTAAATTAAGCTGATAAATATTTTATTAGTTAAACTGTATGATGAGTAATTGTAGTTAATTGATTACGTGTCCACCTGAGTATGGCTGCAACGGGTCAAGTTGACAAAATGATGTCCAAGGAGACTTTCAGAGGCATCACCACTTTCACCTTGAGGCAGGCTCTTTCGTGTCCCATTTTCCACGCCCACAACGTTTTGTCCGAATTTGAAGAGCAAAATGAGACAAAGCAAGTATTTGAAAGTCATGTTGTGCTTCTTTAGTTTGAACTCGTCAATTACAAAATAAACTACAAAAAATTGTGCGTATTGACACAATTAGAAAAGTTGGTGCGAGTTTCATGGTTCAGTTATTCCTAAATTCCAAATAGCTTGGCTTGTGAGAGGCGTCGTAATTGTTATTTTGGCAACAGAGATTAGTCGTGGAGTATATGCATGTGTGTATGCATTTACTTAATTGCCGTCGTCCATGGCTTTATGAATACCACGTTGATGATAACCTTTCACCCGACCTCATTTATTCGGACCAACGAAACTAAATGTATACATAAATCTTTAGAGTTAAAACTCTTTAACTTTAGCCATTGTATATTTTAGGAATTTTTGTAGAATCAACGCCTGTGCACGTAGTGTCACAAAGAAGGCATTCGAATTTTGAATAGGAATCTTTATTCGACAAATAGGTTGATGCACAGGTACAAGTACAACATCATTACTTCAAAAAAGTGACAATGAATGAACGTTGTACTTATCGAATTGACAAAAAGATGTACAACAATGCAGTGGATATACAGTTGCACTGTGATTTAATTGATGCATTAAAACATGTCGCATGTGGTTCATTAACACAAGGATCACTGACATCGAAACAGTGATGGGCGTTGAGACCATGTTACGTTTAGTTTAAATTCACGGTTGACTTTAAAATAATAGATCTTATTGCGCAATTTCTTCATTTATGCAGGAGACCAATTGAACTCGAAGGTTGGTAGCGGTAAGTTAAGACGTATGTATATAAATGACAAGCTGTCAGAGTTCCGGGAATCATTTTAGGCGCAGTATACTGAAGGAGGGGAGCAATTTTTGATATCTGTAAATTTTTACATTTCTCAAAGCTGGATCGAAATGCTTGAAAAAATCAGGGTTTGGCTGAATACTGCTTTTTACTAAACTTGAACACTTACTAAAATATAAATTTCGTATCACTTTTCTAGATCATGACATTTGTTGCCATTTTTTCAATGCTGTTTACTGGACATGATGTACAAGCAGGATACCTCCTCAGTGGATACGGTGGAGGGCACTCTCGGAGTGTTTACGGTGGGGGCCATGGTGGGGGTGGATACAGTGGTGGTCTTATTGGGGGTGGATACGGTGGGGGACATGGTGGGGGTGGCCATGGGGGTGGATACAGTGGGGGTCTTATTTACGGTGGGGGACATGGTGGGGGTGGCCATGGAGGTAAGAAGATAAACGAATGACTCATTGATATAATAAATTTTGCAATTTTACAATTGTCAAACCAGGAGGCGGATATGGTGGGGGTGGACATTGCCCCTGTGGATAAAAATTGGATTCAGTATCAACAACTTCCCTGTTCTTAGAATATCGAGTAATAATATTATTGGACACTCTAAGGTATTATTTAAAACGCCAATGGTTATATTTTGAGTTTACAATTGAAAGTTAACAAATTGCTGATAACTGTAAAATGAATAATATAACAATTTCAACGAAATGTAACATAAATAACGGGTCCGAATTTAGAAACTTTGATTTTTTCTGATAATTAAAGGGTAGTCTTGTTTCGATATGCATAAATTATACAAGTTATTTCCTGTCACTCAACGAATACAACATTGCATGAAATTCAACAATCTTTCCATAATGTGAACAAGAAGGACTACTTCTATATACTGGACAGTCGTTGACTCCTACAAAAGAAACAATGTTGTTTAAATCTAAACTCGACTTACTATTACCGAACAAAGAGAGAAACGGTGAAACAAGATATTCACTAGGGTCAGTCAGCATTTTTTTCGCATATTCATTATCAAAACAGAGATTAAACATCTCTGAGCTCTGGAAATGTTGGAGAGTAGGATTAGTTGCCATCCGTCGACATGCCACTTCACGATATGTTGGGGCAGGCGTTTTTAGTCGTCTGCTAGGACGATTTAAATCAGACTTTAGAGAAGTTGTCACTGAAAAAAAATAATAGTGAACTCTATACACCGGTGCAACCATGATTTTAGAGTAAAATACAATATAATTAATAAATATACCATATACCTTGACAATGTACAATAAATGTATTCAGCGTCACAAATATGTCAATAACTTCTGAACAGATATCAGAAGAATTCAAAAAACTTGTTCTGATGAAGGTATTGAGATCTACAGTTTGTACTTGGAATAGTTGAGTATCGTTCGAATCAAATATCGACCAATGTGCTGCAAAACATCATTCCGTTTAATTATAAGTGCATCGTGATTGTAGCGTAATTGTTTAAATGAGATTTAGTGTATTACCTGAAGTATCTGTAAGTATTTTAATTATCACAAGACTTTGGCACAAGTACATCTTCGTAAGTCGCATATTGCGCATTGTTACAGCGTTCACACAAGTATTTTCAGATACTGCAATTAAATGCAAAAAAATTACAAATTGAACTTAATTTTGCATGATATTGAGTATGTTTTTTTGTGTATGTACTATTTACCTTGAATATCGTTTTCTTTCATCCGCCATATTCCTAGATTCCCGGTTGTGAACAAGGTACACACCTATTACAAAATTATTCCATGTCATTTCATTAATAGTTGGTATGTGTAACTCCAAGAAACAATCTTTATAACAATATTTACCATATTATCCAACATGACCAAATCACAACTCCACAAAGGAAGAAATATTCTTCGAATGTTTTCCAGCACCACAGTCTTGTTGGAATGGTTAACTACTTTGACTCGAAATAGAATTAAAGCTCTCGTTGTCTCCTGACAAACAATTTTATCGTTGAAAACACTGAAAACACAACAGAAGTTAATGCAAGCTCCTAATTATCTCTCGAGTTAGACTATGTTGACAAACCTGACAGCAGTATGAGTATTATTATCTATCCAAACATTGCTCAAAGTTGTCGACCCCAATACTGACGTCGCATATTTGGTTCGATAATCGTCGTTTTCTCCACTTTGAAGGCAATGCATGTGGTAAAATTCGATTTTTTCAGGCATTTGTACTAAAACCAACTGGTGACATGCCATTATGTGTAGGCTTCTAATAAAGCATAGGTTTTGTGGGTGATGACAATCACATCCTCTCTCGTTGCGTACTTGCACTAGAAAATTTAGCACCTCATCTCTGTAATTCATTTTACAATGGTAAATTAATATATGGCTATGTCATTTTCATGGTACTTTGTCTACTATTTTACCCTAAATGCTTCTTTCCAATTTCGAAACCTTTGTGCAAAAAAGCTTTCTCATAAATCTCCAACAACTTTTGATTGTCATCCTGCGCCTCAGGTGAAAGCTGATTGCGAATCTCATTCATGTGCTGGGAATTGGTAACAAAATAATCCAGCATCTTCGTAGTTCGTTTTTCCAAAGCTTTTGCAGCAATGTCGTGCCATAGAAGACACACATTAGATACCACAAGGTCCAGGGTAGATGCATCCAAAAATCCGAAAATAATTTCCGTTATTTCAGGTGGGAGCAAATTCATCATACTGGAGTTTCGCCAACTTCGCCATCCGGGAGTTGAAATATCACATATCAATTATCAGTCAATTCACCAGTCAGAGACACTCCCAATAGCAATCAATCCACGGTTATGCTTCCTGAATTATAAAAACATTAATTACAAATTGTAATTAAGTTAAGCATGCAAAATTATAATTTATAAGAATTTGCAGTACTTACACATTATGAGGATCTGAATCTGATGCAAATTTGTAAACCTGAAAGCATGTGAATTTTTGCGAATGTAAATACAGTCGATTCAATTCAATCTTCTAATCTAAGTTCTTACGCCTTTCGTCTCACCGCGAGCGACTGAGAGTTCCTCGCATTCGTTTTACCCTCCAACTTCAACTCATTTCGCCGAGTGAGAGACGAAATTTTATGCCAACGACATAAAAATAAACGACTCGCTGGATCTTCACGTTTTTTTTAAATTTTACACGCAAATTAATTATTCGTGGATTTGACGTGTAACAATGGAGCAAGGTATTGCCGGAAAACCTCAAAGGGTGCCTAAAGTGGCAAAGGTAAATTTAGCACATGATTCATGAGTAATTAGTGATTTTAGTATCAAATTAGTGGGTACTGTAATTTAAATTGTCTGTTTTTTGTATTGAAGGTGAAGAACAAGGCGCCTGCTGAGATCCAAATCACTGCTGAACAGTTGTTACGTGAGGCGAAGGAACGAGATTTGGAAATTGTGCCGCCTCCCCCAAAGCAGAAAATCTCTGATCCTGAAGAATTAGCGGACTATCGACTTAGAAAAAGGAAAGGGTTTGAAGATAGCATCCGGAAAAATCGGTAATTAATTATAACGTCCGCTTGAATATTGTAATCAATCAGAAATCATATTAAATTTATAAAACTAACTTTATTTTTTAATGGTGAAGAGGTCAGATTGGAAATTGGCTTAAATATTCAAAGTGGGAGGAGTCTCAAAATGAAATTCAGCGAGCAAGGAGTGTGTACGAGCGAGCATTGGATGTTGATCATAGAAATGTCACACTTTGGCTTCGATATGCGGAGATGGAAATGCGAAATCGTCAAGTAAGTCAATGTCTGATTAAATTTGATTGTACAATGTACACTGAAATATGTTTTTTTAAATTTATTTCGGGTTATAGGTTAATCATGCAAGAAATTTGTGGGATCGGGCCATCACTATTATGCCAAGAGTCAGTCAGTTTTGGTACAAATATACTTACATGGAGGAAATGCTCGGCAACATTGCTGGTAATATATTTACATAACCGACTAAAATCGGCGAATATATTTTAATTTGACATATTAACATGCTTATTTAATGTGCAGGATGTCGCCAAGTTTTTGAAAGATGGATGGAATGGCATCCAGATGAACAAGCATGGCAAACGTACATTAATTTTGAACTTCGATACAAGGAAATTGACAGAGCGCGACAAATTTATGAAACATTTGTGTTTACTCATCCGGACATCAAGCATTGGATCAAATATGCACGATTCGAAGAGAAGCATGGTTTTATTCGATCTGCGCGAAAAGTGTATGAGAGAGCTGTTGAGTTTTACGGAGAAGATTACATGGACGAGAGGCTGTTTATAGCATTTGCCAAATTCGAAGAAAATCAGAGAGAGGTAGGTCACTCATTTCCTTTTGGATATTGAAGATCCTCTCTCATGTTGGTGTAACCAAACTATTTTCAATTCAATATTCAATTTATTAGCATTTGATATGGCCATGAGCCCTCATCAATAGAAATTACAGAGCTAGATATGTAAATGTAAATAAAGTAAAGTAGTCAGAGGAATAGTGGGAAAACCTGGCTATGGTGTAGAGCCAGGAAAACCACTATCACCTCTGGGAATGTGGCCCAGAGGTCCATTCGGCTCTGACTACATCACCCAGGCAGGACAAATGAGTGATAGGGATCATAGGCAGATTCCGCGAGGAACTGCTGATATCCAAATGAGGACGGCGTCGTGACGGCGGAAGCAAGGTGAGTGAAGGTTGTTGGGCGGGGCGTCCACGGACCACGAAATACCTTAGCGCCCTCACGGGCACGGGCTACGTGTCCCCTTCACGGTCACACAGTGTGACCAGGGCCGAGCGACACTACCCACTTGCCCCTTCACCCCTCACAGCACAACCGGGCCATGGGACCCCCGTAGGCCCGACTACACTGCCCACCGCCATGCACGACCCCGTCCCCACTCTTCTACCAACCGCCCCCACGGTCACCACCCCGATATACCAAACAATGACCTACCTGGGGGGAGTCCTCCATGGCGTAGATCCTCCCGTGCACTTGGTCCGGCGAATCCATCTTCGCCTGATGGCTCGGCTTGTCGTTGCTGGGACGGGTGTGGCAGGGGGTGTCACCAGGCACGCAGTTGGGGGGTGTGAGTGGACGAGGCTCACAGGGCGAAAAGCCTGGGACACACTTCACTTGCCCTGGCACACCCGCGACCCAGATGGAAGAGAGAGAATCCAGTTGCAGAGCGAGAGAGACACGTCGTGCACGGTTGGAAGCCAAAGAGGATCTCTGTGTAACCAAACTAATTAGCTCTTTGTATTTAATTTTGCAGCATGAAAGAACGCGTGTTATTTACAAGTATGCTTTGGAACACATTCCAAAGGAGCGATCTCAAGATTTATACAAGGCCTACACTATCCATGAAAAGAAGTATGGCGACCGTGCTGGGATTGAAAACGTGATTACTTCCAAACGAAAGTTTCAGTACGAAGAAGCATTGAAAGATAACCAGTACGACTATGACACTTGGTTCGATTACTTGAAACTTTTGGAAACTGCACCTGAAATTGATGCTGACGTCGTACGTGACACCTACGAAAGAGCAATAGCTCAGATTCCTCCAGCGAAAGAGAAAACCTATTGGAGACGATATATTTATATTTGGATAAATTATGCACTGTTCGAAGGTAAGAATTCTCCACCGAACTCATACACAGTGCACACAACATAACAAAATCAAATGATGAGTAATGTACATTATTATTAACATTTAATTTTTATATCCTAGAATTGGAAGCTGGTGACGTAGAACGGACAAGAAGCGTGTACAAAGGATGCCTTGAACTTATCCCTCACAAAATATTTACGTTTGCAAAAGTTTGGTTGCTGTATGCTCAATTTGAGATTCGTCAAAAGAACTTGGTTCATGCTCGAAAAACATTGGTATGACGGCTTTTAATCTTGTTTTTGTTTTAAATCTCAAAAACTATGTCTCAATAATAATTGTGATACTAATCATTACTTTTAACTTACTGAATTTTTAGGGAATGGCAGTCGGGATGTGTCCAAAGGACAAGTTGTTCCGGGGATATATCGACTTGGAAATTCAACTGCGAGAATTCGATCGATGCCGAATCCTTTATCAAAAGTTTCTTGAATTTGGACCAGAGAATTGTACCACGTGGATGAAGTTTGCCGAACTTGAATGTCTTTTAGGAGATGTAGAACGAGCGCGAGCCATTTATGGAATTGCTGTAACTCAGCCTAGACTGGACATGCCTGAAATATTATGGAAAACCTACATTGACTTTGAAATTGAACAAGGCGAGACTGATAGGGCCCGAGAGTTGTATTACCAGTTGCTTCAAAGAACTCAACACGTCAAGGTTTGGTTGAGTTTATCTCATTTTGAAATGGGAGTTGGGGATGAAAATTCTACAAGTCGGGCAAGAAAGGTATTTGAGAAGGCCAACGACAAACTCAGAGATACAGCAGAAAAAGAAGAACGATTGATGCTGCTTGAGGCATGGAAGGCATTCGAGTACGAGCACGGAAATCTGGAAAGTCAGACCAAAATTGAGGAAAGGATGCCTCGCAAAATTAAGAAAAGGAGGAAGATTGAAACAACGGATGGCGTAAGTTTTTTTGTCTTCCCATATTGTTAGCATCATATTGTATTATTGTGATGATAATATTGTTGAATAATATCAATCAATCAGTGTTGGCTATTATACATTATATTAACTAATTATATCATTTGCTAATTTTTTATATGTGCAGTCCGAAGCTGGTTGGGAGGAATACTTTGACTACATATTTCCAGAAGATGAAGCGGCGAAGCCTAATCTCAAGTTGCTGGCAATGGCTAAAATGTGGAAGAAGAAAAAAGATTTTCTACCTGAACCTGAAGCAGCAGAAATTCATAAAACCCTAGATAATATTACATCCGCCGCAGAAAATCCTCCGCAAGACCATCCAGAAGACGTAGAAATTAAATTCGAATCCATGTCACCTACTCAGCCGAACGAAATACAAGAAATAACAAACAATCCCGACGAAATCGACATTGACTCCGCACAGGACATGGTGCAGCAGCCCGATGTAGCTAGCGAAGAAGCGGAAGCCAGTCCTCCAAATGTACCCACATCTACTACTTCTTCTTCCTCTGTTCAAAAGAGAAAGGCTGAAGAACCACTGGATCGAGATGATAGCAGCTCCAGTTCAAGTAGCGGAAGTGGCAGTTCCAGTAGTTCCAGTAGCAGTGAAAGCGACGACGAAAGCAAGACCAAGAAAAAACGCGTTGCAAAAACGAAAGATGGTTCCAAGCAAAAAAGAAGTAAAAGTAGTAGCAGTAGCTCAAGCAGCAGCAGCAGTAGTTCAAGCTCGAGTTCTTCCAGTGATTCGGATGAAAAGTGAAATTTATCATTTATTTTTATTCAATAAAATTAAATAACAAAAGTTCATAAAAGTATAACTAAAAAAATTATAAATGTCTAGTTTTAAATGACGCAACAAAAGTTGTGTCATATGATTGAGTTACATATTATTTTTACTCAACTAACACAATGTTATGTAGTATATGTAACATGTTTGTAAGTACTTTCAGACAAATGGTCCATTATCATATCGTTTATATAGATTTTATCTGTATCCATTACACAATTTTTATAATAAGTAAATCTCAGACATTAAATTATTGTTGTCAAAGTTTCGTTACGTTGAAATAAAAATTATTCAAACTTGCCAACCTGTTGAATTTGTATCGTAAAGTATAAATACCCATTCACTTCACTGTAGCGAGTGCACTTATTGCATAATCGAATCAAATTTTCTGTACTTTTTACTTTCTAGCAACAGTCTCACGTAGAGATAAAAAGTAATGAGTGACCCAGAGTTTGAAATGGAGGTGGACGAGTTGTGTCATTTGGACACAAATCGGGAACCAACTGAGAAAGAAATGTACGACATTTACTGCTGGATTGACCATTTGGAGTTCTCACGATCGAAGAAGAACATATCTCGAGATTTTTCTGATGGAGGTATCACTTTCCCAGCATTATTAAATCTCTTACATTGACTGAAAACAGTTTGGATTTTTTGCATGCAGTGTTGATGGCAGAGCTAATCTCAAAATATCTGCCGAGGTCTGTTGAGTTGGGAAGCTATTACATGGCCCTGTCCAAGAAGAACAAGGTCAACAACTGGGAACATCTCAATGCAAAAGTTTTCAATAAGCTTGGATACAAAGTTGATAAGCAGAAAATGAATGACATCATGGAAAGCAAAGCTGGAGCTATCGAGAAGGTGATCTACAGCAATACAGCAATCGCAAATTATGAAAAATTACTTTTTATATTCATTGAAAAAACTTTCAAATGCCTGTAATTATGCAACAGGTTCTTTTCGAACTCCGTCCCCTCATTGCTCGAAAAAACAGATCCATTCTGAACTACCGTATCGGTCAGAAGCCACAAGTCCCAGACGTTATACTGAAGCCACCTGCAATACCGATGGCCATGACTCAGGCTGCTGAAATCAAACGGAGACCGAGGTCAGTTCAAGTGACCCAGAACGTTCCAAAAACGGCACATAATCCAAAGCCTAAAATCCAAACAGTAACAAAGCCCACTCATGTTGAGCCACAAGAAGTTTCTGCCTTAAAACAAGATGCCAAGAGTTTCAATTCCATTGAACAGGTTCTTCCCAGCGACATCAAACTTATCACTCTAGAACCCATTCCGAATCTCGCAACCAAATCCTGTGAGGGAGACTTGTCTAGAAAAGTTGGGAAATCACCCCATTCCAGACGCAATTCGAAGTCTCCTTCGCTCTCCAGGAGTGACTCCAGGAAATATGCAAAGGGGAAGAGATCAATGGAGAAGGTAACTTCATGTTTAAAAATATATATGTATGCATACAAGAGATAGCGATCTCATACTCCTGAAATGAAATCCTGGATTTAATTCGTATCGCATACAATGATTTATGCAGCACGAGGTTGAACACGTGGCAGAAGTAGAATTCCAAATTGAGGCCGAGACGTTTCCAAATGAGGAAGGTCCGAAAGTACCTTCAAAATCTCAAAAAGACGCCTGGAGCTCATCCCCACCCACTACGCCCTATGGTTTTGAAGTATTTGGTGAGCAAGTCGTACTCTCTGGCAATGCAACGAGTTCAACCGAGGAGCTGGTGAAGGAAGGTGAACGAAAACTGGAAGGGATACCAGGAGTTCATCTTGGCTTCTACGGTCTCGTTTAGTTGTAAAAATAATCATTCACAAAAATGATCTATAAATCAAGAATAACTTTCATCGTGCTAAATAAAACAATTTATATCTTATTTGTATAGTTTATTGTAATTTTTTATATGCTCAGGAATAAGTTACTACAATGTTTTTGTAGTGACTGATGATATATAATCTAGAAATGCACTCACACGCGTAAATCCAACTGGATACGCTTTCTGACAAGAATTTCCACCAAATGATACAATTCCTAGTTGCATAAAAAAGGGTTGTCCAGATTCCGTCGTTTGTTTCACTACCAAAGGACCTGAACAATGAAGTTTAACATGTGTTGAGTGATAGGTTAGCCAACATGAATATGCAACAGTAAGCATGCTTACCACCACTGTCCCCACGACATGGTGACGCGTCGAATGTCGTCCCGATGCAAATCAAATTTCCTGTCACAATGCTTCTGAAAAAGCGTCTGCATTGTCCATTGGCGATCACATTGGCCGTCGTGTTTTTTAATATTGGACTGATTCCGGGTGCAGAATCAAAGGGTTTGCCCCAGCCAGACACGCGGACTTCCTCTCCGACTGAAATATTTATAATACACGATAATCAGCTTCATTTTATGCATTTGACGTATCCCTCTTAAAGCAATGTTCTAATTTCAGAGAGTGACTTGTGGTGGGGGACAAAATGATTGTGTATAGTTACCAAAGGTATTTTCTACGTAGTATCTGTTCGGCAGACAAATTGGTCGGATGTTATCTAAAAATTAATCAAATACGTTATTATATGATGCATGTTTATGCATTGTTGCATTTCATGATTCTTTGCGAAACTTACCAGTATAGTTAACTTTCTCTGGAAGTTTAATTACGGTAATGTCGTGCGTTATTGTGTTTGGGTTATAATCCGGATGTTGAAAAATATTTTCTCGCGTAATATTGAATGTCAATCGCTTCTCTGTTTTGCTCTTGATGTCCAAAGCCCCCAACAGCACAGTGATTCGTTTCGCTCTTTTCGTAATTTCAACATCAATTATCAAAACATCATCAATTGGACTTATTTTCATGTCATTGTTTGAAATAATACCCGTCCGTGCAATGAGCCTATGAAATTATATAAAAATGTGCATTTTTATATTTTGTTGATTTTGTACAAATCGAGTATTTATACTATTGGGTCTTACCGCTGTTAATACGTGCTAATAGTCGTCGGTTAGGGTGTTGATGCCTGGACCCCCAAACGTTTATCGTCCACAAGGCAAATTTTTTATTGCATATTTTATGACCAAAAAGGGAAATCTCATGTTGCCTCAACTATGTATCTCACTTGAAAAATGTAATTTTGCACTAAAGTCTTAAAATTAGCAGTTACCACTACCGTTGACACTGGTAGTTTCGTATCGCTTTTTTAGATTAATAATTTATGATAGAGCCAACTGTTAGTGACAATTACTAATTTTAATTCTTCAGGGAAAATGAGATTTTGTCTCCTCGTCATGAAATAAACAATATACAAAAAATTGCCTTTGTACACGAAAAACTTTTGAGGGTCCAAAGTATCTACACCCTAACCTGATTGTCAATTAAACTTCCTCCACAAAAACTTCGGCCATCCTAGAACAAGAAATTATATTAATGTCAAAATAAAGTGTTAACTTGGTCAGATGATTTCAAGATCATACAATTAGCATGGCTGCCATCCATGGAAAACTTCCTCTAGAAGCGAAATCAGGACCAATGATATGATCATCCGTTTGTGGTATCGTTGTGGTTTCGACTGTGGCCTCCGTGGTGGTTGTGACCACTCCAGGCAACGCTGGGAGTGGCGGAATTACCACCACTGGACTTTGTGACCCAAGAATTGTAGACTGTCCGCATACATCTGCATAATTGCAAGGAAGATTTCATAAACAAGTTACACGAAAGGTCAATTAATGGGAATAAAATATTTTCATGAAATAATTTAGAACTGACTGTCATAAGGGGACGGAGCAAGTTTTTCAACATTCCCATCCATTGACTTCACCTGTATGCACGAAATTGAAAGAATGAGTCAAGTCACTACTAGTATATTCCAAATAATTGTTGCGAATTCCTTAAATGCATAATAATGCTACCAAATAGTGAATTTTCATTCCTCTAAAGTTGAAAAGCGTGGACGACCGGAACCTGATCCCCAACTTGTTCAATTCCGAAGAAATTGTCAATGGAGTTTTGGTATTCATATCGCCTGCCATTCTAAATAACAAAAGCAACATACATCAAGTTTTACAAATAACTGACGTCAGAATGTTAAATTAAGTGTGTGTACACTACATACCTATCCACTTTTGAAAAATTGCCATCCCTGGTAATCATTACGTAGTCAAAGTACGTAAAGAACCAGGGCTGTGTGTACAGGTCGAATATGGTTGCTTCAATTTTCGTGTTTGGAGGACTCTTTGAAAATGAAATAGCGTCATTTTATTTTAAATTTTGTCATTAAAAGATGCTACAATTCCACAATTGAATAGAATTATTACCTCCAAATACCACTGACATGATGAGCGTCCTGGATAATTTCTAGGGTAGTTTGGCGTCTTTATAACTCCATAATCACCCAGTTGTAAATCAGTCTTGTTTTCACTGCAATCTAAATTTGAAAATGTTGCTCTAATTTTGAATTAGTAGACACATTTGGACGAACTACGCTTATGTAAATCCTACCGGCGAAAGGTGTAAATGTTCCAGTAAAATTTGTATAAGCTTCAAACTTCAATTGTTCGCTTTCCTGTCCAAAGACCTCAGGAACCTTGAAGGTGGGATGGATTGGGGTGGCTGCTAAAAAGTCGTCCGTCAAGTCCCCTCGCACCTAAACATTTTTGAGTTATTTTAGCTGCCGAGAAACGTGAAAACTGACAAGAAGGGAGACTCGAATAAAGACTTCACAGGAGTAATTAATTTATGATAAGGAAATGCAATGCTGATTGAACCCACCGGTGGGGAGGCTCCAAGGAGGAGAGAAAGAACAAGTAGTTGAGACCACATCCTGAGAAGCATCATCAGTAACGACTACTACAGTTTGCCTACAAGAACTTTGTCACTTATGGGTGATCAATTGTTGAGTAAGATTGCTCATAAAAATTCAATTAGTTCATTGACATTGTGTTGTGTCGCATACACATGCTCACCAAATACCTCGTATTTCAGTAAATTGTGGAAAAAATGGGAACCTTGACCCGTTCAAATTAACATACAATTCAAGTTGAACAGATGCACAGAAAGGGACCAAATACGTCACTGTAATTCCTCAAAATATACGTAATCCTCACAAACGCCTAACTTATCGCTTCCAACGTTGATTGGTTATTAAGATAACTTGAAATTTAGGTCACAGCAAGTTTTAAATTAAATGTACCAAATGCAAATGAATTATTGGGATGTGTATGAAGCAAAAATTCAGGTGAACGGAATTTATTTGTACGTCATAATCATGTTTTTATTATTCTTATAATTTAGTCGCATCCACATAAAAGTTTCTATTGTTGTCTCGTCCTTAATCTAAATAGATTTCCCCGTGATGGTGGACAAATAGTCGATAAACGCAGATATTCTGGTGTATCCAACCTTTAAAAAGCACAGAGAATAATATTAAAAACATGCTGACGAGTGGATGTTGACTAGTATGAGTTGTTAATTACCGGATAAGCCCGTTCGCAGGAGGTTCCGCCAAATGAGACGATTCCAACTTGCATGTAGTACGGGGTCCCATCCGGAGACTGCTGCCTAATGATAAGGGGCCCACCGCTATCTCCCTAAAATCAAAAGTCCAAGCAAAATAATGTGATAAAGTAATCCCTTAAAAAATAGGTCATTACGTATTCAATCATACCCGGCAAGGAGCGACGGTTGTTTTCGTGGCCGTGCACACGTTCTACAAAAGATGCAAAATTATTAGGCTTTGTATCTTTGAATTGGAAGGAAATAAAATTTAGCATATTGTTGCGTCATAAACTTACATTTCCGGAAATGATGTGACGGAATATGGCTCTGCACTGTCTATTCGACATGACCGCAATAGTAACATTTTTCAAAACTGGGCTGACTGAAACGGCCTCTGTTCAATTACATACACAAGGATTTTGATTGAGCTGTAGGACGCAAATTTTTCATTGGTATGGAATGACTGATCTTACTATCGGCTGGCTTTCCCCATCCGGAAACTCGAACCAATTGACTTTGGAATGTCTCAGCATTGTGGTATCGGTTTGGAAGACAAATTGGTCGGACTTTTTCTAAAATGGGAAATTACAAATGTGATCATCATTCAAGCAAATTTTAATCCTTATAAATATTAATGTACCAGTGAATTCAACACGTTCTGGGAGTCGGATCACGGCAATATCATAAGCAACCGTGCTCGGATTATATTTTGGATGTTGGAAAATTCCTTCTCGAGTGACATTGAAGAGAAGTCTTCCTTCGTCTGGCGTTTTGAGATTGTTTGTCCCAAGAACGACGTTTATTTTGGTAGCCCTGCCAAATGTTTTAAACATTACAGACGTATGTATGCATTATTACCACTTTGAACGAATTTAAGTTTCTTACCCATCTGTGCAATGAGCCTGAAATTTATGCCACACATATTAGCTCAAATTAGTGGTTTAGCAAAATAACTCAAACAATTATTGTCACTTAATTATTTTCTCACCGCGGTCAACACGTGGTAGTTATCGATTAGACTGCCCCCACAAAAACTCCTGCCGTCAATCAACAGAGCAGCCATCCAGGGGAATGCACCTTAAAAACATGTATAGACGTCGATGATTTAAACCTCTGCTAGTGACCTGACTATGATTTTATATATAACTTTAAACCTGCGGGAGCTTGACCGGGACCAATAATCTTGGGATTGCCTGATTCCTGGTTTGTTTGTCCTTCAGCCCTGTTTAGTTAGAACCAGTGCGATTAATTTGCACGCACAAATATTTTTGTGGAGCAAGTACCCGTTTAAATTAAGTATGGGAACTTACACACTGCCAAAAACTGGAATGTGAACGGTTAAAGATGGTGGCAACCTGTCACGAAATTTTAATTCTTCATACTGCCAATAAACTTTAGAAGTGAAATATTATCAAAACCCACCAGGCAGGACCACGATGGGTGGTAGCCTCTCCCAAGACGTGTCTGATTGCGGAAGGCGTTGTTGATCTTCCAGGAGCTAAAATTGGAAGTTCTGGAACCACTCCAGGCAACAGCGGTCTCTGAGTTGTTTCGTCATCCTCGAATAAGAGCTGGGATTGACCACAAACGCCTACAAATTGCAATAATACAACCAATGAATATTTGTAATTTGGTGGAAATGCATTAATTGTCTACTGCACCATCGTATGAAGAAATCCGTATTTCATCCAATTTTGCAGGGTCAGTTGGCTTAACCTGGAGTTATTTCCAAATTAATAAATGATGGTGAAAGTATTTATTTCTTCAGATAGTCATCAGTGGTTACCAGATAGTGCAATTTCAATCCTCGGAAATTGAAAAGAGTTGACGACCTGAATCGCACTCCCAATTTGTTTTCTTGCGACGCGATTGTGAATGGTGTTCTGGCATTCAAGTCTCCCGACATTCTATGAACATGCATCGTACAACAAAGTAGCGTTAGTTCAGTTTTGTCCTCACAATTTCCGCTTTAAAGTTAGGAAAATTAAAATTTTCAGGAAAATTAAAATAAGTAATAACCGTTCAGCATTTGTAAAGTTTCCATCCGTGGAGAACTGAACATAGTCAAAGTAGGTGAAGAACCACGGCTGATTTTGGTGCGTATAAAATATAAATACAGATTATTTTACCTAATTAACAATTATTTTGCATAAATTGTATTTTTAAATTTAAACCTGAGTGAATAGATCAAAAACGGTCACTTCGATTCGGGTGTCTTCCTCGCTCTAAAGAATCATTAAAAATTGAACGAGTTGAGAAAATGTGTAGATGGTTATTAAATAAAATATTTGACTTTGCCAACCTCCAAGTACCATTGGCATGATCGACCTCCAGGATAATTATCTGGATAGTTTGGCGTTGTAATTGTACCGTAATCTCCAGCCTTTAAATCCGTCTTGTTGAAGCTACAATCTGCACGATAAATAGTAATTCTAACAATTAGCAGTGTTTTAACGTCTTATAAAAATATGAGTATAATATGTACCACTGCTGCCTCGAGAAGGAAGAAAATGAGACAAATCTTCATACAATTCTACTTTTGAGGGATTAATTTCTTCATCAATTTTGACCACATCTGGAGGCTTGATTTGAGGAAATAGTGGCTTGGCTTTTAGCAACGCTTCGAAAACGTAGTCATCATTCCCAGCCTGTGATTTCATTTATTTTCAGAATAAAATATTAGATGCACTGTGAGAATTATGTATACTTACATTTGAGAATGGAAATGCTGCAAAACAGCAAAAAAGGGCAATTTGAAACAGCATTGCTTCAAAAGTTGGTACAAAAAATATTCCAGAACAATCTCGATCACCAGCAGACCAAATGTGACCCCAGATAGCCTCTGCTAAGAAGCTAGCTCATCTCGTCCAATTAACAAAATTAACAAGGGGATATCGATCATTGTTCCCATAAATCGGTTTAATGAACCCACGCTAGACATGAGTTCAATTCATCGGCAATAGGATATAAACACATTACTAATGCGTCTCATTATCAAATTGCTTGGATTTGCACACAATGTGATATTACTAATGTCATTACTAACTTTTTCTTATTCGCTTGGGTTTTCGAGTAAAGTGTCCCGAGTTGCAAAAAAATATGTATATAATAGATGTGAGGACTAGAGGATGAGTTTGCAGATTGACGAAAGTAGTTAATACATGAATATGGAAGGCATTACAACAATAATATGAAATTGTTGTCAGTGTCATCGTTTATTTTTTCAAATCATTTTTGACTGTCAAGATTTTGATGTCAACAAAACGGAGACGACTTTATTACTTATTATACACTGAGATTTCTTTGGGAGTAACCGCTTTTTATCACATATTAACAGGGAACAAAGGGAGGCATAAATGCAGAATAATTAAATAAACAATCTGGTGATTAAAACTCGGTTTGCTGCTGGCAGCTGTCGTAGGTACGTACACCTGTCAATTATTCTTATGAGGACAACCGGTCAACGGTGGGTGATGGTTAATTACGGAATTTTGAATGCTGCAAAGTATGTCAATCTGCAAAAAAAGTGCTGGTTGATCCAATTTCATTTTGATTATTTGACGTGAGAAATAAATAAATATGAGGCCTTCTTCTTCAATCTCACTTCTTATGTAGGAAACGTTTCGTCATGTTTAATTCACAATGGTCAGCGCTGCGTCTGTGTAGCAATGTCAAGGTTGTCCCGCAAACATACATATCGTTAGTTAATTTATATACAGACCGACGATTTGCTACTTCATATGAAAGAATGTGCCGCATTTTGTTGTAATTTGTGCTTCTTTCAAGTTACGATAAAAATGAAAGATGACTTTAAAATCGTGATTCACACCAGTCCTGAAATTGGTTTAGCAAACAGGTGGATATCATAATGTGGCCACACACTTTTTGTGCTACATCCTTGTGAACTGCGTGTGTCTACTGTCTGATTCATATATGGTACATATTCCGACTTTTAAAATGAGATCACTAAAAAATTCCAAGGATTTCATTCAAAATATGCTGCATGATGAATTTGCCCCAATAAAGTTGCATAAATTAATGAAAATATGTAGATATACACAGCAAATCTAACATTTTATTAGAGCGTTTGAAATTGCACAATAATATTGTTTGATAAATCTAATAATAAGTACTTAAATAAATTTAAATAAGTCATTATTCCTACTTTTCTATTCAAATCATCATGCATTGGAATGTTGTTGGTGGAAATGTTGGATGGAAATTCTGGAATTGAGGTTGCAACAAGTCCTCAAAACTTTTGACCCAGCCCAAACCAAAAGTTTTGAAAACTCGTTGTCCCAAACGTTGCCATTATGCGTGATCGTTAGTATTCATCACTAGAAATACGACCAGAAGTGTCTGGAAAAATGACGAGTCGATCCATCAAAGAGTTTTCAGGTGCCAAGATTTGGGCATCTGGTTTGACACCAATTCGAACATGTTTTCTCTGACCTGTTGGACGACCAAGTCCGAAACGACGTGGAATCCACCGATCCAAAGGATTTTGGAACATGGTTGTGGCGTGTTCTTTAGTATGCGACCCGTCCATCGCTACAGTTGATCTGCTGTGCCCACTTACGTTTTGCTGCTCGTCTTTTTTGTGACAATTGTCATCAATCGTACAGGTGTCTATGAAGGAAAGATGTGATGGGTTAACATCATGAGACGATGTTGGGGAATGTGAGACTTTCTCATAATTTTTGCTCAATTTCACCTGAAGAACAGCAAACACCCAGAGTAGCACATTGTCCATTGATGGGATTGGTGGCATCGTTTCCTGAACATGATTCCCCTGGATTTTGGCATGGGGTGTTGTACATGAGATTTTCTTGGAAACAAGTCAGCGTCTCACTTGTCCCAAACAAGCAGCCAAGTTCCGAGGAACAACAAATGTGTGGTCCATAACAGAGACCGTTCATTCCTGGAGGTCCACATTGCTCGCACTGCAGTTTCAATTTAATTTACCAGTAAAATAGTATTTGAAAATCATCATGATTATCAGTAAATAAGCTATGATATTTATATACCTGTCTTATTTTGGTGTCTGCTCCAGATCGCTTACCACCTGGTAATGTGGGCAATGTGAGATTTTTTAATTGCTTGTTCCTTTACCCTCATTAGCGACAGTTTCTTACCTGGAGGACAGTTGGTGATGAAACAGCCAGAAACTAGAAGGGACTCGACCATTACAATTCCAAAAGCAAAAAGTAAAGACGTTTTCATTTTGAGACTTTCTATCTATACTTTGTTTCAATATTTTTCCTATGGGCAATTTATTTTATATGTAAATATGTCGTTCAAATGTATGTAAATTCGTGGTTAGTAAATATTAATTCATCTTAGTTTTTAAATTATTGAAGAATCTAAACGAAGCGTGCACAGAAAATGCGTAGAGTTGGTTGGACGCCAAAGTGGACCTCCCTGGATGAAGTGTAAGTGGTCCAGCGTCTTATAAAGAACTGAGACTATCCACCTTCCATCTTTTATCCTGGCTAAATTTGAGACGGCATGGCACCACTGGCAGAGGATGTGGTTCATCTTTTATGATCAAAGCCAAGACAGGATGATGATACGTGACATCGATATCTGCTCTGACTCCTCTCGGATACTTGCTCAGATCTCAAGGGTTGAGGTGAGATAAAGGTGTCAAATTTTTCTTCCCCCGAAATAATGCACGAGCGAATTCCCTTGATGTCTTGCTTCTCGTATCTCCATCGTATGAAAGCACGTATGTAAAAGTACACGACGATGACGCTCCGCAAGTTGCCAACAAGAATTGCGCCTTGTGCGAATGATCAAGGAAGCCCACGCCACTTCTAAAAAAACTCTAAATTGGTTATGCTATACTGTGTCTCAAAATACTGGGAAACGATGTTATCATCGTTATATTCGTGTTCAGTCCAATCAGGATCAACACCCACCAACGATTCTCAAGTTATCACCCACCTGTTGTGTAGTGGTTATGCAAATGTCTCCTTAATGGCACCCGGCATGGATCTTACAAATTGATGATCCTTCACGTGGAATGATCCAAATTTGTGTAATATGAAACGAAATTTTGATTATGGTAATTTAACAAGGGAATAATGCTGCCGTGTTGAGCAATGATTTTGCACAAATGCTTATGTATGAATAAATAAGGTCAGTATTATATTCTCATTATTCTTATATTTTATTAGGATGCGTTAAGTTTCACACATTTTCCTTGCTTTTACTTCATCAATGAAGTCAATTTTGACTTTACTGACCCAACGAGTGGACATATGTATTCTATTTGTGTATTTGTAGATACCACACTGCCCAAACTAAACTAATTTTTTTAAGTCTTTGCATAGATAGTTTTACATATAACCATTCTTTTCTTATTATCATTGCATACACATTACACAAATTATACCCAACTGCTAAATAAATATGTATACTGCTGCATGGACAACTTTCACTAGTCGTGTGTATAGCTTGTTAATGGTATCTTGATTTTTGTGGTCATTATAATTAGACATCTTTTTATTGTAATGAGTATTCAATTTCTGTTTTAGTGACCTCTATTTCATTTTCATTTGTGAAGTATTAGACAATCCTTTCCAATAAACTTTGCCAACTGTGACAAATTCATTGAAATAAATACTTTGACATTCAGACCTGATTTTTTCCCTTGATCTCGCTAGTTCAATCTCACTAGTGAGTGGTGGAATTTGGGTTGAAAAATAACAAAACGTGCGAATTGTGAATGATTTGGCTTTTGCCAAAAATACAATCGAGTCAACAGCCGCTGAGCTACTTTTGCATCTAGGTATGCGTAAGTTGTGGATGACGTATTACCAAAGGTCGACTTAATCCTCAATGAATAAAGTTATGCTTCTGCTGGTCTTATGCACAACCAAGTCCGGTAAATCACCGAATCCCCGTGTGCCCACTTCTTGCCCACGGATACAGATGTACGCCTCTGCATTGTTAAAGTTTTTGAAGCTTCTTCTTTCTTACATAAATCCCCCTCAGCATTCAACCCTTTGCTTGCGCGAGTCAATGAGAATATTGTACATGATCTTTGCATTTTCAGCGAAATGTGATGGCCCTGCTAATGCACAAAAAGTTTTGGGTTAATCCGTGTCTGGGTTTCGGATGAGTTGACTTGTTGTTGACTGTGAATATTATGTATTTGATACTGCATAAGCCATATAGATCTTTATAAATTTTGGTAAGGTTGCAGGTTTTAAATTGCAATAGAAATGTATATATAGAGTTAATGCCATCTTAAGCATTAAAGTTGCATTTTACACTTGTCTTTTAGCGTGCAAATTTTAATATTGTGTGATTATATGTAGATTAGCGAGCTAGTCAATACACCTGCCAGAAAAATAAGAGAAAACTAGACAAGATCTTTTATGCAGTGCTCATCTGACTAGTAGGAATGAAAATGAAGATTGCCATTTGTTTTTCTTGACATTGACAATGTCCCCCTTCTTCCATACATAGCTTCGGATGAGAGGAATTCATAACCGAGGCAATGGGACAGCCTCGCAAAAACAAAAGTCCAAATGGGCGGACATGTCACCGTCACAGTCATTCAACTGAACAATCAAGTAAAATATTCAAGCTCAAATACAGATGTACTTCAACGCAATGTGAGTGAATTCGTACACATGTGACAAATAAATGTAGGACAGGTTCATTAAAGAAGGCCGCAGTTTTGATTTATTTGCATTCGGATAGGATTTCTCTGACACGGAATACAGCTTATGATTACCACGTCCATTTTACAAGATTCACTAATTAGACATTAAAAGCGAAACACGAAACAACAAGATGCTATCCTTTTCCACTGCCTTCGATTCGTTATGATTCGAGCACACATCGCGTGTCTTTAATACACGAGATGAGAAAGTGGTCACTCCTTCGGTGTTTCAAAATAATGCAAAAAAAATCATTTTCTCACTCTTTAACTTTTTCTAATGAAATTTTACAAGATTAAAATCTACAATGGCATCAAAAAATTAAAGAAGATCAAGTCTTATATACTCTACTAAATACATATTTCCTCGTGACTCTTGCTTATTTACTTCAGCTGTGGGTAAGCAGGTGGCTTGAATTTGATTAAGGCGACATTATTAAGTATTACAAACTGTTAAGTAACGCAGCAGTTTCTATTTGGCAAACTTCAGATTAAGCGAGGTCGACCCTAATGGGGACGTGGGTAAGCCGATTCACTCTCACGATGGGGTTGACCTCGAGGTGGATGAAGAGGTCGACCAAGAAGCAGAGAATATTCTGCTTCATGTAGCCGTGAATGTAGAGAAAGTCTGTGACACAGAGGTGATAAATCGTTTCTGGGAAGAGATCCTCGCACAGCTTCTGGACGAGGGTGTGGTTGCTGATTGAGTCGTAAATGGTCAGCGTCTCCCCAAGTTCAGGCACCGAGATTTCCATTGGAGTCAGGTCATTGGAACAATAAATGGCAAACAGGGAGCAAATCCCAATCCCGTCGCAAAGGTCGCGGATTTCCCCGACTTTGGGGACTTGCAACCATCGGCTCTGCTTTTCTGGAGACTATAAAACGTACACAGAATAATTGTTAATTATTAATTGCTATAACATGAGGACAGAGTAAAATATAGATAAGCATAATATGCATAAATTGTAATACATAAATGCCAATATTAAAGTCAACCCTGGATTCATTTTACAAATATTCCATCAAAAACAATGATTAAATGGCTAAGGTTTATTTGCATTATATTACGTTATGTAATAGCCTTCCAAATAATGCAAAATTAGTTAAGGTCATACGATAAATTGTAATCTCATGAAATTAAGAATAATTAATAACCACTAATTAGTCCCAACTTTATGACGTTGTTCAAGCCAAGTATTAAACCTAACCACAAATACAAAACATGAATTTGTCAGTGTGTGCAAACAAGGATTTTTCATGTACTCTTAATCTATTATTACACCACCACCACCAACAACAATTACCAATTGTGGGTAATTGCCGTTGAGCGGCGTATACAATATATGCACCTCATAAGGGAGAAGGAGGTAGTTGAATAATATGCAAGTAAAATTCCCAAGGCTCAATGATACAGCAGAAAAATGGTATTGTGTGAACAACGGAATGTCAAAAATATTCCCAAAGGATCCGTTGATTACCCCAATTTGAATATTGGTGAAGTGTAATGAAATTAGCGGACCAAATGGCACTAAACCTTCTCAATCTTCATCGCCTGATAAATTGTTGTGATATAGACATCCAAATTAATGGCAAGATTTAACTTGAAGTTGAGATTTATCATGATGAGTGCGTGGCGTAGCAAACGTCATGGAGGAGCCGTGGCAAAGGCCTCGCCTCATTGTCTCTGAATTTATTTGGATAGGGATTCATATGGTGCATGGCTTCATTGCAACAACTTTACAAATTGGGACACGATGTTTTAGTGCTAATTCAGGATTCAAATTTCCAATGAATGAAGGAACAACTTATTCATGTGAGCTATTACTTGGTGCTAAGTTTATTTAAGGAAAATATTACAAAATTCTCCCATTTTATTCCTTTGCAATGAGAGGAAATGAATGACGGTTAGATGATTTGGAAGTGTAAACAGTTTTTTATACTTATTATTTACAATGGGTCCATCTTTTTTCAAATGTTTATGTTCCACTCGGTTTCTCTGCGTCTTTTACACTGTTTTGGACAATTTTGTCACCATTCAGTTTGGACAGATGAGGATAAATTTTTTCATTTTCTTATAGAATAAGAAATTACATAAGAATATTGAAATATTCACTGTCTGCACACATGTCTGTCTGACAATTTGTACAATTCAATTACATGGTCAACAAGTATAGCACCTCAAATGACCACATAAATATGGACACAATTATGCGAATTGAAATGTTAACTCTTCAACGAAAGCATTATCTCGTACATATTTACATATATGCACACCATCAAAAAATTGATTTTGACTAGTTCACACCCCAAATCGTGCCAAGCATGTCGTTTCATTAAAATTTTTTCTGAAATGTATATTAATTAAATTAAATTAAATTAAAAAAGGAGATAACGCTCACCAGTTGATGGTTCCGACTGCTCATGATGTAGCTCTTGAGTGTCATTACGCTACGAAGTATTGCGTACACATGGATCATTAGTACATACATATTTGTCGAATAAGTGAAATCCTTACCTTGCGTTAATCCAAGCAATGACCAGCTTTTCAGGTGACGTCGTTTCTGTAAAGCAATCAAGGGAATTAGCCCCATTCGAGATTCATGTGTCCACACATAAATTTGACACAAACACGAGTTTCACCTGATTTGACAGTGCACCCAAAGGTGAAGAGCGTCGCGATGATGCGTTCTCTGGCAAGAATCTCTTTCGAGTAGAGACACATTATTGCTTCAATGAGGGCAATGTGAGCAGCCTGGTGATTAAGTTACTTTCATGTATTACTTGCACACTTTTTCGATCAAACTGTCAATTTCACAAAAAATGTCTGCATTTGAAGAGGTTCTTACAATTTTGATTGGTTTCTGTCTCAAGGTCCCCTCAGTGAGTTTCATGTCGGACGGTTGTGCAACATAGACGCCACGGCGAGACAGGATTTTGATGATTTCCCAGAGACAAAGTCCATGACCTGGATCTCCATTTGTCGCTCCTAACGTTTCATTGTACAAATTTGCCAATGCAAAACTGTACAACTTTCCACTCACTAGTCCCTTAATCACCTCATCCCGAAGACGGTATTTGATGGGCTTCGACTGCGTATGAGTTGCGACAAAAAGAAAAGACAAAATATTCCGAGAATATCATTAGGTGTGGCTGCCATTGATGGAGTGGGTACATTTGCATAATACAGAAAATATGTATATTCAAACCTTTTTGGATTCCTTGAATGGATCAATTAAATACTCTTTAGGCACATGAATCAGTGCTTTTGTCATTACCCAGCGAATAGAGGCCTGCTTCTTGGCCTGCAGAATAGACAGCGAAAGTGAATTTAGAAAATGAACATCAAAATCACAACAATAAGGGAGCAGCAGAGTAGAAGCCTCAATATTAATATGCATTCATTTTCATATGTACACATTACATGTATGTACATACACCTTGCGAGGTTGTACATATTAGCTCTCTCACTTTCCTCACACATTTGTACTCGCAGTCGTCTTGCCGTCATAATCGTCATTCATTCTTGGTAGAAAACAATGCTTTATTTTTAATACCTCCCACCACGGCGCTTGAAACTCCTTGTGGCGCTTATTGAGCCAAATGAACATGCGTTTTGTGCGATCCACTAGAATTAGAAGAAATAATACTGTAATTCATTTTTCATTTAAGAGTTACCAAATTGAGTCTTCTTGTTCCTGCCCATCAATCCGGTGAAATTTGTTTAAAAGTATAAAAACTGATTTATTAACCTGTCCCATTTGGATTCTCGCTGTTTCGTTTAATTTCTGAAATTTCTGTCCAACATGTCCAACACTCGCCGTTTATGCTCAGCGGATTCTCATTCTTGGCGTTCAGGGAGTAGAGCGATTCTAGGTCGCTCCAACCAGAAAGAAGTGGATCCGCGGCAAGCCAACAATCGGGGTGCCAGTGGGGGCTCCCATTTGTCAACACGTCAATGTCGCCCCCAGCCTCGGAGGAATGATTTGCATGCGCGTTTCTCCTCAAATTTTCATTGTAGCTCTTGTTTCGCAGCTTGGAGTCCATCGACGCATTTTCTTCTTCCGCGATAGTGAACAATCCATTGCTGCATTCACTATTGGAAATAATGGGAGAACATTTACTGCTGTTTCTGGGATTGAGTCGGGATGAAGTGCGAAATGCGACGCTTCTGCTCAATTTCACGGAAGAGGAATGTCCCGAGGATGAACTGGTCGTGGAGACCTTTCGAACGCTTTCACCACTTTTCTCGGATGACGTAGAAATTAAAGAGTTTAGCGTTGGCAGTGGTGGCAATGGTGGGTGACGATCGTTGTGCTTTCCAAAATTACAACTGCTGCACTCACAATACTCTAAAATGAGATTCTTTGACTTTTTCCTACTCGGTTTATTGCTGCTGGCTTTCGACGAAGATGATTTTGAACACCTGCTCGACTTTCTACGCAAGATTAGCTTTGATGGCGCTGATTTTTTACTTACTCCTGCAGACTGTTTCTTTAAAGATTTATTTGACCCGGTTAAAGGTTCAGACTTGCCACAAATTTCAACAGAGTTATTTGGCTTTTGAAACCCTTTCCTTGGTTTATTGAACATTAGGCATTCATTGCAATCAGAGCGGAATACACAAGGAGACGAAACTCCATGACAGTCCAGTTGCTGTTGTTGCTGATTAACGGAATCCATCTGAAGAGAATCCGGACTGGATTGTAATGGAGATGATCCTGAAATTGAGACCGATGTAGATCCAGACCCAGTTCCAGAACCTTTTCCAGAATCTGCAGAGTTATCCGTCGCATCCGACAGTTTTCTCGTAGAATCGTCTTCATGGAGTCGGAAACTTTTGACGACGACAGTTGTCTTATTCTCTGGTCGCCCTGTAGACAAACTTTCTTTTTGGTCACGAAGTTGGCTGAACAATTTATCATTCTCGGAACGGCCAGACCCTGGTCCACCACCACCGATAAGAATCGACAGTTCTCTCAACTGCTGTAAAACTGATCTATTTTTCTCCTTCTCCATACTTGGGCTATTGAAAGTCTCCTCTCCCCCACTGCTGCCACTGCTGCCAGGGTTATTCGTAAGTGTGGGGGATATTTCGGACGAGGAAGATGGAAAGGACTCGTGGTGGTCGCGAAAATCATGCATGTTTTCCCCAGCAGCAGCAACGGTCGATATAATTGGAGGAGAGTGAGTTGAGGATAGTGTCGAGTAATCATCTTCCTTGAGGACGTGGCCACAAGTAAGAAATGTGCTTGAGTAAGCGTCGATTTCAGTGTCCGTATCAGTTCTTATTAGATTATTTAGTAACAACAGCTCTGCTTGTTCGTCTTTGGACAGGCATTCATTTGGCAAGGTTAACGTGACTCTTTTGTTGGCCTTTTGCGGTGGTTTCATTAACTTTTGGTGGTCTTTGTTTGCACCGCTGGCTGATTCAGATGGTTTTGGGGACGTGGACTGTGGTCGAATTATGTTTTCAAGGTTTTCCACGGCTGTACGAATACTCATCTCTCGCTGAGACGCCGAGGGTGGTGAGGGAAACGACTGTGATGGTCGCATCAAACTGTTGTTTCTTTTTGCAATGTTGGCAAACATTTTATCATTGAATTTCAGTTTTGATTTCAGTTTGATCATGGATGGATTCTTGGGTGGCAGTGGCGGTGGGATTACAATGGAGCTTTTGGCTTGTCTCATTTGACCATTTCTTGAAGCAATTGTTACGCAATTCGTCGCTGTGTCATGACTTTGTGTGATTTGAGTTGAAATTGTTTCACTTTTATTAATACTCGTAATTGTCACATTTGGAGACTGGGGTTGAGTGGGAGTAGTGACTTCACTGCTGCTGTTGCAACTGCTGCTCCCCGAACTGAGGGAGGAAGGACTAGAAATTGGCTGAAGGTGTGCCTTCCCCCCATCGTCCCTGTGTCTTCCATCATTGAACATGACGGAATCAAAGCTCTCCAGCAGACTGTCATTGTCTGGATCACCTTTGTCCCCAGCTGTGGGGAAATTCATTTCCCCCTCTGCTATCATTTCACGTTCCTCTTGTGACTCCTCCACCAATTTGGATAAATCAGGATCGAATTCTAACGACGCGTTCAGCACAGCTGCGGATTTACTTCTTGGGAGTGACTCCATCGGAACGTAGACCATTGTTAACTTTGCTAAAGACGATATCGTTGATCCGATGCTGTTGTTTTTGTTCTTTGGATTGCCACAAATGTTTCTCAAATCATAAATTGCAGATTCTGTATCATTTGACACTTTAGATGCTTCAGAGCGAGTATATTTGTGCTCACCCTCACGATCGTTATTTTCAATTGGACCATGTCTCATATTATTCAATCCTTTGTCATTCTTGAATAACCCAAGCTCCTCAGCATCACAATGTGTGTCATACTCTTCATCATGCATCACCTGATACTGTTGCTGTCGGTGATACTGCTGATGATGGATGAGGGGTGTGGTCGTCGATAACTTTAAAATTCCAAGATTTATTGCTGGATTTGCAAAAATCTGTTCCGATTTGGCCGGAGGTGGGTTTCTACTCCCTCCGACAAGCTTCCCGTGAACCGTAACATTGCCAACGTCATCATTTTTAGTCATTTTATCCTTTCTACTAGTTGGCAAAGGTTTGGGTTTATGCTGTTGCTTTTTCATATTATTACTGCGTTCATCATTTTCACTGCTTTCTACTTCCTCCTCTGGACTGCTGCAGTAGGTTTTCGTACTTGGGAAGGAATCCTGGTCTCGCTCCATCATCACATTGTAACCTCCATCGTCACCCTCAAAATCGCCTTCTCGCTCCGCAAATCTGTCCGAGGTAATTGGTGGAATCAACAGGGTTAGTGGTTGACTCAGAGTTTCACCAACGGTGGAAAGTGTAGAAAGGGTCATGTGAGACCCAGAATTATGGGATCCACCCAACAGGTACGAAGTGGACCCATAGCTCGTCTTATTACTCGAACTTCTCTGACTGGATCTGGAGGATGGCGTAGGTTGGGAATGATGAGCAAGAAAAAACGACTTTTGCGAACTTCCCCCGCTGCTGGACTTCCTTGCGTAGTTGTAAATGTAATTATTGCCGGATGAGCCCGTAGTGTGACTGGAAGATGATGACATGGACACCTTTTTGTAATTGAGCCTACCATTCTGTGGAGGAGGATGTGGAGCATTATTTGTTCTATTATGACTATTTCTCTGTTGAAGGTTGTTACTGATGCAGTATGAATTTTGTTTTCTACTTGCTGTCACCAAAATGTCACTCTTGTCCGCACCACCTCCACCCCCATCGCTTCCGTCGCAATACTTGGTCTCTGGCAAACTTGAGATTGCTTTCTCCTTTTCGGCCAATGCAATCCTTGGCCCCCAATTGGAGATTGGTTGAGCTGTAGATTTGCTCTTCTTTTTTCCTGTCATCAGCTTTATTTTTCGGGTATACATTTCCTATTCGTCCACAACGACTGATGATTTTGTTCAACATTCGTTATTTTTTTATTGCCACGAGTTAAATGGAAGAACTTGGTGAAATTTGAGAAAAACGATCTGTACGAAAATAATGATCTCTGCCATTATTTGACCAGTTTTTATTTCTCTCTGAAGGATTTTTTCCGATGCCCTTTCGATTTGAAGTTTACTTCGTACAAAGGAATGTGTATTTCACAAATAACATCACCACGCCTGCTGCTGCTGCATCCGTCCTTACAAATTGAGAGTGAAATTCAACTCTTCTTTCACCTCATATTACTGTATTGGCAGTATCTCACCCTACAAATTCAAACCATAACAATGTTACTCTTCATTTTTAGCATCTCTAGAAAAATATTTTATTTTTATTTCAAGTAATGATGTTGAAAGACAAAAATAGAAATAGCTGCAGCATGAAAATTCCTTTCCATTCGTGTCATTTTCAAACTTAATTAGCATAGAATACGACGATTCAAATGGCGAATGAAGGATGAAGATAAATCTCTTGAAGAGGATACAAATTTGCATTGAATTTTAATCCAGTGCAGCATAAAGTTCCCACTCTTCATTTTGTTTTCATTGTCACCCACAATGAAAGACGTTCGGAGAGATAAAAGTTGATAAAACACTTCACTCCTCAGTCAGTCAGTCAGTCCCATTTATCCGTCGGAGATTTGTACAGTATTGTTGCGATGTCTCTCGTAATGAACAGTGTGGTATTTAGCCACGTTCTTTTTGTGCACCATTGTGTTACAATAATGGGAATAATAAGAGACTCGATTTTATCGCTGGGATGACATTGCTGATTGTTGGAGGTGATTGTTGAACATGTAGTTCTCGTAACTGCTCCTGTTCTTGAATCAAGTGGAGCTTCTTCCTCCCGTCGTTAACGTATTAATAATAACAAGAAAGAAAAGGCAAAACGCACAGCATCCTCTTCCTAGCCTACATTTTTGCATAGCACAATAACAACAATTTGTAATCTGCCACTACCAATAAGAACGATACGCCACGCCGCAGTGTTCTTCTTGTCTGCGAGAGTAATCACCACGCGAGGTCGAGTAGGTATGCATCTTATTCTCAGGTGATTATTAATCGCCGTCTCAAACGCCTCCAACCCAAAAGCGACATTATTTTCAGTGTTACAATTTATTTATTGTACGAGTGTCTACTACTACGCTCCTTATTGTGTTTATTATTGTTACCAATAAATAGCTCGGTATGCAAAGGAACAAAGTTGAAAAAGGGAAAAAAATGTTTGCATTCAAATAAAACTTTCTTTCTCGTTGTATTGAAATTAGTTTAATTATTAATATCGGCTGCCACTCTATTATATGCTTCTGCACTGTCTCACATCCATTTTTGTCGGTATTTACTGTCATTTTCTAAGTAAAAAGTGAAATACTCAATGAAGTATGTATTTAGAATGCCATCAAGTGGATTCTTATGATGCTTGCAATTTGTAGTACAAATAAGTACTTTACTAATCCGGACTTTGATGGGATACGCTAAAAAACTGATTGAAAGGATATTTCAATTAGCATTTCTAGTGAGAATAATGGTCAATTTTGTCATCTCTCTATTCATGCCCATAAATACATGGTATTCATGACAAGAGAATGTATTTTCTTGATTCATGTTATACCATAAATATCTTCGTGTGATGCTTGGCATATCTCAACTGAACAATTATTGATTTCATTGCTCATTCTTGTCGTGTTACTAAATATACAAAATTACTCAACATTTACAAAAACTAATAATCAGACATTAAGTAAGGAAGTCATGAACATACACTTTCTTTGACTGCATTCCCTGTATCAAAGGGATTATTGGATTGCACAAAGTTAGGTAGAAATATGTGCATGTGGTTCTGTCTCAAAAAATCTGAAAATATTTAAACGCACAAATTTATTAGGTCTTCCTCATCCATTCACAATCAACAATGGTCTCCCACTCCCTAATTAAATTCACTGCCTCAAGTCAAATGAAATCCCACACACACGTTTAGCGTTTGTTTCCCTTGTGTTCGAATTGAATAACTTTGTCTGAATTGATTTTAATTTCATCTTCACATTACACCCATTTATGTAACAGTTATGATGAAAACAGTTCAGTTTATAAGACGGCTTGGTCCTTCATCACCTGCTAACGTGTTAACTTTGCTTAATCAACGCTAGACCTAAAAGGTATAATTATCTTGGGAAAATTTCGCAAGCACATCAATTTCATGGCATAACAGTCATAATAAATTAAGTCACCAGAGGAATAGTGAACTGTTAACCTGTCTCAAAATCTGTCAGCATGCGAAAAATATGATGACGACGAGGCTCTTCTGGCCATGCCCGTGTAACACCTCGCATATTCAATGGGCAATTATTAAAATAATTAACAAAACTTCCTTCCTTCCTTCCTCTCTCAGCACAAATACACACGTGAGCTGAGGGGTTTAAACCTTGGACAATTAAGAGAATTCCCTTATTTTTACACAATTGCACTGCCAGTACCTCCGTCTCATCCTCACAACAATAAGTGAGCCTCTTTAGAACAATTTGACGATTTCGCTTTTCCTTTCAATTCTGCAAAAGCAAGCGGATATCCCTTTAAACTCTAAGCTAAGCTCGTACAAGTCACAACCTTTGTCACTTTATGCACGTTAATGTAAATCATGTCGCGCCATCGTGTTAAATCTTATCTTGAATTAATTCTCAGCACGTTCTTAAGATAAGATGAGTTTTATATGTATAGTGAAAATCTTCCTAAGCCGGCAAAGCGAATGAGACTAGCTCTGTCGTATGAATGTAAATATGTATGGCATATCTCATCAAAATGTGTACGCAGATATGTACAACAAATTCTCTCTGATAAACAACTTTTAAACAAAAAGATTCGAAACTGTACATGTGTTGTATATCAGTAACCGTAATATTATGCGATGATTCCTCATGCCTAGTTGAAAAGTGGGGGGGGGCAAACCAAGAGACATTAATTTGTCATTGTTTTAAGGCTTGTGAGATAGATGGATAAATAGATAACCAAAAGTGTCCTCCCTTCTGTCACAAATAAGGATTTGTGGGACCATGCCCGACAAATACTGACAAAGATTTTATCACTCAACTGCGATAATTAACGACCACAACGATCTGCTACCAACCAACTGCTAACAATGGGAGCAAAATTTGCTTGCCAAGGAATTTAATTAGTGCTTTTTCATGTCGGAACAAAACGGAACAGAAAGGGTAATGCCATCCGTATTTGGTACCAAACTCATCCCCCCAAGCTGGTGAAACCTGCAGTAGAATAGTCGGTGATGTATAGGGTTGGTGGTAAATCGTCGTCGGACATTTTGTAGAGGACAAGTCGAAGGAAGAGCAACTCGTTGTTGGACAAGTAAATGTGGAGGACAAGTCGAAGAAGAACATTTGGTCGAAAATATGGAATTGTCTTTTAGCTTTAAAATTTACAATCAAATTGAATTATTATGTACAAGATTCTGCAAAATTAGGATTTTTATCTTTTTGAAAATTTCCCTGAGTTAGTCCATTTACGCTTTAGGCATGAGACATCGCTATATGTTGGAGCGACTACGACACTTTTCGCTCCCACGAGTTACCCTACTACGAGTTGCCCAACTACCACCCTACCCGCCTTCGAGTTATCCAACGACGATTTACCCGTAACCCGATGTATATGTATGTAAGCGGAAATTGAACAAAATATTTTAAAAACATTGATTAGTTCCATAAAATCCAGAATAAATCTGTTTCATCATCGCAAAGAAAGTGAGTTTGCAATTTACTCGTCATATTTTCATTTATCCTCCGTCGTCATCTTATTCAGCCCTCGTAAAGAAATGCATTGAATCTTTTATTCAGAATTGATTCAAGAGATTTTGGTTCTCGAAAACTATTTATTACTAAATTCCCACGATTATAACTGTCTGGGGGTAGCATGCACTGGTTGGTGAACTGGTAAACTTTACTATTGTCAAGCTGCCATGCTGGTGATGACATGAGTCAACGTTTCGTTTTTGAAGCCAATTTGTACAGAGCAATCATCATCAATTTAGTTCCGGAAGAAGGAACATTTCATTTGAAGATTGACAATAATAATTGTCGTAGTAAATCAAGCTTGCTCGATGATTAAGTAATTTTGTTAATTCGCTCCACTTGAGATTTTTGATGAATTTTCTAAATTATGGGATTATAGAAAACGGTCGCTAATTGTGGAAAAGTAGTGAGAACGATTTTGTAAGTGGATTGCATAGTTTGAAGAGATTCGAGCAATAAAAAGTGAGAAATCAATCAATCAATAATGTGTGGGCATGTACCTGTGCGTAATCGTTCCCTTAAATCAACAACTCAAATGGTCGTCGTTTAGCAGCACTCACAAGACGAAGAACCACTGCACTATTATTATTATCAAATCTGTCACTTTTTCTTTTACACTCAATTTTTCAGGAGAAATTTGTTTTTGTCACTTGAAATATATACGAAAATTAGTCTTACTCGCTCACGCGAAATTGCGCAATATTTGGCAGTTGGCTGGCTAGCACAGAACTAAAACCAATTTTTAATGGACCACTTTGGTAGGTCTCATAAATATTCATGCAATGAGCATTTAAGGGACAGATGACAGCAAACCTGCTCTCTCCCTCAAACTCTAGGATAATTCAAGTTAATCCTATTCTTGGCTATTTCCAAAACCAACAAAACCACAGATGAGAATAATTGATGGGAAAATTTACAAAAAGGAAGAAATAAAATTGACTAAAAACGGCAGATTTTCGTACTTGAAACGACTCTGAGAGCTTTTTAAACCACAGGAACTGATCACTGCAAACAGTGCACAATTGTTTGAGCTGCATAATACGTACGTATGGTCCACTCTACTTCCACATTCAAGTCAATCTGTCTAAGCTCCGATTAAATGGATCCCGTTTTGAAAAAAATAACTGACCACTTGGGAACCAATAAAATTTGCTTCAAATATTTATTGCCTGCATGAAAAAAACAGTCAAAATGCAAACTTTGCTGGGATAAATGGCTGCTATCTATGCCTTCGACGGGCGCTGAGCCTTGACTGAATCACTCCAAGCTAAAAGCAAGCAGTTGTTAAGTTAGTTAACTTTACTGACAATGAGAGATACGACGACAACGACGAAGGAAGGGAAAGACGATAAAGCTTGATGATGATGCCATTCGATTTCATTGCTAAGCAAGATTTACAGAACATACGACAAGTTGTAAATCTTTTTCATCGTTTTGGATGCTTTTGTGTTTGTATCCTTATGGTAATATCCGCTTACCTTGCCTTAGGACGGGAAAATTCTTTGCAAATTTGCACACTACTACCCTGTGCATTTGGAGGTGACCATGCTTGAAAATTGCCCCTTTCTGCATTTGGTTGGCAGTCGTGGATCGTCGTAGTAAAACAGTAACCTAGTGGAATATATTCGGACAACAGTTCCACCACCAGTGCAAATGCAGCGACAAGTGGTTTCACAAAAACGATTAAGTTCATCACAGCCGTTGAATTTAAAAGACGAAACGTGAGACATTCATTTCATGAAAACATTTCACACATGTGCAATTTTTCGTCTTTTTTACTCAGGAGACTCAGGAGAAACAGTTTTTTACGTAGTTGGTGCAAAGGATATGCAGGTATGGATGAAGTCGGCAATATTCTGATGAACCAGCCCTCTATAAAATAATCATTAGTGAAAAAACTAAATGAGCTAAAACTGCTGCTTTGATGTCATGTTCACGCATTGTTTTATTATTATTAACACGATTTTGTTGGTAAGGCCGGGCCAGATAATTTTCGACCAAATGTACATTTTTTGAATTATCTGATTGTACGCGGTACCAAGATTTCTCTGACTTTGCTGACACTAAAAAGTAAAATGCTTCGACATTTGAGGAATGGCAATGGTGGATTTGGGAAGAAGGAAAATAAAGTAATGGCGAGTTTCTAAAGAATTTCTGACGGAGGTCTAAACTGATTAATGGAGTAAAGATCAATTACGTTTCACCCATAACAGTAGAGTCCCAAGGAGTTTGTGGTTATTAGATTACCTAACAGAATCAGACAGGTTGGGCTGGCCGGGGCATGTCATGACCAATTTGTGTTCTCACCTTAATCGAAATGTATGTTCGAAGTGTTGTGATAAAAATAATACCATTATGACTCTATTAATAGTCATAAACAATAGTTAACCAGCTAAGGTGATAACACCACAGGTAGAAAAATGTCTCGAAAAAAGTATGTACCAATTTTAAACGTCATTAACCAACTGGTCTTGATTCCATTTTCGAGTACCGTTGTATTTTTTTGTTGTAAATATTTCTTTTTCATTCAATAAATCACCACATATGCCAATAAATTCCAACTTTACGACTGAATCATGACAAAACGATCATCTCAGTCTCACTCGCAGTTCGCAGTAAAAGATCGAAAAATGCCTAAATTTACCACCAGAGAGTTTTTTTAAATGTTGACAATATTTTTAAATTTCAACACGTCGACAAAGACCTATTGACACAAATCTTTTTTTCCTGTAAATATGAACCCTAAATAAAATTCCCTATTGCGCCTTTCTTAACCATTCAAAATCCTACCCCGATTTCCTATTTGATTCAGAAAAGCTTCTCATGATGGGAACCCAGCATAATATTCTTCATAAAGTGCAGCGTGATATATCAATTTATTAGAGTCTGTTCCCGAAGTTGCATTCATTCATGTTTAGACAATTACACAACCACCAAGCGCCGTCTCCTGTTTGTCAAATGGCACAAATTATGCGAGAAAGTTTCACTATCAGGTATGTACATACGATTGTATTAATAATACCATGTTAATCCATCCTAATGCGCAATTTGAGGGAATTCAATTGGATTTGGTTTGTGGCCGGGTGACATTTGTGTCGCTTGTATTATTTTTGCAATAATACTTAATGTGGCTCGGGTAATATATAGAAATATTTTGTAAGTACAACTCTAGAAAATAAGTTAATCATTATCAAACATTTTAACACGTGAAGTTTGTAGTTATTACTTTACTCTCCACAAACACTTATCCTTAGCTTATCAAATACATTATCAATATAAAATAGGACGCAGACCAACCTGCTGCTAATACACACATAGCGAGTACAAAGTACAAAGTACGTATAATAAGTTACTAAAATGGTGTGTCTTTAAAACTGACATGGTCCGATGGTCACTCGGATGACGATGTGTGATGGTCAAGGGGAAAATGTAAAACGTGCCAGTTGTCTCTTACAAAATGCTTAACGTTATGTCGTGCGTTAAGCCATTTTCCTGAGCAAACAATCAGTGACAATGATTCAATCCCAAAAGATGATGACTTTATACTTTTTTGCAATCTTTATCTATTCACCTTGTTTCCGCATTATTCAGCGGGTAGTCTACTTTATTTGCTACCAGTGTCCTTTGCTTTATGAAAATATTATTGCAAGTGCACACATCTGAACCGAATTTCTTGCAGGGAAAATTATTACGCCAGAAAGACAAACGCAATGCGTCCTAACTGCAGGAGATCATATGAAGCACTCTTATGTAATCCCATTCAATTAGAGTTAAAAAAATATACGAAAGAATTGTTTCCAATTGTTAACAGAGATCGATAAAAACATTAATTGCAAATATTTTATTGCAACCATCCGACCACCTGCACTTTCAACCTACATATATTTCAAGCAAGAGGAATATATGTACACACATGTCGGTTGATAAAATGTGCCTTATGAATATGATTCAAAGACAATTTTGTTATTTAGCATCAAATGCCAATGTCTATGTATTCATCAATACGTACTTTTTGCACATTAGGCAATTTCCAGGTTCATGTTATCAAATAATTCTCTCATTCTTTTTATTTTATGTTTTTAACTAGATCGTATTGGCAACTGTTAGAATTTGATGACAGGTGTTTCTATCCGAAGACATTGTACACAGTAGAAGTTCCACTTATTATATTGTGGGACGAATGGTATGCTTGGGGAAAATTACTTCATTTCGTGAGTTTCGTGACTAGGGAATACGATTACGAGAAATGTTTCCTATTGAAGGTCGATGTAATAATGGTCAAGTTCAAGATGGTAATAAGTTGTAAAATTTTGTCACTTTTATTACCATTTCATTATAAACTCTAAACAACAATTTCTCATTTGACTTGGTTTCATTGTCCATAAGAACTTATAAAGTATCATTTTTAGAGGACTAACCTCCACGATTAAAAACAGCTTCAGGTTTGATTTGCAAGATGACTAATTTTTGATGTCAGAATCTACAAATGAATATTTACACGTATGTTTCGGATTGTCACATGTTCGCCCGGTTTGAAGTTTGATCCCAATTGACCGTAATAATTACTTTAAGTGCAGGATGCTGCACTATTAAATACATGCAAAATATACATGTCACCGTCACCAGTAACACGTCTCATTAACTTGATCTGTGAAAAAATTCAGTCAGTTCCATCAATCACATGGTTTTATTTGGAGTTTATTTACAGCTTATCAGACTGTCAGCTAATGTAATCTCAAATTATTTCTCGTATATAATGCGTATAGTTTTGCATATGTTACACTATTCTACAAGTGATGGAGGACAGCATCTGACAATACCACAATTGCTTGATATTTACAGAATTATTATTATTAGCAGCTGAAGAATAAAACCAATATTCAAAATGATGTTCGAAATTCTTTGCTTTACATTTATAGTTGTTTTAATTTCGTGGGTTTATACGGACAATTTTAAATCGAAGCGTCCACCCGGTAAGTTTTGACGAGTATTTTGCCTGCAATTTAACATCCAGCGTAAGTATGTATGTATGAATACTATGATTACAGGTCCACTACGACTTCCTCTTATCGGTACGATATTGCAGCTTGGGGTTGACAAAAGAAGGCCACAATATGAAACATTTCGCTCAATTTCCAAAAAATATGGTCCAATATCTTCAATCGAGTTGGGACTCTATCCTGGAGGTACGCATATCGATTTATAAAACAAGAGAACACAAATTATTATTGTTGTTATATTTATTTCGCATATGGTTGCAGTAATATTTGATGATTTCGAGACAATAAAGAAGCTCCTGAATCATGAGCTGTGGGTCGACCGATTTTTCAATTCCCTTTTTGCGGAGAGAAGTTTTGGAAAAGCTTTGGGTATTAATTAATGGATTTCTTCAAATATTTGCATAGTCACTTAATACTTATTCCGCACAGGAATAATTTTCATAAGCGGGGATACATGGAAGGAAATGCGTCGTTTTACAATTCGAACCCTGCGAGACTTTGGGTATGGAAAAAAGAGCATGGAAAGTGTATTGGAAGACGAGGTGAAAGACTTGGTAGCAAAAATCGACGGTCTGTGCGAAGAAAATGGTTCAATTGTGGCCATGAAGCAGGTGTTTTCGATGCCTGTGCTTAACGTTCTTTGGCATTTGGTAAAAAATGACGGCTAAAATTAAGACACCATCATAAATCGTCTTGACTAAATTTCTGATTGTTAGGTTTGCAGCACATCGTCTGAGGACGACAAGCGATTGAAGGAACTTCTCGTCCTGGTTGACACGCTGGCGAGAGCTACACCGATGGCCGGCGGTATCCTAATGCCATTTCCCTTCCTTCGACACATTTTCTCTGACATGACAGGAAACTCGCATGTCCGGAAGTGTAACATGGAGCTGCAAGAATATTTTAGGGTTCGTTGAGGAGAAAATAGAATTCCCAATTTTACATAGATATTCTTGCTTATATGTACATAAAGAAGATGCATATATATGGATTTACGCATATTATAATTTTAGGACGTGTTGCGTCGTCGTCGAGAAGAAGGAGTTTACAAGAACGACCAGAGGGACTACATTGACGTCTTTCTCCAGGAAATTGATCACCACCGAGAAAAGGGGTCCACTCCAAATTATTACACGGGTAGCATCTGGTTCTACATGTAACTAGTTTCATAATGTTCTGGATAAAGTGATAAAAGTTCCTAATTTTAGACGAGCAGTTCATATCTACGACGATTGATTTATTTGAGGCTGGAGCAGAAACGACGAATAATACTCTGGAGTTTGGTATCTACTACATGCTTCAGAACCCAGAAATTCAAGCCAAGGTGCAGGATGAAATTGATCTGGTTGTAGGAAAAAATCGACTCCCTACTTTTGCTGATAAGGCAGAGTATGCATGAATACCCAAAAAGAATCATAAAATATTAGTGTTTAAATATATAAAATGAAAATTCAACTGCTAAATATCTTAGGATGCCATACACGGAAGCAGTTCTAACCGAAATTCAAAGAATATCTAATGTAGTTGCAATGACGGTAAGATGTCCAACCGAGGACGTCTGGGTTGACGGATATTTCATTGCAAAGGTAGCGGAAACCATTAATATCTGCTTATTTATAAATTACGTATCATAATCGTGGTTTATTTTCATAAATAGGGGACAATTGGATTCATGAATTTATTCAGTGTCCATATGGATAAAAATTTTTGGGGAGACCCTGGTGAGACTTTCTCTAGAAATTCAACTTTGGAAATAAAAATTTACTTGTTTACACAAAAATAACGAATTGTTTTTTAGAAAAATTCCGTCCAGAAAGATTCTTAGATTCAGATAAAAAGTTGATCCCCAACAAATTACAGCGAGTGATTCCATTTGGAGCAGGTAGTGCAGTGCATGTAGTTTTAAAAATTAGCGTTCTTTTGGAAGTTGATATAAATGGTTGACCTATGTTCGTTGTATATAAATTATAATAATAATGAATAGGACGACGTGTGTGCCTTGGCGAAATTTTGGCCCGTGCGACTTTATTCACGTATTTCGCCACTGTTCTCCAACACTTTACATTTCAAAAGTGTGATGGTGATTCCGATGCTCAGAAACCAGCAATGATCGGCTTCACTTTAACCCCGGCGCCATATTCAGCAAAGGTCATAAAACGATAATTTATATATTTACATTCTAATCATAAGAAAACTTGAAATTTGTAAAAAAAAATATTTGACTTTGGTGCATAATAATAAACATACGAAATCTGTTAGTTCATTCATTTTACATATTCAGTACAACCCACTCGCAATAAATTCCAACGATCAGGGAGAGTGCCAAAATAAGTGTGATAATCTATTATAATTGCTAATATGAACCGAAAGATATGTTTAAAATATAATCACTACTAAATCACTATAGTCATGAAGCACGCTAACACAGCTTAGCCTAAATTCTCATGCATTTTCGTTCTGAAAGTCATGGAATCGGATTGGGAAAACATGTTTAGTTATGCTATAAGCGGGCTTTGCAGTTGGGTGGAATATTTATAAATGTACATAATAAAATCACTCAGTTTTGCATTGCAACGAATCTATAATCATGAGAAGCCTTCATCGCGTAATAATATCATCCAGAGTTCTACAGAGTATTCCCAAGCCGACCTTTACGGGTAGCAGTAATAGTAAGAAGAGCCCAATTCGTCTGATTGAGAGGTCTCATCAAGCTCTATTCCTGGAAAATATAAAGTTCTTTAAAATCGCCATCCCTCAACAATCGAGAAGAATGTCCACAGAATCGCCACCTTTGATTGTAGAACATGATCCATCAAACAAAAAGTTTTTCATTCGACTCGCGAAAGGTACTTATGTGCCAACTACTGCAAATAGTTAAAATTGCAAAATAATAATTCTTTGAATATATCGACTAAATAATTAATGCTTTATTGTATAGATGAAGCCAAGTTGGAGTATGTTCGAAATGGCGATATTCTAAATATGTGGCACACTGAAGTTCCTCCACCCCTTCAAGGTTCGAAGCTTCATAAAATCTTGTTTCGAATTTTTGTACTATAAATATTTGTATGTTTTTCAAATCCTTTTTGTACAACCTTCAAGGAAAGGGCATCGCTAAAGTTCTAGCTCAGGCAAGGAAACTAAAATATGATCAAATCTCCGTATAAAGACAATAACAAGTAACAAATGGACAAATGTGAATTCCAGGGGGCTTTTGATTATGCTGTGCAGAATAATCTCAAAATGATGCTGACTTGTTCTTACCTACAAAAGTTTTATAAGGAGAATCCAAAAGAAGAGTACAAAAGACTGATTGTGTGATTGATTGCAGATGATACCGACTAATACACTTTTAAAATACTTAATACAAAAGTATGCATATGTGATCATATGAAAATTACAAATGAAAAAATATTATGGACTTAAATTTTCGTAATTCAACATTATACATGAATTTATTAAAATTATTGAAATTGTAATATCGTGTTGTCTCCAAATAATTATCATGTATTTAGTGGTAGGAATATCTCTGCGATCATACATCTTGCGCTACCACCTCCGTTTGCCTCAATAGTTGTCAAATCCGAGTGAAGAATAGTGTCAAATTTTTCAATTTTTGCAATTTGCTCAAAATCTAAAGATTCGTACGCTTTTGTGCTCATCACGCACAAGTTATTGCCTCCCTTGACCTTGACTTGAAGCATATTTCCTCCAAAATTGTTCATCTGTTTGTAAACTAAACTGATGACGACTTTCCCCGAGTCTTCCAGTTCTTTACGGAGCATTTCTCTCTCGGAGGGGTCCTTTAATGCCTCCAAACAAACTATGGCGTACTTGTCCGCAATGCACATCATGACGTTGGTGTGATAAATAGCTTTTCCAAATTCATCTTCCGAATGGAATGTGACCGGCTTGAAGCCCATTAATTTGCAAAACTTTTCAAAAAGTTCTTCGTCAGTTCTCTCTGAAATGCTGGCATAGGCGATTCGATGGGTCCGGTCAAGAACCATGGACCCTGTCCCCTCCAGAAACTTTCCAAACTGCTCATATCTTGATAAATCAAGCACAGTTTTGACTTGGAAAACCTGCTCAATGTATTGCAGGACGCAGGACTTTCTCTCCAATCTTCGGGTCTTGGCGGCCATAGGGTAAATGCAAATCGTGAAATCGTCATGAAATGATATCCAATTATTAGGAAATATGGAGTCAGGCGTGTGAGGATTTAAGGTGTCCTGAACCACGTGAACGGACACTCCACATTCCTTCAACTTGTTTACAAACGTGTCAAATTCTTCCAAAGCCTTCTTTTGGACATCTTTCGGGGTCACAGAATCATCAAGTTGTTGAAATGCATTATCAATAGCCGTTTCTGGATTAAACCCAAACCGAACCGGACGAATCATCAAAAGTTTATTAGTGCACTGTGACATTTTATCCTGAAAGTTAAGACGACATATATGAATTTTTTAAATAATACAAAATTCGTACTAAACTTACCACGTCCAACGAATTTGTATGACATTTAATCAACTGATTCTGAGTTTGATCCGTATTTAATTTATGCGAAACAACCGATAATGATTTGGTATGTTTTGTTCTTGCTACAAAATTCAACTGTTGCTATTATTTCACACAGCCTATCATCTTATCGTGGCGTCGTGTGTATTAAAATTTGGAATATGGTGAAACATAAGCTTCGATTATTGGCTTTGTGATCTGTCTCTGGTTTCACAAGTCGTCTTAGTACCACGTACATCTGCACTTTTGTGTATTATGCAATTAAATAATCACCATACATCAACTTGGTCACGGGAACTCGGCAAGTCTGCACGTTAGTCATTATGGATTAGTTTTGTCATGTGCTTCCTTCTCCATTCTGTGGGTTAGAAATTTGACACCTAATTCATATTCCTCATAAGAGCCCTCACTAAGCAAAAGATATGCATGTAAATATTTATGTATACGAATGTCAGGGTCACTTCAAATTAGATTGCATTACTAATATTTATTTACTAATTACAAAATAATTAATCTCCAGTATGTCGTTAAAAAAGTAAATCTTCTAACAACGAACATTGTGTTATGTTGCGTACAACAAAATGCATTTTGATTAAACTGCTTAATTTGTCAATTCCAAAATTGTTCCATTTCTGCATTTATTTAGAATTATGATAACAAATGTCGTATGCTATTGATTACAGGTGCTTCAGTTCATGCGGTATTCTAAATGCATATCCTTGAATACTTATCTGTACATATATTTGTTTTTGATACGATATCTTCTCTGCGACTAACCAGCATATGGCAAAATCTCCTGTCACTCGTAAATATGAATAATACAGTTGCAATTTTTTTCAAAAATAAAATAAAGTAATATATTCGATTAGTAAAAATGATTGCTGTGCACTCAGTTTTCAAACCCGGAAGTAGTATGTTTAAGAATCATTTTTGTCAAAATTTATTTTACTCAAATTTTTCATGGAAGAAATTGAAGAGATTTTTAAGAAACCCTAAAATTAGGAAACTTTTAGTAACATGCTTTCTGTTAATGTTAATATTACTTTACATTTTTGGTGTTAAACTTCCGCACGAAAAAAGCATAAAGGCGGAACAAGTGACCTTACAAATAATGTCAGTTATGGGAACGAGATTGACTGCAGTACGACTACTGCCAGACAAAAATACTACGCGATTACAACCAAATTTTCATTGCAATGTAACCACACATTTACTTATTAAACGTTTCTAATTTAAAATTGTCAGTGATTATTTATAGTGCAGCTGAAAAATAAGTTTTTAATTTCACTCTAGGATGATTTATTCTCAATAATCTTAATCAAATCAACTCCAGACAAGTACTGGAAACGGCAGTTGATTCGAAACACATGGTTTAAATTATTTTCAAAATTGAACGAAAACGTGAAAGCCTTCTTCTTTGTTGGAATTCCTGCAGGAAAGGAAATCTCATTGGTATTAAAGTCATTAATTTATAGAGTCTGCTTGGAGGACAATGTGTGAAGTTTGGTTTATAAATAAAATAAATGAATTTCAGAATCTCATGTCAGAATCCGACAACTTTGGTGACATAATTATCGAGGAGTTGGACGAACATCACTATTTGCAAACGTTAAAATCGTTACGAATGCTAAAATGGTTCAACTCTTCCAATTCTTGTTTGAATTCTCGTTTCCTCATTAAGACGGACGACGACAGCTTTCTCCACGTTCCCAACATTGTAAATCACATCAACTCGGTGGCGAACGCTTGGGTGAACTACATCGGAGGGGAGCTTCACCTGACCGACGGTGTAACCTCTGACCCCGACTCCGAACAATTTACCCCGGCAGATTGGTATTCCGAAGCCACTTACCCTCCCTTCGTCACTGGACCCCTCGTGGTCATTTGTTCGGAAGTAGTTCCGCTTCTGCTCTCCGCTAGTCTCAAACTTCCCTTTTTCCACAACTTGGACGACGTCTTCATCAGTGGAATTTTGGCTTTCGACCAACTGCAAATTGTTCCAAACAACATTCCTCGAATTGAGTCAAATAACTGGCAATTGGTTGTGAGGCTCAAAATGGCTCTCAGTTTGCGAGACTTGGCTAAAACAAATTTGGCCTTTTACTGCGCTGGCGAACCTGATTTCATTGAGGAATTGTATAACCAAGCAATTGCATAGTTCTTATTTGTGAGTATTTAACAGAGTATTGACAAAACTTTAAGCATTCAACATGAATAAACGTTCTCTTTTTGCATGCTCATATGTACATAAAGCTATACCCTGCTTCTCATTTCATTAACATATCTGTATTGCACATGCACACAATGCAGCATAATAACATAAATGCCATTCAGTTCCCTGTACCGGAAATGTTTCCAGAGTGCACACAACTAAAACACAGGAAGAGGAGACACTGGCGCTCAGAATTCCACAAATTGTACAATCTTCATCTTGTGATTTCCTCTCTGACGTGACATAATAAAACATGCATTCTGCTTCTTCATAAGCTTCCACCATCATCAGATCATCATCCGTGTTTCGTTTCCAATAATCCAGCGAAAGCCACCCTCGTTCTGTGAGCATCCTATTCTTCTTTTCTGCTGATTCTAAACGCCGTTTCCATTTCTACTACTAAATACAGCCCATTACTTACGGGTCCTTACATATTACCACCATCACCTCTTTTATCATCTCACCACAACAAAGTAAGTAAGTGCAGAGTGTGAAAAACTTGAGAGGTTTCGCTAACTTACGTGAATGAATATATACAACATGTACACATTACATATACTTTTCTGTACACTATACGACACATATGTACATACCATCGCTCAATAGTGCTTTACGAGTACATTACAAGGATTGCTTACTTAAAGACTATTAAGCACTACTGCCCAATAATTAATATAATCCACCACCATCACTAACACGCGTATAATTGTGATAATACACTGTTCAAAAGCATCCTATAACTTTCTGTTTTGTCCAATACCAAAACATTACAACTTGATTTGTTTGTACGCAACTTTCTCCCCGTAATTCATATTTTGCAGGTTGTAAAGTGACTCGTAAAATATTAAATAATCTGTAATCTACAAGAAAACTATTTTTTTAGTTTGCGTAATATTTTTCCAACAACAACGACCTTTTCCTATTAAAGAAAGATTACTTAATTGCATTTGTTTTGAGTATTTTTAATACAAAATCGCCGTTCGCCATAGGTTGGTCATCACATCACACAAGATTAGTAATTTCATACATGAAAGATAGGATTCTCTCAAGATTATTAAACTAAACAAGACTTTTGTTCTTCCATTTCCTTCAGGAATGACTACAAACAATTGTGTGGAAGTGAAAAATATGAGGTGAAAGTTTTCTCAACCATCATCATAAACTTGCTCAAAGCAGTTTACCAGTGGTGCTAAATAATTAGACTGAAAATGAAAATCCAGTAAAACCTTACAAATTATACAACGTCCAGTCAAATACATAGTTTGGCATTGTTCAAAGAAAATTAATATTCGGCCTTAGCGAAAAAAGGTCCCAGGAAGACGTATAAGTTGCCAAATATTTGATTTTTTAATCAAAGTAAAAATGGAGGCTCAAATTCATAATCAAGTCTCACCCACAAAAAGGTAGCGTGCACAACGATCCTAATTATTTTGTAATTGCTAATTTGTCTACAAAATTTTTACTTTCTACTCCATAAATTTCTAGTGAGCTGACTCGCCTCTCAGAAGAAAGTTTGACCCGACAACCCGAAGAGGTGTTTGACATCATATGCAAACTTGGAGAGGTACATATGCATCATATTGTATCGTTATTCAGAATAAGTTGTATCGTCGGTGACACAATTCGTAAACAATTTGCTAATTGTAAACTTACAGGGGTCATATGGCAGCGTGTTTAAAGCGTTGCACAAAGAATCTGGTCAAGTTCTTGCAATAAAGGTAACGCTAAATAAATGTGTTCTTCATTTTACGCAAATATGTACATTTCGTACACTTGTAATCCAGGATACTAAATGTGTTAAATTTGTTACATGTTCCACCCACTCACCCAAATAGCAAGTTCCTGTGGACACTGGTACGTCATTTAGCCTTACGACGTTATTATGAAATATATACGATACTTACTGAAGATTCATTATCTATTTATCTCAGATCTCCAAGAAATTATTAAAGAAATCTCCATCATGCAACAGTGTGACAGGTGTGTATTTCATGTAAAATTAATTGATCGGTTATTCTAAAGAAAAGTATTTTACCTTTCTCCACATGCAACTCAACCCATAAATTTTAATCTCGCCTGCAACAGTCTTTACGTGGTTAGCACATTTTTAATCTTATTACTTTCACAATAACTAATCATGGTAAATTTTAATAATTTGTTTTTAAATATCCATTTTAGGTCAAGTATTATGGGTCCTACTTTAAGAATACAGATTTATGGGTGAGTTATTGCCAGCGGTTGACTTATGCAAATGATGGACTTTTAATTTTTTCCATGCCAGATTGTGATGGAGTATTGTGGTGCGGGTTCGGTGTCAGATATCATGAGATTAAGGAAGAAAACACTTACAGAAGACGAGATATCCACCGTGCTCACAGACACACTTAGAGGTACATACATTTTCTACATTTGCTATGATAAAAGTTATAAAATTTTCTCTTATCCAGGCCTCGAGTATCTTCATGCTAGGAAAAAAATTCACAGAGACATTAAGGTTAGAAATTTACTAAACCGTGGTTTAAAATGTTGTGACACGCTAAACCTAACCTTTTCTATTTTATTAAGGCCGGAAACATTTTGCTAAATAGTGAGGGACATGCCAAACTCGCTGATTTCGGCGTTGCAGGCCAACTTACGGTATAATCTCAACCACTCTACTGCCACAAGGACTATTAGTTAAAATATAAATCCAATTTTTGCGTAGGACACAATGGCGAAGAGAAATACGGTGATCGGGACCCCTTTTTGGATGGTACGATAAAATTTGATTAAAACGTGATTTTATGATCACCCAGTAATTTTTGGGGTTAATTCCAGGCACCCGAAGTAATTCAAGAAATAGGTTATGACTGTGTTGCTGATATTTGGTCATTAGGAATTACTGCTCTGGAAATGGCAGAGGGACGACCTCCTTACGGAGAGTAAGTTACTATATTACGGGGAAAAATAACCAATGGCATAGCATTAGGGTTGACCCAGAATCTCTGGAATGCGATGCTTTCCACTTTCACCGCCTAAAGATTATAACGCTATATATATCTTGCTTGACACAAAAACGTCGGTATATGTACGTCGAGTGATATTGTAAATTATTTGTATCCACAGCATTCATCCCATGCGAGTCATCTTCATGATCCCGAGTAAACCTCCCCCATCGTTTAGAAATCCTGATTCTTGGAGCCAAGAATTCATCGACTTTGTCCAAAGATGTTTAATAAAGGTGTGTTACTTTAATGTTTAACATGAAAATTAAAATCCGACTCGTCCTTCATGCATAAATATTATAATTCCCCTAGAATCCTGAAAATCGTGCTCCTGCCGCAGAGCTTTTAGATCATGAATTTATAAAGAGGGCTAGACATCCTTCGACGTTGGTGGCCTTGATCAACGGCAAGAAATTTATATACGTAATACAGAATTTAGAACATGATCTGATGTAATTTATTACGTTCAACAGAAGCCAAAGAAGTCAGAGAAAATTTACAGAATGGGATTTATCCCACGAAAATACCAGCACCACTTTTGGACAAAAACGGCTTTGAGGTAATGGATACTAAAACTCCAATTTATATGTGTTCATCGTAACCACTTTATTGAATTGGCTGAAATACTTGCTTCACGTGTGCACTTTTTGCTACTAACACATTAGAACTATTATCATAATAATTAGTTTTCTTGCGTTTATAAGATTATGCTCGTTTCTTGATTCTCGTCATATTATGAATTATGTATATATTTAGTTCTGCATACATACATACTTGCTGAAATCTCTATACTTCTTTAACCTTTCCCCATGTCTGACCTCTATCTACCTACAACAACTCCAACTTCAACTTATCAGTCAGAACAGCCACTCCCTGAGGCTGAGGCAAGACCAATATTTGGTTTTCTGGAAAACCTGGTGACTAAAGTGCAACACTATTTTTGGGTAGCAAGATTTTTTTCATGTAAACGACGCTGGATGAAACCTGGGCGCATTCATTTTATGGAAACTTTCCTTTTACATATACCCACACGTTACTTTCTTTCTTCTCTCTTTCCTGTGTTTTATTGTGAAATAACATTATTGAATTCAGCTTTTCTCTTCATAAAATCTGCGCTTGGTTTTGTTCACTTTTAACAAATAAATGAATGGTCGGGGTCTAGTAGAAAAGTTTTTGTCTGGTGCGTAGGACTCAGACGATAGAACTATGAAGCCGGCTGATAGAACGCTAGTCCCGGGGATGATGGACGACGACAACGACGGGACAATGATTTCTCACTCCCATGACTCGATGATGCGCGAGGCGATGAATGCAGGAATGTTGGAATCAAATATGGGCAAGTTTATTTCGAATTAATAAACCAAGATTTCAATCAAATCACTCTACAAGCTATACATAAATATTTAGCTTCATGTAGTGAATAGATAATGTATTTATAACATTAATATTGTGCATATATTTCTTTCATTGCGAATGCAGAATCGAAATACTAACTCGATCACATAATACTAATTGACTAATTGTATCCATTTTTTCTCTGTAGCCACTTTGGTCCTAAATTCTGACGGAGAAGATGAGGATTCTACAATGAAACGTGAGATGTGTAAAATGACACTGCAGTGCAATTAACTTTAAACTAATAATGTTTTTTTATGTGTTTATAGGCCATGACACTGCAGAAATAGACCCGAATAAGAAATCGTACCGTCCTCTATACCTTGACCACTTTGACAAGAAGGATGCGGCTGCTGCTGCTGGAAGCAGAGGCAATTCGAATAATAATGGTAAAGATAGCAAAGATCTACAACAAAGAGACCCAGAAATATCGAATCGTGAAAATTCTCCTCCAAACTTATATCCACCGTTGGTCTCACATTATTCTAGTAGGTGTTTATTATTATTTAATTTCCTGACGCTTTGGTTGCGGGATTTAACCACTTTTGGCGAAGTGTGTTTCATAAAAATTACTAACAAGACAGAAGCGCAATTTGATGGTTAACAGTACTACTTTTCTTCTTACCTAACTCAACATCGTGCTTGAATAACATGTTTGAGGCAAAATTATGAAATCAATTTATCATTGTGCTGTGCGACTCTCTTCTTCGTCATTCGTGTGCTATGCTTTTTTCTATTTTGTTAAAGTCTTCCATTTTTCTTCACGAACCAAGCATTTGAATACTGCATTTTGGTAGGATCTTATGAAAAGGATAATGTAATCTATCCAGGCACTTGATAAATACGTGTATAATGCATGATCCGATTATTCCCCTTTAATTGGTTTGTTTCATCGAATATTTACGTAGTGACTTCGCCCTCAGGCTGCTTAACCACTTTCTTGTTTAAAAAACTCTGATGGGAATATGGATAAAAAGTTGACTAACTTATGACAATTCCTTTTGTTTGTTTTTTTTCCTGACGTTGTCGTATTGTAGAAGTTTGGAAATACCCCCTCCTCGTCACACTTTGGATCATTTCCATAAATTACAGACTGTTATTTTACTGTGTAACAGCTACATCAAGGAAAGTTTCAAAAATTATCAACTTTCACCAAATACATCGTTTACTTATGAACTCGGACTCGAATCAAAAATCTCGAGAAACAAACAAGACCCAAGCTCACGATCAGTTTTATAAGTCCTGTGTAGCGGATAAAAATCTATTAGATTTCTGCCAATGTCATTGCCGTAATTATTTTATTTATTTCACCAACATCTTCTTAAATACTTGACTAAACTATCGCTATGATGCATTTCATACTAATCATTCATGTATAAGCTTATAATAGTAACACATACTTTTTACTCTACTTTTTCTTTTTCTTTTAACTGTTCATGTCTCTCGCGGATGTAACGACAATTAACTGAAAATCTGTCTGTACTGTATTTATATTGAAAATCTAACTTTAGTACAATATGTAAAACCTTGTGTCTAATTTCTTTCTGTCCAACAACTCGATATACTCTGGACACGCTAAAATAGTAACTAATGCTATTATTTTTGGACTAAATAGACGTGCCTCGGAACTCGACACTGCCCCCTCAACACTTGCCCCCTGCGTTTAATCAACCCCACGTAGTTTACAATGACACGAAGCAGATGACAGCAGAAGGTGAGACCATACGAAATTTGCATTGCAATTCTTTAATCAAACAAGCATTTAACTATATACTTAATAATTAACAGAACAGAGAGAGTTTGCGGAGAGGCTTCAGCGACAGTTGAGCCAAATCAGTGGGATGACTGGGGCTTCAGGTGCGCTTTTGGGTTATCGGGGCTCTATCCCCATCATGTACGGTAATGGCCAAGGACCAATGGCTGAAGCTAATCCTCAAGTGGAACTTCGAAGACCAGAAGTCAACCTCGGAGATGCATTCAACTCAAAGTTTTCAAAAACATTCATTGATAATATGGACTTCGATTTCGTAAGCCATCAATAGTTTTTCATTTTCTACATGCATTTACTAGTTCTTTAAATGGCAATAACTTTTAACATAATACTTTTTCCAGCTAAAATTCCTCAGCCTGGAAGATCTAGAGAGAAAAATGGAGACGATTGACAGTGAGATGGAACAAGAAATTGATGAACTGAGACAACGCTACCATGCAAAGAGGCAGCCAATTCTAGATGCCATTGAGACTAAAAGGAAACGACAACCCAATTTTTAAATTATTTTACTAACCTACTCCAAACACTTTAGTATTTATACAAACTTTTACTTAAACTTTGACTTTCTAGCCTAAACAAGTGGTCTACTTACATAGATACATATAAGTTTGTCCGTATACAAGCAGTCAATGTAACGATTTTAAATTCGACGACCAGGTTAACACCCTTACCAGCCTACCCGTACATGTTCTCATAATGTTTCTCCGCTTCGACCCCTCTCACAAACGAAGCTAAAAACTGACGAAAAATAAATCTATGTACATAAATAAATAGCTGCCTTAGATAGGAGTTTACAAATAGTTCACCACAAACCCATAAAAGTTGAGACGTATTTCTTCACTAAATAGTGTAGAGTACAAATAATTTAATGAACAAATATTGGGTCTAATTAAAATTTGGCTAGCATTATCAAGAAATGATGACCACGACGGGGAAATGAAAATATGGACTGAACTGTGAATGTTACCTAAATTTATCGTGCCGTCACGTCAGAATTCAATATATTCAAAAAAGTAACTACGCGTTTAGACCAGAAATTCTGTATTATTAGTTACGAAATAGCTCAGCGTATGATAAACATATACTAAAGAAATTGAAAAGTACCTACAACATGCAACCCTGAGACTAGTTAAATCTTAATCGTAAAATATGTGACTCTTTGTACCACATGACAAACGTAAAAAACAGTGAAAGAGCACTGTACAAAATTTTCTCAAAGTAATAATAATGTCCATATCGTAATTAAAAATCTGCATCAAACACGAAGCCGACACCACGTTTCGAGTGTTGTAGTATTTATCAACTTTTGTAAAGTTATCCTAATTCCCATTACAACTCGCAATATAATTAAAGCGAGCCTACTTGTGGCTCGCTCCGGTCTACATTTTTCTTAGAAATTGAGCTTAAAGTAATATTTTGAAAGATTTAGTGCATGTGCCATGTTGTCATTCAAATCAATTTTATTGAGTCCACACTTGTTAAATTAACACAAATTTTTCAATTATCAGTTTGCTTCTATTAAATCAGCCAATACGGTACTAATTTTATGTATAGATCATGGAATAAGATATACTACACTATTGTCGGTATAGACTTACGAAATCCTAAGAGTATATGATTTAATTTTTGACAGAGTACGTGATTTTATTCAAAATAAAACGTCATTTTATGTAAACTGTATAAAATTATTTAAACTTTATTACGTCATGCATTCAAATCGACTCAATCAGCCTTAGCTCGTGATTACACGCATATGATATTGGAGACTTAATGCGTGTAAAATCTAGGTGAAAAAATATTTTAAAAGTAGGTGAAGCCTTGAAAAAGCTGTTGATGTGTGACTTAATTTGCTTGACATTTAAGTTGGGTTATTATGGTTGTTGTAAATAATTGCAATTTCCAACCGCAAAAACATCACAAGTAATTAACATGTCTCATCAAGTATCATGATAATGCAGGATACAACAAATTGTCACATTCGACCGTGCAAATTGTTTCGTTCCGTGCAGTTTTATTTAGTGGAGAAATTGGATCAATTCAATATTAGGCGATCGCAATTTTAAGTGAATTGTGTATTTATCATGAACGTTCCTTGGAGTGAAATAAAATTTCAGTTTACACAGTAGAATGGCAAGTGTTTTCTCACAGTGTCCAATTACATATGTACAATGGCGATACGCTCTTCGAAATATAAAATTAACGACACTCGTCGTAACCGTTTTACGGCATGCAAATAAATAACTTAGGAGGAAGTAAAAACTGATACGTACATTTTCATTGAGAAATTAAATGCCCAAAATTGACTACAGTCTCAATTCATGTGTATGTATGCATTTAATTCTAAATGAATCCCCATTTTTAGCCATTGAATAATTGTAATAACGAGCATAATTTGCATGAAATTTATGACACAATTCCTTCACCTCTTCTGAGTGAAATATGGTGTGACTTTCTGCTCTGTTAAAATAAATGGCTGATGAATATAAATCGAATCACTGCGAGCAATTCTTCCTCTTTTCAATAATTCTACACAATGAGTGGCTGCGTCTTGTTTCGTAGAATTGACATGCAGCATGCCATGATGAGAGTCAACTTTAGCTATACAACACTATTGTAAATTATCTTGGCTAAATTGGCGTCCAAACAAAGCACAAAATTGTTTCCTGATCGCATCAAGCAAGAATCAAGAGCTCCACTGTCCCATCCAATGCACATCTGGCACTTTGGTGGGCGCAATATTACTTATCGTTGGGCAAATTATAAGGCTCTTTCATTCAGTTGGAAATAACGTCGCAACTTTTTCCGTGAACATTTTAAGACAACAAACAACCAGTGCGAGGGATGATGTGTCACCCACTGTCATTTCTTGCACAGGAGCCACTTGCAATTTAAATAATCGCTATTCATGAGTGTTTTGATGTTTTTGTTGAATTTGGGTTGGGCAGGGAAATTGTATTCATACATAATTTACAATGTCTGATTTCAAAAATATAATAATCATAACGTTGATTGAATTTAATTGCCGTAATTATTTGCCTTGCTTGATCATGGACTTATTAGAATTTTGCACTTGACTGCAATGTGTATTTCATAGTTTTTATTCAAATTTTGAATTATAAAATGACCTCTGATAAATTGGCTAGTCGTAAAGATATTCATTCACTTTATGTGTCATCTTGTATAATTGCACATCATTCAGCCTCGCACACTCATTATTGGCACGCTTCACACAACTCATAACATTAACATTCAGAGATTTTCAACAACTATGTATGTCAATTTCATGTTGATTACCGGCTGCTTCTCGGTCACTCACAACTAAATATGACATAAACGGACTGTGGGTGGCCTTATGCATTATGGCATCTTGCTTACTTTTGTCTAAACATCCAAGCTGGTTAATTGCAGTTGCAATTATTACGCAATAACTGCAAGCAAATACGTGGTAAATAATACACACATAAACTGCACATGTAGCATGTACGCTAGGAGAAATTCAGGAAGAAATAATAAGTGCAACTGAATATACAAAAGTATACGAGACACAGAAAAAGGTCAAAGAAAAAACTATACAAATAGTTCATGAAACATCATAAATTGGTTAATTGACATTTTTTGTAAATTGAGGATCGCATGATTTAGTTCAGATGAGGAGCATGTTGATATCACTGGCGTTTATTTAGTAGGCGAGACGAACGAGATCTACCACAAATGCATAAATGGATGTTTGAAAGTGAAGTTTTTAATGCAAATTTCACTGACGAATCAGTTACGTTCTAATTTTCTTACTTTGAAACTTTACAAAAGTTATTGAATCTGTTCTAGCCATGTTTGACGTGTGCCATTCTGACAATCAAATTGACCATCCTTTCTGGATTTAATAGAATGTCTTCTAATAAACAGTAAAGCAGATGCAGATGGTTTGTATACAGATGTACGCTTATTACTGCATGTATTCCTACTCATTATCATTACCAAAAGTGTCGAAAGAATGGGAAATTTAGGTTTCACTCTACTTCCCGTGACTTTGGTGGCATAATGGGTCAGTCAGTACCTTAGAAATAGGTTAAAAATTAAACAGGCTGATTAAGATGCAACTGCGTACGCATTGAGACTAAAGTTGATCCCTTCTTCGTAATCTATATGATTTCATACTCTGTCTGCCAATGATTTAATCGTTGGCCTAAGCGTACAATACTTAATACGCGAATACGATGCATATATTCTTTCAAACTTGGCAATCATTGATCAACTGAATCTATGTATAATTAAAAGCGCATTTGTTGTTGTACACACTTTGCGATGGTTCTTTTCCAAAATTGTTGCGACACAATTTCTGACTTTTACTAGTACTTTAAAGACTTGATCACATTAGCTGAGTTATGAATCATGATTGCTGTTGGAGGACCTTGTTATTGTCGCCTACTGACCTTTGAGCCTATACACTTACGTAACATATATGTGCATACATCATACTTACTCACTTAGGTGTTGGAGAGTGCCATTTATTTACCAGCACGTAAGTAATTTGGTCAACTGTGCATGCAACATACACATGTATTTAATGCAACAATAAACAGCCAAACAGTGTTTTCATCCACATTTAATTGATGCCAATCTCTCGCAATCGAATCCACAAAAGTGCAGCACAACAACAAAATGCAAAACAACGGCAAAAGGAGCATCTTGCTCAATAAGAGTCATGCTTCGAATCTACTTGGTAGGTAGCTTTTGTTTGAAATTTTTAAATGACACAACTTGATATGATAGCAAATATTTATATTTACCGATGTGCACGTACTTATACATATATACATATTGATGTGCATGCATATATGTAAAAACATCCGCTATTTTTTGTCGATCTTACATCTACTCCAGCATATGCATCATATATTTAGTAGTAGTAGAATTATTCAACCAAGAACGTGTGCTAAATATATATTAGCAAGAAATTATTTATACTTCGAAATAACTGGCAGGACTTTAGTAAAAAAAAAAGTAAACTAGAAAATATGATCGTTAATTTACAATTAGCTCAGAATCCTTTCTTCCACTTATCTGTTTATGACTTTGTTGTCGACTCTGCTTTTTTACACAACTGTTGAACTGTTGCTCAAAACGCGGAAAACTTTTTTAATGCATTTTGATGAGTCTGCTGCAATTTCATCTCTTAATGCATATGCAGTGACTCAATTAATAGGTATATGATCTGATCTGATGCCACAACACTGCCACAAACCGCAAATAAAGCCACGGCATAAAATGCGTGCAATGTGGCAATCCAAACCTAGTTATTGAATTCTTGATAAACATTTATTTTGTAACTTGAAGATTAGTGAGCTCACCGGCTTGAATCATGTTAAGTTCATACCAAGATGAAGTTTAGAATACAACAATGTAAACTATGTAATAACACTTTTACGGCTTGGTTGGTTTTATGCGACATCCTTTGTGTTCCCCTTCCGCAGTATTTTGCCTTTTGTTTTAAGAAGAACTTGCAACAATTTCCGTCCATAATGTGCACAATTAGATAATTTACATGAAGTTCGTCTTGGTTGACTAAAATCAAGATTTGTATTTTTATTGTTTTACATAATGTTCCAAGTTTAATACTACGGATGACCTTTTTATGCGCCCATATTTTTTTATGCCGTACAATTGCCAGTCTTTTGCTGTTACTTATCTACAAGCTTACACATGTACACATATACGCTGCACATGTTTGCAGTATGTAATTTGAATCGAAATTTTATGCATTTAAAATTTTACATATTAATTTCATATTCGAGATGAGATTCGATATGACAATTTTACCTTGAATGGTTTCCTGTTTAATTGTTTAATTAACTTGTCAGCGTCATCGCATTTTTTATTTACCGGAAGTCTCTCAATGAAATTGTAGTGAATTTAAAGTCTTCTCTGAACTGAGGCTGTAATTATTCGAATTTGAATTGAATATTATGTAACGCTGTCCATCTTTCTAATTTTAACATATTTTGTGAAGGAGCCAGACCAGTTTGGCATTAAAACATCATCTATTAACACAACAATAGGAATGGAATCGGTCAGTGTGCATTATGTGACTCGATCTTCAATTGAAGAGAATATTATCAAATCTTTTTCTCAACTACTTACGTAGGACTACAACTTCATCACGTGCTACTCTAAATATCAGTAAATATGTAAATATCGCTTATTTTTGCATTACTGCATTTTTAGCAAAAATTTCCATGTTTAACTGCATTATTATCAGTATTATTAAGCACAGACTTGTCTGCGCTCACTTCGATCGTTTCCCCGTTTTCAATTTAACCAACAAAAAAGTGAGGTTTATCTGAAATGAATGTCTTTTCGCTGATGAAACATTGAAAACCTCGAATCGCAATAAAAATGACTTTGCCCACAGTCACGAAATGGTACACTTTCCGTTGATTATTTCAATCAGCTCATCATTTAAATAGTTAATGAAGCACCTTCCACTCCTTAATGCAATCCGTCATCAACTCAAATTAAAAGGAATTGCTTTATTTGCAGACAAAACAAAGCCGATGACTACGACGACACAGGAAGGAAAGTAAAAGTGCCACACAAATTCGATGGGAGACAAGTGTCATTATTATTTGAATTCACACAAAAAATCTCTCTTCTGCCATCCCACAACATTAGATAACAACGATGTCTGAATCCACTAGAAGCGAAGGTACTTACACGTATTGGAAGCTTGCTACTCTTGTGTAAATAACGCCAAGTTTTGAGTATGACATCGTAGAAAAGTGGCAGGTATGTAAAGTGAGGTAGTTTGCGACGATACAAAAAAAGGAACTCCTCCTCGTAAACCTCTGAATTTAGGTCATTTTTTCATCTCCGCCCTTTTTGTCAATGTTTTTAGGGATGAAATTAAATAGTGATTTCAAGACATGATTGAATAACTGGTCGGACATTATATCTTGTAGTCCACCCATTTAATTTGTTTTAAAATTTCACGCAAAAACTCTATAATTGCTAATTCTCTGATGACTACTTAGAATATGTAGATACGACGCAATTCGGTTTATTTTGATTCCTGTTTCAAACAGGCTGTTTGAAATTCATCATCTGATAACGCATTTGGCTAGTAAATATTCGAATGAAGGTCCATTTTCCCATGAGCATTTGAATAGCAAGTCAAAAGAAATTCAAAAATTTCTTTAGAAATTCAACGACTAATGTAAATGTGTTTATCATGAAAATAGCACAAGCCCAAGAATTATGGCTCGCTTCCACGTTTCCTTATGCATTTACGATTTGATGACAAAGATACATACGTACGTAGGCAGCTAATAAGCTTGCTAAGTCAGATAAGAATTGGCTTTATTGCAGAAAGAGAACGCCAAAGACTTGGGTGTTGTGGTTAAAAAGTGAGTCTGGTAAATTGCATACGAAACGAAACTATTATTTATTATGTGAAGCTGCGATTGTATCATATCCTTTGGCTCACCTGTGTGTGTAATCTACTAATCATGTAATACCCATCGTTGACCACGAGTGAGTTGTTGTATGCATGTAACATCCCCTTCCCCATTTAACTAGCAGCACATACATAACTTTGTATCATGTGTGCAATTCGCAATGCAATTTTACATGTTGGTTCGTATTTAATGACTGCGAGAGGTTCCCTTCTCACGCCATAAAATGCATGTTGTATGTTTTATGCTGCATCCAAGTGAATGGGTACTTGTTCACCAGCGAAAGGGCTGGAATTAATACAGAAGGCTTCGCGATGGTGTCGAGTCTTATCTAGCAAGTCAAGTCGTTAACCATTATTATATAGCGCAGGCAGAGCGTTTGGTTTTATGCAGTTGATAACTTGGAGTTGCATTCGACCCACGATTTGATCGTCCACAATTCATGCTTTCAGACCACAGTGAATAGACAAATTTAAAAATAGTGTGGTTTTATTTTAGTTGTGTCCTGTGGTGGGGGTGGATCTGGGATTTTTTGATAACTTGTGCTTCCGATCTGTATTTAGAAAACCCGGATTTTCTTTAGTGCTTTGTGCTAAACTAATTGTCTAAATAAATTAAACTGTGATAAAAATACTGGATCTGTTCCGTAGATCAGATATTACATGCATGTGTGCAGCAGAAATTTGTAATAAAGAAGACTGTTCTCCTGTGTTCCTTTGTACCTAGTCCGAAATAATCATAAACTCGTTCACTATTTTTAGTCCACTGTCCAAAAATATATAACAATCATCACGATTTAGCACTCCAGGTCGAACCACTGCAAAAATAAAGTCAGTTAAGCGAACAGTAGCACAAGAGAAGAAGGGATTTGATGTTGATTAGTGAGATGACCTACTGACTCGCGGGATGAATAATAATTGTCAGTGATTGCGTACATACGTCTTCCAATCGTAAAGGTTAAGACTCAAGTTTAACAACAACCAGAGTCAAAGGAAGGTCCGCACTCGTCATGAATCGTTAAATGATTAAATGCAAAACAGAATTGAAAAATTATCATTTTAACGCCGCCACACACGATGATGCATTGACATTGTTCTCAATCCATTGAATATGAACTTGTGTAAAACGCTGACTTACGTAATATTTAAGGAGCCGCTCAGTCAGTGTAGTCCTGAATGCAGTACTTACGATTAGCAATATGTACCCTTTCACAACACACGCACATCACAGCAAATTGATATCAGGTGTTGTAACTTCAATGCCCGAATGGAATTTCGCAATTTCAAAGCTACAATCCCTACTTTGATGTTTACTGAGATGTGAGAGGAAATTACTGAAAATGCAACTATCAAGAAAGTTACATCGCTGCTCGGTCAGGACGCTGGTCTTCTTGTGCACCTTTCTACTTTGCATTACAAATCATCTTGTAGCAGGTAATGCAAGATGTTAATTCCTTATTGTTAGCACTGCTGGAAAGTTGATACTAAAATTGGTTCAAATGGAAATGCATTTTTCCGTCGTATGAAGATGAAAGTCATCACGTTATAAAATCATTTAGATACATTGCTACTTCTTAACTAATTACATTCCAACTGCTGGTAGAGTACTCAATAATTGTTCAATAAATGATCGCACTTTCAATAAGTCCATAACGGTGTGAATATATGTACTATATTTACATGCATATCCGCATATACATAGTAGGCAGTTAGCAAAGTTACGTTTTCTAAATTTCCGCAACTCTTGAGTTTAGTCAGAATTTGCGGTGAACCCCAGAATCTTGAAATAATTCTGGGGTGTCCTTTGAAAATTTTTCATATTGTCTCCGAAAATTTTGACTAAACTTTACGAGTTACGGAAATTTTGTCAACGTAGCTTTGCTAACTGTCTAGTAGTAATCCGAGCAAGGCCATATTTACAAATCAATCGCTTTGATTTGCAGGATTTTTTCAAATTGGAGTGGAAACACTGCAGAAGCCGAAGGCTGGGGAAGCTGTGAATGTTCAAATAATCGTTGCACCACAGTTTGGCCCAGATGAATCAAAAGGTTCCAACGGCCAGTCAACTAGTCAAGATGTTGGTGCAAGCGAAACTGGAGACGATAATGACCAAACCGAGTTTGGGCATGGTCGCCGTCGGGGTATCTTCAATATTCCATCTCTGGAACTTCCCCGACTTTCACCTGCAACGATAAACATTCAAATTCCAGGCAAACTGCCATTTAACCCACTCAACATTTTCAATGTACAAACACTAAAGAACTTTGTCCAAAGTGTCACTGACAAGTTTATGAGAAACAATAATGACCAGACATATGGAACCGGGTTTGATGACAGTGTTACGATCATATCAGAAGATCCGGAGAAACCGGTATCGAAAAACTACGGGTCGTCTGCTGTTAAGAATCCTACTTCCGAACTACCAAGTCCGAGTAACACGAATTCTCAATCAAATGTGAAACAAGATCGGTCGGGCATTGAAATAAGTCCACCTCAGAGATATAGAGACAGCATGGACACGAGTGACATTGACCAATCCACCACGGATGTGCATCTCACAGAAGAATCAATGATTGACCAACAGGTGCGGACGCTTAACGAAGTGCTCACCAATGAAATGAATCATGACAAGGAGCACAAACCAACCTCGCCCTCTCCGCCCAGATTATCCTTCCTCCCAGATTTAAGTGCATTGGGACAACTCAGACCAACAAGTAAGCGAAAGAAATTTCACCTTGAGACTATGAAGGAAAACACAATAGTAATTTGAAACGTACGGTTCTAGTGTGTTGAATGACATCATTTTGCAAGAATAAATTTAGTAGCAGGAAAGTAATAATAATAAGGCAGGAAAAAATATCACAGTGAAGTTCATCGCCTGCTTCATAAATATTTTTGCGTGGGGTTTCTATTGATTCTTGCGTATAAGTGTTATGCACTTGTACATATCTTTGAGAGAAACATAGTCATTTGGAGACATTCACGGCAAAAGTTGTTCCGATATTCTAAAAGCGTGAAAATTCCTAATCTCGTTGACAATCCTAACTAATCCTAAGTATATCTGTCATTATAGATATATACTTATCAATTCTCCTGTCTGGCTTATTATAGCACTTTTCACGTAAAATCTGTAATACCTGACAAATGACAAGTATTTATTTTCATCTTGGTAGTGCTGATTATCACGTATTTACATGTTTGCATACGCGCATAAGATTGTTTTCTTTGACAGATAATAATTTTTCCATTTTGTTATTTAATTCAATTACTAGCGTCATTTGTTAATGAACGCCTGAACAATAAAATGTGGTATATGCAACACACAGTAAGTAAAATTCTGCTTATCCCTTTCAGTGCCCCACCAGTCGCAACTATTTAATTGGGGGGAACACGGCGTGCGTAGTTTGGCAGTGTGCAACGCATGCAAAGTAGCGTTTGGTCTGTTTGTTAGCCAGGTAATTATTCGAGTAAATATCTTTGACATTCAGAGTGGAGTATGAATTGTAATATGCGAGCAATTTAAGGCAAGACAAGGTGCAAACTTGACGAATCTGATGGACTTGGCCACCTTTGGTTGCACCTTCTTTCGGATCACTTCAGGTTAGCCTTCTTGCTTTTAAATTAAAATTACACAAAATTTGGGTGGGGATATACTTTTCAAACTGTTCAGGTATTTTATTTTATTCTTCAAATAATTTTAGCTGAGATGTGCACTGGACTTGTTTCGAGTTTTGGACCAATCCTTCACTACATGGTGAGTGCGAATACGTATCTTTGTACACAAGGGCAACGCAATTCAAATATGCCGTATTCTCATGTTTTTTGTTCGGAATAATTTTATTTGGATACAGGTGATGCATAAATCATCTCTAAACGGCGACATTTTTTGCGGAATTTCGCTCCAGTCCTCTGGTTGTACGACATCAGATCCTGAAATCGACTGGAAAATTGACTTGAATCAGTACAATGGGGTTCCACTGTTACCACAATTCAATAACTTTGAAGACTCTGCACAACGTAGAAGATCCATCAATACATTGCCAACGAAAATTCCCGTACGACCATCGTATTAGCAATGACCAACTTCACATACACACTCAAATGGTAGTGAAATATATGTTAAAGCAAGTTTTAATTTTCAGAAAGGAATCCGAACGTTAAAAGTGCTTCATCTCACGGATATTCATATTGATCCCAACTACCAAGTTGGTGCAAACTCAGGTATATTCTCAATAATGCTAAAGGTTCATCATGATCATTAGTATATTGTTCATTTTTACAGTGATATTTTTTTTTTACTATTTTACAGACTGTGAACATGAACTTTGTTGCCACTTGCAGAATGGAGAAAGTGCTCCTGGAAAGGGAGCCGGATTTTACGGAGACTACGGAAAATGTGAGTATGAAATCTTATCTTCGAGTTGTACCTTGAAGACAACTCAAATTTCAGCATAATATGAAGAGAATATGGTGACAAGTAATGTATCGCATTCTTTCCCATTTTTTCAGGTGACCTTCCCTTTCACTCATACATAGACGCCTTGGAGCACATTTCCAGCACACACCCAGTAAGATTTATAAATATAACACAATAAAGGGCTAATTTGTGAACATATAGTTCAAATGACTTGAATGTACAGGACATTAAAATTATTTATCTCACCGGGGACTTTGTCCCACACAATATTTGGACAACAAGCCCCACAAGCAACATGGAGGTAAGGTCAAGGTTATCTTATCATGGAAGCTCTGTTACACATACTCTTGACTATTATTTAAAGATCTTGGTGAACGCATCCCAATACATTCACGACTATTTCCCGAGGGCTGTTGTGATTCCTGTGAGTTGTACTTTATTTTATATTCTTTGAAACTTTTGGCTTTATTTCGTTCTCTGTACCTTCAAATCTTTAGGTGATTGGAAATCATGAAACGCATCCCGTCAACATGTGAGTATTTTTTGTAGTGTCGTTCCTCAACAAGTATTAGTATCAGCCTTCTAACTACAACGATAACTTCAGGTTCGCCCCATTTGGGGTCCCCTCAGAATTTTCAACGGATTGGTTGTACTCCACAGCCGCCAAGGCGTGGACTCAGTGGTTGCCCAAGGAATCCATTCACAATTTCCTTCATGCAGGGTACGTTTTGTAAGGTTCTTCTGGTAGTTAATTATGGATAAGGATTTTTCATCTCATTGTGTACATAGTTTTCTTGTATGTCTTACTAATCAGCATATCTCTCTTGTTTTTTACAGATTTTATGATGTAGAGATTGACCCCTATTTTAGAGTAATTGTGCTCAACACTAACTTATGCTACGGATATAATTTGTAAGAAACATTGAATGATTTTCAGTATATTTTAACATTACGATAAAACAATGCATTACGATAAAACAGTTGGCAAGCGTTCGAGCACCGAGATCCGGCTGGTCAATTACGATGGCGTACGTATTTCAATAAATATATTTGTTTTAATATATACAATTGTTTTATTCTGCTACAATTATTTTGACCAGTTGCAAGAGAACTGCAAAAGTCAGAGGATCTGGGTCAATTTGTAAGATATTGCCATTATTAAATAATTTTTCATCATCTCCCATAGTGTAATTCTATGCTTTTAGGTTCACATTCTCGGACACATGGCTCCAACTGGGGAAGGTACAATTGATAGCGATCAGAGGCCTACGGGTCAGACTTGATATAGCTCGAGCCAGTAATTTTTTCGCGTCTTACTTAAATTGTAAAACATTCTAAAAATTTTATATCACGGGAGTTCAACAGGTCCCTCACTATACTTTAAATGACTTTAAATAACCCTCAATGGTTTTTGAAATGAAATATGTAAGAGACGAGAAAAATGGTTGGCTTGGCCAATATCAAGCTTGTACTGTAGCTTCAAATATACTTTCAATCTGCATACATACATACGTGTCAGTGTATTTCAAGGATTACATTTCATTGATTTTTATTGTCCTGCAGACTGCTGGAGTGTTTGGGCCCAAAATTTCTATGAAATTATCAATAGGTAAAGTTTATAGCCATTATTGTCCACTTTAATGTAGATATTTAACATCAGTTTTCATTTTCACATATTCATATTTTGTAATAATTTACAGGTACAGAACAATAGTCAAAGCTCAGTTTTATGGACACACCCACTTCGATGGTAAGTTTTATCGGAAAAGTAGGGCTTAAAGATATCCGTCCCAATTATCGTGGAACGGGAATATTAATCCTTGGCCTTGTCCCCATAATCTTCATTTTTAGAATTCAAGCTCTACTACAATGTGCACAACCGGAGTGAACCAGTGTCCCCAGCGTGGGTGGGAGCTTCTTTGACTCCATTCGTAGATCTGAACCCCGGTTACAAAATTTTTACAATTGACGGGGCCAGGGGGAAGGATTCCACGTGGGATGTGAGGCTTATTAATTACTACGCATCCAACAATTAGTGCGTATAAATAAAGGATAAACTGTTCTATACTTCAGGTTTTGGAACATGAAACGTGGATTTATAACTTGACAGAAGCAAACATAAATCCAGCCGTCCCTCCACGTTGGTTCAGATTGTACAAGGCAAGCAATCCAAATGTGTATTGTGTGGAAATATTTTGCAATTTGCTATGAAAATTGGCGAATAGGCATGTATGTATTCTATGCCAGCAAAGGACCAGTGGCATTATTTTTCTTAGCAAATGGCAATCTTGCTTTTCTATACTACTTTATGAATTTTTGTATGATTACTTATGTGCATATCTTAGGCTACTGAAGCATTCGAACTACCAGACTTGTCGCCTCAATCGTTAAACAATTTTATTCAAAGAATGACTTACAATGCCACTGCCTTCAATATTTACTACAGGTGAGTTTTAATTGTTGTGCCCCGTAAACATGCCTTTAATCTGTTGCGTGATACATATATGCGTATTTTTAGATTGTATCATAAGGACACCGACTCCGCTCTGATACCCGGGTGTGACGCAATGTGTCGGAAACGGGTCCTTTGCGGAATAGTCGCACCTAATTACGACGAGTATAAAATTTGCGTACAACTAAAACCGGAAGTGAAAGGAGTCATAATTTCTCCCAGTCTGTTCTCCGTTGGGGCCTCCGCTCCCTTGAAGCGCGCGTCTGCAGAGTCCCCCTTCCAAAGGATGCTTTCTTTCGGAAAGAGTTTATTTAAGGCCTTCGGCTAATGCAGAAACTTTAGGTTATTCTGTGAACATGAGTCATCATGAGTGAGAGAGACATTTACGTATTGCTATTTATCACCCAGCGTGATGTGTGTGTGTTTGTGTGTCGTAACTGCAAGTATTTATGTGATAACTCATTTGTTTGAAAATGCAGTGCGAGTAAAAAAAAATAGATTTAACCAATGCCATATTGTGATATTTGTAAACTTTGTATCGTCTGATGTATGAATACTTAGAATTGATTTTAATCCACGTCTTACTTCCATACTCATGAGATATAATGTCATCTCATGCATGCGCACATATTTAAATATGTGCAACTGTACTTAGGAAATAAGTAAGTTTGTAGTACCTACAAGGCCTCCACCTTAGGTATCGGGGGTCTTCGTGGGGTATTTATTTAGGTTTTTTTACTATTTTGACCCTGTAGTGCAAATCACAATTAAAGATTGAGATATTTAGTTACTGATATTGCTAGTTATCCTTGTTAAGTTTTGTACTACTCTAAGTACATATGTGACCACCTAAAACATGTTAAAATTAACGCAAACTCTAATTGTAAGTACTCATATGCAGAAAAATACAGAATCAATCTGTACATATCTGTTTCCATTTGTTAATTTTCCATTCACTTAATTAATTCAAAACTCGCTTTATATTTGTGTATAAGGCGACAACACGACTTTATATTGATGAACCGTATCATGATTTATTTACTGTTGAATAAATGCTTTCACTTTTAAGTTGCATTACAACTTGACGAAAGAAGGTCCTTGCGCTTTAACCACCGTGGCCACAAACTCAAACCTCAACGATTATATGTACCCAGGCATGAAATTTTCTTAAGTAATATTAAAGTACGTGAATACACAGATTCTTGAGCATCATACCTGAATTTGATACACGAATTTTATTTGTAATAATTTTAAACATATATAAAATCAAAATAAACGGTCAATCTACGAACGGGAAATTTTTTAGTGAGAAATTTTAAATTTAAATTACTCGAGCTTGTAATTACTAATTCTTAGATATTACAAAAATTATAATACAGAATGTCATATGGGATTATGCACTTCGGCTTAAAATCCTAAAATGACGGAATGAAGGTCAAATTTATTCATTACAACATTACTTCGCATCACGTAATTTGTCATTTGTCTTGCATAAGAACAGTGAAATGGACATGTTTAACTACATATTTCATTTCACGATTCGGAATCCTTGCCAAAAACTTTGCATGTAAGCTGAGTCAAGATTTAAGTTGTAGGAAATTACGAAATAAATACCTGCTTGGCTTCTCCTTCTGCCAAAGTCAACAAAATACTATTGTCATACACATAAATGCAAAGTTATTAAGTCCGGTTTCATCAGTCTGTACTCATCGTACGGTAAAATCACCTTTTCAGAAGACGAACAAACTAGTTATGGTCTCTGGACGTGCCAAATATTATGCATTTAGACGACACAGTTATAATTGCACAACGCTCCAACTGCTGTCTCTAAGAATTTCATGGCATCATCGCCTTTTCGTCATGCGTTCTTCTTCAGATGTAGACGTACTCAAATCAGTCGATTAATGTACTTGTAAAAAATTAAAACTTAATTGACTTGATACGTATTAAATTCATAAATTTAAAAAAATGTACATACATAATAGTGATATTAAATGAGTTCTTCAAAATGCATACAAAAAATGAAATCATGCATGTCACCCGAGGAATAATATGTTATATTTTGCTATAATTAATTTTCACCAGTTTGAAAAGTTAGAGACTGCTTAGACTGATCATTGTTCTTAAATTAGAAAGTTGTAGTGTAAAAGGTTTCCCCCGCTGAAAAAAAAACGATTAGAAGCAAATCATCTCGATGTTGATTGTGAGTACAACACAGACTTAGACTTGTTTTACATAAAGGAGATAAAAGCAACAATCGATCACAAATCATAATAGCTCACCTGCCCCCAACGGTGTGATCTCATAAGGTCAATTAACTTATATCTGGTACAATTCATGTCAAAAATAATTCATTGGTTCCGACACTTATTTCTTGATTACTTTGATTTCATTCAGCTTTTTAAATTGACCCAACCCAATCTACGCTGATGTGTATCCTACTAAAAAATACATTGCACATACAAGTTTCAGACGACGACACAGGTTTCGAGAACCTGAACTTGAAAATATACTTGTAAAAAATGAAATGACTTTGCCGTCCTGTCTTGCCACTAATTTGTTAGCAACAATTTCTCGAATGATTGAAATAGAAATAAAAAAGCAAAAGTTGAATGAGTAGCAGAAAAAAGTAGACAGAGCTTTGGATTATCTAGAAAGATGAAAGTCTGAAGAAACCAAGAATCGTAACGATAAAAATGCAAAGAAAAGGAAAGGTCTTGAGCGACTACAATTACAATTTGTGACTGACTTTTATTTCAAATGGACATCCGACAACGCATTGATTTATCCCCTTCATTCATTCATGCGTAAATAAATAAATAACGAATTTAGGTGATCTTATATGGTAGCAGAGTATATACAAATGCATAATATATGCACGTCGTTAAACATATGAAGAGGGCTTCAGTTAAGTTTTACGGTGTTATTAATTTTTTAAGTCAACGTCATGAAATTGCATCGCAGTCAACGTATGTGCATATGTCTGTTCAACATGTATGGATGTACATATGTAACTAATTGTAAGGATACTGCATGAGTATAACACAGGAAACAATGCATATGTAAGGTCACCAATTTTTCATAGCCTGCAAGCTCAAGTGATGGTGTTTTACCCATTATTTTGCAAAGATGAGAATTGCGATGGCCCATTGGTTGTGTTGGCGTTATGTTGGTGATCAAATATTTTTCATTGTTATTGAATAGAAATCGCAGCAAAAATCAAACCGGTTCCCTGCATCAGTCAAGTTTTTGCATTTGTAGGTTTTAAGGTAAGATTCGATCCAAATTTTTTCAGTGAGATTTTCGTCTTCCGTATGAATGACACGGTCAGTTGCTTATAGTTTACAGTTTCGACTCGTTTGATTCGTTTTATGCCAGTAGTAGCAGTGACCAGGTGAGTCCGCGTCCTCCGCAAGTTCAATCTCAGTCACTCGTCAAAGTGCTTCTATACCAATTCTTATTTGGCAAGGGTGGTGGCGAGAAAGTACAGTTTTGTGACTGACCCAGGCTACAACAGGTCACTAAAAAGGTTTACTACATTTCCAGAACTGTCAACAAAGCAATAATGAAGTCCTTCATCGTACTACTGGCCCTTGGAGCCTGTGTCCTATCCGTTTCTTCAGCCAAAATCCCCAGTCCCCAAAAGGAGGACACCAGGATTCAGCTCCAACCAGACACATCCGTTGCTCGTGGTGGTTGGGGAAGTGCGTCAGAATTCTTCAGTGGGTATGGAGAATCAAATATTGAGTTAAAATTAAATTCTTCCTTTTAAAAAACCTCTAACAATTCGTGTTTCCTACTTTTTTGTTTCCCACTCCAGACCTCCAGCCATCTTTTTTGCCCCTGTCATTGCAGTCGGACTTATCATCGTTCTTTGGGTTGCTGCATATAACACCTTAAGGAGCCCTCCACCAAAAATTGGGTTCGGAGGTAACTCGCACGCCTACACAAAGTCGAGTAGGATTGAGTAATTGATTTTTGACTGTGAACTTGCAGGTGGTGCTCAAGGGGGAGGTGGTGGTTGGGGATGGGGATCAGCCAATGGCGGGTGGGGTGTAAGTCCATCTGGTGGTTGGGCTGCTCCTGCTGCTGTCGGCGGTGGGTGGGCCGCTGCTGGATCGGAACAATATGAAACTGCTGCTGGGTCCACGCTACAAGCTGCGACCGTCGCCAACGCCGTGGAACAAACAGTTGCTGCTACTGGTCAACGGAGTCTGAACGATTTAACACATCGTGTCCTTACCAGCATTGAGAGGTAAAAGCTGCGTTAGGGAAATTATTGAAATAATGATGCAAACTATGGACATTAACATTTGTGGCACTATTTTCCCTGTGGCAGGGGAGAACAAGCTCAACACTAAGAAAAGGAAATTATGGGACACACAAGGACCACCAACCGTTCTCATTGTTTTCCATTTAGTGTAAAATAACTTATTGCCCAGTATGCCACCTGGAACCTCATGGAAATATCGATATAGGATACGTTCAAATATAATATAGGCCAAAAATTGTACGAAAGTTGTTTGTTGAATTATGTACTTTTGCTACGCGTGCCATAAGTTAATAAAAAAGGATAAATGGTATAAAATATCTACGTATCGTACGTATCGTATATGCACATAGTTCCTTAATCATAAAGCAATTGCCGTTCATAAATAGCCAAAGATTTTCTTAATTGTACTTTGTTCAAATGCATCTTTCTGCGTCGGAGAAAGTGTAATGAGGTTATAACAGAGCATGCTGTACATACATATGTCCACACATTCGTGCACTATGCTCATGCAGGCGGAAATTTAGTCGCTTTTTAGTAAATGAGACATTAAACTAATTAATGGTCACGATTCTCAGTTAAAATGTATCAGTTTCATTTATTCATTCATTACTTTAAAAGAGCATGTTCATTGATAAATTACTATCGCTTTATCTGAGTCATCATCATCTCACACCTGCCCAGCAAATCAACCTGATGAACTTTCCCTTCTTCTCCTCCTCAAATTTTTACAGCTTTTGCATATCACACATTCTAAAAATATATGTATAGTTAATTAATCTGTAACTTGGCTTATTTAATCTGAGATCCACATTTTTTAATATGCGTATTTTCATCTTCGGTTTCAGAACACTCAACAAGTTGTCTTATGAGCGGTGGACCTACAATACATACATTCAATCACAAGTTGGTATTCTGAAATTCCTGACGTGTCATTTTCACAATTTTGCATATTCACGAATAAAATAATTGCAATTAATTATCTTTAAGCACACATGATTTTATACAAAAAATTGGGAGAAATCAGCCCCAGCCATCAACAAGTCTCACTCTCAAGCACGCTTCCTTCATGTAAGAATAAAATATGCCTTGCATTTTCGAATGAAATGCTAATGGCACAGGTGACAGGATATCTCCCAACAAATTAAAATTGCTGCAAAGCTTTACATTCATTCAAGATCGCGCTTACATATTTATACCCAACCACCACTTATCATCCTACATTTTTGAGGATGAATGAAGGTATTTAACGTACGTATTTATGTATGAAATCTTCTTAACGAATAACAATATGCAAGTTGCGTTGCTGCATTTCCACCATTCGGATCAGCTCTTTCGACGTTATTAAACAATTAAACTGCACTGCATACATTGTTCCACAGGGATGAAAGCTCGCCACTCGATGTTGTGGGGCCGTTGAAAAAGATTTCAGCCTACAGACGACGCAGAATGCACTTGTGCTCACCAGTGCAGGAGACCTTTTCAAAAGCGACGCGTATCGGAGCTTGTCGAGATATCCCATTTTAAAGAAGCGAAGGCATTCCGCCCGTATGTACGACACGGTGTATGTTGAAATGTAAGTACATAATATGTACATGTGAGGCGTGGATAAGGCTTGCGCGTATTATTGCATGTTGCGGGCTGGGAAAAGGAACAGAGTCGATCGGTACATAAGCATGCACTTGATAGTTCAGTGGCCAAGGAAGAAGGATCAACCGTATGTATACACATCTTTTAAACCGGTTGGTTCGCATAATTTTTGCGTTTCTGTTTCTGGGTTTTAAGGTTAGGTACTGATCCACATAGAGTCAGTCAGTTATCCGACTTGAACCTCGCTGTTGTTGAGTCCTATTTGAAATTTTTCTCGGACACCGCGTCAGTCACTGTTCCTTCCTTGGCTGAGCTTGACGTTGGAATAGCATCTCCATCATCCAATTATTCATACCACACAGTTTTTCAAAATGAAGTCAGTCCTTTTAGTCGGTCTCTTTGGAGTCTTAGTCACCTTGAGTTACGCTGCGAAATCAGCCCACTCGGAAGGACCAGAGTCCAGAGCGGATTTGGTACGTGGTCAAGAACGTGGGGATAAGGGCGGTCATGGCGGTGGCGGTGGTGGTGGTGGTGGAGGTCACCATGGTGGAGGCGGCGGTGGCGGTGGGGGTCATGGCGGCGGTGGTGGTGAAGGTCATTCCGTCTACCATGAGACTGCTGGACAGGAGTTGTTCCAAGGAGAGGAATGGATGTTGCTGGTGCCCTTGGTGTTGATCCCTCTCATCATTTTGGGATGTTGGTACTTCATGGGCGGAAAGGGCGGTGGGGACGACGGCTGGGGATGGGACAGAATGGGTTACAGTGACACCAACACGGTGGGAGGAACTGGGTCCGGCTACAATTCTGGCAGCTACGACACGAGATCCTTTGTCCCGGCGGATTCCATGGACAAATCGACGCATCAGCGAATCATGAACAGCATTCAGCAGTAAAGGGATTCATAACCTAAAGTGACTTTATCGACTCATGTAAGTGACTTTAAAATATATTTTGTTGAGTATTATGTGTGCGTGGGTGGTGAGACTTTCTACTGGTTAATTATAAGCTCCTTTTCACCTTTGTTTGCAGCAGTACTCTAAATCTACTCTCTGAGACCTGGCCTTCTTTATGTTCGCAAAAGGGAATTCTTCGCCTTGTTTGCAAAACCGACTATATAATACTTTACTCTGGGGATTATCTAACTGGGTCAGACTGTTCTGAATTTTTGCACGATGCAAAAACAAGTCTGCCAAATCTTACTACTTATTAAGTACTGGGACAAATACGACATGTGATTCGATTCAATTTTAAGAACCCACTCTCGGCGGCTCGATTTATAAATTATTGAGAAATTTTAGTCTATTTAATCTTACATTAATTTGACTGCAATGACGACTTGTTTCAAACGAGTTGTTTATACGTACATTTACCAAACAAATCAATCAACGAGACACATACCAGAATACTCAATTACTCCGTTTGTTGGTCATTTATTTTTGTTATTTTTTGCTGTGTGGAGTGAGAAAGAAGCTGCAAGGAAAGGGATCAATTTGTATCAAGAACTTAGTGACAATTAAGCTGCTATGTAATATACCTTAATTGTTAGCCATACCCCATAAGCAGACAAAATGACTATGTTAATATATTTATTAAATTTTTTAAAGTGTTGTTTTGTATTATTAACTACGATACTCGAAGGCGACAAATGCTGAAAAATAAAAATGCAATGCTAAATAAAAACAGAAAAACAAATGTGTTATTTTCGCTGACTTTTATTTATGCAATTACCGACGAAAGAAAGCCAACCAAGGCAAAGGTCACTAGGAAATAAGGACATTGTGACCGCACATCCGAGTAAAACGTTGATAAACCAACCTGACGAGATAATGTGTGCCTAAATACGACGACTTTGTATGCATTTATTTACTTGTACAACGACTTGTACAGTTTCTTAGCTGACGAAGCCGTTGCAACAACTTAACCAAATCTTGAATTATTAGATTCTTGCTTGACTGATGAAGCTAAAAAAATGTTGTAGGTGTGTTCCTTGTTTTCATGTGTGTGGTAGTTGACTCTGACTCGTTGGTCATTTCACATTTTCGCCAAAGGTTAAATGGAAATTGATACAGTCTACAAAAATGTGATCACTTTTCAGCAAAAGTTTAACAATTTGCAAACTTAATCACGTACAACATAGATAGTAATGCAGCTTTATTTTCGAGATGGGAAATCATACCTTGTAAATCTGAGCATGTGGCAGTGAAATTTTACCCCTTTCTATTTACTTAATACCCAAATTAATAAAATTTCAAATCAATCTTGAATTGAATGAAATGGAAAAACTTTTGCTTTTATTAACATCAAAAGTCAAAGGGAATCCGAGTCAATAATGTTATTTTATTCCAACAAAGATTTAATAAATAACGGATGATTGAAACATAGGCTGTTGAATAATGGAATGTGTGCACTGGTAAAACCATGGATGATTTCCTTGTGTCCAAAAAACGGTACCAAGGAACCTGTCTTCTTCTTTGCGAGAGGCAATATTATTTAATTAACTGTGATCCTGATCAGATATCATCTAGGATAACATGCCCCTGCCACCTTCTTCAGCGTGACCTTGCTTGAATAATTAAACCGGAATTTTCCCAATATCTCAATCAAATATGCAGAAGATGAAACCATCCGGGTGCTTGCGAAGATAATCCTTCAATCGTGCTACATTACATATACGTACGTACATACATACGTACATAAGTAGTACAAATCCAAGTATGTATATAGCCAACATAATTTGCCGATGAAATACTTGTGCTTGCAAAGGGAGGAGGACGAGACCCGAATCCTGCCCTATTTTTCTGACTAAACCAGAAGTCAACCAAATCAAGCAAAGGTCAGCCCAGCAGCAGACAAGGATGATTGCCAAAATTGAGTTAGATAACCATTCATGTACATAGAGTCAAAATGAGTGTGTGAGTCAGTCATTATTATTACTTACGACCACTCCATACTTACTACTGCACTGTGTTTTTGTGCTACAAGTCCTGGTGGTCATCGTCATCAGTATCACCGGTTTTGCTTGTGGGTCTTAAATATTTGTGTGGGGAACGTTGCCTTTGCGTGGAATATGGGGCAGGAGAGTGTTTTTGATGGCGTGCCAAAACAATTCTCTCATCTCGGACTCATCACCTTCTGCAATTCTTTATCACTTCCTCTCACCTTACGAGAATGTCGTAACAAAGCACCGAACATATTCACGACATGCTAACCCACGTATTTATGTAGGAATTTAGAATTTAAATGTACTATTGTAGTCTCATAATCATTGTTGAATTTCCCCCCAACTTCTTAAAGGTTCGCAAATTTTAATGAGGATCAAGATTTAACGATTGAGGATCTTTTTAATTTAAATTATGCTAAGGATACAGACGGACGTTGTTAAATCTCTTAGCATGGTTGTCCAAGGCATAAAATATGGAATTCGTGCAACCTTAATTGTTATTTGCTCAAACTAAATTAATGATGAGATGCTTAATTGTAATTTGTTGTTCTGTGCGGCTAACAAATGTTAAGGAGTAAAAATCCTCACGTAAAAATTCACGGGTTTGCATATCTGGGTAAAGAAAATAGAGTATCTTTCTGCTCCTTGGGTATCAAACTATTTTTTACCACAGAGAGCGCAAAGTCACAGGTTATAAATTTTTCCTGTGTTATTAAGGTAAACATAATTTAGTTCCTTAAATGGAGTAAACAATGAAATCGCAATGTTCGTTTGTACCTGTCGATTTAGGCGGATGGGGATGGATCCAAATCTAAATAAGGTTTACATTGCACAATTGAGATTTTTTCGGTTGGCTTACAATAAAGAAATGCTAAGATTCGCCAATTTATTGCTGTACAGATGCTGAGGTCTGAGAATCTTCTTATTCTACTTTTCTACGTTGCTTATTCAACAACTAATATGCAGCTTGAAGCATGTAGTTCTGGTCTGCATACATGTATCATATTTCAGAATTTGAATTATTTAAAGTAATCCGTATCTATCAAATCATTTAGTTAATTTGATACGGTGTGCTAATCAGGCGTGGATTTTTGTGGTATGCAATTTGATCAAGTAACCTCGCAGCAGTAACGACTAACGTGCTTACTTGGAGCTTATTTAGAAGACTTTCACTGATTTATACTACAAAGAATAATCACTTAATTATATTTTAATACGAGAAACTTTATACTTACGTATAAATATCTGATTGTTGTTCTGCTTACAATCAGATAATCCTCTTGTCGTACGCTTTCATGAATAATTATATGAATCTTCTCTTTATATCTGAAATGAGCTAAAAGTGTATGTTTAGCATCATTAGCTTCAGTATTGTAGGTCGATCGAATCAATGCAGATTTCTGGTTTTACTAAAAATTAAAGGATGAAGTGTGTGGCATGTAAGTATTTTTTTTCATGGGAATAGGTCAAGAAAATAGGTATGTTACGTTACACTTGTTGCATTATACTCACGGTATTGTTCACACTTCACGTTCACACATGTGTGAACCCAAGTTACAAAGATATGTACATAATTAACGCCATAATAACTCGTTACCCGTACCGTGTTACGGTTTAAGTAGATTGAACACATTCCATTTTGATTTCTGAAAACCTACAAATCCTGAACGTCGACGTAATAATTAGCATGAATCGGCTCATTTCTATTGGTCACGTGGAAAGGCATGTTCCTTCGTCAGGCATGACACGTTTATCTTACTTTATACATTTTTTCATGTGTAAACGCATTTGTGGTCGATAAAACAAACATGAGTGAGATTGAGAATGACTGAAAATGCAAGTTACAACTGGACAGTAGAACAAGAACACGTATTGTTCCATGATACAGCACTTTTATGTGCGAGGCTTCATATTTATTTTGGTCAAATTTACAAACCGAAGGAACAAACCAGAAAGTATGACATGCAATCAGAGTTTGCATTACATACATGCAAACATTACAACCGGACTGGATAGGCTTGCGTTTCACAATATGATTTCCAGTCTATATAAAGCGTAATGTTTGGCATTGGAAGGTTGTGGTTGTGCTATAAGAATATGTATATCGGTTTGTTGCCGTCCAGTGAAACTTCACTTTTTTCCTCTCTGACCTTGAGATCCAGTGTTATTAAAGCAAGTTGTGTTGCAAAACTGCAAATCATTCCCGTTCCCGAGAATCATTCGAGAACCCGCAACTTCTGGCTTGTGAATTTCGGATTGCTTTTCTCTAAAGAAAAATTTACATCGAAGGTAATTAATATAAAATTTAACAAGTTTCTTTTAACAGTGTCAAATTGACACATAAAAAACAACCCTACAAATCCATATCATTGTTGGTATTTTTTAGAATCATGGACTTCATTTTTGGTGGCTCTGCGTTAAACAAGGGGGCCAACTTGGTCACCGTTGGAATTCCGAGAGAGTTTGGATATGTGGTCCTTGTAGCTGCAGCGTCTGCCATCATGATAATTTGGATGGGAATCCAGGTCAGGAAATACGAGCATACTTTAATCCACTCCGCATGATTGCCGGTATAGAATATTTTGAAAATATGGAAATAAATAGGTGGGGAAAGCTCGCAAGAAATTCAAGATAACCTACCCGACGATGTATGCTCCAAGCGATACGAAGGAAGGAGATCACTTCAATTGCTATCAAAGGTATTTGAATGAATGTATACCGAATCAAAGACACGCATGATTCGGTATACTGCAATTAGTAGTAATTAAATCAATAATTTAAAAAAAACTCTCGAATTTCAAAATGACATGTATTAATATTAAATGCTCCATTTTTCCTTGGAATGTTTAGAGCTCATCAGAATACTTTGGAGGGCTACCCAACTTTCCTATTTTTGTTATTTCTCGGGGGATTGGAAATGCCAGTATTTTCCGCGTTGGCTGGGGTGGTCTTCATTTTGGGAAGAATTTCGTATGCTAGAGGTTACTACACTGGAGACCCGAAAAACAGGTGCACAAAATAACGCTAAATACATACATACGCTGGCTAACTGATCCTCTAGCAAATTGTGGACATAATCTAACTTAAATTTTAACATTTCCAGATTGAGAGGAATGTACGCAATGATCGGAGTTCTCGCTCTTTTGATAGCAACACTCAAGTTCGGCATTCGCCTCATTTGCATGTAAAAAAATAAAATCAGTTTTGAATTACAAATTCGGGATAAATTAATGTCACAATGTGAATAAAATATACTGTGCGGGGTTATATTTCAATGTACACATTTTATATTTATTATATGCATATACATATTTGAAAATTAAATCAAATCAAATCAAATTAAGAGAGTCAAATATTGGGCTTCATTGAGTATTTAAAAATTCTACACATCGCCGATCGTAATATGATGCATTTGCTGAGACGAAAGACTTTCTAAGAATCAATCAGTATTTCAAAACGAACAGATCCCAAACGGTTTATACGGTCATGAATGATGTTTTTTGCCCACGCTTTGCACTCCACATTGATAAGTACGTCACCTATGAGAAAATTTAGATTATCATTTATCTAGGAGATATGTATTTGTTGATTAAACTCTTATTTAATTTTCTATCACGATCAACTTACGCATTGGGTTCTTCAATTGTACAAAGATGAATGGGGATTGATAGCCGGGTTGCCTATGGGTTTAAAACACAGAGTCATATTTAGATGTATATATTGCGGTTTTATAAATAATTTTTTTTATATAATTAATTAGTTATATAATTAATTTTTTGGTGCCGGTAGCTAATATTCATGAATATTTATTTATGTAAGGGATTACTTGTGATATGGGAAATATTTTCCGGATATGCCTTGTCGGTTTGACGGGAAGTATGCAAAAGTGCCCAAGTTCTCTTGATCCGGCTTTGCCTCACCGTTACATGTAATCCAAATTGTAGACAGAAAGTTTGCTCGCTGTTTCAAAAAATAGTTTTTAAATTTTCTAGGATCCGTGTACATATTCTAGACGTATTTTACCTTGGCGTCATCTGATATGCTATTCACATTCGAGAATATGTATGTTTTAAGGCTGCTGGGCATTCCCTCGGCTTCGTTAAGGTCATCGTCTAGCAACTTTTTGTCATACTGACCATTCTCGTTGATGCCATAACACTCCGGCTCCCACCCAAAAATCTATATCCATTTATAATCAGTTATAAACCAGCGTAATATTTAAGCATCCCAGTTACAGACATTACTAAAATTAATACTTAATTATTTGTACCCTGTTCAATTTTAGTAGAATGCATGGATCTCCACTCTCATAGCCGAATTTGTTGGCTTTAGTGCAAACGTTCCCGAATTGACTGACTTCGACGCGACAAGATTTTTCATTCGTCGCTTTCATATCTCTTTCGCAGGAGAGGACGTCACTGTTGTACACACTTTGTTCGACCCCTGCGCACATAAAAATAACGAAATGTTCAAAAGAAAATTCCAGCAAAACCAATACGAACTTAACCACCAACATGGTTCTACTCATGGAGTTACATATACTTTTAATTAGTAGTATACATATAGATACATCTGTGCACATTTGAGTCATATTTATTAGTACCTGTAACATACTCGTCCAGTTGGCGGTACCAAAACTTGGCGTCGGATCTTATGAAAAATAACATTTCTTTAGCATTTCTTTATCCTTGCTTTGCATCAATTTAATTTAATTCACCTCTTCCCCAAAGTGTACCAGATAAGAGTAGAGCTGGAAAATAAAAAGTGGGAATGTACTACACGTTTTTCAAGTATGAAAGTCAGAAAGTACGAAATTGTAGAATAATATTGAATTTTTATGCGAAATAAAGAGGCGAAACCCTATACCCAGCATTTGTATCGGGGTCCGGCATCGGGCGATAACCTGTTAATTATGAAATAAATCAAAATTAAAGTTGAATGGTGTTTTTTAATCTTTTTTTTGGGTATTGAAGATTTGTATTAGTAACTTGCCCATTCCAGGATTTGTTCCAATCAAGCTGTCACCTAATATACAAAAGATTATTCAGATATTTGATAATGTAATAAATTTATGGACAATTCATTGATCAGACGATCACAGACGAGCTAAGATAAAATCTAACGAGAAAAGCACAGCAAAAATCACTGTCTTACCTAACATCCATCTGGGGTCTATATTTTCAAATAACAAATTTGAAATATTAATCTATTTAATATTATAATTGTAGATAAATTTTCAGTAAATTTCTTCTCACGTTCTTCCGTAAGTGTCTTTGAAAAAAGGAAATAGCACAATCCAGCAAACGCTGCCAATCCGATGTAAAAGATGGTGTAAAATATGGTTAACTTGGCTGAAAAGAAAATTCATTCAGTTATTCGCCGTATTTTAATTTTTTAGTACATTTTAAAACAAATTTCTGCTCTAAAAAGGCAACTCACCCCATGCTAAACCTGTTCTTCCAAAAAATTGACGAGTCTCCGAGTTCCAAACGTAGGTGCTGAAGCGGTCGTCGTAACCCGTGTAGTTCTTACCCCCGTTGCTTTCTTCTTTTCCCATTTTCACCAAAAGATTTTAGAGATAAAGGCACTTTTGCAAAATCAATGAACAAAGGTTCGGAGATGGCCTCAAAAAATTAATGGAGGAGTCAAGACGCGAAGCCAACGCCAAATCGCTTACACTTAGGATTAGCCGGCCCACTTACAATTTACTGATGCCGAATTGAATGAAGTTGATTGCAAAATTAATGTATACGGTTAGTTATGTATGGAATTATGGTGTGTCATATAGTGTAAAAAGTTTTTAGAACCTAAATACTACACACATATATACTTTACAACCAGTTATTGGTCATGGAAAATTGTGAACAAGTAGGCAGCCAGATTTGAGCAAGTTATACACTAGCGAAAGCCGTCTTCTTAATAAATCTTGTGAGTCTGCTGGAGTTAGCTGAATGCCAGGCACAAATTCCAATAATTTAAGACATGAGCCAGCAGGACACGCAGACAACGATTAGTATCGTGACATGAGATTGAAATGATGAGTTACGTATAACAGACTTCTTCTTATGTCATGTCGTCCATCTCTCCGCTAATGGCTCAGCACAAAAACCTTAAGTTTCGTTAAATAACAAACTTTATACACAAGACCTCCAACAAGATTGAGCCATTTGATAACCTCGGCAAGTTCGTACGTATATATATATCGGTGCTATACTACATGTGTAACAGGCATGCGATGAGATGTATATCGTCTCGCCCAGAAGATTTGTGTCAATGGTCTTAGCTACCATTTATTACATATTATTCTCTTTATTCAGCGATATAATTGTAGTTCGTAAATGGAGATGAGTTATCCAGTTAGTTGTGCTTAATAAGTAGATGAAATAAACGGTTGAACAAAGTAAAATCTGCTCCACACACTTGTGTCCCATACACACCACACCACAACAGCAGCCACGAAAAACTAACTACAGAGCACCATAACGTCCATAATTCAACAGAAATGACGGTGACGAACTAACTTTCATGCTTTATGTACCAAAATTTAACGTTGTTTGTTGAAGATTAGAGTCTTTATTATTATTGTGACTCGAGCTGAGGATGAACAGTTTATTTATTTTTCTTGTATTTTATTTACAATAAATGTGAAAAAAACAAAGATTTGTATTCAGTAATGTAAATTATATTTACGAAGATGTCCTCCGAACCCTTGCACAACCAAATGGACAGCCAATGCAGCAACGCAGCGTGGATGTGAGCTGATGGATATTAGAAACTGGATGGTTGTTGCTTTCCTGCAAAATTGAGCCCAGCCACTTTGACTTTTGCTGCAGATTCTACATTTTGGTTACCTAAAAGTTAACAAGGCTGATGAGCATAGCACTTCATAGTGACGAGATTTGATTGTCCTGCATTGAGTGGAGATAAGCTCGAGTATATGTTTCCAGTTCCGGTTCAGTTTAGTTTAGTTTGCTTGCATTGCTGATAGGAATGCAATTTTTTGTCAGCATTCGAGCAAAACCAGACCAGTCTGGTTAAAACCAATTTTGCAACCAACCAACCAACTTAACGTGCTTCCCTTCTCTTCTGTTGAAGACTTAGATAGCCAGGCATTCATGCCTAAGGTTAGCGACCCACATCTGTATGCAATATTAGTATATGCGTACACGTGTCGATGCGAATCGCAATATGCGTTGAATTGCGTTGTGCGTCTACATTTTTCATTGGGAAACTGGTCAAACAATGTGCAGATTGGGGTTTATTGGACTCGAAAGGAACACATTGTTGTCGCCAGTTCAATTGGAGTTGAAAATTTTAATCTGGGCTGATACTTCGCATACGAGATGAGGGATGCATCTACTAAATAGGAATTTGGCTACGTGCATTTGTTGGAGACAAGCATGCTTTTAATGTTGATGATCTCTTCTGCCTGGCAGGAGCTTTGCAAAACCTTGTACATAAATCGCAATGCGTGTAGCTACGCCATTTACACCAAAGTAACTGTAGGCTTGGTGGATATGTATTTGCTGCGTTGAAAATTAATACAGCACAACAATTTGTAACGCAATAAAGTTCAATAACAAATTGAACTTAAGATGAAAGCTGAACACAACATTGTTCAGAAATAATGATAACAATAATATTTTTACAAAATGAAAGTGATGCTAATTAATTATTTCAATTGGTTGTTAAACTGCATTTTAGTTTTATTTTCATATACTTAAACCATGCACGTTTTACAAATATCATGTTTTTTCATATTTTCCGTTGGACAAGCAATGGAGGAAATATCCTTCCAAAATTCTAGTTTGGAAACGGATAGAGTTCTGGACGAAGAAGAATTTGTGTTTGACCAACTGAAACCAGCCCCAGATTCCGGAAGCCATCAAATCCTACGGGTGTCTTTGAATCCTGACGACCCTCCCGGTGAGTGGGGTTCTCCAGTCGTGATATCAAATCCGACGACAGAACAACAGACGCTCATAGCCAGAGGTTACGAAAGGAATGAATTCAACGAATATGTGTCGGACATGATTCCGATTAACAGAAAACTTCCTGACTTTCGAAACGATTGGTACGAAAGGTTTAAACATGATTTTTTAGATAATCAGAAAAATAAGTTCATGGTGCGCCAAAAATTGTATCTTAGGTGTAAAAAGCCAAGATTGCACTTGCCAGAAGAACAGCTACTTCCGACAAGCGTGATAATATGTTTCCACAATGAAGCGTGGTCAGTTCTACTTCGGTCAATTCATTCCATTTTGGATCGGACGCCGCACAATCTCCTCTCGGACATTATTCTTGTCGACGACTTTTCCGACTTTGGTGAGTTGCATTTTTACGTATTTATGAGCAGAGTCGATCGGAGTGTAAAAATCAAACAACCCGTCAAAATTTAATTTAGAACATTTGGGAGAAAAGTTAGAAAAATATGTTGCGACGTTGAGCAAAGTGCGATTAATTCGGGCACAAAAGCGAGAAGGGTTAATCAGGGCGAGGATGTTGGGTGCTTCGCATGCACAGGGACCGATTCTCACATTTTTCGATTCGCACATTGAAGTGACCCAAGGTACGGATTTACATATACATATTTTCGCATATTGAACTTGGGTAAGTAAAGTGGATCACCATTCACAGGATGGTTTCAGCCAATGTCCGACAGAATAACGAAGAATCGGACGGCCGTGGTTTGTCCAGTCATAGACCAAATTAACGAAGACACGCTGGAATTCAAAGTGGTGGAAAGATCAGTCACAATTGTGAGGTGTACATAATTCTAGCTAATTTTGCATTAAATAATTGTACGACTTCTATTTTTAGGTGGGTGGGTTTTCGTGGGATTTGATGGTATGGGGTGACAATAATAAGTATGCTAGCCCTTAGATATTTATTTATATGTACAAATGAATTCCTAGTTTAACTGGGTACCAGCACGAGACGAAGGTAGCGTTGGTTTATTTTTAGATGCATTGGTTCAATCATGGAACTTAATGATGAATTGATTTAATAGTTTTGCGAAGCTTGCGAACGCCAGCCGACCCAATTCCTTCTCCAACCATGGCAGGGGGGCTATTTTCCATTCACCGAGACTTTTTCAGATATTTAGGACAGTACGACGAAGAATACGAAATTTGGGGAGCAGAGAACCTAGAGTTGTCCTTTAAGGTCTTGGAAATCGAAATATACTTATTTAATAGCGAAAATTTCTTTTATGAAATAATTACAGAGTATCTCAAATATTTTATAACTCATCTCATCTCATATTTTGTAACACCGTTAACTTACAATTAGATTCAACAATTCCTTATTATTTAGATGGTCATTAACATGCTTATGCATCATTTTTAACTTATTTAAAATAGACTTGGATGTGCGGAGGAACACTTGAAATCATTCCGTGCAGTCACGTGGGTCATATTTATCGGAAAAAGTCACCATACGCTCATAAAGTAAAGAACGGATTTTCTTTACATCGAAATCTTGCACGGCTAGCTGCAGTGTGGCTTGAAGAATACGCCTCTTATTATTTCTCCAGGAGTGGAACTGGTCAAGTATAGCAGTAAAATCACAATTATTTAACGTTCGTTTTGCTAAAGTTTGGATGCAATTAAACAGTTTGACTTTGGCGATGTCACATCCCGACTCGAGTTAAAAAAGAAGTTGAAATGCCGACGATTTGACTGGTACCTGGAAAATGTTTTTCCAGACATGTTCAACCCAAAAAAGACGGTGGCGCACGGAGAGGTATTTACATTTTTCTATACAAAATGTCGACAGACATTTACTAAAGTCAATTTGCACTGGGAACAGGTGCGTAATCAAGGATTTGGAGGAGTTTTATGTCTGGACGCAAACTCCTTGACAGTTGATGGGATAAATTCACCCGCAATTGTTTGGCCTTGTCATAAGCATGGAGGCAATCAAGTAGCTACTCCACTAAATCAAATAACATTAAATATTCTACTAAATTAAAGCAAAATCAGAATGCTTTCATCTTATATTTTAGTTTTGGTTTTACTCACCAACTGGAGAAATGAGACGCGAGGAATTGTGCTTGGATTATGCAGGGGGACCGAGCGTCAAAATGTACCCTTGCCATGGATCGAAGGGGAATCAACTCTGGATATACGATGATGAGGTCGAGTAACAATTAGAATTTTTCTAATCCATTACACATTATTAAGTCCACTCCATTTCATTACAAAAATAAATCTAATAAGCATAAATTCCGTAGACTGGATTTCTCTCCCATGTGCATTCTCAAGTAAGTCAATTTATTAATTAGTAAATTGAACTCAGGACAATATTAGTAGTGGGATTTGGCTGGGCTTAATGTGATCACGAGGAGTGAAGAGATTTGCTCCTCGCTCCTCCACTTCTTAATTTATACGTGGACGATAAGAGTTTATAATTAGAAATGGTTGACATTAATTTCTTTCAGCTCTGCTTGACAATGGACCAGCGAGATTCTTTGTCAATGGAACGATGTGAAGAAAGAATTACGCAAAGATGGAAGTTTGAAGCGTACAATAGAAATTTTGTACGGAAATTAAGCACACAAGTACAATCTAGCTTAAGGCATAACCAAGAAATGTTTACTGAACTTTAAACCTTTTATGTTTTTATTTATTATTTTTGTACTTATTTATTTACAACTGATATTTCATACAATTCGCATTATTATATTTTACGCTATGACACGTCAATTAAACTGAGACTTTCACTCACATTATTACAATTGTTTGTATGGTATGTTATATTTATTTATGGAACCAATTTCTATTTTCTTAATCACTCGAGTGATTAGAAATGTGCATGTGTAGTGTTACGAAAATTATTTATTGAGCAGAAATTATTATTTATTTGCTTCTTTTATTTATTTATTTATTTATATTATTTATCTCATGGAAGTTCAACTTATTTATCTGCTCGTAACAATTACTGTAAGAATATCATGCATTCTCCCAGAAAAAAGCTTCGACAGCTTCGGTGATCTTCACATTTCCATGTTCGGAGACACCACAAATGATCCCAATTTAGTTCACTTTGAGAACGAACAAAGTTTTATTGACCGTTTCGGCGAAGATCCTCGAATTGCAAAAATGTTCAACAAAACATCCCCTAGGACTCACAACGAAGACATTCCTGGAGACATGGGAATTCCCGTCTTCGTTGAAAATCCTACGGAGAAGGTCAGAAAAATTATAAAGGACGGATACAATCTTTACGGGTACAACAAATACGTGTCCGATTTAATTCCTATTGAACGAAGGCTACCTGATCGACGTAATGAGTGGTATGCCAAATTATTTAGCTTATATTCGTTTATTATTTTATCCGAATTTAACCAAGGGCTGTACTTGATAAATATTATTTAAAGGTGCTTTACTCCTAATCGAGTATCTAAAATGCTTCTGCCAACCACGGTGATTATGGTAAGAGGAACTTTTCAAATCAAAAAATTACTTTTTTCACTGCGCCATTTAAAAAAAAACATAGTTTTCTTTCTGTCTTGTCATTTTGATTTTATATAAATCATTATTTTGTTCTTTGAAATTCTTTGATTTATTCTATAAGATTTTCAAACGAGTCTCTCCTCATCATAAAACTATTTCCGATGATGTCTGTCGACTAAACATAGTTTTATGTATAATTGACGTGTATCGTCCTTTGCAGTGCGTATATAACGAAGCCCTGTCCGTCTTGTTAAGGACGTTGCAGTCCATCATATCTCGATCACCTCCACATTTGCTTGCTGAGATCATACTGATTGACGACTTTTCTGACCATGGTTTTACAAAAATATACATAAATATATTCAAAATTGTGCAGAACGTAACTCTGAAATTCGCTAATTTGATGTGCCAGATGATTTACGAGTGCATTTGAAGGAGATCATGCGACATATTTCCAAAGTAAAATTACTTCGACTACCAAAACGGGAAGGATTGATAAGATGCAGATTATATGGAGCGCTTATTGCTCATGCCCCCGTACTTACGTTTCTCGACTCGCACGTCGAAGTAGCTGAAGGTGAACAAAATCATTTTCCATGCAAGAAATTCCACATTTGCAGCATTAAAATTTCGGTTTTGTCATAAAAGGTTGGCTTGAACCACTTTTGGACCAGGTTAGAGACAAAAATTGATTCTTTTCTCTTTACAAGAGCAATAATATCGAAAAATTAGCCTTGATCTTTGCTTTTCACAGTCTCCTATATCTTATCCGATTTTTTTAAAACCTTACATCTATTCTAACTCTCTTTTTGTTCGTTGAAATATGTATGTATATGAGTCTAGTTTATTATTATATCATCTTCCTGTAGGTTACCAAAAACTGGAGATCAATTGCCATTCCAGTCTTTAATCTCATTAACCCTTCCACATTTGCCTGCAATTTTTCTGACCAGCCAGTTTCTTCTGTGGGTGGATTTAAGTGGGATCTAATGGTAAGTTCTGAAGTTTGTTTATTTATTATGCACGCTCTAGAATAATTATTATAATTCTAGAGTTCAATTTGATATTATGAAAATAAACTTATTGTTAGTTTGCCTTCAACGAAATCTCATCGTGGCACACAAGAAATGTGAACACTTCAGCCGACCCTATTCCATCTCCAACAATGGTCCGTCGTGTCTCTACAATTTTTATTTTGTGACAATTTGAAAAAACGTAATGGGTATTTTCAGTCCGGAGGATTTTTTTCAATTCACCGAGACTTTTTCAGCTACTTGGGAAAGTACGATGATCAGTTTGAGATTTGGGGAGGCGAAAATATTGAGTTATCCTTCAAGGTATTGTACTTATACATAACAGGCTAAAAAAGTAAAAAGCGACTGTCAAATCCGGTGTAAATAATTCAAGCAGATTTAATTATTTCAATATTTCAGACTTGGATGTGTGGGGGAAGTATTTATATTTTACCATGTTCGCATGTTGCACATTTGGAAAGAATTCGATCCGTATATTCTCGAGAAACGGTTAAAAGAAATAATGCCCGACTTGCTGCTGTGTGGCTGGACGAATTTGCACATTTTTACTTTGTCCGGGCTGGTCGGGGACAGGTATTTAGGAAAAAATCAAAAACCACATAATAATGTCCATGCAATGAAAAGTATATACATTTTTTTGGTACAACAGGGTTTGCCAAATTATGGGGATGTTTCTAGCCGTTTGGCATTAAGGCGAAGTCTTAATTGTTCCTCGTTTGATTGGTACTTGAAAAACGTTATTCCAAGCATGTTCAATCCTAAATCAGCATTAGCATATGGCGAGGTATTATTCTATGTCATTCTAGTGACATATGTAAATAGATATGTTAAGCAAGCCCGCGCTAGAAATTGACCAATTATTGCTAATTAAATCAAACAGGTGAGAAGTCTCGGAAGCTCAGAGCAACAGCTTTGCCTTGATTCTCACGGAACTGGAAAATTGAGCACCAATTATTCTCAATCTCTGCACTGGGAGTGTCACGGACTTGGAGGAAACCAGGTAAGTTCATCCATTCGAAGCTTGAGATTACGCATTGGTGCAGATTTTCATATAACTCATATTCTACGTAAATCATGTTATGTTCAAATGATTTTAAAATTGTTATAGCTTTGGTACTACACAGTCCTCGGAGAAATACGCGACGAACAAAACTGCTTGGACTTCTTCGGAGGAGAACGCGTCATTTTGTATCCGTGTCATAAATCCGGTGGAAATCAAGAGTGGGAATATCACGGAGAGGTAAATACGACACTGATTAAGAACAATAGCCCTTGTACTATGCAAATACAGTGTAATTGTGTACATAGACTGGAATAATTGTCCACACAAAGTCAAGACGCTGCTTGACTCTGGATGGAGCAGTTGGAAATCTGGCAGTTACGGCTTGTCAGGGGAGACTGGAGCAAAAGTGGAAATTTGAAGTAGACAATATTTATGACACTTTGAACAACTTTCGATTTTCACAATAACCCATCAAAGCAAACCCAATTTATTTACCTGACTAATGCAATAACATCGAACTAATGACAATTGACAATAAATGCAATTGCATAATATTTTTAATCAACTTCTAACATATGCATATTAATCACGTCTGCATAAATTATCAAATTCAGCTATTTCATTTCTAGTATTACAATTTCAAAAATATCGCTTCACATAACGAGAGCCATGTCTACAAATTCGTCAGATTCTGAAAATCTGCCTGAAATACAAGAGATTGTAGAATTGCAAAAGAAAAGTATTTGTACAAAATCACTCATTTTCGTAGGAATTGTAATTTGGAGCTTAGCATTTGCTACCGTTTCGTATCACTGTATCGAAAGTGAATTACATCGCCAGGGGATATCCGTTCCGGTAACTGAAACTGAAGGGAGGAAATTTAATGCATCAAAAACGAACACTACTCCAACCGATAACAGAGACAGCAGTCAAGAGAAGAATCGCGTCGTTCATTTCCAACAGTTCAGTCAGGACAGTCAGGAACAGAAAACTTCAAAGTCGTATAAAAATTTCAAAGACCGTGCATCCAAATTAGCAGCCCATAAATCCAATTCTAATCGTCAACAGTCAACCAGTGCTGAATCTTCTCTTGACAATCATCGTAAGGAAAACGGTAACGCAATCCTTGCAAATTCAGAGGTCGTCGAGGAAAACTCCAAAAGAATGTCGTCATCACAAGAAGAGACCTCTGTAGAAGAGTCTTCCGAAGGAGACGACAATGAGGCAAATCGCGACCTTGGTGTTCCCCAAAATATAATTCCTGAAATCTCTTCTAAAAATAGTGAGAGTTCAGATGGAATTATGCACACCATCCCTGAGCTGCCCCCATTTTACAACCTAGGAGAGGTTTGTTTGCCGTGACACGTATTTATTTATTTTACAACATTGAAAACGTCGAAATAATAATTTTCAGATTCGGAGTATTTCTTCAAATACGTTGTGTTTGGGTGAGCCTTGGGTTGGAAACATTATACTCCAGTTGTTTAAATTAAATTTGATTTTGAAATTAGATGCTAGTTCAGTAGATGGGTCAGTCGTTACTTTGTACGATTGTCATGGGCAAGGTGGAAATCAGGTACGCTTGGAAATGGTTCCGTAAAAAATTAAATTAGCCCGAGTCAGGCACAGCATTGATAATTCCACCCCTACCCAAATCCACCCACTTTTGGCGACTATTGGTTTTTAATCCTATTTGGTAAAACAATAGAACTGGGATATCAGCGAAAATGATGAGCTGAAGAAGGATCGACTTTGTGGTGATTACTTTGGAGGACCATTATTCATGTTCGAGTGCCATGGGAGTAAAGGAAATCAAAAATGGCTTTACAGTACAAAAGTAATATACTTTTTACCTCGCATGCATAATACTGATGTTAGCCCGCAAAATAAAGTATTTTGTTTTAGGAAAAAGTTTTGCAGCATCCCATTTCAAACACATGTTTATCCATTGCGGACGGATCCAAGTTATCGATGAAACCATGTAATGGCAAATTAGAACAAAAGTGGTGGTGGAGAAAAGGATATCACACGTCGCACCTATCCTCAGTGGATAATGAATTGTAGACAATATTTCAGTACAATGATGTGTGTATATATGTAATATTTCAAAAATTAAACATATTGCTTTATTGACCGGACTGAGGCACAGTTTTTGAAGAAATTTATGACATACAAGGTAAGCAACGCAACTGAAAATTAAAGAAGTACGTAATCATAAGTTTTGGAAGGAGGAGTATAAACTATAAATGTGTGGTATGGTTACATTTAGATATATAATTTTGACCAGACATACAGCCTTTCAGATTATACATATTTTAATTTTACGTACCATACAAAAATCTCATGGCAACTAAATATAACAATAAACTCAGTTTTTTGATCTACCTCAACAACAATTTTATCCCATATATGAATAACTGTAGCGTTGTGAAGAAATCTGGCTATTATAGTTGATGCCTCTGCATAGTTCGACCTCACTTTGCTCAGTCAAGATCGTCGCCGGGAGGTTTCATGTTTGGGGTTGGGTTCGGAGGTGGTGGTGCACTTGCTCCCCCGAATCCAGGCATCCCCGGAAAGCCACCCATGCCCCCAGGAAATCCGGGCATTCCTCCGGGCATGCCCCCCATGCCTGGCATACCTCCGCCCATTCCTGGCATACCACCCATTCCCCCCATTTTCTTTTGGAACGCTTGAATAAATTTCATGACCTTTGGATTATTTTGATATTTCAGAAGGTTAGCAGGATTTTGTCCAATGTCTTTGAAAGCCTCCGCAACCTCGGGATCGTTCATTAGCCCAGCAATTTCTGGATCTGAATTCAAATAAATCGATAAGTAAAAATAACCAACAAATCTCAATATTAAAATTCTTGCCTCCCAGGATGCCACCCAATCCTCCGAGAAAGTCAGAGTCAGGTCCCTCGGAATCTTGTTCTTGCTGATGATGAGCTTCTGCACTTGCAGCATGCGCGCGTGCCCGCTCCTAAAAATTTACAGGAGAAAGACAATTAAGCAAGAAAGCTTTTGAAATTGTTAAATTCTAAGAATTGCTCTTTCCTGCGCTCGAGCCTTCCTTTGCTGAATGTCGCGTTCTTCATCTCGTAACTTTTTACGAATTCTCCACTCTTCCACCTTCCTCGCCTGCAAAATAATAAATGGGTAATAATTATAAGAAACATTGTAAATTTATAGCACAAGAGTACATTTTTTATCATATACATATACACAATCCTAATGTTTTTTTCCAATAAATAATCTGTGGCTACACTAGCCACAGATTTTTTGGAAGCCATCATTCATAAATGTGACAAGGAAGCCGCACAGGTTTCTGTCACACACAGCAGTGCACATACGTCATCATTTTAATTTTGGGCAGATATCAAAACAAGCTGTAAGATTTCTTTTCGAAGGACAATATTCCCATCCGATCACATGCAGTAGAGTCGGGACTAATTTTACCGTTCAACATTAATGATGATTTTATTTTTAATCGCATATACTATACTTTCCACACATATTTAACTTTCCCAGCTCATTTGGTTCATGCGTTACACGAACCTCAATTATAAAAATGACGCTTACACCATATAAAAGTCGGCGTGGCATAATAGCCTACTGATCTAAAATTGTGGCTTTGGCCATGTGACAAAACATTTGCCACCACTACTCCTTCTTTCTCGTTCTCACACGTTCAACATTTTGCACTCCTGCCGTGCATGCAAATGTCGGTCTGATGTACATCTATCTAACCAAGTCTTTCTCGTAGGAGCATGTCATCATCCAAAATCTTAACCCCGAACGATTCGAGACACTCAATAAGACGATACTGGCACAAGTAGTAATGTACTCGTAGCAAAATACGGAATGTGCATATGTAACTTGTGTGGTTTTCTGCATTGCACTGGCTCAGATATGAACAAAGACAAATCATTAAGCATACCCCGATTTACTACCGAAACAAAATGAGTGCGGTAGAGTAAAAGCTTATCCCCAACCAACGCTACGACATTTTCTCATGTGATATTGTTGAAACAGGAGACATGTACAGCAGGCTTCTTAAAAACATGAGCGAAAGTTGAGCACGCCAGCAAAGGATCAAGCGCTCGGATAACTAAGATCGTTTTCAGTCCGAGCCCATCATCTGAGTCGTCCACACTGATTGGACTTTTCTAGCGTCGGCTTAGAATAGTCCCGTCACAACTTCATCGTCATCATCGCGGACAGTACTGATGCAGCTTGGATGAAATTTATCTCTAGTTCATCCCTCATCCAGGAAATTGTCCTAGGCCCACCAAACGCATTGCGAAATAATTTTAGAACGACACGAAGATAAATACATACGTTGAATTAGGGAGAAGAATAGTTTTGCTTTTGCCTACCAAGACGGCAAATTATATAATACCTACTCCGATGTGGTTGTGAAACTTTGTGAAATTTAAAAAAATATAATAAGTGAAAATGAGAACGGTTTGGATCCTATTGCTGTTTGGCTCATTAATCACCTATCACTTCCTTCCGCCAGCCTCAGGTAAAAATCTTAAAGATGGGTTTCCCCAAATACATACTGTTACATATAGCATCATATTTACAACAAAGTGAATAAAGCAATCAACCAATTAGTGAAAACTAATTAGTAAACAGAAATTTTGTACATTCCAACATGTCATTCAGAAGAAATTTCACTCAATTATATGACAACTTCCAAAACTAGTTGAATTACGCAACACATACATTACATTAGGCGGCAATAAAGTAAGGTGAGCGGCTCGACAGCCCGTTTCGAAACAAAACATTAGCACAATTCATCCCATAATTCTTTAACTACGAGAGAGAGAGGGAGGGAAAGAGGGAGGCCTAAGTGAAAGTAGAGACGAGCACCCACTTTACTTTCTCCACACTTTCTCTAGAGCCAATTCAGTCGGACGGCATTACACCTTAATAAGACAGGCAAGTGACTTGACACGTCTTCCATTCAACCGCAAAATCCTTCATACCCTGATAAATGTTAAATCCTGAAATCTTCCAACCACCAACGTCAACCAAATGCTTCCCTGTCCCAACTAATCCACCATCATGTTGTTCTTACCCTTATGAATAATGGAGAAGCCCAAGACTCCAGAACTCTTACAATATACATAGAAATGCTTCAGAGATCATTTTGCTGGTTTATAAAAAACCGGTAAAAACGACAACCCAACAAGAAAACAACCAACCACAACCCCGTGTACACCGGTCCAGTGATACAATGGTCACGACGGTGAATGATGGCTTCATTCGAACAGGTTAATGTATGAACCTCAAAGCCAAGGAACCAAGATAGACCAGCAGAAGGGATAGTAGTAAATTATTGACCAAGTCAATTACAATTATTAGATCGCAACGAAAAAAGGCTCAAAGGTTGAAGCTAGAAAAAAATGTTGGTTTCCGCAAGGAACAAATGCGGAGGCGATATCGGGCACTAAACACTTTATCATTTTTTGTCCACGTAGACGGTGGGGGAAGAGGCAACGATGATTAAATATCTGATGAGCCCGACATGAATTGTTACACAATTAATTTCAAACGTCATAATTCAAGGAAGATGAAGCGTATATAGCGTGTAACGTGTATGTACGTCAATGGTGAATTTCTTGAAAAGTACGTGGTCGTTGAATAAGACTAACTATTTCTTGGATAGAATAGAAAACATTGCCACTAGGCCAAGGCAAAATCAGAGAGGCTTGACGCTTTTTCATGAGAATCTCATAGAAAATGCACCTACATATCGTGTATGAGATGTATAGTCGGTGCATGTCAAGCAATGGGATTGAATTTACACAATCACACCAGATAGTCAAAAGTAGAGTAAAAGTATGATCTCACTCACCGAACCAACCCAGCCAATAATATTCTCTTGGTGTAATCTTTGACACTGAATCTCTCTCCCCACTGCAAAATGCTATTCTAGAATCGGTGTATTGGAATTGCGAACAGAGATTGCAGTCTTAGATATGCAACTAGACTCTTACATTTTCCGGTTCTTCTTACCCGTACCAAAATAGAGATCTGATGAACCAAAATAGCATCAGGGTGGTTCAGTCTATATATTCGTTTATTAGTTGTGTATGAATGTTAACCTTAACGTTACTTCCCTCCTCCTCCTCCTCAGAATCAGAATAGCAGAACAGACAGGAGAAAGGGCACCTGCACATATCTATAAAACCAGTTGCGGCCAAACATCTTCCTCATTTTATTTTGTGTTGTAATGACTCTGACAGGCAATCCCTTGTTCCTCTCGTATTATGTAGACACGTCGTATTGGCAAAGGAAAAGTAACTCATACCAAACACACACAAACTCCTCAAACAGAATCCAGCCGGCTTGTCCAAGACTATTAAATTGGTTGGTATTGCATGCATTTAGTTTACGCTGTATGATGTGCTGGCTGTTGTGAGAAAATTAGAGGAGCGTGAGTGAAATTGTAAGTTTGGGCAGGCCCTTCTTCGTCCTCGTCGTCGTCTTCTTCTTGCCACCCTTGTTCATGTTCATGCATGGCCAGAAGCCAACTGGGCCAAAATCACATTTCATTTCATTCACTTCTGTTTCGCAATTTTCTATCTGCTAAAACGAAGCAGCCGTGGACCCAAATGTATCTGTAACTCTGTACTTCATAATATTTTAATTAGCGCTGGGCAAACAGGAGGCCCGTTATTATTATGGCTCGACTACTACTGCTTGTACAATTTCCCTGCCTGTTATGAGTCTCAACATTAGTTGTAACAAATCTAAATATTTTAGCAGTAATAACAGGTACATAAATATGTTATGCAGATTGCGGGGGGTGAGCCGTTCACATTGAAACGAATTGTGTAGCCATGAAGTAAAATGTAGAAATGCGATGTAGCCGTAGATCCACATTCCATCAAATGATGGAATTATATATAGCCCAATTATCCTGCTTTCTCCAGCGATGGCATTCAATAACTTTCCCAACGAATTTTCATTTTGCATTTGAGCGAAGAATTTCCTATATTTTAAAAGTTGGGTTAGCAATGGTAATAAAATAAACCATGTCCAAAGCTCTCAATTTTAGCCTGAGTCACGCTTCTTGCATAAGCTTTCACTCTTTTCACCTGAAGTCTTTCCTTTAAATTTTCCACACTCGTCCAACCTTGATGGGCTATTTGCATACCAGAAATACTTCAACTTGGTCCGCTGGTGGGCTCTTAGATTCACGGGTTCCAGTAATAGCAGAGGATGAAGAAAAACACATTTATCAATAAGACCATTCCCAAGATTATTTTTTTCTACAGCCCACCACTTTCCGTACCACGGCACGAATAGGACATGTAAATGTAAATGTAAAGGTTAAGTTTATGTATGTTTCTACGCAAGGGCATCGTGTATAATAATGAGACGCTAAGAGCTGCACCTTTAACGTTTGACACGAATTACAGGTGAAGGGGTGCCATCAACGGACCCCAAACCATCTTTTGACCAATGTAAGCCTTATGTCGACGCTGCTCTCAAGACTGGAAGTAGTCCTCAGGAGGAGGAAAGTAGTTCTAATTCTCAAGCCGGCGTAGGCGATTCGCCCCCCGATCAAAATTCCGATGAGGATGATGACAAAACCGGAGAACAGGACAGTGGAGAGGGAGACGGCTCAAAGGAGGACACGGACGGAAATTCGAAAGATGACAGCGATGAAGACGGTGATACAAAAGAAGGTGAGCATAACTTATTCCCAGAATACATTACTGCCCACTCACACGGGCAAACCAACAATATGGACATACAATTATTGTTGTTATCAAGATACTAACCAGCATGAATAAACATGTAAAGTAAACATTAATATGGACGAGTAGATTGCTTTGCCTAATAATCGCTTGCAATTGGTGAATGTTGTAGAGGGTGCAGATGATGATGATTCAAAACAAGTGAAAGCAGAAAGTGGCGAGTCTGAAGAAGATGGAAAACCTTCGAATGAAGGCGACGATGGTGCCGACTCTAAAGAATCAGACGAGGACTCGAAGGAAGGTGATAAGGGAACAGAGGAAGATGATACTACCGATTCCAAAGAGAAAGTAGATGCTTCTGATGAGAATGACAGCCATGACTCAACTGAAGGGGACGCCCAATCTCAAGAAGCCGCCGACGACGACGAGTCCAAAGAGGGTAGCGATGGCGAAGGGTCCAAAGAGGGTGACGATAGCGAAGAGTCCAAAGAAGGTGGCGATGGCGAAGAGTCCAAAGAGTCCAAAGAAGGTGACGAAGACGATTCAAAGCCAGACACTTCGAGTGCAGAAGGTAAGGTATGCTCTCAGCTTATATTAACCCTGCAAGAAACCTGTAGATTTACATAAAAAGGAAAACCGCTTTCTGTGTTGCTTTCAAATAAAACAGATGACACCCCAACTGATGGAAACTCTTCACAAGATTCGGGAGAAGAGGCAGAATCAGACGGAACCCTTTCAGATAATGTGGCCGACCAAGCTGACGAATCCGAGTCTGCAGAAAGCAAAGAAGAAGAAGAAGCACAAGAAGATCAACATTCATCCGAAAACGCTTGTAGGAATTTAGTTAACATAAATAATTACTTCTTCAATGGGGAAAGAACGGAGGAATGTGATGATTGTAATGTGCTGTGATTGTCTCATTTGATTACAGCAACTACCGAATCTAAGGCAGATGTAAGTGGCGAGGATGAAAAGTCCGATGAGAGCAAGGAGGACGATGACGGCAAGTCCGAAGAAGGGAAAGATAAGAGTGATGATGATGGCAAGTCGTCGGAGGAGGAAGGTCACGATGAAAAATCTGGAGAAGAGGCAGCTGATGATGATGACAGCAAGTCTGTGGAAGCCGGAGATGTAAAAGATGATGACAAATCCGAGGAAGACGGTAAAACGGAAGAGACAAAATCAGGAGAGGATAATGATAGCACGTCTGGAGAAGATGACGATGGGAAGTCTGGAGAAGATAGCGATGGTAAATCTGAAGAGGAAGAAGGCACCGAAGAAAAGTCAGGTGAAGATGATGATTCAAAATCTGGTGAAAGCGAAGGTGGTGACGAATCAGACGAGGATTCTGAAGAAGTGGAACCCTATATTCCTCGACCTAGAGACCATGTCACTGAACTTTTGGGGTTGGACGACTCGGACCGGACGAAAACAACTTTCTCCCTTCTAAACCAGGCAACCCAAATTACCCTCAAAGAGCTCAAACGAATCTACGAAAATGCGATCAAACCCCTCGAAAATGTTTATAAACTTCGAGACTTGAGCAATCGTCATTTTGGAGGTATATCAAAACCGAGTTACACATGTGCATTTACAGAAAGTCAGGTTTCAAATTATCTATAAAAGAAATATTGTGGCCTCCTCTCAGATCCAGAAATCTTCTCAAAGCCATTGGTTCTGCTTATGGGACCGTGGTCCGGAGGCAAGTCGACTATTATCAACTGGCTGTTGGATATCAAAGACGAGGATGCTGCCCTTCGAACTGGGGCTGATCCATCACCAGCACAATTCAATATTATGATGTACGGAAAGGAAGAAGAGGTGCTGGATGGAACACAACTTGCTGCCGATTGGACATTTTCTGGTTTGCAGAAATTTGGTCAATCTTTCTTGGATCGTCTGTAAGAACTGCATTCTTATCTTTCATCTGATGGGTATAATCACTCATAAGTTCTTATTGCTTCCACAGCCGCGGCCGAAAATTGCCAAACAGGCTGCTGGAAAAGGTACATAAACATTAGCCATTAACAATTGTCCTTTATGGCCATTCATTTTTTGGAGAGCAGCCAAATTATGTCCACCTGATGGGTTACTGAGTGAAGCTGTATATTGAGTCTTCTCCAGTAGCCTGTTAGGCGGATAAAATTTGTGTAAAGTCAACCCAGTCATGCGATGCTATTTGTATTTTCAAGTGACTTATGAAAAACTTGCACGCACAAATCAGTGTACCTCACATACCTTTCTCTTGGACAGGTTAATATTGTAGAAATTCCAGGAATTTTAGAAGTTCGGAAACAAGTCGAACGCAGCTTTCCCTTTAACGACGCTTGCCAATGGTTTATTGACCGTGCTGATGTCCTATTTCTCGTGTACGACCCAAGGTATGCCCGCCTCTTAATGTCATTACTACTTTGATATTAAGTTTGTTGTGGATAAACTTAATTAACTGACATGATATTGAAATCCCACAGCAAATTAGATATTGGGCCAGAGACGGAAGCAATTTTGGATCAACTTAAGGTCTGTTTATCTTCAAAATTAGCTCCTCTTAATTGATATCTGAATTTACATGTTTCCTACGCTCGCTATTTACATTTATTTACTCGCTATTTATTTACTGCAAAATATTTGCATTTTTATCTCATTAAAACCAGGGAAGAGAAAGCCAGGTTAGAATTATTCTCAACAAAGCGGATACCGTGACGCCTGATGAACTTTTACGAGTTCAAGCAATGCTCGTGTGGAATATTAGTCCTCTCATGTCAAGTGCAGAACCACCAGTGATGTAAGACAGTTTTTATGACTTGGCACAAAGGAATGGATAAAATATACATTTAATGGTGCAAAATAGGTACGCTGCTTCGCTTTGGGATCGACCACTGCTACCTGACTCTCCGAAATCTTTGCTAATGGCTCATGAAAACCACTTTTTGAAGGATATCAGGGATGGTATTGAAAAACAGGTGGAAACGAGAATTGCTGCTGCCCGAAGATTTGCTGTCCGAGTTCGAAATCATGCAAAAATGGTGGACTGCTACCTGAACACGTACCACAACCACCGCTCCTTCTTTTCTGACAAGAAGAAAGTGTCCAACGATATTATTGACCATCCACAGGTATTTTTTGTCATTTTAAATCACATATCACAGATTTATGCTTTGTTTTTAACAGTTTAACTAGTTTATACCGGAGTATGTGCGTATATGTGTAAGGTCATTTTTGTATTACAGAATTATCACATCTATGAAGGCCTGTCGACTCTGACAAACATTTCGCGATACGATCTCCCAGACCCGGATACTTACAAGGACTTTTTCAAACTTAATCACCTTTGGGATTTTCCAACTTTAGCTTCAACGTGCAGTTACTTTAAAGGATGTCCCATCAACAAATTAGATATTGCAATTGCATATGAACTACCGGAACTTCTTGGGAAATTCAGACGACAAAGGGAAGCAATTTTAACTGCTCAAGCTCAAAAAGCTTCCGCTACTCCAAAATAACGTGATTATTCAGAACGAATTGGATAATTACACAAATTCACCGTTAACCGTGCCCCTGCCATTACAGCGTACTGAGACACAACAACTGGACAATATCTAGATAAGTAGATATATATACATTAGCTTAATAAAAACAAGTACTGTACGTACGCAATAATACTAAAAAACACATTTACACAAGCTGGAGAGAGAATGTCAATTAGCCAAAATCCCTGTTGTTTTATGGATAATAATTGTTGAAGGGTGGCACAAGGTAACACTACAACTGTAACCTGACTTCAGCCAGCAACACCCTCTATTTCCACAACTTCCGAATGCCAGAAGAATATTTTGTGGTAATTTCTTCAAACTCTTAATTTTAACTATGTATTTATGTACGTTAGGTCGTGTAGATAGAAAACAGACTGTAATTTTAAAATGTTCATAAGATATTGAAGTGACTGCATCCAAACAACTGATTGATTACACATGTATATTCTGATTTGGAGAATGTGTGACCTAGGTCTTAATAATTTAAAGAGTTATATTCCCGTTCTCAACGATCTGCATATTGGTGTGTAATTTGTTGCCAATCTGTAAAACTTCGCAAAAAGAAAACCCCAGAAAAATATACAGCCCTGGATATTAGGATAGACTACACATACAGGCTGTTGTGATAAACTCATAAACTAATCATTACGAAATAAAAACAAAATCAGTCAAACACCAATTACAAAAGGGGCAATTAATATGCACATCGTTGTGTGGATATACAGGACCGTCCATCAATTTTCGGATACACAGTATAAAGTGTATGTCTGCCTGTGTTGTATATACTTAAAGGTCTGGGAGTTTGACTAAATGTAATTTTCTGACATGATGAATTTAATAAATGAAAAAACCCGAAAACCCACAAAAGAATACTTACGTTTGGCTGACACTCCTTCAGCCATTCGTCAGTTTGTTCATCGAAATCAATCTTGCATGCTTGACGCAGGTCAGACGCTGCTTCCTCCCAGTGACCAAGAAGTCTGTCATTGTCATAGGCATTACATTAATCATCATTCACTTGCTTTCATATTTAACAATTTACAATGCGACTTTTAGTTTATGTATTTACCGATGAGCCCGACCCCTAAACTTGTAACCAATTGCCGAGTCAGGGTTTAATTCGAGGGCTTTGGAGCAATCTTTGATGCAAGCATTAGGCTTTTCCAATCTAAGATAAGCTGAGAAGAAAATGCAAAACGAGGTTAGAACAATTACTAATCCATGCATTTGTATAAAAGTTTGAACTCATACCTTGTCCACGTTTAGCAAAAAGGACTGCAGCGTGTCCATTCAACTTAATTGCCTCTGTATATTTTTGTATACATTCTTCAAATTTGCCTTCGCCAAACAGTCCAACTGCCTCCATCTTCAATTCATTGGACTTTTCCATCGCTTCCTCCCCAACATCTTCAGCATTCGACCCCATGTCTTGGTTTGAATCAACTTCGTCAGCATCTGGATCGTAACAAAATTACATCTCAGAGTTAAATTAAAGCATGTAATCGTAAAAATTTAGAAAAATTATTATTTTTTTTTACCAACAACTCCTTCTTGGGGAAGCTCTGGAAATGGCTCTTCCTCTATCTCCATCTCGTCGTCAATTACTTCTTCTACGGTAGGCTTTGCTGTCGGTTTCTTGGGTTCGCCACCAGAAGGTTTGGAATCTCCAGATCCGCTTTTGTTACCAGGTTCTGGCATCTTGGGCAGCTAGAAAAGTTGTCAAAACAACAATATCTACATATAATATCCACACTATCTATTTTTATACTCTTGCGAATAGGAAGAGTTGTGAATTGCTTAAATTTTTTAAGTGTACCTTTGCACCAACTGCAGACAAATAATCCCGAAGAAACTTTAGATCCTCTGTAAAGATCAGGCTGGGCTGATGTTTCAACAGTTCGACAAACTCCTTCACAGTTGCCAGCATAGCTGGGTCGATGCTTGAGGTGCTCATGATGATTCCTGAGGAAAATAATAGTAACTTGTAATTTTATAATTGTATTCAAACATTTTCATATCCTGCATTTAACATTTCACAACACACAACTAATAACAAATCACAAGCAAAGAGAATCTTACCTTCTTGTCTTGTTCAGAGCTTCTTCAACCTAAAATTTAGACGGTCTTTCCTAGCGTTTTACGAACAAGAAGAATCGTTGGTCTCTTCAAAAAAGGCCTGTCAAATAAGAAACTGAGTGGAAAAAATGCTTATGTGCTAGAATTTTCCATCCGAAGTGGAGATGAGCAAGTTTGAAATTAACTACGCAAGAGTCGCGACGCGAGAAATTCCCACGGACAAAAAGCATCATCGTCTCAACTTCGCCCCAGCCCAATTTGTAAGCTGCTTACTTTCACTGCGACTTTCACCAACTACAACGGCAATGTATACATTATAAATTCCATCATGTTGTGGAATTTGTCTTGCAAATTCGAAAGCTTTCGAGGGATTCATCAAATTGACCGATTTTCTACGATATGAAGAGGTTTCAGTTGGAAAAAATTTTCCAATCGAGATAAAAGCAGTTTTACAGTCCATTCTTTTGCTTGAGTTTGTGAGGTATGCTAAATAGAATGCATGGAGTTTGAGTAATAGGACTTCGTAAGAGATGAATTTTCTGAGAACTTTTTGGACTAATCTTGCAAAATAAATCACATATGTAGTCTAATAATGGTTTTTTGGGTGGGATTTAAAGAGTTTAGTATTTCTGATATTATTGCAAATTTTAACCAATAGAGTCGGAAGCATCAAAATATAAAAGTTACGTAAGGCTGACTATGCCTGACATTATCATGCACATATTTAATTACACAATTTCTAATCAAAATCAACCTATTTATTTGTATTTGTCACACTGTTTTGAATGGAAAACGTAAAATTATACGGAAATGCGTGTTGCTTATGAAATTGTCTAGATTATGTATCACCTAAAAGTTTGTATCCATAATTTTCCTTGTCACAAACAATTGGCATTTATTTCCGAATTCACCATTTCTTCAGCATATATAGATCATGTACTTCTATTGGTATGAGAGAGACGCATCTTTGTGTTTTCAATTGAATGAATGAACAATGTTACGTACTCTTTTACATACGTATGCATACTTGGGCATGCACTTTACTTGATTTTACATACCAACGCTTGAACTACAAACAAAAGAGAAAGCTCCATCAATCGAAACAGAACAAAATAAATTAACTATTGCATAATCCACTGATTATGAAATGTTTGTATAAACAAAGTGATGATTCAACCATATACCCGTACTTTTAACTATGTATGAATATATATACATATATGTGCATATATATTTGGAAGTTGGCCATTAAATTGAAAATGCGTTGTTCCCTCTGGAGCACTCTGTTCTTAAGCCTATCTTATTGTTTGGGACAAGATTCAGAAGATATATTAGAACAGGAATTTAGGGACTCGTGTGTAGATTTGGCATTCCAGTGCGCTCGTAAGTCCACCCACCGTAACTGCCATACGCCTTCCTGATCACATCATTAAAGGCTCTTTACATGACTGGTACGAATCATGTTTTAATAGATAATCGGATGAGAGGGGAGATGGAGGACTTGCGGTTTGTTTTTCGAGACGCCATTTACTACTATTGTTTGGATCTCTACCACTGCACGGAGGGCAAAAAGATGGTTTGCGAACATATTCATGAAAAGGAAGCTGAATACATGGACAAATCTCAACGCTCCAGAGCCATTCAACGCTGCAAAGCTTGGAAGATTGCAGTTAAATATGGAGAACCCTCTGTGAAACTAAGGTGGAAGGCTAAAACGGACGATGGTACCCACAAGAAATCGTAAAATGTTAATTATATTTCTGCGATTTTGAAATTGTAATTTTGGTAATAAATTAGGTGCATTAAAAAAGGTTAGGGTATTTTCACTGATTTGGATAGTATACATACTTATTGGGTATTTTACTCAAAAAAGCACTACTCCCGTCGTGCTGAATTTAGCAGAAACAGGGGTAGAAAGCTGCTTTTCAGTGAAATAGACAAATGTATGCATGAAATACGCAAATATATGTAGCGAAAAAATAGTAATCCTGGTTTTTGAAAATTGGGATTAACAAAATGAATTAATAAATTATTACCCGGGTATATAATGAAGAGGATAATAAATAAATAAATCATTGTATGTGTCAATAATACTTAAATATATTTTTCTATGTTTTTAGTTAAAATACAGGAATGGTTTCTGGAATATTATACATAATAACGGTCACCTTCCATAATCACATCTAAGCATTATACATTACTTATTTACTATACAATAAATCATTTAGCAGGATTTCTGAGGATAGAGAGGGTTCTATTTAGCACTGATCGTAATACTGTATAATTTACAATTTTAACACAATGCTGCAATAGTGACACACGCTTATTAGGCTACAAATAACTTAAATAAAAAACCACATATGTATAATATATATACGTTTGTAACGAAAAATTCTATCAGCCTTTTATGGTTCTATCAATTTGATGCTATATAGTTCTAATAGTGAATAGAATTTATATATAGCAATTCTAATAATTATTATTAGTAATACTAATTGTAGGTCAATCGTATGTTTATCAACACGCACAGCAGGTACCAAATACAGGTGGTTCGTAAGTCAGTACTGAGCCCAAGATTGCGACCAGATTTGGCGAAATATAATATCACTATTTTCTAATGTTATGTATCAGGAGCATTACAACCAGTTGTATCACGGCTAACATCAAAGTATTATAATCCATTATGATAAAATTCTAAGAACATACAATAAAACAACACACGGGAATGATAACCAGGAGGAATAAGTAAGGAAACGTCATAAATTAAAACATCGTCCATATACGCATCAACTTGGTTGTTTGCATACGAATTGTTGAATACAACACAGTGTATATAGTAAATAAGCATCAATGACTTAATATGAGATGAGATTGCTGCTGTATTTAATTCGCTGGTGGGGGTTGTTGAGGGGGCTGCCCATAACCTGAGGGCTGTTGCGGATTGTATCCTCCAGGCTGTTGCATCGGTTGCCCAGGACCTACCGGCGGAGGCCGATATGATCCATAGCCTCCAGGGTAACCGGTTTGTGGAGAATATCCCTTCAAAAACGTATATATTATTATATGTATGTTCTTCCCACGCATATACATATTACTAACTTAGGATTTTACACGTGAGCAAAAAAACCCTAGGGTATCTCTCTCATCACACTCACCTGATATTGCTGTTGATAAGGTTGATACGGCGCGCCAGGTTGTTGTGCTGGAGGTGGTTGTTGTGGCCCTGGGCCTTGTTGTGGGACTGGAGAAGTTCCAGGATAATTATACCCCTGGCCTTGAGGATACCCTTGTGGAGGATACTGCTGCTGACCACCATAGTTTGAAGCGTATCCAGGTGGGCCACCACCAGCAGAAGCTCCTGCTCCTCCTCGATTATCCGCCGCAGGGTTTGGACTTGCCGGGTTTGCTCCATAAGTTCCCGGATTATAGTTATAGTTTTGTGGATTTTGTGGATATCCAGTTTGATTCGTTGGTGCAGCTCCAGGATAATTTTGTGGATTTTGAGGATACCCTGAGCCAGGACCAGGGGGATATTGCTGCTGTTGGGGTGGAACTGCATTACCAGTTGCAGGAGGTGGAGCTGTAGCAGGTTGGTTAGGATTTGACATCTGGCCGTAAGGGTTTGGTTGGTTTGGATTCGCATATTGAGGATAATTTGGATGACCACCATGACCATAATATTGTTGTTGCTGTTGGGACTGTGGGTGTTGTCCAGGCTGAGTGGGTGGGGCTCCCCCGGGTCCTTGAGAGCTAGGAGGTTGAGGTTGTTGCTGATACGATGCTGCTGGGTTTTGTTGAGGCTGTTGTCCTGGTGGCCCTCCTTGAGGGGGGTTGGGCCCAGGTGGTCGAGGCGGCATTGGTTGAGACTGATTTGACATTGCTCCTTGAGGGTGTTGCTGTTGTTGTCCAGGTTGACCACCGGGTGGATAATTGCCATAAGGATATTGAGAAGGTGGTTGATTCTGTCGACCGTAATATCCTTGTGGTTGTCCTGGTTGTCCCATACCCTGTTGCTGTTGCATCCCTGGTGGAGGAATTTCTTGTCCTGGCGCCTGTGTATAAACATATCAAACGTGTGACTAACAATAATTGTAAGTCCAATAATAATATATAACGGTTTTCTTTTGAAGTATTTGATTACTTATACTTACCGGCAGCATTTGTTGAATATTTTGATTCCCATCTGCCAAAGAAGCCAAATATACGAGATTCCTGTGTAGAGTTTGTTGATATTGTAGACATTCTTGTCCTTTTCCTTTGCTCTGAAAATCTTGGATTGTTTCTGTAATCAATAATTAAATTATCAATTTGCATGTTGTGATTTGTGACACAATATACACAAAAATTAACACCCAGTCAGACCTACCTATCAGTTGAGCATTTTCATCTAAAATCTTTTGAACCTGAGCCGGGTTGGGTGTAGCCTGCCGGACTCCACCAGGACCCTGAGGGGGTGGACCAGGTCCCATTCGTGGAGGAGGAGCCCCGAAAGTACTAATTGACATTATTCCGCCTCTTCTTATTTGCACTTGTTGTATAAAAAGATGTTAAACAATTACACTCTTGCCGCAAATTATCACTATATTAAATTTTACTCCACACTGACTGCAATAATAAACAACACAAACTTATAAATAATCAGTCTACAAGTATCTCCTTTCTACGGTACTTGGTGATAAAATAAAATTACGGATTAGTGTCGGTCAGTCAGATGCTCTCCTCCCAAACCAACACACCAACGGAATCCCGAAATATGAAATGGCCAGCGCCGTGTTCTTTTACTTGGATGTTAGTAGAGCAAAAATAAATCAAATTTGATGTTTATCAACGCAAGTTTGAATGAGAGAAGGGAGCGAAATAATGGTAAAATGGATATGAGAAGACGCCAAAAGTGGATATGGTTTGAGAGTTGGTGCTCCGTGGAGACCACCACCCCGACCCGATCGCATTGCCCCGGAGAAAGGAGCGGAGAAAGCTGGATCTTCAGACTATAGCCCTCACTCCGCAGCAATTGACCATGGTCCACTGGACCATTATGATCTGGTGAACCACAAAAAAAGTGGTCTATGGAGCACCCTGGACCGTGTGATGAGATGGATGGACCAATTTATTACGAGCTATGCTCAAGACACGGTGAGGTGAAAGCTAAGAATAAATCGACCAATTGCTCTTTATTTTGCACAAATACATTCAATTCATAATTGTTGGTGTACATACATAGAATATGTAAATTAAAAGTGTACATATACAGCATATGTAAATTAAAAGAAAGTCTGATAAATGTCAACTGTGCTCATGTCTTTCTCATTATCAACTATGACAATGTTTCTCCACTTGTCGAAAGTGGTGCAAGCATGGATAATATCAAATGCAACCATGTCCCCCACCTCGACGTCATCACCCTCCCCAATTCTCATGAAAGAATGTTGGTCCATCATGCGAAATAATTCCCATTTATCCGGTATGACCACTTCCAACTTTCTCTTTATTTCCACCTCCTCAGTGCCGACTTCTTCACTTCCGACCACTTTACGCCATGGTCGGAAATGGAGAGCAGGTTTTGGAAAGCCAGAATCGTGACCTGCATCCCTCCTGCCAAACCCAACGATGGCCACATCCTTCTCGGGAATGGATTGCACGTAAGCCCAAATTTTTAGGGCCGGTTGCAATTCGGAATTGTCCATGAGTTGCTTGAATTTAATTCGGGATGAAATTTCGGTGTACATCCCCACATCATGGATCATGTAACATCCAGGACGAAGTATTATTTGGATGGAAGGCGTCGTTGTCGTAGCTTTGGTACTTTGAAAAAACGTTGTCAGCTTTTCAGCAACAATGTCAAACCATACTGAACCAGATCCAGTGATCGTTACGGCGAAATTGGGATTGAAGCATTGGGCTTTGATTAAATGTGCAGTTCGTTCTGTAATATAGTCGACAAAGTCCGAGACGTCTTGTTTAAGAGATAAAACTCCTTCAAAAAATTCCACTCCCACGAAATCAATGGTATCAGACCAGGTCGTAAGAGTTTTCAAGACTTCGGCTTCTTGTTTTTCGTTTCTCACTCCAGTTCTTCCATTGGGTGGTCCATATTCTAGCAGCACCTTAAGCTTCTGCTTTCTCTCTGAGAAAAATTGACCCAGTTGCTCGACGTTTTCAGAAGAGTCAATTGTGCACAAGAAATCAAAATTTTCGTCAGATGACATAATTTCGGAAATAATATCCATGTTACGCTTGCCTATCAACTGATTTGCTAGCAAAACCTTTGAAACACCAAATTCATGTGCAACTCGTACTTGGGACGCGGTGGCCAAAGTGAGACCCCACGTGGAAGGTTGGGATATTACATGATGAAATAAATTTGGACTCATGGTCGTTTTTCCGTGCGGAGCAATTTTAATTGGTGCTTCAAATTTGTTGATAAATTTTTCCATCCACGCAAGATTATCGCTGAATTTCTCCATGTCAAGAATTGCGGCTGGTAGGCTAATGTCTTCTTTTAGAAGGTCCCATTTTTCAAAGCAACTTGTTGAATTGTCAATTCGCCCAACTCCTTTCCCCAATCTTAGCAATTCTAAACACGCGAATCTATTTCCACCCCTTTTTGGTATGTTTGATGTATGAGCCATCTTGGCAAACTCTTTCTTGTGTGTTAGTATTGCAAGACTGATATTGGGAACCAGTGAAATGTCCCATTTTATTCAAATTCATTTGATGCACACGCCATTAAGTCAAGTACCTTGTCGATTATTTTATTATTAATTATTTTGTCAATACTCCCATTTTGATCTAAAATCAATAACTAAGATTCATGAAGATTCAAACAGATGCATAAATTAGAATATGCATGGCATGGTGCTCGTGCATATGTGTGCTGTTTTTCGTTGTGCATATATACATACATATTTTGCATGAAATGATGTTCTGTTCATCAATGGATGTAGGATTTATTCAATAATATGATTCGTATGTATATTTGAATTACTAATACTTATTGTTAGTTTAATGATTTGGAATAACACATACGATTTAAAATGTTTAATTTCAAAATGAATTTTAATTTTTCTCGCAATTATAAATTTTAGGACATGAAATCTTTAATATGCATATTCATATATGTGTAATACAAGTATTTGCTAATTGCAGACATTATCTCTCTCCTCTGCCAATTAATCCTCCTCCTTTAGGTCTCCAACAATAGCAATCGCATCAATTTCAACGAGAGCTCCTGCCTATAACCCAACCATCAAGTAAAAATTATAAAAATTATAAATATAATAAATACAATATAATAAAAAAATATAAATTGGGTTCACTCGTACTTTTGGAAGTTGTCCCACTTGGTAGGCAACTCTCGCTGGAAATCGCTCCTTGAAGTCTAAAAATGTTAAGCACGAGGAGAGGGTTTACAATAACCGTTGTAGTACATATAGGACGCTAATTAGTATTTTTACTCACATTCCCCATAAATTTTATTCATTTCTGAAAAATCTGAAATGTCTTGAAGGAGCACGGTAACTTTCACCACTTCAATTACACAAACATTATCAAATCCATTCAAATTCTAAATATATGCAATACAAAATAAGTTTGCATACCATTCAGGAAATCGGTCCCTGCGGCTTTCAAAATATGACCTACATGAAAACAATATATAAGCAAATGTTTGATATTTTCTTACTTATTGATGTCCTTACCAATATTATCCAAAGTTTGTCTGGTTTGAGCTTCCAAGCCCTCAACTAGTTCCCCATTTTTCGTGAATCCCAGTTGTCCAGAAACGTATAAGGTCTTATCCACTTGAACGGCTTGGCTGAAAATCATAGCACAAGAAAAATTAGTACTTCCTCCAACTTATTCATGCAGCACTTCATTTTAGAAAACCTTAGTGGCAAAGGGTTTTGAGGAGCCTCTGGAGAGTTGATAATTTTTCTGGTGCTGGACATTGTGCAATGATTTAATAGGCAAAGTACTGAATACGGACAGGACACGAGAAAGTGTACTTAACCAAGTGCGGTAAACTGGAGAATGAAATCACACACGGAAGTTATCCGCATAGACTTTATTTTATACCAGGTTCATGAGAGGATAGGATTGTCATCAAGTGTTTGATTTACGATGGCACAAATCGAGGCTGATCCATACTCACAGAGTGCAAATCAACAGATAAGAAACCAATGCTGGATTTGAGCTGTCAACTCCTCAAGAACTTTTATGATCCGTCTTGTCGGCGTCTGCTGAGTATATATCGATCGATTTAAATGCATATTTGGAAATTGCATGCTGTGCTATTTTTCATTATTGCGGAAAAAACCTTGAAGACAAATATCTTTGTTGAAAGCAATGTTTCAGAAGAAGAGGAGTGATTACTTGAACATTATGCATTCAGATGGACAGATGAGAGATGTATTGAGAAATGCGCATACGTAATAAACAGTAGAAATCTATACCGGATGAAAGGCATAAATCATTTTTCCCAAATATGTAAATAGAGATAAAGTTAAGAGTGCAAAACGTAATAAAAATAGCGAGACTTGAATATATTTATATTTATGTACGTAATATTAAGCGACGCAAGTTAAAATTGAAGCTTCGTCATGAGTTTGAACTTACAAATGCTTAATGCTTATTATGAGATTTACAAGCATTGTCGCTTGAGTAAAATTCTGCTAAATATTTAATCACAAGTTTTTGTTAACTTGATACGCCGTTTAACGTACCTCTAAAAATGTATTCGTAAGCATCGGGGATTTTTCAAAATTTAAATACATTTGAAATGGACAAATCTATGCATGCCAGTAGCCAAATACTTAGTTCATGCACTTGCACTGCTACATATGATTAACTACATGCCTACAAATTTGTACGCTATAAACGCACTTCATTAATAACTACATACATACGATCAATATGATGCACTGGCGGAGGAGACGCGTTAGGTAGTTCTCCTCCAAAGAAACAATAATGTCTACAGCTTTTTATCGTCGTCTGACATGACATATGTGTTCCTTATAAAATGGAGATGCATTATACCGTCTTGTTGCTTGTGCAATATTGTTGGACCTGAAAATAATAATACAAGTATTATACAAGCAAGTGGTGGTGGACGCCTGCTGTACAATGTTTGAAAAAAATGAATTGAATTGAGCATGAAATGAAGCACATAATGTGTAAGGACCGATGCCATGAAGAAAGAAAAAAAAGATTCCAGTCAGGCATTAAAAAGTGTAACGAATCAGTGCTCATAATGCTTCACTTGTTGCATCAAAACTGCCCTAATAGTTGATACACCTCCGCCGTTGATACACGCCTAATTATCCAACCAAATTCGATTTAGTTAGGGTGATACTGGCTGCGGAATAAAAAATCCTGGTCTAATAGAATAGATGGAGGGGGTTAAATACCTCATCAGCATCCCTTTAGATTTAGAAAACTCATGATGGTGCATCTCATCTCGGTCGCACTAAGATTACAGCAGAGTAATCTGCTGAGACGATTTTTTGGACGGGTATAATAATGCTTTCGATTGGTATTGAGTTGGCAGGACCAAAAAGTTGAGATGAAGTAAATCCGTCCAGACAAAGAAAGTGAAGCCACCAACACTAAATCCTTGGCTGGCTGGCTGGCTGACTGTTTTGAGACTGATTTCGAAGCCCGTGCCTTTGGCATCATCCCATTGTTAGGAGGACTGCATTGTGTACTGCAGATGGTGGCATTCGGTGGCTAGTAGATCGTAAAGATGTAAAAATAATCAGTTTTGATGAGGCGTTGGTGTTAACGCGCAATTCTCATGTGAACCGTGGCGTGGATACAAAAGTATTTTTGCATGTGAGACGAGATCAATGTCGTATTTGCAATAAAGAACAATAAGAATCTACATACGCATGTAAACTCACTTGATTTTTTGCTTTACAAAAACATTGGCTTATTTTTTCTCCATCGAATTTGGAATGTTTCAATAAAACTGGGTACAAATAAATAACTCGTGCGGTTGGTGAGATAATTGAATTTTAAATTTTATATGAAATTTCCACCAAACTGAACAATGTTGATATCGCTTGTGCGCATTGTTGTTGAGGATGCATGCCTACCAAATAATTATTTCACGGTTATTTAAACTCAAAAAGCCACTAATGGAATATAATCAAGCGTGAAATGTGAGCATAAGAAGGAATACATTTCCTATTATGCTTAAACCGCACCCTGAGACGGCCCGATATATTGAATCGATCTCACAAGAATGGTCGAATTGAGTGGGGCATCTTCTCCATCTTGCACACATTACAACACACGACAGTAAAAGAAGATTGATCGACTCAAGGTAATAAAAAGTTTCTTCTTCTTGAATCTCATATTGTCTCTTTCGGTGTATGCACATGTTCCTTCTTCGGTATGTTAGTTGCTCAGATTAACCACAAAAAACGATTGGAAACAGCTCAGACCATTTGCTGCTTATGGTTTGTATCTTCCGAGTAAGACACAACGCAACCATAGGACTGTTCCCTCCATCAGCTTCCATCCAGTATTGTTTGTCATGCTGTAAAATGGTTACACGAATCGTATGGAACAGATACCACAAAAATCGGCAGGCAGTAAAAGCACAGCTTTTCTTGTAAGATGTAATAGAACCAGAGAGTATGTTCAGTTAGCCTTTCAGACAACAAGAGTAGTGCATTGCATACGTAAGCATTCTTACGAATAAGAAGCTGCCTCGAAACACAATGCATAAATAAATTGTGCTCGTCCAGCAGCAGCCTAAAGCAAGCACCACTTGTTGCCTCGTCTCATTCTCGTAGGTTGAGTCGAAGGGTGAACTCCAAGTTGAAGGGTTGCATAAGCGTTGCCCTGTACTTCGTAGCTGTCGTAATGCAGGGAAATCACGTAAAATATTGAACTGTAAGGCGGTGCCAATCTCTCTAATAATTTTATTTAAGGACTAGCAGTGCTCCTAATGTGTCGGGTACAATTGAGACAATCGTTGTTTATTTGTTGTTACAACAATTTGTGATTGTGACCATCATACACAGAACTTATCTCAATCGTGCATCTCATCCTTCCGACCCAATTCAGATCAAAGTCGATGTCTTGAAACTTTTTGTGATCGTCGTGTTTGGAGGTGATCATAAGAATAAAGTGACTGTCTCATCTCATCAATTGGATCATTTATAAGATCAAGCACACAAAACTTAATCCACATTATTTGTTGAGTGAGACCTATTGTTCCAATGACTCATGGTGACAACATCAAATATTGGTCACATTAAGCATTTGGACTTTATGCAAAGAAAGTGTGAGATAAGAATGAGCTAAAATTTGTATAAGTACCCAACCAAGTGCTCCGTTATTTATTATCTCATCTCTCCAGCAGAAGCACTACACTCTGCATAACTTGCTTATCTCTCAACATTTCAAGGCTTTTATCCTTATCTTCATGCTCCTAACTGGAAAAGAGAGACTACGCAGAGATTTATTTAACCAGCCCCCTCCTTTCCACGCTCTGCTCATAAGGGGAGAATAAACGTTATCGAAATCTAAACATTTTAAAAGCCAGAACCAAACCTGAGTGATTCCAATGATGAGGATGGAATTGTCCAAACACAAAAACTCATTTGTAATGAGAATGATGAGTAACTAAACACTAAACAAAACAGGTTTCACTCAGCTTCACAAATAAATACTTACTGCTCTCGGAGGAGTGAGCATATAATCTACAATAGTGTTCTGGAGCTGGTTGGTCGGCTGAATAATAATATCCATTTAACCCTCCTCGTCGTCTTCATGTATAATAAGTAGACGCTCAAGAAGACGCTGTTGAGATTTTAAATTAACTCTCCACTTGCTGAACGGAGAAAGAAGATGAGTCTCGAGTTGTGCAAGTGAAGTGCGAGTAAATCACTGTGGGACCATCATCACAACAATAATTATTTTAATAATAATTGACCACATTATCATATGGGTTCCCATTAAAGACATTACTCAAAAAAGGAGTGGTTTCATTCCTCTGAAATTGCCGAAAAATTGGCAAAACAATAATGATTGTTATCTCACAAGAAACAGCAGAGGAAGGAGTCTCATCTTTACGACGGCCTGGTTGCTCTTGTCCATGTTGCTGTCCTATTGTTGCCGGTGGTGAAAATCAAGAAGGTGGAGAGAATCCTAATTGGTGGAAAAGGCGAAGGAAAATGAAAACGAGGAAAACTTATGAAACCAAGCTTTTGAATCCACAGATTCAAAAAGAGCAAGAAAAATATAATTATGATAATGATAATGATCCTGTCCGACGAGATTGCTATCTCCCATCCGAATCAGGAATAAATGAAACACATGAGAAATCAGAATCGAATAGTGCTTTAAGAGTAGAAAATCTAATTTGTGGCGATAATATAAAAACTGTTGATCAAATATTTCTACCCGAAATTAGAAGGAACAATAATAAAGTGAACTACGCACTCGTCGTCCCATCGTCTCACCATCATCATCCTTTGGTTACCTTGATAAACCTCCTGGTCATACTCGTCACCTTTCTTCTCGTCATTTCTTCATCTCCGTTCACATTGGTGAACGCTTTTCCGACAAATGACTGTGATTGGACTGGCAGGCAAGTTTCAAATTTGTATTATTTCGTCCATCTCAAAGTAGGAAACTTTTATGAAAAAAGTGGCATTTTTGCATATCCTTACTAATTCTGCGTGCAAAAATGGAAACGGATTAAAATTCTCATTGGGAAGTAGATATTTTCGGCTCTTAAATAAAAATGGAAAAGTCAATGTTCTGCAAAGAATGAGACTGTACTTATCTACATCTTATTGCATTATTATGTACACGGCACAGTAAAGTTCTCTATTGTGCAACCCTCTCACTGTACACATAATATATTTTTTCATCCTCTCCTCAATTCTTACAACAATTGACGGTGAGCGGAGTCTTGACACGGACTTGACATTTAGTCACGAATTTTATCAGCGATTTAAATCCACCGATACAGAGTAAGCAATTAATCTGCTATTCCAAACAACCAAGCCGTCACCGCTAGCCAATCATCAATAATACATTTTGCAATTTAAATTTGCATCCCCTGTCAGCAGAACATTTTTATTTCTTAGCAAAATATCCTGGTTGGATATCTTTCTACAATTATATTGTAAAAGTTAACTCTGCCAAATGATTCAACTTGACGGGTGGAAGTTTGATCATGCACTTTGGATAATATGACTGTCAATAAAAAGTGGAATCCAGTAGCATCATGCAATAAATAGATAGCGATTTCACGAAATCTCTCCTCCGTCGTTTTCCTTTCCACTCTCGGTCAGTTTCAGATGCTCAAACTTCTTGATGCAAAAACTTAAATATGTATATTTAAGACTAAAACCAAACCTCACCAATATTGCGTCATGATGAAAATCATTTTACTATTAAATACTTACTACATACTAAAGCAGTGGTAATAAAAGTGAACTCACGTTTATAAGTCAGAGATCATTGAAATTTAAATGCATATTATACAGAAAATAAAATTAGGAGGATATGTCGTCGTAAAAATGTGTGCAAAGAGTAGACGAGGAGAACCAGTTGAAATGTGATGGACAAGGAATGGTCATTGTTCCTGTCAATTGTGCATATTGATAAATGGTTATTACACACAACTTGCAACTGCTTTTTATTTTACGACCAAATTGTCAAAAGAATGGCACGCTCAGATTTCCATTTGGAATCAACTAATTAGCTAAAATTCTTAAAGAATATAAAATTTAAACAGTTTCTTCCTCCGATAATTGTAATGTATATGATTATTTATTTTTCTTAATTTATGACTTTGTTTATGTATTTGGTATGCATGTATGCTTTTCAGTTATTCTTACAAAATATCTTTGCAAAACAAATATTTTTTTTGCTTGTAAAATCCGACTCTGGGAAGAAAATTTGTACCATCATTAAGTTTATACACCTTGAGCGATATACATACATGACCGAAATTAATCTAAGGTTAGCAGGTTTACTCAATTTGTGTGGTTTCACAACGTTTTTTGTACGTTTACAAATCATCTGTTTCACCATGTGATTAGTCAAACATCAGTAAAAAAAATAATGATAAAGGGACTTATCGCTATTTTTCAGGGAAATGACCTCTTCGTTTAATTCAAGCGATGAAATTTACCGGATAAGTATTGTATTATTTGTTAACCATAACGGGATTCTTATCTATGAAATGACATTCTCAATTCCTGCGCACACATCGCACATTTTTCACCAACCAGTCACATTGTCTAGCGTTGCAAAAGGTTTTTTTATTTTTAATCACCAAACCTCCTCCGATTATTATCAGTGCAAATCAGAGAGATTCTGTTTGTTTGCCTTTCTCACAGATTCTCTTCCTTTATTTATTTATTTCAAGTTTCACCTCGTGCGGTCACCTCGATATTTTGCCTATTGACTCTTTGTCATTGGTTTGAGGTGGCACTATTCGGTAGCTCATCATTATTAGTATTGCCTCAAATACGGTACTCACGATCCAAACACAAAGAGCCCAAATCATTAGATCATATGATTTGACAACCCAGAACCACGCGAATCTCATAAAATGTTGATTCATTCCATAATTATTCGGCTATCAGTATGTGTATAATGTTACCATGTTTTTTACAACTAGTATGCACATGTATATTATCTCTGCAAATAAATTGATTAATTTCAAATGAGGATCCCGCACGTCAGCCAGTGAGAGATAAGCTTAACATGGTTAACTTCGCAATGAGCGGAACAGGAACATGGGAAAACTTGTCGTGATGATGATTACCTCGTCTCCTTATCTAATGGGAATACTTTTTGCCCCCTTTCCCAGAGAGATTTAAATACTTTTTTATTTTGAGTGAAAATGGGACGTATGGTTTCAGGTGAGCTATAATATAATAAAGTTATAAATAAAGTTATGTCGAACAGATACACTGAAAAATTGTCAGCTTGCTCGACATTTTATTTCATAACCGACTTGACAAAACCAAATCACATTGTTCAAATATATTTGTAAAGTTTTACCAGTTTTTTAACAATACAAATTTAATGGCTCATTCTTTCTACATACATCGTGAACATCAGATAATTTTATCTTCAGATTATTATCAGTTGGTGCTACTGAATAATAATACAAAATCAATTGTCTTGGACTTTTATCCAATTCCATTCCATGAATCATACTTAGATGAGATAAAAGAACAATGTGTTTACAAATATGTAAGTTTAGCTAAGCTAAAAACTGAACAACACAAATAACCCAAAAAAACTGGACGCATATTATTATTATGAATTTACAAATGATTAGATTTCGTTGTCGTCACGAGGGGACAGATCTGATAAGGTTCACAAAGAATGACGTATCTGATAGACACTCATTGTTAGCCCGTCTTACAGCAGCCAAATATTTTAGATTTTCTGACTGGAAATAGAGAAATGGGCAGAGTTTGAATGATTTGACGTTTTTGTATTCATGCGAGCAACCCACGAGGACCCATCCAAATGCAAGGGTTACGAACTAAACTCTCGTTGTTGAATGTTGTCTCGGAACAGTAAACCAATTTTGGGGACTTGAAGACCTCAAAAGAGTTTTGACAGTTTTTCAGGTTGTTTTCATGTTTATGGAGGTTGACCGGATCTGACAAAGAGATCGAGATGCTTCTTTATGGACAAGGATATGAAGGTGTTGAATAACGAGAAATTTTACAAAATGACAGAGTAAGAGGCTGCTGTTGGTGGAGTATTCTTCATTTCTCTGTACACGTAGTTGTGATTTTGTGGCAAAATATTGAAAATTTGTGTGGCAAAAGGGTTAAATCTTGGGATTGTTTTGTAGGCCATTCACGCAAAGCCATCCCATGCATCATCTAAGACGTTTTCAATTGTGCTAAATGGTTTAATGGCATTTGTAACTTGACTACGTTCAGTTCTCCACCACATTATCCACCATAGTTCCAGCGAGAAGATAGAAGATACATAAAATGCTAAACAGCACATTCTCAGAAAACACGCATGAATGAAACTGAAAACCATTTATTACTGTTCCTTTCACGAAAATATTCCCCAGTTGGAATTGTATGAGCACATAGTTCTGTGGCTTACTTGTACGACAACCATTGAATTTTCCAAATTGTTCCCTGCATACTTAACATGCATTTTATAATCCGGTATTGTAGCTGGTGAATGAATGTATAAATACATTGCCAGGAAATCCTGGAACAGTTAAACTCAAATTGTAGATACATAAGTATGTCTAATAGACCGCGAGATCGTGGTAGATATTTCTGGATTCAGCCCATTCCTTAAATATATCAGAAGAGAATGCTTCAAATTTCATTGCTTGGGCTGACAATAAACTTCACTCTGCATGAAATGCAAATATTTATATGAAGGTTACCTTTTTAGTTCTTACTTAAATTGATGAATTAGGACTTTCGTATGAACCCGTGAATGTTAACAAATCCACAAGTTGCTCAAATAGTGGTGCGTGGATATGTCATAAATTGAGACCACTGGCTTTTTATGACTGTTACATTTCTTGAGATTCGAAACGACGATTTAAAAGTTTGTTACATCAGAAACTGTGTACGAGATATGTAGACCACATAGCGTGGAGGTAGAGTTTGAAGGAATTCCAAAGGAATGTGGATCTCAATCTAAATTCCAAATACTAAATATTATGCAATGGCTCGTGTCTTATTGTGCAGTTGATAACTAAGGGGCGATAGTTATGTTAAAAATAATCATGATATGATCTGCCAATGATGTATGTCAATTATGTGCATAGCATCAAATATTAGACCACCAACTATTATGGGTGGATTTGCATCAGTTTATTAACCTGCTAGGTTATGCATGCATTATGAATGCATTAATTGTACTTGCTTATATACGACATGACTTGATCTTAAATAAAGTAGTCGCTAAATGTACTCGTTGAGCAGATGAGCTAAACCCTTATTTTGAACACGTTATCAGCACGGCTCTAGTTACTGCTCAACTTAATCTGAAAAGATTAAAATGTGAAAAGTTCTACTATATAAAAAAGTGAAACTGAGCCCAAGATCTGAAAAAGACTTGTGACTAATTCAACATTGTTAAGTTGTTCTAATAGTAAGTCAGAAAATGACTTCGACTACAAAAATTTCCATGAGGAGATTTGATACTTCATCCATCTCCAAGTTAAACGGAGAAAATTACACGGTTTGGAGGATAAGGTTAGTGTGTTTCTTTAAAACTCATCAATTAATGGAAATTGTTGACGGGACACAAATACGCCCAGCCGCATCAGGACCTGACCAAGAAAATTGGGACGAAGGCAACAACGAAGCCTTAACGGTCATGTTATTTACTATGACAGATGAACAAGTAGAAGGGGTATTTGGTTGCAAAACTGCACCAGAAATGTGGGATAAATTGAGTTCCATATATCAAAGCACAAGCGGAGAAAATAAACAAGCCTTGTGGCAAAAGTTTTACTTGATTATGGCTGATGAAAAATCGCCAGTTAAAACCATGATTCAGATACAGAATATTGCTTCACAGCTCAGAAGCTTAGGAATAGTAATTGATGACGTAGCTGAAGTGGCC